CTACGAAACTATATGTTTACATACTCCTTTTCCGACTTGTACACCTTATCTGACGACGTGATGCTAGAAGATGCTTACTACATCCAAACAACTGAGCTACCGCTATCTCTTCAAAGCCCGAGGTCTCTTAACACAGAGGAATTATTCTTATCGTGAAATCTAAAAATGCTTCGCCCAGGCTATCTCATAGAGTCTCATCTCATGATGGAGTGGCCCATTTGGTCATTGTGGCCTAGTTGGATTCGCCGCTGGTTCACCTCTTCGCATTCTAAATTCGTCTCTCTGCAGTCCTCAAGTTGACATGGAATACCCGGTCATGAAAAAAAAAAAAAAAAAAAAAAAGAAACAAAAGACTCACCTCAGGTTCATTCAACGCTTAAACTCCTTCAACGATATTTAAGAATCGTTGGAATTGCACATCAAATACAGAGCAGGATTGAGTTTTGAAGCGCAAGTTGTTATCCATCAATCTTTTGTGGCATGAAGGACTCCTTCGAAGATCGGTGTGTCCAACACAGCGCGCTTGAAGATACCGGAAATTCAAGCGAAAATCGAAGATAAAGGTCGCAATGATCCGATAGATGTAATTATTTTATTCCTCTCATGGTTAATACTTATGTGTTTGTCTTGTCAGCGTGTTCAAACTTTCGTTTGTTGGTTATATGTAGTTAATTTGCTTCCTGCCTTTGATTGCTTAGCAATGAGAGCGCGAACCGTCGACCAAGACCAACCGATATGATACATCGGAGAGCCGGAAAGAAATGAGAACAATCATCGAACTCACGAAGTTGTCCAACGGCACCAACGACCAACACCCATGTTTTCAAAGATTCTTGGCAAAGGTGCTCTCATTTCCAAGTACCTTGTTATCGAAGAAAAGATTCCATGGGAGTCACAAGTACGAAAATACAGTTCGAATAAAATAGTATAGTGCTCAGCTAGCACCTGAATCAATACACGCCTTTTCAGGCTTGCCTGGAAGAAAGATTGCATGTAATGATGACTGTTTCCCTCATTTAAAGCATGTCCTGTTGAATGATGGTTGACGATATGGATCGACGGCGCAGCACGTGTTCTGAATCCACGTAATCAACTGTTGCTCACATCATATAATGACGCACTTATTTGCGCCGGATGAGATCTGTCCGAGATGAATGCTCTAGAGCTTTAGCAGCCAGTTATGATACGATTCTTCATACTTGCTCCTTGGCAAACCCCTGGGAACCGACCATCGACCCCGGCAGAGGCGCATGCCGGAGCTACTCTAACCCGCGCCACGCGAATGTGACCCCGGCCGGAACCATCAGCACCAGCCTTAAGTCGTTAGTCTCATTGACCGCTACCTTGGTCGCAGGTGAGCTGTGTTAAGCTTCAATGCCCACGCCAATCACCGTTAAGTATGCGGAGCCGTTGACGTCCTTTCTTCGCTTGCGTGCTTGGCGGAGGGCTTTGGAATGTTTGTCGACCAAAAGCTTGTTTGCGCATGTAACCTTGAATACAACGACTTTTCTTTCCAATAAAACATAAAGGTAAAGTACTACCCCATGAAAGTGAGAGACTCTCAAGTTTGACTGCGCAGGGATAATACACCGTTTTGGAACGTCTGCACCTATCCGTACACTTATCCCTCCTGGGGGTTGTATTCAGGTATTAGCCAAGATGAGAACTTCATTCGTCAAACTGGCATCCGTGGCTGCACTGCAGCAAAGCGTAATGGCAGAATTACTTACTCTGAGATTTGACGACGCAGTATGCCTCAGTCCCAAATGACCCTGAGTCTCGGATCAACAAGCTGATGCAACTCAGTGCAGCGCTCTCGCCAATAAGCTACCAGGCAAAGTGTCATATCCCAACTCGACGCAGTATGCCATGTCGAACAATTACTGGTCGGCACCACAAGCCGAGATTCATCCAGCTTGCTTCATAACGCCCGAAAGCGCAGAAGAGGTCTCCGACATTATCAAAACCCTCGCTTCTCTCGAGATACAGTTCACAGTCAAGAGCGGTGGCCACACGGCATTCGCAGGAGGCTCGAATATCGAAGACGGTGTCACCATCGACCTCGCACGTCTGAACCAGGTCGCTGTGTCAGATGACCGAAAAACAGTGTCCATCGGTCCTGGAAACCGCTGGTATAATGTGTCACAAGTACTTGATCCACTTGGTCTCGCCGTCGTCGGGGGCAGGGTGAACGAAGTTGGTGTCAGCGGGCTCATACTTGGAGGCGGTATCTCTTTCTTCTCGGGGAAATATGGATGGGCTTGCGACAATGTGCGCAATTTTGAGATCGTTCTGGCATCTGGCAGGATTGTCAACGCGTCGACGTCTGAGAATCCGGACCTATACTGGGCGCTTCGCGGGGGTGGAGGCTCCAATTTCGGCGTCGTGACCCAATTTGACCTCGTCGCCTTTGAGCAGGGAGATGTATGGCTTTACAGCCCCATATATACTCTTTCTTCAAGTGCGGATCTCGTACCGGCCTTTGTGGACCTGGCTGTCGACGGACTACCATCAGATCACGATGCGCACACATTCTTCGTGATTGCGAACTTTCCAGGATATGGCGAGATCATTGCGAACTACATGTATCATGCCATACCTCCAGTGACGGCAGAGGACGTGCCGCCCGTCTTTGCTAACGCGATCGCCGTTCCCGGCGCTGTTTCATCAACGACGCTGGTTGCTAATGTTTCCACTCATACGATCAACCTCTCAGAACCCTACGGGATGCGCAAGTCATGGTCGGGCACCTCGGTTTACCTCAAAGAGGGCTCAGCCCAATTCCTTCAGGACATCATCCTGCTATGGCAGGAGCATGCCCAAGAGCTGATGGCCGCCGCCGGTAAAACTAACACAACATTATCACCTCTGTTCGTGTACCAGCCCATATCGACAAATATCATCGAGGCGATGCAGAAGAACGGCGGCAATGCGCTTGGACTAAGACCTGAAGAAGGCCCGCTCGTTCATATCCAGGTGGTTACGCATTGGGAGACTTCCAAACTGGACAGCCTCGTAGAAAGCAGCGTCGCAGAGCTGATTGAGAAAATTGGTGCTCTTGCAGAAGAGAGAGGTCTTGCGGCAAAGTACATCTACATGAACTACGCGGGTCGGCATCAAGACGTTTACGGGGGATATGGATCTGAGAACCATGAGCGATTGAGAATGGTTTCTGAGGAATACGATCCGGCCAGAATATTTGAAACCCTTTGGAGGGGCTATTTCAAGGCGTAAATATTCGCTGGTTGCTGAAGTCACGGGGCACTGCGCCTCGGTACTCGGTGTTGTGATTCTCTCATACCAATGATCTAGGCGTAAAGTAGCGTTAATCCTGTGAATATTGACGTTCAGCGACACTGTCAACTGCAGTTTTAAACTCCACTAAGGTACTCGGACGACCGCGCCGTTGGAACCTTATAATCGTTGTGTTGATTCATCCCAGTCCCGAACCCACGTTCAACTAAAAGCTCAATTGGCTCGGAGACTAACCTGACTTAGCCAACCTGCAAAGGAGCTGGTCCCCGTTTACAAGTCATCGAGCCCGATAGCGTCCTACTTTCCTAGGGTACAAAACGAGAAGTGATCTCCTATATACAAGCAAGTCATCACAGACGGCTTTATTACAATCGCATTCAAACTTGAGGACCAGATCTGATTCTCTCCCTCATGTTCAGCGTGATATCTTTACGCCGCATCAGCCCCCCTCCTCTAGTTGCTTTCCGGATCTCCAATCTGCAGACCATCTACTACCATTCTATCCTGTGTCATTTCTCAAACTTCGGACCACATGCGCTCATGCGGACCCCCTGTGACAGTGTCTCCTTCGGTAGGATGCCCAAGTAGAGCAGGGTGAAGTCAAGAAGTGATACCTGCGAGATCAGGCGAAGAGCACAGGTTCTTTGCATTCCGTCGATTTGCCGGACGATCGGAAAGACAGATACACCTAGGATCTCTTCACGACTTCACTGCACTCACACATCTGAGCATCGGCATCCGGGAATTGATGTGGCTGAACGCAAACCCTATACCATGACTGTCGGCGGAGAGACAACTATTAGTTGAGCACCCGTCGTTCAGGCTGATTGATGCGTTGCCGCCCAATTTGGAGCACCTGTGCCTGTATATTTATCGAAAGAGACAAAACGTGGACATCGATGGTCACATGAGCGAACTCGTGGAAAAGAGGTCACGGCTTCTTCCAAAGCTCAAATGGCTTCTCAGAGTCGAGAAAAGGATCTTGGGAGACGGTTCCAAACTTTCGCTAGACCCTCCTGACTCTGATGGAGAACTCACTCGGATGTGTCCTGAGAACTGAAACCGGATGATGAAACCTGACCGGTAGAGCCCGCCCAGGCTGATTGCTTGTATATCAAGCATAGAAAGAATTCCACCTATTCAGTGTTATTACAGGTAGTCTGCACTATCACATGATTGTGGGGAAGGCGTCATTGGCAGATTACAACTAGGTAAGTACTTATGTAGTTCCGAGTGAGTAAGCTTAAAGTAAGTTGACAACAAAACCATCCAGGTTCACACCGAATCAAGCATCAGAGTCAACTCTTTCTTGAAAAACTTTATACGAGGAATATCGCGAAATTACTCGTGACAAGAACATTAGCATTTTGCAAGGGAAACCTGGTTAAACAACATTGGTAGCGCCTTGGCAAACTTGTGAGGCCATTATTAGTCAGCTTTCGTCCTTCGAGTTGAGCGCAAGCGAGCAGTTTGTGGGGCACGGCGAGATAATGAATGCGCCGATCTCGCTAGATCTAATCAATCTCCCAAACTTAATCATCTACTAAGCACTGGATTTAAATATCAAGAGAAGGCCTAACTTCTTATAGATCTCTCTGTTTTGCATTCATTTGACTTCCTGAGCTACACACAGACACACTCATCACCGACCACGGATTGCTTCGGATAAGCCTGCTCAATACCATCCTGACATCAACTCCCTCGACCAGCCGCGATAAGCCGACAGAATCAGCCCACCTCAAGATATGGATATCGAAATATCGCCGGCGACGATTGATGAGATCCCAAACATCTTGGACCTCACTCAGATAGCACGCGCAGACATGTTCCCGCATGTGGATGATCAATGGCGCGCTAAGAAGGCCGAGGAAGATCTCGCAACGTTCCAGGAGACCTTTTTCAGCCACCCAGATGGCACATTCATAGTTGCGCGATCAAACAACCAGATCATTGCGACTGTTGGATACCAACACTTCGACTACCGATTTCCTCAGCTCACTCTACTACCCGACGGCGTCGTTGAAGTTGTGAGACTCTACGTAATTCCGGCTTGGCGCCGCGGCGGGTTAGCATCCCGATTGGTTTCGGCTTTGAAGAAGGCCGCGAGCGAGGCGGGCCTGAAACAATTGTATCTTCACACTCATCCGTTTTTGCCGGGAGCGATCGAATTTTGGGAACGGCAGGGTTTCGTCGTTCTGGATGTTGATCGAGATGATGCTGTGTGGCAAACGACACATATGAGCCAAAATCTCAGTGGATGATCGCAATCCTTAGTGGGCAATGAGAACTGGCCATTGTTGGTAGAGAATATTCTAGATCATTGATGAACTTGATCGGAGATTCTGGTGGAAACCTTGATTCACGCACCGCGGTGATCGAATATATTCGGGAAGAGTCGACCATGTTTCGATGGGCCTAGCTGAGCTGTCAATGCTTGTTGGTAGCTATACGTTGAGGACGGTGGGAGCTTTGTTCTGTCGTCTATTACTAAGTACATATATCAACCAGTAGCTCTGTGTACTATTGTCCAGCACATGTTATGGCCTCCTGAAGTATTTCACTGTCGAACTCAGAACCTAATATAGCATCGTCTGGTCCATCTACAAATCGACATGCAATTATTTCCACCGCTTCCATGTGGCTTTCGAAGAACCTGGTGATGGTTCTGACTTCGGCCGTTCATTGCCGCACGGGTATCAGCAGCGACCGACCCCTGCGTCCCATGTATTCTTGAGAGGGCTGTTGCTGTTGGAGAGAATGTTGTATCCAATCAATGCCTCTAATTTGGTGCACATTACATCTTTCTCTTTTGCGCTTCCATTCGCGAGAAGGATGCCGTCTTCCACTGAACTTGAAAATGAGGCTCTATCTCGTCACAAACACGAATTGATCCTTCCAGGTTTCCCGGCCTACCCAGGTTAACAGGCTTACGCTCCACCGCCACCGGGCGACGACTATCTGGAGGCAATCCGTAGTAAGAGGCTGCCGATCAAGCTCAACACAACATGGGTGCCGGAACGTGTGAGAGGTAACATTGAGGGAACTTGTCCGCCGTCGACCTGGTAGGCATGTGCAAGTCGCCATGGCGTGCATTGCGGGCGACTACAGAGACCTCTAGGACGAACTTACGCCAATAAATATACTCGGAGCTTCTTGACCTGGCCACGTGGATGAAGGAACGAAGTCTGAGGTTCTCGCAAAGCCCGAAATACCCAGAAATCCCGAACCGAAAGTACTACCTCTATGTACGTAGGCAGTAGTACATTGATAAATTCGCCTAGAAGCATCAGCATCGATACACCCCGGGCACCCAGAGTAGGTACCTCCCGGCGCGGTTTCCCAATTCCCCACCTACAACTCCCAAAGCTCTCCATAAATTTCGAGCAACCGTTACTTGAATCGCGGCTATCGCAAAAATCACTTCTATTACGCTCCCGGCAAGGTACCTACGCTGAACACCTCGAGAAGAGAGCCAGGGATCTGGGCATGGAACCCATTGGTCTGCCGCGTACATGTTCCGAGTGCGAGGACGCGGCGGTCCGCGATAAAGAGCCTTTGATAACAGTTCTCAACCCACGGATCATCGCTCATAGATTTGAGGCAGTGGACTCTAATCTTGACGAGTGCTACTATTGAGGAGCCAGGGACAGCTCGATGCCACCAGTCGGGGCCTATGTATATGTCTAGGGAGGAGATGAGGGAGGAGGCAAAAGAGGAAGAGGGTTTAAGCTTATATCAATAGAAACTTGTTGTTGCTTCAGAGAGCTCCTCCTCACGAACGTTCGATCTATATTCGAAGTCAACTTGGGAAAGACACGCCTCATCCTCTAAAAGTCTGACAATACTGCGCGGAACTCTATCCGTTTATGATGGAATAGAAACCTAACCGGGGTGATTTCACAATGAACCGAGCTCAGTGTGATTTGAACAGTCAAAAGCTACGATTGGGATTTTCTCTTACTTCAAGATAAATTTCGCTTTCTGTAACTACAGATTTTGGACTTTCTTCACTCTGCTTTCCAATGCATCGTTGTGCCAAGTACTGTGGTATTTCTATTGCGACAAAAGCTACTACAATGGATGGGATACATCACGAGAGAGTCAAGACCACGGGATAAGTGATAAAAAGATATATTCTTTCACTGCAAGTCATATTTGATATAAATATGTACTCGAAGTTTGATATTACGTGACTGCACCTGAGTGCTCTATATCCATGTTCGCCGGCTACCATGTATTAAACCAATCGAAGAGTGTTTCTACTTGAAAGTTCGCTGCTAATGTCGGGCAGATAAATTTAGAGGATGCTGCCGACGCTGCAGAGAAGGCCACCAAGGTTGATGGCCTTGAGGATACCTCCGATGAGGCCAAGGACGATGGGCAGAAGGCCGGCAAGGACCTCGAGGAGGAGGCCGATGACACCGCCGAGGACGGAGCAAACGAGCTCCAAGAGACCCTCGATGAGGCCGTTGAGGGAGCAGAGGAGGTGGAAGACGACGGTGAGGAGGACGAAGACGATGGGGCCGAGGAGCTCGAAGATGCCTAGTTGATATTGGTTAGCGGGAGATTCAAGTAATTGACGTCTATTGTTTGGACTTACTGCAGCCGAGAACGGCGATGACATGCTTCAGGCAGTAGATGATTTCAAAGATGAGCTCAAGGACGCAGGAGATGATCTGCTCCTTCTCCTCACCGACAATCTCGACAGTCTCGCCAAGGAGCTCGACAACGTCGCCGACGAGGGAGTGGATCAGGCTGACGATGATAGTGACCTCGCTCTTGACGAGCTTGATGATGTCGGCCTTCTTCTGGGCGATCTGGCCCTTGGTGACGCCATCGACAGTGGAGTTGATGGTGGAGCAGTGCTTCTTGACCTCGACGATGGTGTACTGGACCTTGGTGTAGACGACCTCAGTGCGCTTGTCGAGGATGTCGGTCTCCGGGGCAATGGGGACGTGTACGACGGGGACCTTTGAGACATCGGTGACGTCGGTGGGGAGGCCGTGGATGGCGGGCGCCGCGAGGGATGTGGCGAAGAGGGAGGAGATGGCGACAAGGCCGAGGTTGAGGAACTTCATTTTTGCGGTTGGGGGGTTGGTTTGAATTAGTTAAAGAGAGTGGTGTAAGTTGGATTAAGGAATGACGAGAGACAAAGCTGAAAAAGCTGAAAAGTCTGAAAAGAGTGACTGAGTGAGAATGCTGAAGCTGGATGAAGAAAAGCTCTAGTCTCGCAGAGTTGTCAACGGCTTATGTACCTGGAGGACTTGAGGTCGATGCACAAGCAACGTCTATCATCACATCTTCATGGAAGGGATCACGACCCTCAACAATTCCCCGAAGATGTCGATCACAGGATCCCACAAGGTTTCCAAATGCAGCTCGAAATTATCCCTCTTAGTGCAAGATCATGGGTCGTTTCCTAGTTGGTCCCATCAGCCTCTCCTAGGTTGCCTCTATTTCCTAATCTTCCTTTCAAACCCTTGATGAAGGTTCGTCATGGCGGCAGACAGCCTCCCGCGCCCCGGTTTGTCAAATGTCAAAAATTGACGATCAGAGCTGACCAGGCAGGGCAGCTATTCTCCTTCGGGGAATTTTGTGGGAGATATCTCCATGAAGAACCCTTGACGTCGACGATCGTTACTCCCCGGAAGCTCCGCGACGACGTCAAAACGTTCGTTAGCCACATGTAGGGAGAGACACGATGAAATTAAGCTTGGCATGCTTGCTAGGTGCCGTTGGACCGTTATCCTGCAAACCAAAAGTTAAATAGACAAAAACCAGAAAAAAGCTTCCCCTTACCTATTCTCTGCCTACTAGTCAATAGTTAGTTGGCAACTCGAAGTAAAAGTCAGCCGGTTGTGTAATTGTCTCAGCGCCGCGTTGTGAATCAAACCCAACCAAACCCAAATCCGAGATCGTCGTAGAGTCTTTCTGGGTCGGAAACATTGTTTTAGTGAGCTTTCTGAGGCTCGGACCCCTCCAGATCAGCGGATTCGCGGGTTGCTTGGCAGGGGGTGCCGATGATCATCATTCGAGACCACAGCCAAATACCGAATTGGATGTCACCCTCTCACGCCTCTTCACGAGATGATAAACCAGAAGGTTTTGCAGGAGGCGGTGAACTCAAAACGATAGTCCTGCGATGGTTGCGATGCAGCGCAGTTTCCAAAGCCTCGCACCGCCAACTAAGATGGTTGACCCCCGTGCCCCCTTTCAGGTCTTTCAGGTATTGCCGCGGCTCTTTTCCAGCTTTTCCTTACCGATTAACCGGGAAAATCTCCCTCGCCTCGGAGACCAAGATCGCCCAGTCATTGTGAAAGATCTCCTCGACCTTTGGGTGCAACTGTACAGAGTAGACTGATTAATTAGATCTGACGTCGTAGATTGTAGACGCCTGAGCCAGCAAGAAGTCTGGTGCATGCAGGAGGGAGTAAAGGGGTTAACAGAGATTGACATTGGAAATGGCATTGTAATGAAGACAACCCAGGAGTCAGGAGGCAGATGAGAGCTGCCCTGTCCGGACAAAGCGACATCACCAGGGAAAATTCAGACAACCCACATTCTTTGGTCTCATGCGTGCACCAAAGTCGTCTGAATTTCTCACCGCGCTGGCTGGCTGTCGTCTTGCATTCGCTGGTCGATGATGCGACCCCTGGCTTCCTGTTGCGGGGGATGAGAGACTGGGGGTCTCTTTCCATCCTCCAGAGCCTCTTCCATTGAGTATGACCAACGGGCTAACCCCCTTTTCATAGCTGCTATAGTACGTAGTATAGCGAAAAAGATTTTGGCACTTCTCCCCGGCCAATACGATGATGATATCAGCGGAATTGCCGACATAGCTCTCCGCCAGGGAGCGCGAGGCGCGAGGGTCGTGTTTTACACCAGAATCGTCTCCACGTGTATCAAGTTGCCGATCCATCCGCGGCAAGGGTGGGGCAAAGTCATTCGGGCAGGTAACTCTTACCGATTGGAAAGACGAAAGGAAGAATGCTGTTGTTTTGATTTCCTTCCTTTGGGAGATCGGCGGATGAATTCGGGGGATCAGCCGCATGGGAACCGAAGAATGTATGGCCGCGTGCGACTGCGGGAGACAAAACAACACAAGCCTTTCCTGCTTCTCAAGTTGATGGAAACAATAAGCTTCCCGTACCTTGGCAAGACACGGGAGTGGCAAGTTGGTTGGACACTCTGTAAACATCAAGACTTGGCTTCCACGCTTCCTTAATTCTGAACATGCAGTGTTCTTCAACGTTGGTGTTTCCCCTTTCGATGATGGGTCTCACCGCCCCGACACTTGATTGCCAGTACCATTTCAAGCTTCGGAAGAGCCCAACCACTTACGACGCCTGCTGCAAAGTCTTACCTTTCGAAATGTCCGAGAGCATGCCATCTCAAGGGGAAGCCTGCGCAGAGTTCTGGGCATGACAGATGGCAGGTGACAGATGACACCAGACGCGAGCGCCGTCCAATCCTTCCCTCGTGCAATGCGTTGCACCTTCGTTTTCATCATCGCCTTCAGCTTCATCCCATCTCGAATGCATGTGTCAGCGCAACGGTCACCACTGACGGCCACATCAGCCGCAAGTGGCGGACGTGAACCAGGCACGCAGGGAGATGCGTGCCTTGGCAAGTGAAACATTAAGCGTTCGGGCCTATCACGGCGTGGTCGCTACAGCGGTGACCCACGTCCAGACGGGCCCAAGACGGGTTTCATAAAGCTTTTCGGTCTTTCTCCCCCCTTCCTTTCAGGGGAGATGGCTGCGCGGTGGCCGCGGCCAGCATAGGCGGCAGCGACCCGAGTCGGTTATGCCAGCCGATGGTGAATCTGCCTTAGTCGGTGACGCTCTCGGTTCGGTTGGGCGCGTGGTGCTGCCGCCCTGAATACAACACCTACCCAGCGGGGGCCGATCAAGATGGAGGATCCTTGAGGTAGATCTGTTTGGCTGACTGAGTTCAGAGACGCATACGTTTACATGTCGGGAAAAACTCTGTGGGATGCTCACAAGTTGGTTCGAGTTCTCGCCTGCTCGCAACTCAACTACGTCAAGCGAATCCTAATGATGGAAACCACCCGATGCAAACGATCAACGATGTGCCTTTTGCGGTGTCGCGTTTCCATGTTGCAGAGTTCGAGTGACACACGCAAGTGAGGGAGGGCGAGAGAAAGACTACGCTCTTCAACACTCAGACCTGCAGTTGTCAGGTCAAGCTGTATAGGAGCAAAGTGTTATGCCCTGTCAGTGTCAAAGTCATCCAATGAGTTGCTCCTCACATCGGGCGCCAATACGATGTCGTCCAATCTTGGTTGAACCTGCGGACATTGGCCGACACCTGGTCGCTATTGAAGCCTCGCACCGAATATTGTTGCCCCCCGCCCCACCACACATTGAACGTCGCGAAGGGAGGTGAAGGTGTCGCGACGTTTCACATGCCTCAGACATCGATGGGGCTGCTCGTCTCGTTCCTGGACTTTTACTACTTTGGGATAGGGTTGCGTTTGGGACGACGTCTGGCTAGTGAGTGCAGTCCCAAGCCATGCTGCATCGCGAACCCGAACCCATACGAACAGTAGCCGCGGAGGTGTACCGTACACCTTTGGGGCCTGTCTCTACTGCTGTTTCGTTGATTTTCTCCATCATAGACTTCGAGGTCTGTTGAGTCAAGTATAAAGACTATTGATCGTCCGCCTTTAAGTTGTGGTTTCCGCTTTCCATTCAGCAGCTTCAACTCTTCGTTTGTATTCCATTCTCATCTCATCGCCGATTGATTCGTGCGGATTTAAACTTATTTCCAACTCTTTCACTTCTATCCAGAACTTTCTTTCCAACTAATCCGGCTCGGATCCGAATCATCACTCTAATCAAGTCACTTGTACTTCCAAATCTCCACAACTCTTTTCAAAATGGTTTCCAAGACGATCATCTTCGCTCTCGCAGCAGCTACTTCCGTCGCCGCACACGGCAAGGTTGCACAGGTCACTGGTGATCTCGGTGGCAATGGCACTGCTCTCGCTATCCAGGGTGGCGTTGTTCCCGGCCCCGGTCCCAACCGCAAGGTGAGTTCACAAAGACTTCATAGCAGAAGAAAGAGAAAACTCACGTACCCAACTCAGACTGAACTCGACACCACTGTCTTCAAGAGCAAGAACATCATGACAGACGGCATGGGCAAGACCACAGGCGGCGGCAAGGTCCAGGCCGCCGACATCTCCCAGGCCATGGCTCTGTCCGGCGACACTCTCCCTCAGGTCTCCTCCACCGGTGGAAGCATCTCCGGCACCTTCCACGTCGTCACCACCGACGGTGCCGGTCCCCTCCGCGCCGTTCTCGACTCCACGGGCACCGGCCAGTTCTCTCAGGGCACTGAGCTCCAGGTTACCCAACAAGTTCCCGGCAAGGGCGGTAATATCAGGCCCAATGGCCAGGTTCCTGGCGGCAAGCGATCTCTGTGGGAGAGAGCCATGAGCGTCATTGAGAAGCGTGCCTCCAACGTCAACAAGGACTTTGTAAGTCACATTCCACTCTGTATTCGACGAACACCCACTAATACGCTCTCTACAGCCCATGGCCTTCTCCGTTCCCGCTGGCACCACCTGCACCGGTACCATGGGTGGCCAGAGCAACGTCTGCCTGGTCAAGATCGCCAACGCCAACGGCGCCGGCCCCTTCGGAGGAGTTGTGCCCATCCAGATTGCCCCTGGCGGTGCCGCCACCAACTCTACCCCGGCCGCTGCTCCGGCCGCCAAGCGCGAAGTTGAGTTCCAGGCATAAGATGTGAACAGCATCGATCCTCGTATTCGGCTTGGGGGATTAGAACACAAGTATTGTTGTTCAAGACCCCTGGCGGGCAGCTTTTAAGGTTGCTGAACGGGTGAAAGCTGCAATTAGTTAGCTGATAGCTCTGGTCTAGTGACCACATCATTCTTCTTTGAGATTTATTCTCAGCTTCTTGAAATTCATATTCATATTTCATCTCTCTAAACTTTGAATGTTTCAAACCAAATGTACTGTCAAGCAGATCTCTCATCATCTTGCGCCTTAGTTACTCGTCGTCAACGTTGGAATGTTCCGTACCTTGTGATAGGACCATCGAAGCTACCCCAGTGTGCATTATCCCATCAACTGCTAGATGGCGTCAGTACCTAGGTACGTACATTAAGAGGGGAATATCGAATAGTCTAATAATACGACGCTATTTCCCTTATAACCGCCCATGAGTAATCTCGAAGTAGGGCGAATTTAGAGAAAGACTACAGACATATGTAGGGACGCCACCCAGCGGACCAGCAGTCAATGGGATACGCACTTCACACATCAAATCGAGAGTTTTGGAAGCAGGGTGATAAGGTTTGTTACATGTGGTGAAGCGAAGCAATTTCGTTCCGAAAGGAGTCTGAAACATTAAACCGTTCCTATGAAGTACCACGCCAGGTCAGTAGTACAGACCTTCGACCCGGCATTATACTAGACTTAGAATAGCCTAGCAACGTCTACCACCCTCCCTGAGCTCCATCAAACACCTCAGTAATAGCTTCTCATGGCATCCTTGTAGGATTCTCCACCCTTCAGATGGAGATCAAAGCTGTTCTGAACGTCCAAGACCTGCGAGATGTGCTCCATGCCAAGAGGCTCACCCTTGTTGACGGCCAAGGCCTGGGCGGTCCGGATTGTGTTCTTGATCTGGCGACCGTTAAGATCATGTTTTGCCAGACTTTCATAGTCACCCTCGGTGAAGGGCTTGAGGTCAACCTTCTCGAGAATACGGACTCGCTCTACGAAGATCTTGAAAATAGCTTTTTTAGCCTTTTGGGTGAGACTGTCGTATCGCAAGGCAATGTGAATACGTGACTGGAATGCATCGTCAAAGGTCTGTGGGAGTATTAGTAATGAACGGGTTCAGTGGTGTGGTAAGCAGCGTCTGATGACTTACCTCGACTCGATTGGTCGTCAAGAATAGGATGCCCTGGAAATACTCAAGCTGTCGCAAGAAGATACTAACCAGTGCGTTGCGTGAGATCTCATGGAGATTCCTCTTCTCGAGGAAAACATCAGCCTCGTCAAGAAGAAGGATGGCGCCCCAGGCATGGCAGATGTCGAGGATCTTCTGCAACTCCGTCTCGAGGTATCGAGAGTCGGTGCCTAGCTCTCCCGCGGAAACCATGTACAAGGGGCACTTGAGGAGTTCGCTGATGCCCTCAGCCGTGAGCGTCTTGCCAGTTCCGGGCGGTCCATGGAGAACGGCTGGAAGAGAGTCAGTAGAGTTTGAGCACTAGGAGGAATTAAGACTCACCAACAAGGCCTTTTCCTTTGCCTTGGATGACATCGTCGATGCTCTCAGTAGCATGGTACTTGTGCGACTCAACGAGAGCCTGTGGGAAATGTTAGTCGTCTCCTGTTCACGAATTCATGCATGTGGTTCAAAGCAAGTGAGAGATTATGTACCTTGACGATGTCCTTCTGCTTCGGCTCTAAGACCAGAGACTCGTACGCGCCATTATTCCACTGAATTTCATTGACTCCGGAGACGGTGAACTCGAGCCAGAGCTTTTCAGAAAAGGAAAATCCCAACACAACAGATGATGCAATGAGGTAATCCTCGTCAGAGAATTCTGGCACATTCTTCGTCTTGTCACTATCCTGTGGCTCGTTGGATTCCTCGCCGGTTTTGGCTTCGTCAACCCGCTCCAACGGTGTCTCCGGCGTGGCAGCATCCTCGACAATGGACTTGGGGATTCGAAGCATGTGGACCTTACCCTTCCCATCGCGAACAACCTTGGTGACCATCTTCCCGCAACCCGCATCGTCGTCGCTACCGCAGGCGTTCTCCGAGGAAGAATCATCTTTCTCGCAAGGTTTTTCGTCGTCGTCGGATTCCTCTGAATCAGATAAGATATCGTGGTCCTTGGGTCTGACGACAGACACTTGGTAGTTCGGGTTGATCCTCCGGTGGACAGAGGGATCAACCATGATGCGTCCGTTGATGTTGACCTTGATGATGCTCCTCTTCTTCTTATAGTACGCCAAGCCCTGATGACTTCGATAGTTCACGCCACCGAGGTTGACGAACTTTTTGCCGCGTTCGATCAGGGTTGTCTTGATGGCTTGCTTCTCCTTGTGAAATTCGAGGGGGAAGGCGTTGAGGCTGCTAATCTTCCGGGCACCTCGGAACTCCGGGATTTCCTCGCAGAGTGTGCCGTAACCGAATTGCTTCCCGTCATATTCCATGTACTGCAAGATTGTCAGAATTGTCACATGACTTGACGGGGTAATGTGTGGAGAAGTACTGACCTTGCCATCGAGTAAGTAGAATTCCCCCTTCGTCATGCTGTTCATCTTCTCTGCTTGTTCCACCTTGAATACACGAGGCTCATCGGAGGACCCGTAAGTGGTGGTGTAGATGAGCGTGTTGGGCTTAAACAGAGCCCAGAGAAGATCGAAGGTGATGAGACCGTTTTCCAACATGGGATAGAGGCTGATACTTGGTTAGCGATGTCATCTCAATACCTTAAGATAAAGGGCTAAATACCTCTTCTTGACTTCGGCGTAGTCCTTATCGAGATATTTGAGTAGTACTTTGAGATGCTGGCGCTTGTTCTCGATGTCATTCTTGAACTTCTTGCGCTCTTTCTTGTCAAGGTCCTTGGCCGAAATTTTGCTTAACGCCTTGCGGTACTTGCGCAAGTCTTCCAAGTACCTGGAGGGTTCAGTCAGTCTCGAGAGGGTGGATGAGGTCGCTGATAACTCACAAGAACACAATGTTAGGATTTAGCTTTGGCGTCTCATCGACCAAGCTGATTCCCTTGATGTTGCCTATCACTTCCTGAAGGCACTCGCGCAGAACCTTGCTTTTGACATCGAGAAAGGTGGTCTGGTACTTGCCCTCCCAATCAAAGGTACGTCTGACTTGAAGAACATATCCATCATACTGTGAGTTTGAGGTGGCCGTCGACGTCTCCTGGAGTCTGTAGTTATGGATTATGGTGTCCCAAACCTGATCAACTCGCTTGAAGTCCAGCTTGGATGACCTTTTCTTAGGAGGTGGCGGAGGAAATTTGCCGCGCTTTGCAGAGTTGGTGCCAGTCATGGCGGAGCCGGGAGCGAGGGCAGCATTACGAAGACCGTTGATCTTCGGATAGGATGGGGGTCCAGCCTGCATCTGCCTGAAGAGTGCCAACTGGTTAGGTGTCATCGCAACCCTAGTAATTCCACCACCTTTCCCGGGCGCATCGTCCTCTGAGTCTTCGACAACTTCAGAAAATTCGGTGTCGGAAGAGGACGAAGACGATGATGGAGTGCGCTTCCTAAGTGACTTGTGTTTCTGCTTCTTCGAGGATCGGCCGTTCTTGCCTTTGGCGCTGGACTTCTTCTTCGACTTGATGTACTCCCTCTCACTGTCACTATCGCACGATTCAGAAGAGCTGCCTTCCGAATCGGAAGAAGAATCTTCCGCCTCGGAGTCGCTATCATCAGTAGTTTCCTCAGATGAATCGTCAGTGTCTAGATGGGGCGTTCTCTTATGCTTCTTTGCCTTCTTGAGTTGCCTCTTCGACTTGGACTTGGCAGCCTTCTTCTTATCTTTCTTGGTCGCTTTCGTATTCTTAGGTGCCTTGGCTTGTGAAGCTGAGGCCGGAGCGACGACGACAGTGGCAGAATCCTTGCTTGCGTCCATGTTGGCGATGGCAGCGTCAGCAATGGTGGTTTCCGATTGTCGGTCAGTGAGACCTTGATCCGCGGATGCCATGATGAATTGCTGGAGAGGCCTGGTGAGGGGTCGATGACGTGTTGATGTGTGGTTCGGCAGGAACACAGGTGGTGCAAGAACTGAGGAACTCGTCTACTGGGAAGCAAGCATTTAAATACAGTAAGAACCGGTGGAAGTATCTTGGACCTCGCACCTTCCGATAATTCACCGTGGTAATACGTTTCCACACGGTTGGTCGTGGGTGAAGTGAATGTTGCTGCTTGTTGTTTTGGTAAGGGGGGTGAAACTCTGGGCTGGTCTTCACCTCTGGTCCGTAGGTTTGAGAATATGTGTCAATGAAACGATGTGATATCCTTCTACTTTATTCTCATGCGTCTTGAACCCCATGGAAAATCATGGCGAAATGTTGGAGCGTTCAATGGCACGTGGTAGCTCATCGCCCAAAGCTTCCTTACCAGCTTTTGAGCCGCATTTGGGTGGCTAGTGTCTCTTTATCAAATTTCCTGGCTCCCTGCGAAATATGGGTGATTGTATGGCAGCCTTCCTGCTACTTCAGTCTACCCATTAGAGAGAAGCACTGCATCATGCAGGTAATTTGCACTCTTCTGTTGCTTGCGCCGACCCCTTTTTTCGTCTTCTCACTTGACAAGGCAAACATATGACGCCTACCGTGTTGGCCAAGAGCCGCTGTCAGCTCGATGGGCGCCTCCTATGATAACATAGCTAGGCAGATATGGAGACTAATTCTAGGCAGCATCGGCAAAATTTTGACTCAATCAGATCAGAGGCTTACGACGATTGCCGTTCATCCGTTCATGTTTGGAAGAAATCCGTCGCACTCCACAGGCTGCTGTAATCAAAGTCTGGGGCTGGCCATGAATTGCAGCGATATCGTGCAGCCAACAAAGAACGCCTCAAAACATGTCAGTGATGGTGGTGTACACATTCACCCACCTTCTTCCGTCGTCCCTGTGCCATCCGTCGGAAATCAGAATTGATTGGTCAAAGTTGCTATCTTACTTATGTATATGGTGCTGATTTGAGTCATTTGACGAGGTGGTACGTAAGTACGTAGTCTGCCTTGCCAGCAGGCTATACTCAATTACACACCTTCGAGGCTCTTGTCCTACATCATATTGTCTCGGGCAGCGGACAAGGCCACAGTGGGTAGCCCCGCCGACCTCATGGCCGAAGCGAACCGTTTGTGCAGAGTAAGCCAGCCTCATTACTTCAACCAACTGAGACAGGGGATCTCCAATGGCCTAACCTGGAAAAATTGCTGAAACAAACCGTTTGCTGTTCAAAGCGGACGAACGCCTCATCTGCCTAATTTCACTCTACCCTTGGCTTCGGTCTGGTCCTTTGTTTTTCTTTTTTCAAATCACCCGATGAGCATCGACCCGAGCCAGTGGATCTCCGCATTCCGTGTAACCCATCCAACTCAGACTTTCAAGTTGGGTGTCTTGCATGCCTGCAAATGCATGTTTGGACGGCTGTGGGGCGGCATACAAACGAATGGTGGACGGCATGGCCAAGTTGCATAGCCCCGATGCCAGAAGAGTGAGGCGTTCATGTCGGCGAATAGGGGTTTATGATCCTTCTGTGGTTGTAATTGGAAGACACAACATCTGACGCGGGAAAACGTATGGCTCTGCGATTGGTTATAATGGCTCAGAGAGTGTGCACCCTTGAACTGGATGCTTGATGTCTCGGGGCATGAAAGTGATAATGCACGGAACTGCGTCGGCCCCACCATCCGTCTGTGGCCGAGTAGTGGGGTATCCTCGGACATACCGGGCCTTGCCGAAGGCGGAAGTGAATTCCATGTTCCCGGAAGAACCGCGGTCATAGGACATCTATGGACACAAGACTCATTAAGGATCATTGATGAAATGGTCGATAAAACACAAAGGTAATTCATCTGACTGCAGTCTCGGCGCTTACATGAACCGTGTTGATGGGGCGATTCCCCGCGTCTCACAGAGCTAAAGATGGCGCCACGAAATCCTTCGGCGGGAAAAGTCGCCGAAAATCCGTTGCTACGAGTTCTAAAAGCAGTCAAAAGTTGAGCAAAACTTCTCTCAACCACCCAAAAACAACAGAAACGTTTCTAGTCTTGGCAGCATTCGCGAAACTGAGATCAACAAACACCGAGGTTCTAAATTGCGCCTACATAGGCTAGATTACCCTCTGTTTTCCCACTAGGCCGGAGACTTGAGCTGGTGTTCCTGGCGGAGTCATCCAGCCAATTGCACGAGACCGACACGATGGCATCAGGTCAGTTCTTCGACCCCCTCGTCGCACTTCGCGTCGCGCCTCTAGTGTCGTCGACTTGTACTCTCCTCTTCGCTTGGGACCAGCACTTCTTTCTCAGCCTTTTCAACGACACACCCGAGCTTCGAAAGAGGAGCGCGCCGATGCTGAAGCCCTACTTCAACACCTTCTTCTCTCGCGGCGTCTTTATTGTTCTAGGCTTCATTGCTGTATCGACGAGCACAGGCACTGCAAACTTATTCAACCAGCCAGCTACACTTAGGTCCCAGAGTACCTTTTGGTGGTACGCTGCGGGCACGGCCATGTCGGCGGGACACTTGCTCTACGTTCCGGCTGTTGCGCCGCATGTGAAGGATTTGGCGGAGGCGAAAGACGGCGATGATGTCAACGGAATGTTGGATAAGTGGTTGAATGCCAACTGGTTGCGCATGGTGACTGTTGATGTTGGTGCCTGGATTGCTTTCAGCGTTGCTACCCTGAGCACATTGCGTTTATGAGGAGATTCGAGCGTCGAGTTGCACATGTGCGTGTAGTCATCAGGCTACTTTAGTGTGTATTGATATCATGAATCTTCCGTACCCGAGGCGCACAGCCCAATCAAGCTAGTTGGGCACTCAAGATGCTCAAGTGCGAGAACACAGGGCCGATATTTGATCTAGAGGCTTGCTTAATGTGATCCAGCCATCAAGGTACCTTACTCAGATGAAATGCGATGTATGAAGTAGACTACTCATATTTTCTCAGAGGCATCTGAAACCTTTTCCGCCCGCTTGCAAACCAATCAATGAGCGCACCTAGCAGAACTGCTCCAAATATCGGGCCTGCGTAATTCATGTTGTCTTTCGTGACTGGCAATATTTGCGGGAATGGCATCCACAGCACAACGTAGATCAAGTAGCTGAGCGCAAAGACGTTAACCGGAACTCCTACAGCTCCTAGTTTGAAAGGCCCGTACGGTGGTGGCGGACCGCGAAGCTTCCGAAGCAAGAGGAATAGAATGGGAAAGAAGTATGAGACATGAAGAGCCAAAGCCTGAAGAGAGATGAGGGCGTTAAATGCCGTGGCCGAGGCGATGTAGATGAGAGATAAACAGGTGACGATGCCAACAATAAGAAGCGAGGCATTCATCGGTAACTTGAATGTAGGGTTAATCTTTGAAACAAGGTTAGAATGGAAGTTGAGCTTCGGTGGCGGAGTTTAAAAACCAAAAAACCTACGTGTGAGAAGAAGCGGGAGAATGGCAACCCCTTATCGCTCGCGAACATCCATACGAGGCGAGATACTGAAGCCAACATATTGAAGGAGGCGAAAAAGATTATAACTGCGATCAGGGAGACTAGAGCGTTGGAGGCGACTTTCGAGCTAGTCGCGTTGTAGGTTACGTAAATGAGCGGCAGCGGAGCAGTGGAAAGGTCTTCTTGAGGCCCAATGAAGAAGAGCAAAATCGTAACAAAGGCGAAGAGCATGGCTGAGTTAACGACGCAGGCAAGAATGACGCTTCGTGGAACGCGTGTTCTGGCCTTTTTCACCTCGTCGCCTATAGTAAAGATTATTATCTGCTGTGTAGGTGGTTCCTGAAGTAGGTAACTTACTCATGTGTATGACACTATCAAAGCCTGTCACGGAGAACGTGATCGTCAACAACCCCAAGCCCCAAGATATGCCAGGATTATTCCACCCCGACAAGTCAGAGGTAAGCGTCTTGAATACGTAGTCGGGGCTGCTGCGTTGTCCGAGGGCAGCGAAAATAATAATAAAGGCAACGAACAAGGCGATGTGTAAGACTCCACCAATTATTTCGAATGCATTGAGAAATTTCCGAAACCAGAGATTGAAAATGAATGGCAAAACGAGGGTACCAATCATGATGAGGCTGGTATGCCACCTTTGTGGCTCATAGTCATCGTTGTTGAAGATTGCCAGAGACGTGATGATGTTTGCCAAGATAGATGGTGGTCCTCCACAGGCGAAGCACCATGCAGCAGTAGTAATCCATCCTAGATAATCAGTCAGTCTGGAGACTACATGTATCCATGTCAAAGGGACTTTTGTAGTGAGGAACCTTGAAGTAAACCCCAAAACCTATTGGCACCGGGAGCGAGATTTGCAGACCAACGATACTGTGCGCCGACAGTCGGATCACTATTCAAGCTCATTAGCAACTTGAATCTTAATGAGAAGGCTAGTTTGCCTACATCGAAGCCAGCTCAGCTAGTGAGAATCCGATGGCACAGGCTCCGACACCAGCCAGGATGGATCCATAGAACATCGAAGCTGGGCCACCGTTTGCTAGGGCGAATTGGAAAGTAACGGCGAAAGACTCCCATGATGCAAGTATAATCACACCAAAGTTCACGACCGAGGAATGATTGATGTACCGCTACAAGACCGTTAGATTCCGGGCAGAGATGTGAAAATTTGAGTTGAGAACCTCGAGGCCAGTTGGCTGTTGTTGTCCGCCATATTCCTCAGAATGAGTGATCAATGTCTTTTCATCGGCGCCTTCAATTCTGCGCCCGATCGCATCTGCTCCAATTCTATCGGTATCTACAATAGATGTCATCGTTTCTTTTGCATTGCAAAGGATGAAGAAATTGGCAGTTGAGGGGCTAGTAGCATCTAGTATTATAAACTTTTATCGTCTACACTTTCTAGTTATTTCACCGCCGGCACCGTTATCTTCGAAGAACGACCTAGTCTATTTTGGAAGTTGATGTCGCAAAGAAGCATGCAAGACACGACCAGGTTCGCCAATGGAATCGCGGAGGTAGTGCCTACTGTAGTTTGGACTAGCCGCCGAACGTTTCCGCTGTGAATCTATGGTAGCATCAAATCACTCGGCAGCACAGCCTGGAGTAACTTGGTGTTACATGGCTGTATGTAGATCGGCTGCACGTAAGCTGACCGCATTGAAGCTCTTGGCGCCCCAATCAACACTTCAGCACCCTGTTTTACTCCGGCATTTGGAGTAGACAAGCCTTCGAACTCCTCAATTGATCTTCTAGTTGTGGTAGGTATTTTGACTTACTTAAATCTTTCGACTGGAAACCTCGAAAGTCTTAATGGCCAACTCTATCTCTTCTGTTGCGGCATGCCGTCGGTATAGATGTACGCATTTTATCAGAGGTAATACCGAATCATAGAATAATCCGATTGTAAATCTCTTATTTCTACGAATGTATCCTTTCGGAATATCTTTGAGTTAGAGAAAAACTAGAGATTAATCTATTGTCGCTATGCTACGATAAATGGGAAACTTGTAGAACCTGCTGCTGAATGACATACAAACAGAAATGTCTTAGTGGATTGCCAGAATTAGAGTGAAATACGGGCGATTTGAGCTGGGAGAATGGCGTCTTGGTAACACAGCTTTATCTATATGCAGAGGCGCCACGTTGGTGATGCTAAAAAAAAGGCGTTGTAGCCGCAACATCCATGAGAAAGGCGGTCTCTTTAGCATTCTTACACACGTAGTTGTATTGAACACTTGACTTCGTAAGATGGATGATGAAAACGTCTGAACGGGTTGAACGGTTATTCACAGGCACAATTATGTCGGCCTAGGGTCCTATCCTCCTGGAGCGGATGTGAGCACAGCGTACCAAATTAAGCGACTGCTGGCAAAGCCGCGCTTGTTTAGCAAGATTGAGATGAGGCTAGTGTCGGGGGCTAATGCTTCCCGAAGCCGGCCCAGGAGGTCGGGGAAGATGACCTTGGGCGTTTGGCCACCAGTGCCGTTCAATCGACTGTTAGAACTCAAGACGAACAAGATACGGCATCAACAGTTACTCCCAGCTAGCAAGCTCCAAAGGACAAATGTTACCAGCACAACGAGCCTCACGGATGGCTTCCGGTCCGGGGACGCGTCATCAGGCGTCTGAGGAACAATACAAGGTCCTCGCCCTCCTGCCAAAGAACGCCATCGGCAGACGCGGGGCTAGATTAGTGCAACATTGATCTCTGGAGGCCGGCGTACTGGGCCAACTTGCCAAAGGCCGGGATCGTGGCGAAGGCCGACATGTGCATTAGTTTCCGCCTCTTCTTTTCTCTTCTTTTCTTTTTGGAATGAGAATCATGTGCGGCCTCCCGAAGGAGATGTGGGTGTGGTTGGGTGCCGCCGGCACAGACATGTAAGCTCGGATGTCCGAGAAACTGTAGCACGGCCGGCACTCACGTTAGCGACGCCGATTGACGACCGTGAGCCGCTGAGGGAATACTCTGCCGTACAGCCGACACGTCTTGATTATTTTCAGTCTATTCTCATTGGCGGGATGTGGGAGGCGACAGTTTAGCTACATCTTGGCCAGCGTGAGCCGCCAGATTCGACACATCGATGGCGCGCATTCGATGACTAGTTCCCGCAGCTTTCACTCCGTAGTCATTCTTGGCATCGTTTGCGAGGCGAATTTCTTCAATTAAGATCTGAAACAATGATTGGTGTTTAAGCCAAGCTTCTTGAAGAAAGAGATGTTCAGCAGAGCAGTGTCTTGCTCCAGAGTTAGTCTTGCGATCTTCTTGGAAGAATTCGAGAAGAGTGACGTGGCGGCATGGAACTTTCATCCTCTCTGACCTTTTTCAACGGCATTTCCTTCCGAGAGATATCCATGCAGGAAGCACTCATCGAGGCTGGCTGAGGTTGGGACGATCGCTGACTTGAGGCTAACATCAACCTACGGCGTCCGAACATTGTGGGATTGCCTTTGCGCCTGGAAATCGGCATGTTCAGCTCATACGAAAAACCGAAAACTCGGAAAGAACGGCTGGAAGATAATCCCACGGGGGAGAAAGTTTGAGGCGTTTCTTGCTTACGCTCTCGGGCCCTCAGGTGCCCTGACTTAGAGGTTGGCATCAGACTAACATTTGGAGACGGGACGCTTACAACGCCACGCAAGATGACATTTCGGACGGACAGCCAGAGACATTTACCAAAGAGCTACCTGACACATGGGCCAAGCCGTCAACATTCTCTGTTGGGTTTCTTTCTCTGCGCCAACGCAAAGCTTCGCGTGCCCTCTCTTTCTTTGAGATTGACATGCTTACAGACCGAAACGTCCTAACCGTGCTCTGGATTTCTGAAGCAGGCTAATGGCTCGTGTCTTCCGCTTCGGGGCCGAGCTGGTGGCCACGGGTGAGTATGAGTTGCTTCTGTGCATACAGAGTGCGTCTTTGCCACTGGTATCTTGCCGTAGGTGTAGGTATAATTAGACACTTGTGATCCCATCATTTCGGTCGCTCATCACTTCAGCCTTCAGCATTCGGTCACTCGCTCTAAGACAGCCATTACTTTCGTTCACAACACCTTCGCTTTTTTTCTTCCTTCACCACACCTCTCCAACCAGACAAGATGGCCAGAACGAAAGCAATTGTTGCCCTGACGGCACTTGCAGCCGTTGCGACTGCCTACCCCGGCATGGGACGGGGCGGCGCCGGAATGAGCCACGGAGACATGATGGCACAACTTGCTAGCCGTGAGGGTGCCGCAGACAACCAAAACATCGGCGATCTCCTCAAGATCCCCGATGGTTCCTTGTCCGACGTTGGCAAGGATGTCAAGGGCATCCTCACCGGTTCCGGATCGCCAACTACATCCGACGCTGCCAGTGGTAATCTTCCTGATCTCGGAAGCTCCGATTGCAATGCGGACAAGTGCTGTGTCTGGCAACACGTGGCTGCCGACCTGATGCCCACTTTCCGTGACGACAATGGTTGCACCGACCCTGCCCGCGCCGCAATCCGCCTTGGATTCCACGATGCTGCCGGATGGAGCTTGAACACCGGCGACCTCGGCGGTGCTGATGGCTCCATCGTCCTCGCTCCGGAAGAGATCGGACGCCCTCTAAACAAAGGCTTGGAGGAGATTGTGTCGCAGATGAAGACGTGGTTCGACAAATACAAGGATCATGGTGCCGGCATGGCAGACTTGATCCAATTCGCCGCCAACACAGCGACAGTGGCATGCCCTGGTGGACCGAGAATCAAGACTTTCGTCGGTCGCAAGGACTCGTCCGTCGCTGCTCCCGATGGTCTGCTTCCAGACCCGAAGGACCCTGCTGACAAGTTGATCGAGCTGTTCGGCAACAAGACAATCTCTGCCCCCGGTCTTGCTGCCCTCGTTGGTGCGCACACCGCAAGCCGTCAACGCTTCTTCGACACATCCAAGGTCAACGCCCCTCAGGACACCACACCTAATGTCTGGGATGTCGATTTCTATGGACAAACTTTGGCTGGAGCTCCTGCCGAGGTTGTGACCTTCCCCAGTGACACCGTTCTTTCTAAGGATCCCCGCTCGGCCCCGGCCTTCCAGGCTTTCGCCAATAATGCACCGCTCTGGGGTGGAGTGAGTTCACACCCGATCTTGTCTGTCTAGAGAGTAAAGCTAACCAAATTACAGGCATATGCCAAGCAGTATCTCCGCCTCAGTCTCCTTGGTGTCTTCAACATCAATGACTTGACTGATTGCAGCAAGGCGCTTCCCGCCGGCACTGGTGTCAAGAGATAGATCCATGGAGGTATTACTCTGTGAAGATGTGTCTGTGATGCGTCTTGGAGATAATCGGAGTAAATTGTGGATACTTGCCTCTGTAAAACATGACTTGGACGAAAAATTATATGACACGCGTTAATGATGCATAGAAATAAGCAAACAATGGAATATTATGAAGATTTGTTATACACATGTAATCACTAAAGGTTGTCTTAGTTTGTCCGAACAACCCCTTGTGTGGCCGCTTAGTCTTCGCGAGTCAGGAAGCTATCTTATCTCCGGGTGTGTACTGTCCGAAAACTCCAGTGACCCCGGCCGAAATGCTTCTCGGACCTAAACTCTTCGGACTTAGTCCATGTTGCGAACAAGCCGCGATCTTGGTACGGAGCATTCCTTGTCCTCAATTACAGGTGCTCAGATTGCCAAGATCTGGGATCCTGGATCGATCCTACTTCCCAAAGTCCCCTAGGTCAGATCTTGACAAAACTGGCAGGACAGTCAGACGACTCGAGTTGTTTACCCTGCTAGTTGCGGCAAATAACACGAGGTCCGGAGTAATCCGTCTCTGGCTGAGCTATCATACATTATAGTGTTGAATTAGGTACTTTATGCTTTGAGGGGAAGCGAACGTCGTACTACCAGACGTGAAGAGGTTTAATCGGCTCTTTTTGGTATAATTCCGTCCAAGACATTGCATTGGCATTGTTTAGGTACTACGTAATATATCACGTTCGCGGTGCTTTGAAATCAACAACTCAGCAAACCGAGGTTCTGGGGGACCAAGAACAACCTGAATGCCTCACGCAGGTCAACAGAGTCGTGTTAGGATTCTTAGTCCAGGGACGACTGGCCTATAACTAAGCTTAACATTTCGTTCAAGCTTTCAGTTCGTCCGTTCTTCATTTTATCGCAAAGATGCTCCTTCGACACCCAAGCTTGGTTCTCTTGGCGGCAGCGCAACACGCCGTGGGCGACTTATATGTCCGGCAAAATGGCACGTCTCAGGATTCTAGAGCATATTTGAACTCTGGAATAGAAGCGTTAGGCGGACTTGAAGCGATTTCTTCCATCCAAAGCCTAACATACGTTGGTGAAACGTAAGTCAGGTCTTACTTATGTTTCTATCCAGTCACCAACATAACGTACCGTAGGATCCTCAGGGGGAGAACTTTAATGATGGGCATCTCTGTCGCTGGCGTGGATAATGCTGCAGTGACAGCCGGCCGCCAAAACGTTTCTTTCGCATTTAATGGAGCACATGTCAAGCAGCGTGTCGACAAGGTCGCGGCGCTTGGTCGTAGGTATCCCTTCATGAAGCCAGTGAAGACATGCAAGCTAACTGAAGTCTTGACAGCTGGATGGACCTTTGGAAGAGCAAATCTGGCCCCAATGGACTTTTCAATCGTCGTCGAGGGCGGCGAAAATCAACGTGGCTACGCAGCTGTGACGAGGGGTAGCTACAATTTGTATAATCCCACTGGTGAGCCCCAGGGCTACGTTGACGGTGAGTACATTCGTTCGGTTTGACGACAATGTTCGCTGACTGTTGATTCGGATTGTTCTCACAGGCCTACTTGCGTCCTACCTGATTAGCGAAGCGTACAAATGGCACCCACTACTTCTTTCCAAGGTATGGTTTCTTTAACAATCACTTTAGCCACTTCATACTCAAAGTAAGTATCTAATCGCTGCATCAAGGTAATTTCCAACAACAACTTCACGTCTCGACAAGGAGCCACAGGAGCAGGAATCATACTTCCCGGGGGTAAGTGAAGCAGCCAGTACCCTTGAGAAAGTGAGGCTTTGGTCGTAACTTGTGTTATAGTTCATGACGATACGCTCGACTTGACAATTCTGTTCGATCCTGCCACGAATCTCCCTTATATCATCCGATCCTATGAAAACCATCCCTTTTTTGGCGAATCTACACACGACCTCCTCGTCCACGATTACGCTGAAATCAACGGGGTCCAAATACCCCAACGATTCAAGACTATTTATAACGGCAAGCATTTGATCGGAGACTACCGCGCTGATCAGACCGTAATCAACGGCGGTCTGCCGAGCGACTTCTTCGCGGTACCAGGCAACGGCACTGTACCCGAGTCCAGCGTTCCAGTTCGGAGTGCCCAATACAGCTTCTCAGAAATCGGAGAAACATCTGCAAACTTCCTTTGGCCAGGTGCCTATACCGGGACTAAGGAGTCCATCGCAGCTTCGATTTCTCAGCCTCTCCAAGATCTACCTGGTTTCTGGACAATTAGCCCCGGTGGCGACCTGGGAATGAGACAGGGTTTGATTGAGCTCGAGGATGGCTCTGTCCTCGTCTTGGATGCTCCGCCGCACCAAAGCAAGCTTATTATTGAGTGGGTTCAGACCAATCTTGGAAAGAACATCACGCATGTCTGGGTTTGTCTCACTCTCCGAACTTCAATCGATCATTGAAATCGCTGACTAATGAGCCGCAGCCTACCCATCATCATCACGATCATGCCTTCGGCGTAGTAGACTATGTTGCACAAGGTGCAAAGCTCATCGTGCCTGAGCATGCTGCGGGATACTACACTACTGTCCCACAAGAACAGGTAGCCACTTATCAGTAGGTCTCCGATCAGTCTCTTCTCTATCGGTAGACCAATATGACTAATGGTGCTTGTGTTGATAGACGTGGTGGCTCCTTTGTGCTCAAAGACAGCAAGTTGCAGATTGCTCTTGTTGATATGGAAGCCACCGTCCACGCCGAGGACCACGGCTACGCTCTCATTATTCCGTCTTGCCCAACTGATACAAGTTCGTCTGCGGTTTTCGACGCGGACCATGGCAACTTGGCATTCATTGAAACCTTTGACCACGCAGCAGTACAGGAGCTTCTCAACTCTCTCACTCGGGACAAAGTGCCAGGCAATGCGCAGTGAGTCCGGTCTGATCCAGTATCTTCGCAAACAGTCAGTGACTAATCGAACAACAGCTTCTTCCCCTCACATGGGCCTGCAGGCAATGTCACAGATCTAATCAGCGTTTCTGGGTTTATGTATCCTTCATTCTCTCCTCGGGAGTTCGTCCACAGCCAAGCGACTTGTTGAAAGCCATACAGACGTTGGCAATGGTCATCCATCTTCAGTGTAAACATGTGTCCTATTAGGGGTTCAACTCTTGTAGAAGATAGCGCCCGCACTCAATTATCATGCCTGGACCCCTTACTTCTGTTCGTCCCGTTTCAAGAAAGGCGGTTCTACCTCACCCGAACGCCACTTATACCTGCTTCCGGGATGATCCTCAGGAAGTCTCTTAGAACCAATGAACACTTCTCTTGCCGTAGCTCCCTCCTTCTCAACCTCAGACCTGAAGATTCCACGTTTGCGCAACTCTGGAAGAAGGTACTCGATGATGTCCTCAAATGTTCCAGGATTGGTTACATGTGCCAGATTGAATCCATCCACATCAGACACTTCAACCCAACGTTCCAACTCATCGGCGACTGTGGTAGGGCTGCCCACTATCTTGGCACCTAGACCACCGATACTGAGGTATTCTACGATCCGTCGCTTGGTCCAAGGGAGATTTTCTGTGCCGGGGACAGTATCTGACCAACGTCGGATGATGGACTGAATGCGAGGAGAGTCGGCCACCGAGAAGTCCTCATCCTCTGGGTATCCAGAAAGATCAATCCCCGTCCACCCGCCGAAGAGAGCCAGGGCACCCTCGGTATCCGCGAACTTCAGGTACTCTTGTTTCTGTGCTTCGGCCGCTTCATCTGTCGCCGCCACGATGACGTTGATGCCCAGGATAATTTTGATGTGGTTCGGATCTCTCCCCTCCTCAGCTGCAATACTGCGGAGATTGTCCACCGTCTTTCGGACACCCTCTGCAGTCTGGCCGCCGATGAAGATGGCTTCGCCGTGTTTACCACCAAAGCCGTTTCCTGCCTCGGACACGCCCGCCTGGAAAAGGAATGGTGTTCGCTGAGGCGACGGTTCCACAAAGTGCGGTCCAGGCACCTCAAAGTACTTGCCCTTGTGGTGAATCTGCCTGACCGCATCACTAGCGATGTACGTGCCAGCCTCACGATCCGCCAGGACCGCATCATCCCGAAAACTGCCTTCCCAAAGTTTATAGAGAACTTCGAGATACTCATGTGCAATTGCGTAGCGTTCGTCGTGAGGAATCTGCTCTTCCAAGCCGTGGTTCCGAGCCGCGCTGTCAAGGTACGAGGTAACAATGTTCCAGGCCAGCCGTCCTTCGCTCAGGTGGTCTACTGTCGAGAGTCGTCTCGCCAGCGAGTAAGGCTTCTCGTATGTCAAGCTCGCAGTTACGCCAAAAATGAGGTTCTGGGTGGCTTGCGCCATGGCTGGGACGAGGTACAGTGGGTCGTTGACGGGAAACTGCGCGCCGGAGGCCAAGGCCGGGACTACGTTGGCTGGTCCCTTATACACATCGTACGGGCCTAGTGTGTCGGCGATGAACATAGCGTGGAATCCGGCGTCGTCCAGCAACTTCGCAAGCTCAGTCCAGAAGGAGAGCTTCTTGTACTGGTCTGTCTTGTTGCGTGGGTGTTTCCAGAGGCCCGGGGCCAGATGCCCGGGTGTGTTCATTACAAAAGCATTGAGAATGAGTTGCTTTTTGCCACTGGCAGTATTCTGGCCCGAAGGGGCATTCGAGTGGTTGGCCATGATGAGGTTATGTTTAAGTTCTGATCGTGGAGCTCTGTTGTCTCAGTCTTTAGTTGCAACATGTGGCGATGACGGCTCCAGAAATTATTGGCTTTCAATTTGGTCGCCCCGATCTTGTCGGCTCAATGTAAGTTTATGCTCTCATCTTGTCTCGAAGGAATGCCGATAGCGCGCATTCTTGCAACTGCTGTGATCCAATAACATTGCCGCGATGAGTTGTGGGTGGCTCATCTGCAGATTGCATCATCGCACGCAACCGATTGCGATCTGCCAAGCTAACAAACCTCCGAGCAATGTCTCCGTCAGAATCACTTAATTCCAATAAAAGTCTAAAGTAATTCTGCACTATCACCACTACCACCACGCGCCCGTTATCATGTCCCGGCCCGCAAGTAAGTAATCATACCTGCTGACATGGGTTGAGTTCAGTTCACATAACGCAATGCGGGGCAGCTAAGATGTGACCAAGAACTGGGGCCATATGATACCGATCTCGGTTCGAAGTCAAGCTTTGCGGAAGCAGTTAGTGTTAAAGTAGTTCTGCTTGGCCTTTTCTATGGATTCCAAATTTTGGATGTTTTGAGCCTCAGCTCTCCTTCTCATCGCCTCACAAATCGGCTTGCTTGTGCACAGGAAAATTGCAAACGAAGATCCCATCATCATGTCGGTTCAACTAGGTGTATCAGGGGAGACCCTAATACCTCAGTCGACCAGCTATGGCATGCTCATCGGCCTGGGAATCGGCTTCTGCGGTGTCATTCTAGCAGCCGTCAAGATTCAAAAGGCCTACTTGGCTGAAGACTCTGGCACGTCAGAAATGTTTATGGTGGCCAATCGTTCGGTCGGGACAGGCTTAACAGCATCAGCCGTCTTCTCTTCCTGGATGTGGATCAATGAGACAGTCTTCTCAGCAGCATTTTGCTACAAATTTGGCCTTGCAGTGCCTTTTGTAAGTTTGATCATTCAGATAGGGAGATAGGAAGAATGTCACTAATTGTTTGAATAGTGGTGGTCAACAGGTCTCTGTTTTCAAATTGCCTTAATGGCAGCACTGGGAGTCTTGGCAAAGATTCGGGTTCCATACGCTCATACCTCGCTCGAAATCATTCGGTTAAGATACGGATGGATCGGACATATTGTCTTCATTGTTCTTAACATCACAAACAACGTTTTCGGCTGCGCGGGTATGATCCTGACTGGATCGCAACTCATTTATGGCATCTCCGGGATGCACTTCGTCGCTGCCACGATTCTCATTCCTCTTGGAGGTTGGTGAAAACACAGTTCCTAAGGTCCGAAGACAAAATCGTGCTGACAATGTGTAACACAGTCGTGCTTTACACAGCGGTTGGTGGGCTGAAGGCGACCTTCATCACCGACTATCTCCACACTCTCATCGCACTGGTTCTCATCATCTACTTCACTCTCAAGGTCCTTACACACGATGCTGTCGGTGGGCTTGGTGGTTTATACGATAAGGTGGTGGCGACAGCTTCAGAAAACATGATCGACGGAAATTACAAGGGCTCTCTGCTCACAATGAAGTCTCGAGATGCGATAATCTGGGGTTTGATCTTGAAATTTGGAAATTTGGCTCTTGTCGTAATGGTAAGTAATCTCATATCTCGCTATTACTTCCATCGGTGCTCACAGGAATTGGCGCTAATCGCAATGGCAGGACACGGCTTTCTGGCAAAAGTCATTCGCAACGGAGGTGAACGCAACTGTTCCAGGATACAACCTGGCTGCAGTAGCGATCTTTGGTATCCCGTGGGGCCTCGGCACCGTCATCGGTCTGACTGCGAGAGCACTACACAACACTCCCATCTGGCCGGGCTATCCTCACGAGTTTACACTGGCACAGGTCAACGCAGGGCTGGTCATGCCTTACACTCTGAAGGCTCTCATTGGTGACCAAGGAATCGACGCTTTCCTCGTCTTGGTTTTCATGGCCTTGACGAGCACCGTGTCTTCATCTATGATCGCAGTCAGCAGCATATTATCCTTCGATGTTTACAAGACCTATCTCAACCCCAAGGCATCGGATAAGAAGCTGGTTCACGTCAGCCATCTTACGGTGGTGTTTCACGCCGTGTTTATCACAGCCATCTCGCTTGCTCTGAACTATGGAGGCGCAGACATGACCTGGATCGGCTACTTCCGCCCTATCCTATCTTGCCCAGGTATCATTCCACTAGGCTTGACTCTCTGCTGGTCAGGTCAGACTCGATTAGCCGCGATTATCTCCCCCATCCTTGGTTTCCTCACGGGATTGGGAATCTGGCTCGGAACAGCTTATCACATTTACGGCGAGATCAACATGAAGACCACAGAGAGCAGCTTACCGGCTCTATACGGCGCGATCGGATCCTTCTTCTCGCCTGCGCTCTACTCAGTGCTTCTGTCTCTATACAGACCTGAAAAGTTCGATTGGAGGAGATTTCTAGTTGCTGAACTTTCAGAGCAAACTCAGTTGAAGGAGAGTACCGAAAAGGAGGAGGCCAACAGCGACGAAAATTATTCTTCTACTTTGGAGGGAGAACCCCCTGCAGCGCCCCTCTTCAACGCCGAAAAGTCAGCTGATCCCGAAAAGAATGCCACCGCTGTTGTAGGCGAAACGTCTCCTCCTGCCGTTTCTTACAAGAATAAAGCACCTCTAGGTGAAGTCAACCTGGATGATGTTCGCCACCCCTTTGACGATGATACAATCAAGTTGCTTTACCGATGGTATCGGATCGCCTGGATTATGTTCGTCGCTATCGTACTGATCACCTTTATTATTTGGCCGATGCCGCTATATCGTAATTACATCTTTGAGAAGACCTTCTTCAAGAGTTGGACAACGGTAGCGATCATCTGGCAATTCTTCGCTTTCTTCGCTGTCGTTGTATACCCTCTATATGATGGACGCTATGAGATTGTAAGAGGTGTAAAGGGCGTTTGGCATTCGAGTAGGGACCTGCTTCAAGCTAAAGATTGAGCCGCAAAATCAGGGAAATAGAACTGATTGAAGCATCAAAATCTTGAGCCTGAGTCACAAGCATTGTCAACTGTCTTGGCAGAACTGGAGTAAATTAAGTGTGCAGACCAAACTTTTGTTTGCTCGGTGAACGCAACGCAATGCGAACATTTGAATCAGATCTGTCAACATATTTGCGCACCCTACTAGTAGAGTAAGGGTACAAAGCTCTCGTATCCTGGTGGCTTCCCACTATCAAAACGGTTGTAGTACCAAGTGGTAATTGAGAGGGTAAATTTAATTTTGACAATTGTAGAACCTCAAAATTTGGCATGAAAATAGCACAGTAATTATGTTTCACTTACAAATACTTTGCCCTCTATGCGTCTCATTGGCTATTGTCTGCTACAAGTCTCTCATGCGCTGTGATTTTCGTTGAAAGATGACTATTGATACGTCATTGGTTAGAGGCACAGACTATGCGGGAGGCCGTCAACCGCAACTAGCAACAGGAAGGAGACCAGTCGCTACCTCCAACTTATCAGGCTGCGATGACTCCTTAAGGTTTCGTCATATTCCAGACAAAGGTCTGGAATACTCTCGAAAGCACGTGATGGCACATCACAGGCTGCACTCACAACTTCATCAATATTAAATCAAGATCTCCGAATCTCCTTTGCATTCTTCTCCTTACCATCACTACCGCGCCTGCTCAATCAACCAAGCTTGTATCTCAACACCGCTCCAAGAATGGCGGCACGCATCGGAGATGAAATTCAGAACCCCGACTCTCTCGACAGTCACGACAAAACCCCCCAGCCTGTGGTGATGGAAGCTTCAACAGCCGAGCCCCAAGAGTGTCGTGAATCCGACCAAGATTGGGAGAGTCGGGGCAAGCTCATCCATGACTACCTCGAGAAGAACTCCCCACAGTTTGTCAAGGTCCGCGACTTGCGCAAGAAGGTGAGCAGGTGGTTTTTTTTCTGTATTGGAAGAATACTAACTTGTCGCGTTTCGTAGGGATGGGAGAACCCTGCAGGTGATACTTTCTTCCAGAACCAGCGTCGCATTGCCGAAAACCCCGACGAGCGGACTACCATGATTTTCTTCGACATGATGAAGAGAATTGGCCAAGAGATGCAGAAAATTACGAGCGCCCTCAAAGTCAAAACTCCTAGATGGGGCAAGACCCAGATTCTTGACATGGGCATGGCGCCCGGCGGCTTCCTCGCGACGGCTATGAATCTCAACCCAGGTGCTCAGGCGATGGGCTTCAGCCTTCCCGAGTCCGACGGGGGCCACAGGGTCATAATATCGCACAGTCTCGACATCGATCGCAGAGACGTCGACATTACCATGCTCGCTGCGGATATGGGCGTCAAAGACATTCCCGCCGACCATCCCGACTTCGCCAAGTTTCTCCCTCGCCAATTCACGCCCGACCAGCGATTCGATCTCGTCATCTGCGGTGGAACAAAGGTCAACAAGCAAGAGCGTGCCTCCTATCGACACGAACGCGAGCCTCAGCGACTGGGCGCCAGCCAGCTAGCGCTCGGCCTCGAGAGACTTAGACCTGGCGGGACCATGGTTGTTCTCTTCCACAAGATGGAGGCTTGGGGCACCGTGCGTGAGCTCTACAGATTTTCTCAGTTCTCCGAGCTTAAGGCGTTCAAGCCGATGTCCGGTCACAACAAACGCTCCTCATTCTACATGATTGTTACGAGAGTCCAGAGCAAGAGCTCCCTGGCCCTCCAGGCTATTCAACGCTGGAAAGACATTTGGCAAGCTGCCACCTTCGGATCCGAAGAGGATTTTCACGAGACCAGACGCAAGAACTCACCTGACGTTAAGGAGGTACTCGATGAGTTTGGTGATCAGCTTGTGAAAAAGGGCAACAGAGTTTGGCAGATTCAGGCACAGGCTCTCGAGAAGGCTCCCTTCGTTCAGAGCAAGTAAGATAATTAGTGTTGTAGGGTATTTATGGCATTAATTGCTGCCCGCAATTAACAGCGTCGTTTTTGCAATGACATGAAAAAAGGAGTTCACCACCAGTGTAGCTACATCTCTTGATGCTCGTGCTGGGATTCGGACTTGGTTACTCGGAGCCTGTCGTCGAGTAGGCAGTAGGCGTTTTGATTGTTGACCATAAAAACACTCCACCACCCAACCAGTTTGAACTAACCCATCGACCTAGACAGGCGCCTCCTGGCTGGTGACTGGAACTGAGTTGAGGGGTTATATAGGGCCCTCTTGCTAAGGGAAGGAGCGATGGCTTGGGATATCGGTGTTTAGGAGAGTTAGTCAGTCAGTCACAAATGCCTACCCGGCATATATCCTCGGCATCGATCGCAGGTCCATTCAAAAGCACGCCTCATTTGATATGCGCAACGACAACCATGAGTAAAGTGTATTTTGGAGAAGGTAGTTAGATAAGTTTCCAAAGTAATGTATGATTCCTGAAACTCTCACAAGGACTCCTTCCGCAATCGTTATTACCATACATTAGTCACTTTCATATAACACTTTTAGAGAATATTCACATAGTGCAAAGTGAATGATAAGGTGAGAGAAATTAGTAGGAAGCTAGGAGTACATGTAGATATGTAAGGCAGTTGAGTGGTAAAATATTCCATGGCCTATCAGGCCATGTAGTGGCGTAGTCACGTTTCTTAATCGCCAAGAAATTTGACTTAGATCACCACATCACCACATCGACAGCTCCAAGGCTACGTACGTATTGAACATTCGGATAAGCCGGATCCGAACCGGGCGAGTGTTGAACTGTCCTCCAACAGTGCACATCTTAAGGTTGCACGCCAATCGCCCGAGTCAGACTAGAACGTTTCCGTGTAATTCTGATGCTGCCTGATAGAGTTCCCAGAGTCGAATTGGTTGGTCGGACGGTAGATGTGAGTTTGGTTTGCTTACATAAGGCTGAGGTGGAAAGATGAGACCAGGGACCGGGCGTGGCGTCGGAGGTTCAAGATGGCAGAAGCCCGAAACGGCCGAGAGCTTTGGGGGCCGTGGGGGGCCTGGGAACTGGAGGCTGGAGGGGAGCATATGATCCACTTTCTTTCTCATCTCACGTGCATCCCCGTCACATTTACTGCCTTGTCACTTCAGTCGTACCACGCACTCTGTGTGAGGAGGTCTCTGGAAGAAAGATCCTTCACGTCGCTTGACAATCTCAACGCAAGGCCGTATCTGTCACTCGCTACCTCATCTGTTTCCTGGGGACAACTCTAGCCGCCGCACACTTTTCCTTACCTCCCTCCTCGGGTCTTTTCTTTAGCGCGCCGACAACACGGGCAGAGTCAAACCATGTACCAGCCCTACGCAGTTAACGAGGCGCCGCGGGAACGACCAAAGATCCTATGTCTGCACGGCGGCGGCTCCTCAGCAGGCATCTTCCAGATCCAACTCATCAGGCTATCGCGAGTCCTCGAGCCGCGCTTCGAATTCGTCTACCTCGACGGGCCGATCGAGACGGAGGCCGGGCCGGGCGTGCTCCCCGTGTTCGAAGGGTGCGGGCCGTACCGACGATGGGTCAGCGACGATCCCTCCATACCCGCTGAGGAGTTCCAGCAGCAAAAGGACACGGCGATGGAGATGCTCAAGGTGTATGTGCAGCAGACGGGGCCCTATGTGGGCGTGCTAGGATTCTCGCAGGGCGCACGCGCGGCGTCGAGTCTGTTGATTGAGCAGCAGCGGCAGCCATTTGTGCCGTACAACTTCTTTGGCGTGTTTCTGTGCGGAACATATCCACCTTTTGTGCCCGACGATGTGCTGATTCGGTTGCCGACTGTTCATGTTGTGGGCTTGTTTGATCCATGGAAGCCGGCGAGCGAGATGTTGATTGAGCAGTGTTCTGAGCGGAGTACGCGCAAGGTTGTGAGGTATCCGGGGGGGCATCATCTGCCGAACGCGCCGGAGGCTATTCAGAATATTGCGACGATGGTGATTGATTTGTGGAAGGAGACGACGGGGGCGACGGCGTGATGGAGGATGTGAGAGTATGGTCAGCAGCGACAGAGTCGGCTGGATTTACGTCCAAGTCTGGCCAGATGAGGAATAGGCCATACCTCAGCTTTTCACAAGGGGTTGAGGCCGAGGGATTAGACGGCCGGTATGTAGGAGACGTGAAGGTGAGCATCTCTCATGTCGCCCGTCTTATCACGAATTTCCTCATTCATGAGTGAGAGAGATGAAGATGATGGCAACGACGGTGGCAATGGAGAATTAGAGAGAAAGCCAATGTAAGGATAGCAGGCCCGTCGTGGTCAATCAAGTGGCTTGATGAATGGCGTGGAGTCTTGGATGAAGACGATGACGGGGTGAGAGTGAGACATCATCAGCGTTGGGATGGTCTCGTTTGGAGACTATATATGAAACATGAATTCGGCCAAAAACGAATGAAATTGATGAGGTTGGTCACTAGTGCAGTCATACTATCGTGTGCCGTCGTTCACAACAAGCTGACAGTGAAGATTCTCGGCCCTATCCTTCGTTTGAGAGGTTCGCGAAAAGATCGAGTGTGAAGTAATATGCCGCCATAGGTTTTTGAGGCTGTACTAAGGGCTAGGTACCTGAATTGGAACTAGTTAGATGAATTGAGCATGAAATTGGAGACTCAAGTGAAAAAGAAGTGAAAAAAAAAAGGTTCGAGAATGAGACTGGTGGTGTGTGAGTGACGGCGGCAGCATTCAGCTGTTGAAGCGTGGCAGCGCAGCCAAGTTTCCCACGCCAACAATGTGGAGACGACCAAACACGGTCTAGCGTAGATCGGAGCCCCAATGTCCCTGATTATCTCACCCACCACCGCCAAAGGCGGCGAACTGTTAAGAATCCACCAGACACCCCAGTCGTGCACAGGGAATGCCCCGCTGTCGGTCGACGTCACCTGCAGCAGGAAGAGGACAGGCTCCTGTCGGACCTTCTCTCTGGCGCCAACAACAAAAACAGGGAACCCGGCCGCGCGGAGGGGAGACGAGAATGTGACGGCCGCTGCTGCATCTCCTTAGAGCCAGGAGCCGATTCTGGGATTTCTCTCCTGCTTCTTGATTCCTTTGTCTCTTGATCAATCGCCAGCTTCCGGGAAGTTACCTCCCCTGAGCTCCTGTCAATTCGCTCCTCCATCTCGACTATTGCTCCCACGATCCGACCGCCGTTTCCTTCCATCGATCGACCGTCCATTGAAAGGGGAACAGAGCGTCACACCGAAGAGACTCCTGAGAACGAAGCAATCGCGGTCGTCATGGCCAACTTCAACTGGGTGTCCCGCATGCTGGGCTGGGATAGGCACCCACGCCATCACCACGACTTCCACTCGGACTGGATCCGCGATGACCGAAGACGCCGTATGTGCTCCTACTACTCGCTCCCCTCTTCCTGTGGAATGTCTGCGGAAAACCGAGCCGTATCGTTCTCCGGCACGCCATGGAACCCCCTCAATCGGGTTCAACAGCTTACATCTGGGCTTGCTGCTCTGATCTAGTCCTTCCCCAATACCGAAGCGAGCACCTCGAGTCCGCGATCCCCGCTCCCGAAGTCACAAAGATTGCCCTCAAGCTTCGACACCTGATCGAGCTGGCCGTCCCCTGCGAATTGGACGAAATCGAGGTCACAAAAGCGCATAGTAAGATTATCACGACCAAAGTAATCAAAGCTGCCAAGGAAGCGGGCGGCTCGCACTATGGATCGTGTGTTGTCTTCTGCTTGATCGTTTGCAAGAGATGGTTCAAGCACCAGGCCTTGGCTGAGCTCTGGGACGCCGATCTTCACAAAGTGCGCGCCATCGCTTGTGAGGTCATTGCGAAACAGATGTCAGTACCGCGACTATTCAAGACCAGACGCAATGGAGACTGACTACTGTATACAGCATCGAAACCGAAGACGATCTTCAATACTTGATGCACTCCGTTCTCCTCCGTCGTTACTCTGTTGTCGTCGATGGTGAAGCCACACCCCCGGCGAACGCCGTCGAGAAGGCCGTCGATCTTCATGCTGTCAGGGTCATTGGCTCCTCGGGATACCAAAAATGCATTTCCTACTTGTGGAAAGGATGGCTGGTTCAGGACGAAAACGATCCCGCAGTATTCGTCGACTACAAGGACAAGACGAACCCATCCTTCTTCGTCCACATGGACCCCGACCGCATCCGCGCTCCCATGTACCAGAATGCCACCCAGGTGCTCATCTCCCTCGTCTATATTGGTCTCTACACTGCCGTCATCAACTCGGTGAATGCCAAGGGTGTTCTGGATGCGGCTGAGGTGTTGTTGTACATCTTCACCCTCGGCTTTATCTGTGAAGAAATTACAAAGTTCTGGAAGGCCGGCTACCACATCTTGGGCTTCTGGAACGCTTTCAATGGCGTCCTTTACACCTTCATCACTCTGTCCTTGGTTCTTCGCATCATCGGCCTTACCCACGACGAGGGCGAACCCGCACGGAAAATGTACAGCGAACTGAGCTACAACTTCCTGGCCTTCAGTGCACCCATGATTTGGTCCCGCCTGTTGCTTTATCTTGACAGCTTCCGCTTCTTTGGGGCCATGCTCGTCGTCCTGAAGGTCATGATGAAGGAGTCCATTATCTTCTTCGCCCTACTGGCCGTGTTGATCATCGGATTCCTCCAGGCTTTCATCGGTCTCGACTTGGCAGACGACCTGGTGGCTGATGACATAACATTCATCATGTCAGCCATGGCTAATGCCATCATGCAGAGCCCCGACTTTGACGGATTCGACAGGTTCTCGCCTCCGTTTGGTATCATCCTGTACTACTGCTTCACGTTCATTGTCATGGTAAGTCATGGTCCTACGAGAAGTTGGTGTCAGTTGCTAATTTAGGTCGCAGGTTGTGTTGCTCAACATCCTCATTGCGCTGTACAACTCCGCATACGAAGACATCTACGACAACGCCAACGACGAGTATCTCGCGCTATTTGCCCAAAAGACGATGCAGTTCGTTCGTGCCCCCGATGAAAACGTCTACATCCCGCCTTTCAACCTTATAGAGATGATTGTCATTTCCCTCTTCTGGTGGATGGAGAAATCCAAGTTCGAGAAGATGAGCGATGTCATCATGGGAATCCTCTACTCGCCGGTCCTTGTCGTTGCTGCAATCTTCGAGACTCGCTCAGCCGCCGACATTAGGAGCAACCGAGCAAGAGGCGAGGAAGACGACGACACGATCGAGGAGTGGGAGCAAATGATGGACCAGGTCGACTTTGAATCCGATGGATGGAACAAAGTTTGCGTCAGCGCAAAGACCAACTTAGAGCATGATCCTACGATTTATGAGGTTCAGCAGTTGCGAAGCGAGGTTGAAGAGCTCAAGAAAATGTTGGTTGAGATCTCCAAAGCTGTTTCGGCTGGGAATGCCGGTAACGGTCAAGCTTCTACCAACTTGATTGACCTCGGAGAGCCAGCGGAGAGCTCCTCCAGCAAGAAGAAAAACAAGAAGAAGGGCAAGAAGAATAAGAAGGAGAAGAAGGCAGCCGATGATGCCTCAGCAGCGGCGGCAGCAGCTTCCTCCAGCTCGAGCGATGAAGAGTGAAGAGCTTTCATTTAATGATTTTGGCAGTGGTGGGGACCCTGCGCCGTGTGTTTTATTGAATTGACTTTGTACATGTTATGGCTGTCACGTCACGTCACGATGTCACGAACTTGTTTTGTTTCGATATCGGGGTACCAAGGTTACTGGTAGTTGGTAACTTGGGATACGAGTCAGGGAAATATTGGCGTCGGACATCAGTCATGGTTTGTAATAAGGCGTGGCATTCTGTCAAATAAGCCTTGCATAGGGCAGATTCAATTACCAAATTCCATCATTCCAGTGGAAAAGCGCACCGGGACAGGTTAAATTGGATGTGCAATGACAACATCTGGAAGCGATTGATTCTCCGTGACCGGCTCCGGTGCGATGGTTCAGCCGAGGACTTGTGGTACGAAATGAACGAAGCCCCGATTATCGTCACTTGGCGGTCATTTTTACTGCATTTACAGCGAGTACGAGGCACAAACGCAAGCGCTTGGGGGAGTGAGTTGTCCCGGTTGCCGGCTCGGGTGCTAGGCGAGGGTGGCTGTGGTGCAGAAAACTGTGGAGGAAATGGGAGTTTTGTTGACCCGCCTGCAGAGGAACACTAGGGGAACCTTATTTTTGGTGCTTGGGATGGGAATCATGGGATGAGTCTTCTTTTGACCTCCCCAGCTGGGAATAACGGCGTGGGGAATACTGACATAGGTTGGCTCTAAACAGGGGCTTAGGTTTGATCGTTTTCGGGTCAATGGAGATTCGTACGGAGTAGCATGGCGGATTTTGGGAATCATTATCACTTGATGGAAAGAAACGGATACAATTCCAACACTGTTTGCTCTCTTCATCTTTCACTCTACTACAGTAAGTAACCAAGTTGTCTTCTTGAACTCCTAATGGCGAGCCCCTGGACGAGGATCAAGGAGGGGGAGAGTGAAGGGTTGGAACAAGCGGCATCTTCAAGCTCAAGACGTTTTAAACTTTTGCGGCGCCAAAAGAGCGTCAGACGGACCCCGGTCCAATCATCACCCTGGATAGTCACCCCGACAGGGTTGTGCTGCCACCCCGACTCTGGGAATGGAACGCTCGGCACTCGAAGCGAGAAACCCCAAACGTTGTTCTGGGGAGGGCCACTAGGTACTTTGTAATAAGCTAGTCCGTGGCCAGAGGGGACGTCGTAGAATTGGATACAGACTTGGGTGTTGAGGAGAAAGTGAAAGGGGATTAAGCTTGCCGTATCTACCGGTAATCCTTGGACGACAATTCGCCCCTCCATGAGCCCATCCATGATCCCCCTGTTTCTGTTTGGGATGAACGAGGTTTGGCCATTGTTTCTGTTCTGGCTTGGTTGGAGACCCCAACTGGTTGGCTGCTGACTGGCTGACCATTCTCAGACGGAACATGGCTTTAGCGGCTACCTGTGGGGGCTAGAAAAGGTACAATGTTGTTGTGTGTACTTATCCGTAACTGTGTTTCCGTAGGTCTGTCAATAATCTTCCCCTGGCGCTTACACAAGGCCACGACAATTCGAAACCTGATCTGAACATTGGCGCGGGAAGGACGGGACATGCACAGCGGCTGTGTTGGATCCCAGCAGACGGTCATTTAGACTGCAGGCGACAGCAGAGCACGCACTGAGACTTGCTGTCATCCAATCCGTGGCAGGCCTCGTTGGCTTGTCATGCTAAACTTGGAGGCGTCGTTGTCCTCGAGGGCCCTGTCCTCTTGTGCTAATTTGGGTTGATTACGGCCTAGGGCCAACTCTAGTAGACCACGCCGTTGGTGTGCTTTGATAATGTCACTCTCGTCACGCCCAACGAAGACGACCAAAAAAGCTTGGACTCGAAATAGGCTTATTTGCATTCAGACGAGGGACCTCTCTTCTCTCCCTGTGCCTCCCTTGCCCACCCATCTCCCCCGGGATCAACGTGCGTCAGGAAAATGCTTGGCCTACACGCTTGTTCGTGTTTGTTCCCACGCCATTGCCCCTGATCCCTGGCCCTGGGCTCAGGGCTCTGACTGCTGCCACCTCGGATGTCAGATACACCCGGCCGGCTGGGGCGCGGGTTTTGAGATGGAGACCATGCCACCATGGAAACTAACCCATCCGCGAGGCGGAGCTTATTTCTGATTACCTTGGACTACCAAGAGACTACTACTTAGCCGAATTTTGTTTCTTCTGGGCCTTGGTAGGCAAGTTGGGGTGGGGTATCGCGCCCAAGGGTCAATTTGCTTCCGAGACGGACTTGTTGAAGGAGGCCGCCACCACATGGTTTTGGGACCAAGGCTTGAGAGTGATGGGATCAAACGTGGATGGTGCCTGGGAGAGGTGGAGGGGCGTAGGCTTGAAGATGGAGGCTTGGGATGTTCCAAGGGGTGTAAACCGTTTGAGGGTCGTGTTTAGTGTTGTTTCTTGGGCATCTCTAGGTGAAGGCTGCGAGAGGATCTACGTGTATAAGAAGACGTCTTCCCTTCCGTAAAGTTAGGTTCGTACTCTTCATCAAACTAAACAAGTCTTTCAATAATACAGCAACACGCATCAACCAGTCAACTCAACAACACTTATCAACCTCACAACCTCACAACACCATCCAAAATGCATACATCAAGCCTCCTCGCATCTCTCCTCCCCGCCGCAGGAGCCCTGGCCCAATACGGCTACGGCGCCCAAGAATCCTCCACAAACACCGCTTCCGCCGCCGCCGCGTCCTCTTCTTCCACAACCAGCATCGCCGGAGTCCACGTCGTCAAGGTCGGCGACGGCGGCCTCACCTTTGAGCCCAACACCATCACCGCCGCCGTTGGCGAAGTCATCGAGTTCCACTTTTACCCGCGCGCTCACTCCGTCGCTCAGTCCGCCTTTGACTCGCCATGCCAGCCGCTCACCAACGGATCCACGACGGGCTTCTTCAGCGGTCCGGTGCAGGTCGCGTCTGGTGTCGGGTCTGAGGTTTTCACGGTTGAGGTCAAGGATACGAATCCCAAGTGGTTCTATTGTGCTACTGGCCAGCATTGCCAAGGTGGCATGGTTGGTGTTATTAACGCTCCGTACGTTTTCCTCTCCATTTGAAAGTAGGAAGTCGAACTTGCTAACGGTATTCTGAAGTGCCAGCGGTGCAAGAACCATTGAGCAATACGCCCAGGCCGCCGCCGCCGCGCAGTCTAACGTCGCTCCCAGTGCAACCGGCGGCGGCACTCTCGGCTCCGCGGCCACCGGCAGTCCCAGCTCTGCTTCGAGCACTCCCTCCGCCTCATCCTCATCGCAGCCCAGCGCTGGTATCGAGGCCCGTGGCGATGTTCGCTGGGGTCTGCTCAGCTTGGGTATGGCTGCTGCTGGTGTTGTCGGTGGACTTCTTATCTAAGGTCATCTGGTATGGTTTCAAGTATTTTGATTAAACGGGGGAAGACGGGAAAAGGAGTGTGGAAATCATATTTTATACCAATTACGCATCAAGAGGGGTGGGAATGGGAGGTTCAAAAAGCCTGGAGCTTCCTTCCATTGAATGGGATGGATGTTTCGCACATTTTTCGACACACATAGTACCCTACTGCATGTTTACTACCCTGTCAAATTTTTTACAAACAACGGTGTTTTGCTCATATAACGCAAAATACCTTAGATATGAAACCCTGAGTAATGAACATTGCTGGCGCTGATTCAGATTGTGAAAATTAGATGCAAGATCTAGTGGGTTACTAGCCTGTATTTCGGAGCAATACGGTTTAGATTCATGAAGGAAACAATCAATTAATCAAAGGAAAACCGTATCAACCGCGGTCCATGCTACATCTGCTTGCAGTTCGGTTTTAGTTTCACGGAAGCCTCAGTCACACCGATTCCCCTTTCTTCATCAGCCTGCTCGACGCTATCTTGAAGGGGATCGGCTCTGGGCTTTGAAGCAGGCTTCTTTGCAGCGAATTTGGACTAAGTTAGATAAACGATTGTGATTGGAATACCATCTTACATTTCGTCCACCATTTTGATCTCAATTCCCGGGGGCATGCCAGCCTGTAGGCCATCGCCACGCGGTTTCCAGTGTGGGAATACTCGCTCTGGGTATGCCCAAGTGCCATACTGCATGTTAAATCCGCAGGTAACGCTGAACGTGACTTCCGCACCGGACCCAATTTCTACGCGCCCTTCAAAATCCCGGAAATCTCGACTGCGATATGTTTGTGTGTGTGTGTGGAGTCCAATGCCGCTTGGGAGCTGCGTTGTGCACTACAAATCTGCTGGTCTCTGCAATTAAAATCTTGAAGTCACGTCCTGGAACCTGGTTGGGTTCCTCCAACAACCAAGGAGTAAATTGTTTGGAAATGAAATGAAATCCCTTCTCAAGTGGGCGATTATTCGAAAAAGGATCTTTGAGAAATAGCCTGTTCAGGCTTGTTCTGACTGAGATTCCACTGTGAAGTCGGTGAAGTAAAATTCCTAGGAAATCTTGCTCGGACTCGGCATCTTTTGGACAACCTAGGCTAAGGAAAAATGTGCCCCTGCCATAGATAATGCATGTGGTTACGAACTTCGCCACAATATTGCGAGAATAGATTGGTGTCGGCATCACATCAGCCATCTGTAGCACTATCTTCTACGTGATGTCAGTTAATGGGAACACACAAACTACAACACAAGCAACGACAACTTCCCTCTCGCCTAATTTTTCTTGGCATCTGCTGTTAGTGAATGAGTGAGCCTACCACCAAATTACTAACAGCCGAAAACTCTTCACCTCCCCTTGCCGGAGCCCGCATCCGCGATGGCCTCACAGCCGCCGTCGGGCACCGGACTGATGTCGGCCGACCAAGCCGACCCCGAACCAGGCTCCGGGACACCTCCGGAGCCGAACCCCACCTCAAGAGCTAAGCGACGCCGCGACGCCGAGGCACAGCCGACCCGGCCCAGCCTAACGGGAAGCCAGCTTGATGCCACCACCGACGCCCCTACCTCGGCCGAGGGGCCCGCAGCCTCTACCGCATCTGCTCCGAGCGGATCTGCCACAGGGTCCGTCTTGACAGCCCTTGCAGAAGAAGCTAGACAGTACGAGGCACGGAAAGACGTCTTTCTGACCATTGCACGGTCCGTCGACAGCGTTGTCGCCAGCTTTGACGGTTCTAGAAAGCAGATCGCGAAAGAAGCCACTGCCTATGTCATTCAAACCCTCAAGAGACTGATCAATCACGAGACAAGCCCAATAGCGGCCCGGAGTTGGGCGGCTGTCGTCGCACCGATGGCGGGCAACACCACTGCGGCGACCCGGAGCGGCCAGAGCTGCCAGAGCTCTGCCCGCCCGAAGGCCACACTCCCCGCCGAGGATCAGCCGCAGGCGCAGCCGAAGGAGGACCTCCGCATCTTTGCCCGCGTCCCGGAAGAAAGCTTAGCGGCCGCTCGGAAGATCGCACCGTTCGCCGTACGACAGATCGTCTGTAAGGCCGTTGGCCTGGGGCTAGCGGACCTTCCCCACGTCTACCATATCAGCACAGGTTACTCTCTGAAGCCGCGAAACAAGCAAATACAGGAAAGACTACTTGCAAGTAAGGCAAAGCTGGCGGAATGCCTCGGCGCCCACCAGGTCGAGACGCCTATCAAGTGGTACACTTACGTTGTGCCGCGATGCCCAACAAAACTACACAGCATTGGCGGGGACGTCCTGGACCCAGCCACACTCGTTGAAGATGAGGTCTTCGCACAGACAGGACAGAAGCCTGTCCTTGCTCGACCGTCCCGCCTTGGGCCCAACCCAGTCACGAACGAAATATCTTGGCTCATATCATTCACATCAGAGGTCACGCCCTTCAGGCTCTTCAACCAAAGCGGCAGATCTCTGCCCGTCAAGAAACGAAGGACGCTCATCCGACACGACCCCGGCTGCCAGGGCTACCACTCCAACCGGTTCTGCGGACGACGACCGATCTGCAGCAACTGCGGAAGACCTTCCGATTCACACGAAACGGGACCCTGCATGGCCAGGCCCCAATGTGCCAACTGCTGCGGCCCCTTCCAAGCCAGCCACACAGACTGCCCAGCGAGGCCCTCGGCCGTAAACGGCGTCGTCTCCCTTCCCGGTCGAAAGGAGCGGGCTCGGATCCGGAAGGCCGGCCAGAAAGCATCGGACACTCTGTACAAGGCTACTCGATCCGACAGTAGCCAGGAGGCGGCAGGCGTCCCTACCTCCACCAGCCAGAACCAGCAACCCGGCGCCAAGCGCGCGCGCACGAGAACGCCCTCCGCAAGCTCGATCGTTTGCCTCGGTGACGGAAGCACTGACAGCAGCAGCATGGATGAAGACGAGGCGGACGAAGGCGAAGGCGAAGACTCCCCCGACAACACCTCCATCGACCGTCCCGTGCTACCCATGCCAAGCAGGAGCCAACGGGCAGCACAGAAGCCAAACTACAACGTCGCGAATGCCTACACCCACCTCGAACTCGACTCGGAGACGTAAGCCGAGAGCGGCGACCCCACGGATGCTACGCGTTGCGCAGGGCAACGTCGGAAAGATCTCCCCGGCGCACACGGCTTTCCTGCAGCTCTGCTGGGAGGCTCAGATAGATGTGGTCCTCGTCCAGGAACCCTGGACGGGCTGGAAGGACGGAAACGTGCAACTGAACACGCACCCGGGTTTCGACTCTTTCGTCCCGGTCGACTTCTGGGACAGCGAAGGAACCAGACCAAGAGTATTGACCTACACACGCAAAGGGATAGGGATGACGGTGGAGCAGCAGAGGCCTGTCCACACGAGAGACGTACTGTGGCTGGTGGTCGACAAAACGACGACTATCGTCAACGTGTACAGACAACCCCGCGACCCCCACAGCCGCACAACAGGGATACTGCTAGAACTCAAACCCCCGGAGCGAGCTTTGATCGCGGGTGACTTCAACGCGCATCACTACTCTTGGGAGCCCGGGACGAGGAACGGGAACCGGGGAGATGACATCGCAGGCTGGGCAGACGGCCACAATCTCTCTCTTATCAGCGAAGTTGGGGTGGCAACCCAGGATTGCGGACATGTCCTGGACCTGGCTTTCTCTAATATCCCTTTTGCGCACGCGCAGGTCAGCCCACAGCTACACCCGGGAGCTGACCACGAGGCCATCGTGGCCGTCATACCACTACTCAAACGCCCAGTGTCACAGGGAGAGGGCCACCCGCAGCCACGGCCACTGTCAGTGCCCGACTCGGCGCTGCCTCGGCTGAGAGACCTGATCGAAGGGGGGCTAGCTGCGATGCCCAATCTGGGGGATCAACCTACTCCGGAAGACCTGGACGGGCAGGCAAGTCACATCGTCGAGCTCTTCTCCCGAGCCATTGAGGCGGTCGGCAAGAAGAGAGGAAAACATGGTAAAGGCGCGGCTTGGTGGACGGAGGAATGCGCAGAGGCCCACAGAGCATACCGTGCTGCCCGCAACCAACAAGCCTGGGAGACGGAGCAAGATGCGCACCTTTATCTAATGGAGAAACGAAAGGCGTTCCTGAGCACGGTGAGGAAGGCTAAGCGAGCATACTGGGCCGGAAAGATCGATGGAGTCGCTTCAGACCGGGACCTGTACCAGATCATGGGTTGGCGGAAGGCGAGCCTACTGACCAGAGCACCCCCATTGGTTGTGGACAACCAGACGATCGAGGATACTAACGAAAAGGCTCAAGCGCTTCGGGGAGCCCTTCTCGACAGGTTTAGTGCGGAAGATGACGCACCGGGTGACCCGTTTGACGTACCCGTCGTCCCGAGGCGAGCGATTACTTGGCAGGACAATGTTAGCGGAGAAGAAGTGAAGACGGCCACCTTAACAAAGACAACGACCCCTGGTGTGGACGGCATCACAACACGCCTCCTCCAGGCATGCTGGGATGTCATCTCGGAACCGGTCAGGCAGCTATTCCAGTCCTGTATGCGGGCCGGCCACTTTCCTCTGCCCTTCCGCAGAGCTGAGGTGGTCATGATCCAGAAGGCCGGCAGGGATGCCTCCAAGCCCGGGTCCTGGCGGCCGATCGCGCTCCTCTCGTGCCTGGGCAAGGGACTAGAGCGACTGATAGCCAGAAGGATGGCGTCCCTGGCGATTGTCGAGCGCATCATCAGTCCGCAACAGATCGGGGCTCTACAAGGCAGGTCAGCCGTCGATCTGACGACCTGCCTCACCCACGACATCGAGATGGCCCTCCTAAAAGGACTCACGGCGACACTTCTGACTATGGACGTAAAAGGGGCGTTCGACTCCGTCCTTCGGAACCGGCTCGTCATTAGACTGCGTCAGCAGGGATGGCCACATGGCCTGACCAGACTGATCTTTAGCTTCTGCTGCAACCGCACCGCTAGAGTCCGACTGGAAGAAAGCACAACGGAGTACTTCCCGCTGTCATGCGGGCTGCCTCAGGGGTCACCACTATCTCCCATTGCCTTTCTGCTCTACATCGCAGAGATACTTGAAGACGACCCGAACGCGCGATTCGGGTACGCGGACGACATCGCCACTCTGGCCATCAGCCCCTCCCTGGAGAGCAACGTCGCAATACTCAACCGAAGCGCAGCCGGCATTCTCAGATGGGGCTTGGAGAACAAGGTCTCCTTTGACCCGAGCAAGTGCGAGGTCATCCACTTTACTAGGAAGCACGGCCAGCCAGCGGAGCTGCCAGAGGTCCGGGCGGGGGATTTGGTGGTCAAGGCCTCGACGAAACCTGTACGCTGGCTGGGTGTCTGGTTCGACAAGAGACTGTCCTTCCGGCACCATGTCGACGCAAAAGTAGCTGCAGCAAAGAGGGCAGCTCAACATCTGAGACAGCTTACGAACACAAAGAGGGGACTCCCAGCGGCCGCCGTGCGAAAAGCCGTCGTCTCCTGCGTACTGCCGATCGCGCTCTTCGGCGCCGAAACATGGTACGCAGGTATCACGAAGCCGGCTTCGAGACGCCAAGCGGAGACAGACACGAATCCGCCTCTCCAAGGAAGACCCGTCAACACAGGCCAAAAGGGGCTCGTGCAGAAGATCGACAGCGTCATTACAGCGGCAGCAAGGGCCGTTCTGCCTGTCTGGAGGACAACGCCAACCAGTAGCCTCCTCCGAGACGCCGGCTTACCGTCAGCCAAAGTCGCCTTAGAGGGCGTCCGCTTACGGGCCGCAGTCCGACTACAGAGGATTGATCGCCGACACCCGCTAGTCGCGCGGCTCTCCCAGCAGGGACAGCAACAGACGAGACTACAACGGACGGCTGAACTTCTGCCAAGATGCGGAAGACCAGCGTTCCTTCAATCACAGTACCTGCCAAGCTCACAGGATCAGATAGTAGTTCAATGCAAAGAAGAGGCTGCGAAAGCTTTCGAGCGCTGGCTAAAGACAGTACCGGAAAGCCATATGATCGTCTTCTCGGACGGCTCCAGGGCGACGAACGGAGCCGTGGGGTACGGCTTCGTCATCTACCGAGACTCCAAACGCATAGCACAAGGGTGCGGCCGACTCGGACTAGCAGAAGTGTTCGACGCCGAGGTCGAAGGGGCGCGAACCGGCCTCAGAAGGGCTCTGCTCACCAATCGCGGTCATCCAATCCACATATGTATCGACAACACCAGCGTTATACAAGGCATCCGCGGCAAGGCGCCGGACTCGTCACAAGACGCGTTCCTCGAAATCCAAGAAGCGGCCAGGATATTTGATATACGGACGCACTGGTCCCCGGGACACCAGGGCATCGAAGGAAACGAGGCCGCGGACCGGCTGGCCAAAGAAGGAACGACACTGCCGGCGCGGATGGGTCAAATGGCAACACTAGCGGGCATCAAGCGGCTTGCAAGGGAAAAATTACAAAGCCAGCACAGGAGATGGTGGTATAAAGAGCGAAGGCCGCGGTACGCGGACTTGGGGCTTGAGGCAGCTCTGTCCAGCCCTCCTGAACTGGCCTTGCCGCGGGCTACGTTACATCACCTGCTGGCGGCACGATCGGGTCACGGGGACTTCGAGCAATATCACCGACGTTTCAACCACGACGACGCTCTAATGATGTGCTCTTGTGGAGAGGCGAAAGACGTGGACCACCTGGTCTACTGTCGACTAACGCTGGCGAGGAGGCAACGGTGGCCGACCCTCCACTCTCGCAGTATGCCCGAGCCCATAGGCCCTATGGGATCTCTCGAGGCCTACTTCAAGAGATTAATCACCGACCCACGAGGCTTCGAGGCCTTTCTCCGCGTGACGGACTTCTTCCAGAAGATCTGTCTGCGGTAGCAGCATCCACACCTACGTAGATGTGAGTGCGGACTACAAAGAACCTCCCGATTCCAAGGGACGATTTGGGAAAGAATGAAACTGGGGCACCAGCGGGAACCGGGGACAGACAGAACGCGTAGTGGCCACAAGGCATGATTTGGAGGACGATGTAAAGAGACGACGTACTGTAGAGTAGGTAGCCTTGGCTCACGGCCCTCCACGCCATATACCCTTCGGGAGGTCTGCGGTAAGGGCTCTAGCCCGGCCGCCACGGCGTTAAATACAACAACAACAACAACAACAACAACAACACAAGCAACGAAGCCAAGTGAGTGTGTTCGGGTAAAACATCAATAATTATTCCGGTGTATGCGCCGTATCCCATGAACTGCTAGATGGCATTACAATATCTGTCTCTAGAAATTTTCTAATTTGCTCTATTTCCCTGGTATCTGACTACAAACATTCTCGAAATAAACTGGAGACTGTTCTGGTGATGCTATTCAGCAATTGATGGGTTGTGGAATTCATAAGCGTTGGCCTAGGTGTCGTGGTCGAACCCGAAGCTATAGGTCTCTCCATGGCATTGCCACCTCTAGACGTTGAAACTCCTAGGCCTGATCGCAGAACCACGCTCTTTAACAAAACTCCCGTTTGTATTCAGGTTCAGTTCAAATTATACATCTTAAGCTTCATAATGTTATTTTTGAGGCCATTGATGCACCGACTAAACAGTTATTAGAGAGAAGAAGAAAGAAGAAAAAAAGGGACTAGGTTCAACGGAACCTAAAACTTGTGAGCTCACCTTTGGCTTCTAGTTCGCTGTGCACTTGCCGGGAGCATAATACCCGCACCTAATTGCGTAGTTGCCAATCTTATCAGGGATGTCGTAGTTCTTGGTCGAGCTCCTAGCTCCTCGACAAATGCCGCATCTAAAGTTCGGGTTGGTTGCTGAGTTGGAGATATTCGACTCTTTGTCTTCCATTGTACCGCCAATGTCGTTTTTGCAGTACCACTGCGCGTTGGAAGCAGGAAGAGAAGCCATGTAGGGATCCGAGACAGTGGAGTCGTAGAAAAAGGCACAGTCTTTGGCTGCGGTGCCTGCAACCAAAGCGGCCAAAATCAAAGGGACCCAGTTTTTCATGATGGAAACGCTAATGATAGCTTCACGTGTTGGCTATGAGGTAGGCGGCGGGGGGATAGTCAAGAAGAAAATATATGAGCATCGCCAAAATCACAACATCACTGCGTGCTGGGCCATGTCACACTTTAATGCCCAGTCTTCAACAGCCTGTCGTGGCGAGATCTGGTTGCTTTTGTACGCTAATTGGAGATCTTCGTTATCATATCGACTTGGGGAGGATATGATCGTCTGCTCACTATATCTCATAGTGCAATCCCCGGAAAAGGAGAACAATGTCATCTAAAAGAGTTTGTGACTTAGTCATGACGAGTCAGATGTAATCCACCCAGCAGATAAGGCCATAATCAACGAGTATTCATAAACGAGTGTTGAACTGCATTGGACCTGATGCCCCCACTTGCTCGGTCAGACCGACTTTCAGCGGGACTAGCCAGAGGGCAAAACGTTAGTCATTGGGCCTGAAAAGTACGAACAAGTTCATCGCCGCTGGATAAACGAAGAAAATGAAGGAAAATACTTTGAGGTAGAGTCAAACCCTTTCAAGATGGTGTTGATGTGAAGAGTTCGACCGGCAAGCGCGCAAAAGTGGTAATTGGCATTGCAAATTACATGCCAACTAAACTAGGCCATGCGCCCCACCTCAGTGATTGAATCACAAGACATACCCAACTACCTCCTTACCCGACATCTAGATCACTTTATCACTAAGATCTGGAACTTTCCCTTTGAAGAGATAGTGTATCAGAGTTGTCAGTTGGACCAGGTGACACCATTATTATTCATACTTCGTTGATATTATCTATTATCTGAGATATCCAAGACCTAAGACTTTCCCCTGCTTGTGCTAGAACCAAGACTGTTGCAACACCGCAAGTGGAAACACAATGGCGAACTTCAGAGCCCATCTTGAAGATAATACTGGACAGAACCAACATAAGACAGCTATTGCGTGCGGTGGGATTGTAAAGAAGGTGGCTTCCTGACGACGTGTTATTATATTCTGATGGTCAAGGTTCATTGAATGTAGTGAAGCCTAGACTTGGAGGAGACTGAAAGGTCAATATTTCTACCCTCCCACATGTTTCACAATCCTAAGAATGAATTCGATCATTACTGATTTCAGAAGCACTTTTTTCGATCAGTCACAGCTTCAAGCTGCTCTTGAGCTGTTACATCCGACCTAGGAATTCCGGGCCAATCTGCATGACAACAATAATCGACCCTGAGGACCTCCCGAGAGCATCGTCGTAACAGGGGCTTAAGGGCTGCTCCGAAACCCCCAAAGAATAACAATCATAATGAAGTTCAGCGCGAGCGGTAGAATCTTATTTCTGCTGCATTGTTTAGTGCTCCTATTGTGCTAAAGTTTGCTTATCTAGATCCAATGCCTCTCGTAGCCTCCCATTCACTTTCTAGAATTCCATAGCTGATGGTGTCATGCCACTGTCGATTGAACCAATAAGACTCGCGGCTGCGGCCCTCTTCCACGAAACCAAGCTTCTTGTACAGGTGCTGCGCTCGTTCATTGTAGGAGACAGTGCCAAGATGAACCCGATGATAATTTCCATACCGAAAAGCCCAGTCTAGAGCCCAATTGATGACTTCGGCCCCGTAGCCCCTTCCTTGGTACTGCGGTGCTATCGCGATCCCGAGGCCAACTGAGCGATGATGGACCATTGCTGGAGGGATGCCCCCCCAGCCGATTGCTAGGTATCCTATGGGCTTTGACGCGTTTGTCTTCGCTTCGTCAATTTTCTCGTCGTCACCGTCTGCAGGATCCGCCGGTAGGCAGACCATGACAGCGAGGACAGATTTGGCCATTTGCTCGACCATCCACTCGCTGTGCTTGCTGGTCCTCGGCATCAGCGCCATCGGGTTGGAAAGGGCGACGGTGACTGGGTCATTCTCGATTTGGGTGTGCAGGAACTTCTTATCCTCGTCGTTGTTTTCTACGGCTCGAAAAACCAGCCGTTCAGAGCGGTACGCGCCTTCCAGACCATCAGTGACCATAATGGCTAGCGATGTGTGTTCGTGGAGTCGTGAGAAATGTTACTGCGGAATACTTGGGCATGAATGAAATCACTCTGAGCACTCCTCAAGTCTTGTTTGTTTGCGCAATTAAGCGACTATCCGGGTTTTGAAAGTTAGCTGCACACGTTTTCGACCCACGACATTACTTCTATAGGCTTGTATTAGAAGAAGATTTATGTGCATCTAAGAAGAGTCCGAGTGGTCCTATCGCAGGCTACTAAGCTTACGTTCAAGCTGACGTCTTGCCCCGACAAAAGTCCCGTTTATTCATGGGGTGAGCCCTGCTCATTGGCTATCACCCCGCTCAGAAGTGCACAGTGAACGTTTACGTATGACGCTAGGGGCTTATCTCCAGAGATTCTTGCGCGCGCATGGTCTTATGTTGTTCAAACTTACATATATCCAACCAAGTTAATCAAGAATTCATGGAGTCCATCTGCTGTGAGACAGGCAAGCAAACTTCTGTACATCGAACAATGCCATGGAAGTATCCAGCAGAAAGACTTGACACAGTTATTGAACAAACTACAAGTTGCTTTAGGGGTTGCCACTGATCAACAATCAGTGGTACACCCTACATTGCTAAGATTGTGTTGGAGAAAGAGAGCAAACCCACAAATTATGTGACTGAGAGTTTGCAACTGAGTGATATAAGTTCCTAGTGCAAAAAGACTTAGCGCAGTTGATACATGAGTCTTCATTGAAGCTCTACCATGAAAGCCATCATGTCTCCCGATCATTACAGATATTTTCCGCTGTACTAAAATTGTGGCCTCCTTCGAGGTGTTAATCCCAAGTGCATTCATTAATTTGAATCAAGCGATCATTGGCTCTTCTCATACAATGGTTAATAATACTATTCCGTTTCCATATCGTTAAAGCCATTTCCATTGATTTGATTTGGACAGGACTGTTCGTCACTGAGTCGTAGCACGCCGGTTGCAAATGATTGAGGACTAATCGACGGGTTCACTTCTCTCAATGCTCGCTAACACTCGTTCAATTCGTGAGGCTTTTTTAGGGTTGTCAACATTTCACGGCCTTCTAAAGGCAATTGAACCCTGTCATGAGGAAGAGAACTGTAGTGACATGCAATGTGGTTGGCATGTCGAAAGCAACATGAAGCCACTGGGTATGTGTGTGGTTATAGAAGGTAGATGGTAATATCCAATGCTGAAGGCTAGAATATGCAGTTCAATCTTTCAGAATCTTTCCCGCCTTATCTCCTTGATACTTCAAATGCCGGATTTGATGCTTGCATGTTGCCCACTTTGTAGTATCAAGGCTCAAGGACTTCATCTGTACACCGCTCGACTCATTGTACCCTACGGCCGCTGTCGCTGGCATGCATCGATAGCATCCACAACCTAGAATAAATAAACGCATCTCTCACATCATATCTAAATACAGTATCTAAGAAGTGGCGGCAAGTTACTTGTCAATTAGTACTTTAGCCATGTGTGGCGTCTAGCACCGGTTCCGTTCGTACATTAGACCTATCTCCAGCCACTCCATCCACTTCCGGCCTCCGAAGTGTCCGGGACTGAATCATAGGGTTTACATCAGAAGCCGGGGTTCTCGTCGCCCTTCGCGCTTATAAGTTCTAAGCAAGAGCGCGAGGTTTAGCACTAAGCACATGTATGTTACTCATCCAATTCGGTTTCTCATCTTAGCGCGATAGAAGTAGACTTCTAATACCTTCCATACCTTAGCTTAGTACCTACGGAGTCTTAAATGTGACTACTTCTCACATAAAGCCGGTGAGTTGAACAATAAAAGCCACAAGATTCCTCCAACATGACGATTCGCTAACGAGATTAAATTCCCTGCATATCTCCTTGCCTAGAATAAAGACTATGACTATGTCGGCACCCAAAATTGTGTTGAAGGATGGCGTGCTCCTCATTCATGGAGAGGATGGCAAGGTGAACCCACAGCGGTTGGACATTCTCATTGAAGGAGACACAATTTCGAAAATCAGCCGACACATCGAGACAACTGGCAATGTTGTCAAAGTCTTCGACTGTGAGGGCAAGATCGTGTCTCCCGGCTTCATTAGCACACATCATCACGTCTGGCAAACCGCGCTCAAAGGTCGTCATATCGACCACACGCTGGTTGAGTACCTACCGCGAGGAAACTTCATTGGCTCATTATTCTCTGCCGAAGACGCATTTTGGGGTGAGCTTGGTGGTGCACTTGAAGCAATCGATGGCGGCACCACGACCATTGTGGACCACTCCAGTCTGAATGTTGGCCCAGACTTCCGTGAGCCTCTTGCCCGTCGAGACAGTCTTGGCAATAAATATGCTGATATCACGAACCAGCCCCTACAATGATCCAAGCCCTTGTCGCCTCTGGCCTTCGCGCTGTCTACTGCTACTGCGTTCCCAGAACAACCAGCTGGAGCCCCTTCTCTACAGCAGATGATTATACGTCTTCACATGTTCTCGAGAATTGGAAATTGCTAGCCGTCAATGGCCCATACGGAGATGGCCGAGTTCAGCATGGTTTTGCGGTGGACAACATGCATCAGTCGGCCGACCAAATGAAGCACCTCGACTCGGAGCTTCGCACTGCAAATGCCAAGGTTATAACATCACACGGAGCCGCAGGTCTAGCCTTTGGCAATAGCCCTTATGTCCTCCAGGTTCTCAAAGGCCACAACCTGCTAGGCTCAGATATCCTCATCTCCCACGCTAACTTCCCAAAGGATGGCGACGCAGAGCTTGTCAAGGAGCACGATGTCTACATTTCTGCCACGCCTAACACAGAGCTTCAGATGGGCTGGCCGCCGGTCGCCCTTCAGCCTGAATTTGAAGCACACTCTAGCCTCGGAGTTGACTGCCACAGCTGTGGTAGTAGCTTTATGCCTAGCCAGATGCGGCGCGGCTTGCAGTATGCCCGTGTCGAACGACAAGAGAATCTGCGAAAACAGGGCAAGTGGAGCCGCCATGTCGGACCGTCGGCAGAGCAAGTCTTCAACCTCGCTACAATTGGCGGTGCAAAGGCGATTGGCATGGCGGGCCAGGTTGGCCAGATCCGCGTTGGTGCAAAGGCAGACCTCGTTGTGTTCAGCACTGATAGTATGTCCATGCTTCCAGCTGCTGAAGAGGACCCTATTGCGGCAGTGGTTCTTCATTCGAGTGAGAGAGACGTGGAGACGGTCATTATTGGTGGCGTGATCAGGAAGGAAAACAGCAAGTTGCTGTCTGTGACAGTCACTGGTGAAGTTGAGGGCGCCAGTGACCTCGGTCTTCACGGGAAAAGCATCGCATGGAAGGACGTTGCCAAGAATTTGGTTCATAGTCGAAAGAGGTTAAATAGGAAGGCAGAAGGTATTGACATGAAGGCGGTGGAAGAGAAGATCATGGACGATTTCTACATGAACCGCAAGGGCATGCTTGAGCAGTCATGAGTACATGCAGTTGAACATCCGCAATTACTCGGTTACGCGGAGGCCAAGGGGCTGCCTCGTCGGATTCTAGTTTAATCTTTGTATTTTCTCAGGAAAGTTGGATCGCCGCCTCTGCGTAAAAGCCGACAGCATGGCTGGCGGTGTTAGTTAATTTAGCCAGTTTTGAGCCAACCCTGACAATGGTGGGCACAGACTTATCGGGTAGAGGAATCCAAGACAGACATTAGCCATGGACGCAACTCGGCAACTGGAATTGAGGTGTGAAATAGATCAATGCCTGGATGTTCGGCTCATGAATCAGCCATGACTTGAATCGTGGAGGAGTAAATCAAGAAGGAGTAAATCAAGACGGAGATAGTTACAACCACACGGAGTTATCACTCAAGATGCGGGGAGCTGTCAGCCAACCCCACTTCGGCCGATCTCCGTCGCGTGTGAGGGCGCCCGTGCCTCAGCCGATTGCAGTTGATGCCGAGTTATCTCGGTTGAGGTATGTGCTAGCGACTGATAGACGCGGACAAGACCGTTCGTTTTATCGTGTTCTCGGTGCAGCTCACATCGAGTTCTGCTGTTGAAGATCAGATCAAACACCTCGCACGATGTCCTCCCGGTTCCACTTGCCATGAAATGCCAACATAGCGGAGACTTAATGGCGTGATTATAACTACCGCACCCACTGCCTGTTTGAAGCACAAACCTCCCCTCAAACAACAACCTAGATCAACGACATCTCACCAAGCAATCACCAACATGCCAGAGTCCAAAGTCATTCCGGCCTCGGCCACGCCAGTAGCAAAGCCAACCGCTACTTTTACCGGCGATGTCTACATGGAACTCATCAACCGCGACGAGAGCGCCGTCATCGCCAACGTCACCTTTACCCCATGCGCTCGGACGCACTGGCACACGCACGTTGGCGGGCAGATGATTAGAGTGCTGGCTGGCAGTGGTTGGGTCTGCGACAAGGGCGGCGAGGCTAAGCGAATCAACGCTGGAGACACAGTTTGGGCTCCCCCGGGCACGACTCACTGGCACGGCGCCGACGATGGAAGTATTATGACGCACTTTGTCGTCGGCATTGGGGAAACGAAGTGGCATGAAGCCGTCACGGATGAGGATTACAAGAAGCGATCGGAGTAGGGTTGACAAGTGTGAGTTTTGAAAAGCTTGGTCTCGAGAGCTACTTATCTCCGGATTTTCTGACACCTGAAGATGCAGGGCGATGGTCATACAAAAAACAAACATATAAAACCATTCCTAACCAGTGTGCCTAGCTGTTCAAAATAACTCATCTGCCATGCTTCTCCTACCCTCGCCTCTCGTACTTGCCGGTGACCTGGATCTGCGGTGTCTGGAAAACATCCCAGTTATCAGCAGCTGCAGGGTTTCCGAAAGGCTTCAACGTGGCGAATCGCATGCTAGTTGAGACAATTATCAGCCAGCTCTCGGCACATGTACGAAGATTGACCATCACTTACGTGTAATTTCCGAGTTCAATCTGGCTTCCGTTGCCAAGCTTCCCGAACCACCAGAACTCGTGGTACGACGCCTGAGTCTGAGCATTGCGGTACAAGTCGACCTCGGGGTAAGTCCAGGTGTCATCTGGGTCGTAGAGAGTAGGGTCAAAGTACGACACACTGCCGGCTACAACGTGGCTAGTGGCTGGGCCAATGTAGCCGTTTTGGCCGGGAACGGGCGGGTATTCCCATTCCCTCTCAGTCCAACCAGCTTCGTAAATCTTGACGCAGGTCAGCTCCCATTCTTACTCCCCTACGAAGTTGCAAAAAGACTTACATCCCATCGGACCTCCTTGCTGCCCCAAATGAGCTTTGAGTAGATGATGGGGAAATCCGCGATAGATGGATCGAGATTGAATGAGTAGACGCTGACCAATGTGAGCCTATGTTTGCCCGATGGCCTGACTGTATCGACTTACTAGTCTCTCTGTGTGGTGAATGGGTACGAGGGACGGTAGATAGGGCTAATTTCGGCCTTCAGATTCGCACCGAGGCCTTCATGGGAGTTAGTCAGGTGGGTATTAATGAGGAAGATAACAGCGTGGTCTTACCTAGGTAGGGCACGGAAAGTTGCTCTCCATTATTGCCCGAGACTATGACCTTTCCGCTATAGATGGGCAGAGCAGAAGAGTTCCAGCCCAGGCCGTCGGGATTGGGGAAGTTGACGCTTGGCGTGTTAACTCACTGCATCATGGGATGTGCTTGCACAGTGCATCTTACCTGACAGTCTTGCTCTCGCCCGGCTTCAGAGTGAAATCTCTCGGCAAAGATACCTCGACAGGCAGGCTCTTCGGCGCCAACTCCGTGAAGCTCTTGAGTCTCTTCTCCCCACCCCACGGTGCGACGAATGGGTACCAGCCAAGAATTTCCACCCCAGCAGCAGCCTCGTAAGAGAGCTTGTAGCTGACATCCTTGGCACCATTGTTCGTAACAATCACATCGTGGTAACGGCTGAAGTAATGGGTGTCATTGAGAGCGATCTTCTCAAAAGCAATGTCGGTGGTGTAGTTGACGATCTTGAAGGCGTTGATGAGACCGTTGCCAACTTGGGCAACTGAGGCGGAGAAACCGTAGTCGGTTGCGGTTCCATCAGACCAGGGAAGAGAGGTTCCACTAGCGATGATTCTTCGATGCAGTGTTTTGGCGAAGCTCTTGCCTTGAACACAAAAGTATCAGCTACAGCTCTAATCTAATAGTTATGCCGAATGGGAGAACTTACCGTGCACGGATCGGCCGCCGTGGGCGTTGATGAAGAGCGCCGCAACACCTGCTACGTACGGTGTGGCCATCGATGTACCGGACAGGAGAGCATAGGTATCGTCAAGGTAGGTGCTAAAGATCTTGAGAAATGTTAGGTTAATCTAAAAGCGAAATGGGCAATTGGTAAGACTGACTTGGCCACCAGGAGCAGCAATATCGGGCTTGATATCGAGGTCATTTGAAGCACCCCAAGAAGTGAAGGTGTTAGGTCTGCCACCTGCAGGATATTCCAGACCAACAACCTGCTCAGGGTTGAGAGAAAAATCCGCGGTGACATTGCCGCCGGCTTGGACCGTCTCAATGATGGCCTTACCAGCTGCGGCAGTGATGAGAGCAATCAGACCAACATCATCATCAGTTCCGGGAGTGATGATGGGGTTTTCGTTGTTGTAGAACAAGATATACTCAGCACCAATGGCAACTAGGTTGGCCTGCTTAGTCGCAAAAGTGCAAGTGCCTCTTCTCACCAAGGGAATAACGCCCTTGAGGCTTCGTGTACCGTTGGGGTAGGGCTCGCAGCCGTCCGCGGGGTCGGTGATGTCGAAGTTCAGAGGAACGACTGGCCAGTCAACAATGTCGGATGAGAAGTAGTAAGTTGAAGGCAAGTATCCAGCCTGTTTGGTGTTAGAGGCTATGGCATCCGATTCGTGGTCGAACGTCATACCTTGACAGTCTCGGTTTTCCCGTCGAGAATTGATGTCAACTCAAAAGGGGAAGCAGGATACTTCTCGGTCTCCACAGAGGCGACGGCGAGTACGTTCTTGCCAGAGGAACCACTGCTTCCGAAAAAGGCACCGGCTGCACCCGAGTTACCGTTAGCGATGGTAACTACGACTCCTTCGTCGACCAAGCGAGAAGCGATCTCAGCCCACGCGTTCGTAGACCAGCCGCCTGGACCGCCGATACTGGCAGTGATGATGTCAACCTGTGTTGGTGTCAGTGCTTGGTACGATGTCTCCGGGTCTGAAAGATGCTTACGCCGTCAGAGTAGGCTCGGAGGAAAGCTTCGATGAGAGTAGCATCGTCCGTAGCATCCTGTCGCAAGTCAGAAAAGAGCAAGCCTGCGATAGTTCGGATGCCGATATTACCAGTTGAGCAAAGACCTTGTATGAGTAGAGCGTCGCCTCAGGGGCAACTCCGCTCCACCTGTAGAAAGGAAACGTCAATTTCCTATACAGGGAGTGGGAAAGACTTATCGATGGGCTTACCAGTCGTTCTTTCCAGCAATGATTCCTGCAACGTGGGTTCCTATGCGGTGGTCAGATCTCGCTCATGTATCAGGTGTCGCGTTCACATACCATGTCCAAGCTGGTCCAACGGATCATCATCTGGGGTCTTATCCTCATAAGGCCAGACTACGCGTGTTCGTTAGGATCTCAGTCAATGCACACGTTACTTTCAAGACTTACTGCCGTTGCCGACAAGATCATAACCACCGGCAACCTTGAAACCCGGACCGAAGCCTCCCCCCAGCTGTAAAACGTTCAGCGCCCAAAGACACTCACCCAATATTAGAGAGTTACTTACGGCTGGGTGCAGGTACCAAGTTCCAGAGTCAACAACGCCAACCTTGACTCCCTTTCCAAAAATGCCTTTGTCATGAAGCTTGCTCACGCCGGTGGTGTTATGTGGACTGTAGTCACCAGCGGCAGCCTCCTCAATCGATTCGAGACCCTCAACAGGAGACAAGCTGACACGGGTATTCTGCCAGACGCGAACGACACCGGCTAGATTCTGCAAGCTATCAATGTTATGGGTGTCGGTCTCAATGCTGGCGCCGGAGAATATGTCGCTCTCGAAGTTCTTGACGACCTTGATATCGGCTTCGAGGGCGACGTCGCGACGAGCTTTAGCAGATCCCTATTGGTAAATATTAGATCAGGCCTATTGTGATAGTAGGTGAAGACTACGTGTCCATACCGAGGCATACTCGATAATATAGCTCTTAGCAATAGGGACAGTAGCGTTGTTGGTCTCATCTGCGGCCTCTGGAGCTTGACGAGTAGCGAAAGACTGTGCGCTCCCCAGAACGGGAAGCGCAAGGAGACTGGCAGTTCTCAGCAGATGCATCATGAGGATTCACCCAAGATAGTGCGCCGCTTGAAGCTCTGCCCTTAGAACAGTAAGAAACATACCGGTGGGATGATGCTCTTATAATCACGACTTCTTTACGACTCTAGTGACATTTCCTTTACTTCTACCGAAACCCGGCTGCTACCCTTTGTTGCAGCGTTGCATTGCCGATACGGTCATGGGCGTAGAGATTCCTGGCGATATCGCCATTGTTGTTGGAATGAGCTTCCTTCTTGGGATGGCTAATGTACTGGGGTCGCACGCGGTATCGGACGATAGTGCAGCACTGCCATTGACAATCATACCGTCTTTTTTTAAACTTCGCGATAATCATCGACCTTCTATTTAGGTGGAGTTCTCATGATAGTCGAAGAGATACAAAGTCATCGCCTCGAGTACGTGGCATCTCGTATTCGAAGTTGACTATGAGCATGCCATCTACGGCGTAATTTACGAATGTTGATCCTGAACCTCCGTCGCGATGAACAGCAACCAAAAGAGATGTCCTGTGAGCATTGAGGGGTAAACTCGTTCTATACTGCTCAATGCTACCCAAGAGACGTTGCCAAGACGCGACCCCTGGAAGAACAAGGTGCAGTTAATGGCGAATTGCAAGTCCAAATCTCGCAAATCTCGTGTTGCGCTCTCCTCGATAACGGCCAACTGCTTGACTCGGAAAACACGTTGGTATTGGTCTGGTCGGTCACTGATTGCGCGAGATGGCACCATTCCCAGTCCAGAGTGCGATCAGGCTTAAAACATGTACTCCGTAGTGAAGCTGGGGTTTAAATGAACTGCAGAAGCCCATCGTGACCGGATTACAGGATGAATAGGACGCGAAAGGGCTGAGTGAGCCCTGCCTTTGATAAGTATCCGTTGCCAGGCGCCTGCGAGCTGCAGGTTCCTGCATATCCTTTTATCAATCACCTCGTGTTCGGCGTGCACATGCGACCCAATCCTTCAAATGGTATCTTGGCCGAAGCCCGAAGGGACTGGATTTGATGCAGAGGCAGAGTTCTCATCCGGAAAAGGAGCGATCCCTTCGCAACCGGCTGAACGGCTTCAACAGGTCTTGGCCTTTCCGAGAGACAGGGAACCAGTGAGGTAATCTTGGATACGATAGGTTCATGTACAGCGTCCAATGCGGATAAGCACAAATGTCATCAGGGCGAATTTGGCGAAAAGTCCGGAAAACGGTCCACTTTGCCGGGATTGAGCCCGGGAGCTCACCGGGCGGGAGATTCACGCGACACCCGAAGCTGGAGTAAATCTAGACAAGCCGGTCCGATTGCGTCAAACTCAATGTTCTTCCTAGACATTTAACGAAACCAGCTTCTTCTTTGGCCGCAAAACTTCACTTTCGATGAGTCCCAATAAGGAGTCTAGTCCCTTTGACACAAGCTTGTCTATATATGGGCTTCAGTTGCTCGGTGAGACTGGCATTTTGATTACGTCTCAGCTACAAAATTACGGCATGATCGCTTGCTTCAGCTTTAGCTTATTCCCGGTGCGTAGCAGACTTTTCCTGATGTCCCAGCTCCTCATCACTAGGCGCAAGGTGACCAGCTCGGCCCTCGCGGTTATGAAGCTCGTCCTCCATCATCTCATCCCCAGCAACTTCTCTCATATCCGAATCATCAGCCACATCAAAGCTGCGCCGCAGGTGCTCGGGACCGATAAAGGTCAACAACAACACGTAGGCAAATACGCATCCCATGAAGATGCAAATGACCTTGCCATAGTCGTAGCGCTTCGTCGTGCCCTTTGGCGTGAGGGGGAAGTTCTCGCCGAGGCGAGACTCAATGGTGGAACTGGCCGATGAGACGAGGTTACCCAGCTGGTACGACGTGCCGACCACAAACGTGCGGAATGCACCGGGGCTGAGCTCCATGAGGTGGATAGGGATTACACCCCAGGCGCCCTGCACGCAGAACTGCTCGAAGAAGGCGGCGGCCATGACTGCCTCGGTCGTGACGAAAGTGTAGGGGTATAGCAAGGCACCTCCCACGACACAGCAGACCATAATACTGAAGCGTCGACCGAAGATCTGACTGCAGTAGCCGACAGTAGTGCCGCCAAGCATAGCACCCAGATTCGCGACGACCTGCGTGACGGTCACCATGTCGGCATTGAAGTTGAACTGGTTCGTCAGCATGGTGGGATAGAGATCTTGACTGCCGTGCGACATAAAGTTGAACCCGGCCATCAGGAGGACGAGGTATGTCAGGAGCAACCAGTGTCTGCGCAGAGCCACTTTACCCTCCTTCAAAAAAGTGGAGGTGACGCTCGTGTGCCCGGCTTCCTCGGCGCGTCGGCCGGCCGCCTCGCGAATGCGCTTGTGCTCGATGAAGGTATCGGTCTCGGGCAGCATCAGACGGAACGCGATGAAGAGGACTGGCGGACCTGCTCCGAACCAGAAGAGAGGGCGCCAGCCGTGCGGGGTCGTGTTGACCAGCCCTCGGGAAAAGGCCGCGGCCAATAGGTAACCAAAGGCGTACTGATCGGCAAAGTAGAAGGTTAGTCTCGTGATGCGACTGACTGAGGGATTTGGGCCAACGTTGATGGCTCAGGGGGGGTTGGATGGGCCGTTTGGCTTGGTTTCAGGAATTGAGACTTACACCTTGCTGTAAGACGCCGGACATCATTCCGCGGGTCTCTGAGGGAAGGTCTTCGAGTGCGGTTGCTGCTGCGTTGCCGTACAGACCGCCCATGGCGACTCCGAAGAGGGCGCGACATGCCAGGAACTGCTCGTAGGTTTGGCAGAAGCCAGTACCCTGCGGAAATCGGCTTGTTAGCTCGCAATACACAAAGACAACAAAGATGGCGCAGAACAAAAAGCAATTGCTGATGTCACCATTGCCACGCACGGCACTAACATCCTGGTGACCGCACGAGATCAACCAAAAGAGAGGAGTTTGGGGGGTTGAACGGGTTTGTGGAGGGGGGCAGGGATTCCCCAACGGCGCAGCCAAGACGGGAGAGGGGAGAGGGGAAAGCTTGTCTGGCGCCGACCAGGCTCGGCACATAATTGCCGGTTGAAGCCAATCAACGTAGTGCAGTTAGAGAGAAGAGATGACGAGTAATTTTGCTTACTAGCTCAAGGACGATGAACAGGAGGTTGTTCACGATGAAGGGCCACTTCCTGCCGTAGCGATCTGCTGCAATACCAAAGATGATGGAGCCGACGGATCGGAACATGAGCACCAAGGTAATTCCCCAGGTGATGTCGGTCTTGGACTTGTCAAAAGTTTCGGAGAGCTCGGTGATGGTAAGGGAGACGGTGAAGAAGTCGAAAGCGTCCCAGGTCTATCGAGAATCGTAAGCAGAGGTACGATGTGGTTGTGCTGGCAAAGGTGAGATGGAGGCATACCCAGGCAGCGAAAGCGACGGCGAAGAAGGCCCATTGCCTTCCGCTTATCATCTTGACGAGCCTCAGCGGGTTCGGTGCGCTCAGCATAGGCGGCTTGAGGGTGGTGAAGCGTGTTCCCATATACCGGCCGACGGACATGCCGTGCCACGGCTCCTGGTCCCCATGATGTTCAGTATGGGGACTCTCAGGTTCGACGTGTGTTTTGTCGTGCGGACTGTCCATGATGGGCTGTTTGGTGCAGTCGCGAAAGCAAGCTAAACACTTGCAGATCAAGACCACCATACACAGCGAGAGTTCGTACGGCAGCGCAGTGGTCTTATACGAACTGCGAGACCTGTCGACGGCGTAACCCCGTGAGCACTAATTCAGGAGCGGGGTTATCCATGAGTCAAAAGAACCTAGATTGAGGTAGGGCCGACGAGGATTGACACCAGTCCGGGGAGGGTGGATGCCGTTCTCCATGTTGGGGGACACGGGGATGGTTGGAGAGTTCGTTGGCCAGCACATGGGGATAGCACGGTGTTTAGACTTGGAGTACACAGCTAAGGTCAGAAAAGCCCGCTAATTAAGCAGTCAGAAAGCATGCTCGCTCGCGGGCAATGTTCTGCAAGACTCTGGCCAACAACATTTCTTCTTACCCTGAAACCAGCAAAGATGTCTGACAAAAGGCAATCTAGAGCTCATGAATACGCCGAAGTGTCGCCGCATAATTCGCCTGCTGAGTGACAGCTTCCCCAGCCGAGCGTCGTCACACCCAAATGAGACGAACCCTGGGCAACAAAATGATGGGATATCAGAGACTGTGCGTTTCATTGTGACCGTGACATCACATCGAAAAGGCCAAGACGGCAATGGCAAGCGTGCAGCACACCCTTGGGGAGACAGCAAATCCACACACCTCTCTCTGCTGCCGCTTCTAGCCACACAGAACACGAATGAGTCTCCTTAAAGACCCTCTAGACTAACAGACTAGATCTGCCCCCATGGTCAAACCCCAAACGCTATTGGCTTGGAGAGAGCTTATCTTCTCTTAGCAACGGCTCCAACCTCCACTCGCTCAGGGACCGGACGGTCGCTAACAATGCGCACAATACGGATACCGGTCGCCAGTTATGCTGGCGTCAGCCGGCCCGTAAGCACCACAATGATTAACGATTGCCCGCTCGTATCTGAAAATTGAAATAATACAAGACTGCCATCGTTCCGTGGCTAGTCTCATAGCTAAGGATTAATCTCTCTCTCCCATGCTTCTCGAAGCACCCGGAGTTGCCCCGCACGGTCGGCGCCGAGATCGGCAGAGAGATACCGGAGTAGAGTAGGACAAGCTGCCGGATAGTGGGATTTCGGTGTTCATTCCGACTTATCCAAACTCGTCGCATCCCGAGGACGTGAAGCTGTTTGCGTGATTCAATACCTGCATGCTGTCTTCTTTGAGTCACATAGCCGCGGAGCCGCTCTTACGGCTCGGACGAGCGGCTGGGATGACGCCGCTCACTGCTCGACGGCCACCGGGGAAATCCCGATCAACCGTACCAGCAGAAGGGCCAAGACCTGAGAAACACATGCTGCAATGTCACGGTAACAACACTCGGGCCCTTGAGGCTCGAAGTGACTCATTATGCGGTTGATAAGTAACATCATGCGAAAAGTAGGCTTTCTTAATCAGGGATCTTTCTTAATCAACCACGGCCTATCTGCTGGTGTAGGTTGACAACCTCAAGGTAAGGAACATCTACGTGACAGGAAGCTTAACCCCAGTCTCCTCCTCGAGCAGCTTCAACAGCTGGTCTTGCCTTTGCTTCTCATTTGTGAATGGCACGGGATTGTCCTCCTGTCCGGGAGGCTTGAAGTACTTCCCAGTAACATCTCCAGCACCAGTTCCCTCTGCCAGCATAACATAGCTCGCCACTCCATCCTCTGCCTTTTCAGGCGCGCTCGAACCACCCATCTTGGTTGGAACCCAGCCAGGATCGACCGAGTTACTCTTCACATCCGGCCACAGACGAGCAATGGCGTTGGCCAACGTGGTGACGTGCAGCTTCGAGTCGCAATACGCTTGCGTCTCATTCCACCCTCCCTCTCCGCGCTCGCGCCACGTCGGGTCGGTGAAGCTGGTGTCGCCGCTCTTGTGTAGGCCGGAAGAGATGTAAACAATCCTCGTGGGCTTGTTGATCAAGGATGTGAGGATGTAGGGCGCAAAGACGTTGACGGCAGTCAGGCTTGGCAGTCCGAGATCGGTCTTGCGGTAGGGACCACGGTAGAGGCCGGCGTTGTGGATGACGACGTCAAATGTTCCCGGCTTGTTGGCATCCTCGGCGAGTTTCTTCACCTCTGCAATCTTGGAGAGGTCGCCGATGAGGACTGTTTCGGCACCTGGCACGACCGATTTCGCATCTTCGGCACGCTGGGCGTTGCGGGCGTGAATGACGACTTGGTGGCCGTTCTTGAGGAGGGTGCGGGCGGCGACTGCGCCTAGTCCGTCAGAAGAGCCTGTGATGAGAATTCGGGCCATTGTGTCGATGTTTGACAAAGTTCTTTTCTTGTCGAGATAACTGTGATAGATGCGATATTGAGCAGGACGCAGTCATGTATTCCTGGAAGGCAACTAAGGTAGCTGATTAATAGCGCAAGCGGACTGGAAGGTTAAATCCGCGCGACTTCAATAATCGCGAGGCGCGAGCGGGGGTCCGAGTCCGGGCGTAAATTGTGGGGTGAGGATTTTGAATACGATTAAATACGTGAGACTCAATCACGTCATCTCATCATTGCATTAATTCCAGGCTTCACCAAAGATTCAGACACAATCAAAAAACTCATCTCTAGTTCAAGATCATCACCTCGATTTGAGCTGCCGAAAACGAGCTCTGCCATGCAACTGGATAACGATATGATAAATTACTGCTCAATCAAATCTTGAGATAACTATGGAGCTTTCCTCACACAACCTATGACGGCCATCACTCTTCTATCTATTTTCTATCATCACGACTATCCTTACCTCTCACAACCATTTCTTTCAGTTAATTCACCATCGAACATTCATTGAAAGCCTTCGAAAGGCGATGCATGTAGTATTACCTTATCTAATGAGACCTGTCAACTAAGGGCCAATTCATACGAGGTACTCATCTAAGAGAACGACGAAACTATCCAATGCCCACGGACACGGCCTAGCTTCAGATGAATGGACCTCCAGATCCCTCTGTAGGCAAAACTAATGGTGTTCACGGCAACTTCAGTCTTAATGAGTCTATCTCAAATATCTCGAGCGCACCAGACCGCTTCCTACATGCCAATACGAAAAATTCATGTCCCCCCCAAAGCGTGTCCAGTTCGAAAATGGAAGTTGAGAAAGGACGAATGGCAATATCTACTTTGTGGTTCCTCTAGGCTGTACAACCTTTTGGACTGCCATGGCAATCACGTCAGAGCAGAAAATCTCGAGGGTTCTCAAGGGAAGTTGCATTTTACACCTGCCCAACGTATAGGGAGATGCAAGCGCGTACCCAAGGCCAAGCAAGATGACTGGCAGATATAATGTAGGTTCACCTCATCCGCTGCACCCCTCCCCATCTCGGATGTGAGCTTAATACTTCATACCATGTTTTCTTCGTGTCTATGATCAACTTTGGATGCTTTCACTACAGGGGCGACATGAATACGCACACCCACCGCCGCCCTCTCCATGTTTCCTTTCCGGTTTATGCAACCTACCATCGTCGGCCCATAGAATCGGATTCGAAAAGGACGTGGAGAGCTTTCGCCAAGCACGGTCCATGGGCAAGACCACGCCCCACCTCTCACTGTGGGAGTACCAGCGGGAGGTCAATAAGCGGTGGTCAGGGAGCTAAGGCTGCGGGGTCGGGGAAATGTTGCCGTAGCGCAGCGTGAGTGGACTGGGAACGGATTGATTCTGGGGCCGACTTTGATTTTGATTGAGTTGCGGATGCGATGAATCGGGAGAGCTGCCCGACGCGTTTGCGTCTAGTAGCATCGATTATACCCAGAGCCCCGAAAGGCTAAAGTAGATGAACCGAATGTCGAAAGACCAAACACAGCCAAGTCGCAGGCGAATTCGGACATGGACACAGAAAGAGTTAGCCCGGCTATTAGAGAACTATAGAGGCACGCCTAAGTGAACCGTACCGCGGGGTACATAGCACCACCAACAGATCGCTATCTAATAGGTACTACCTTGAGCTACAACATCACCACACAACTGCCTAACACAGGATTATAAATCTTCACCGGGTTATGAGAGCATGAACTCATCAGGACCAATAACATAATATCGCGCATGTCTTACCCAGTTCCAGCCTCTGAGCGACATAAGGTTCGAGAAACATTCGGGACTTCTTAGCTTCGCCCAAGTCGCGAACTCCGTTCGTCAAAGACTTGGTCGCAAATGTTAGCCGATGTCTCTTTGTTGGATCCTCACTAGGTCACTAGGTCTCACTAAAGCATGTCAACCCGGAATCCTTTCACAGTTGTGTTTCCAACTGCCAAGGGCATGCCGGCCCCAGTGAGCTTAGCTCAGCCTTGTCTACCCAGCTATGCGGCGTGCTAGTGACGGCCTAGGTGTAATAACGCTAGAACTATCGTCAGCAACCGCATTGCACGGACCGCTATACAAGAGGCAGAAACAGGCTGGCGCGGTGACGGTCACGAACTCATACTTCAAGCTAAGGATTTGGCCACCGGCACTTCAGGGTAAACTCACAACCCCATAGTCATGATGACCTGCATTCCCAACGTGCTTAGGTCCGGAAACACGTCCCGTCAACAAAAATGGTCGTGTCGTTGAAAGTCCAGGTAATAGGTGTGTTCAAGGCAGACAATCCCGAAACAAGATAAACATGAACGGCTAATTGCTGTCGCGTCACTGGGCTGACCAGGCTGAAAGTTTCTGGGAACCTTCGTCATCATTGCCATTGTCAAGCAGCTTGATTCCCACTCTAGATAGCATTGATTATAGGTACGATAATGGATACTGGGACGCTCGTCCGCCATCGGGTCGAATGAAGCATTCATGGTTGCATCACGTATCAAGTTGATCCAAGGTTCCATAGTAGGACCTGTCACATACTTCCATCGTGAGATCCCGCAGATGCTCGCTTACTTATCCCACCGGCAAGACAGTCTGTGGCGTTGTTGTCTCGACGACTAGTGCTGAATACATGGTTCGATCGCCACGGCGCTAGCCTAAAGACTTTGACAAAGACACCCCGCGTTCGTCTGGTATTCTCTCAATTCGAACCCCTAACCACCGGCTCCGATACAAGATGTTGCCGTGCCCGGCCCTGGGTCGCGCTTTTCGGGAGGGGAGAAATAGACGGGAGGTCTCCGATCATCCATCACGCCGGGCCTGAGACGCTTCAGTGTCTCTCCTTCCTCACGGAACCGAATCGAATCATGAAGTTCGGCAGTGTGCTGCTCATGGCCGTCGTGGCCCAGGCGACATTCACACCCGGCTTGAACTCATCTTCTCTGACGACCCTTATCACGAGAGTCCCCCAATGCGCGGTAGGTTCATCCAAGTATCAAGACCGCTAGAGAAGACGTTCTGACCCACAGCTGTCAAATTACAGATGGCATGCCTCATCGACGGGTACCACTCCACCAACTGCCCCATTGACAAGTTAGCAGACTGCGTCTGCACAGACATCCCATTGCAGGCGCGCAGTTCGCAGTGTGTACAGCTGTCATGCGGCTTCAACGACCAAATCGGTACGTCAGAGTTAGATGCCGGAGCCCTAACTCACCCATTTGTGCTAACTAGAAGCCCTGGAGCTACCGTCAACGTTACCCAAGAGCTGTGCAAGGGCTACCCCAATGAACCGCGGGAACGACCCGCCAAGTTCTTGTCCGTCGGCCTTCCTACCATGACTCTGGTAGTTGTACTCCTTCGATGCGCGACCCGGATCCATGTTTCTAGGCGGTTATGGTGGGATGACGGTGCGGCTTTGTTGTCTATGGCAAGTCTTCTGCGTCAAGTAGATGAGAACACTGAGTCTAATATTTGCAGGCGCTCCTCGCAGTAATATCGGGTCTCGGCTACGCAAGTACGTCCTGCTATTACCCCGTTCCGGATCAATCAGAGGCGTCCATACTCACCTGAATGACCCACTAGATGAAGACTTGGGATTCGGACACCACTACTGGAACATCGACCCCGGGAACAGCAAGACGATCTTGCAGGTATGACACTTCCCCTGTATACTCGTTGTCGTTAGCTGACGATTGTACGTAGATCATCTATGTATTGCAAATGCTCTACATTTTTGTACAGTACGTCAAAAGCCCACCAGCGAGCAAGAGGAACGACGATGACTGACCACTCTCTCATGCAGAGCATTTGCCAAAATTTCCATTGCTTGCTTCTACTCTCGCGTCTTCGCTAGCAAGACCTTCCGCCTGAAGACAAATATCTTCATGATCTTCCTTACAACACGCAGCTTTCTGTTCTTACTTCTTATCATCTTCCAATGTACTCCGATCCAGTCCATCTGGAACCGAGCCATCCCGAGCCAGTGCCTTAATATTTCAGCTATTAGTAACGGCGGCGCGGCGTTTAGCATTTTCGAGGATATGATCCTCATTATCCTCCCCATTCCGGAGCTTCTAAACTTCAGCTGGATAGAAAGAAGAAGGCCGCTTTGTTCGGCATGTTCGCCCTGGGCTCCTTGTGAGTATTCGTCCATGGTGCCGCGAGAAATCGAGAACTATAATGAGGGCTAACGCGCGGGCGAACTAGTGCATGTATTGCCAGTTTGATCCGACTGAAATATATGGTCACGTTTGCTCATTCTTTTGACCCTACTTGTACGTCATTCACCCATATTCTCAGTCTCAGGCTCTCGTGCTAAGCTTCACTGTCCTCAGGGGACTACGTGGACGTCGTCGACTGGTCTTCCCTCGAGCTCAACGCCGCCGTCATGTGCGGCAGCCTCCCAGCCCTCCGACCCCTCTTCATCAAAGCGCGAACCCTCGTGTCTGCCATCAAGCTGTCCTCCGGGAGCGGCGGGAATACGTCCACCAGCGGCAAGCTTGATCAGCACCAGCAACGGCATGGTTTCGCGGCGGCCAACATCGCACCGCGCCCTTCGAGGTCCCGCCAGGCCAGCTCCCGGTCGTGGCCCGCGGACGCGGACGCGGACCAGAAGCCCATCAGGCTAGACTCCCTTGAAATCGAGTCGGCGGCGAGCGACAGCAAATCTGCCCACTACTACCGAGAGACGGCGATCGAGGGGAGCGGTAGCGATTTGGACAGCGGACCGTGGTCGGCGGGTGCTGCCTCGGTGTCGTTTGATGAGGAACAGATAAGAGGCCCGGGTATCAGAAAATAGCTAGGTACTGTAGTCATGAATTCGACTTAATGTTCTTGCCAACTCAATAGCTTCAATTTCTTCTATAGTCCACGTCGTGTTTCCCTCTACGCCTGGCAGACTGAGACTTCGATTTTGTAACACAGGTCCAAAAATCTCGAACATGGCTGGGGGTGAAGTTCACAAACTGTCTGAAATCGTTCATGAATCACATGGGACTCGCGATCTCTGGACGAGCTTTTGCCTGATACGCCTATACACCTGTCAATGGCAAAAATATCAGATTACTTCAATGGATGTAGAGAGGAGCTCTAGAGCTAAGCAGCGGGATCTTTGATCCGTGTACTACGAGATATCTCGGGAGTATAGTGTGTTTCATACGTTCGCAAAGGTGAGTCCTTGGAAAAGGACTTTGCCGCAAAATAAGGGATCGCTACGAGAAACGAATCGTTCTTGGAAAGCAGGTCCATTCCTTCATGTTGGGATGACTCTTCACAGGAAGCTGCAAAGGGCTCTAGCCAGGTAAAGCGAGGAAGTTATCTTTCGGTTCCATCGCCGTTGTGCGAGGATAAAGGTTGCGGAAATGGAAAAAGACTTGTCGTGCACTGGTGAGCCTTCTTGCTTGGTACAGGAACCTGGAGACCGCGGCGGACGTTCGTTAAAATCCCGAGCCAGTGAAGTAATGGCATATACGGATTTCGGCCACTCGCCACAACGGCGCTTGGACATTTACATTGATAAAGGGACAGCTAATATAGATCCACACACTCTGAGCAGCCTCTCTGCCAGACAGGGGCGAATGGGTCGTGGCACTATCTTTACACAGCGATATTAACACGGAGTTTCAGAGTCACTGACTCAAGGACCAGCCCTACCTCCTGCCAAGCACATGACACCCATAGCATAGCGGTGCTTGGTCGCGTAGATTCTGGACACAATGCAACCGCGTTTATCAATCGGGTTTAGGCCATAGCTCTCGGCGGCCCGCGGAAGCGGGAAGCGGACTGGTCAAGCCGGTGAGGAGTGCGAACCGAAGGCTCCGTGAATCAGGGGCCCTGCCGCCATTACCGCTCATTCCAAGAAAATTGTCTCGATGCCGAGCCATCTCTGTGGGTTCAGGTGGATTTGCGTACTCTATCGACATCTCAACCCTGCGTTTATCGCCTTAATATGGAAGGTACTGCTGTCAGAGTATGACAATACAAAAGGGCGCGCAGTCAGCTCTTCGCTCGGTGACTCGTGATGTCTTGGCACGCTCAACTCCCACACGCGCTCGTATCTTATACAGTCACTCTTTTGTTGGTTGACACACTTGCAAAATGCAAATATTCACTCTTTTGACATCGCTTGTTGCGGCATTTCCAGTGCAAGCTCGAAACCATAACGGAGCGGCGGCGGCTCATGAATTGCTGAACAGAGCCGAGCACTACGAACATGCCGCCCACCGGCACGATGGCCTGATTCCTCGTCAGACAGGTCCCCTGGATCCCACTGTAACACCTCCGCCGTCTTTCAACTCGACGGGCCCAAGCACATTCTCAACTCGATTGTTCACCAATTCCACGACGACGCACCGTAATACGACATCATCCAGATCATCCTCCACGTCTTCAAGTTCGAAGAGCTCAAGCAAGAAATCTTCAAGCTCTAGTAAAACTTCAAGCAGAAGCTCAACATCATCTGGCTCTAGCACGGCCTCCTCGTCCAGCAGCAGCACCTCTCGTGCGTCTTCGTCTTTGACATCCCAGACCAGTAGCTCTGAGAGCTCCTCCTCGTTTAGCTCCAGCTTCAGTTCCAGCGCACCTCCAACGTCAACAATAACTTCTGTCGCATCTTCAACTGGCACCAGAGTTTCCACCACCTCGGAGAGTACTTCGGCAGGAACATCATCCAACCCGGGATCTAGCACAGGTTCAAAGCCCACTGAAACGAGTGCCAGAAGTACTTGGAGCAGAAGGGAATCTACACAAACATCCATTTCGTCAGAAACCTTCTCCCTGACGATATCTTCAGGCGTATCATGGTCTACGAGCTACACGACAGCTACTTACACCACTGTGGACGCTAATGGAAACCCATATGTCCCCGTGGCTCCAATTGCTATTCCCGTGATTGGCGGTGTACCCGTTGTTCCTCCCATTGGTGGCGGCGGTGGAGGGGGAGGGGGAGCAGGAGGTGCGGAGTCGACGACCACCACGACAAGCTCCCAGTCTAGCTCTAGCTCTAGTCCGCCAACGCCAACTAGCTCGATAGCAGCAAGCATCTCTTCGAGCTCGATCCCGCCAATCACATCAGCTCTTGGGTCATCTTCAGGTTCATCGATCGTGGAGGTCATAACGGCAACCTCTCCTGAGACCACAATTGAAGTCATCGAGACTGCCACGTCCGCCGAACCGGCTTCAACTAGTGCTGCAGCATCCCCAGTTCCGTGCTATGTAAGTCACACTTGTCCCTGCCTCTTCGGAGGACGGATATGGGACGCAGCAAGGTTTCCAGATCCGTTTCCTTTGGTCATTTACTGATAGATATCGTATAGAACTACGACTGGAAATCATACGGGTGGTGCTGCCCGGGTCCAGACTCTCCTTGCCAGAACGACCTGGGCACCTGTTACTACGATGGTACGGGAGCTACTAATGTATTGCCAAATACGGCTGCTTTTCCGCCTGGAGAGGGGGCAAGAAGTTGAAAGGGTGAGACCGAGTGATAGATATTGGATATGATACACGTGTGGAACGGGCGGAGTTGAAGTGTGCTTGGACTAAGGTAGGGTGAGATTGCAAGGGTACATCTGGGGTATTACAGAGTACATGTAAGTATCCGTACTAAGTACGAATACATACTAAGACTTGGTAAATGTAGTCAAAGGCTATTTCGGCCTCTACACTCGAAATGGCCTTTGATTGCAAAACACGATTCCTCTACATAGTCTGTCAGTTCAGTTAGGTGCTTCATTGCTGGGGACCCGGAAATCCTTCTTAGGCGCGTCTGAAGCCGTGTGAGTATTCAGGTATCGATACTGAAGATTTACGCGGGACTATTGAGATATTTGAGACGTTCGTTCAAGAAAAATACGTGCTAAGCCAAGCTCCTAAAGTACCTGGTCAGAATGCTATGATCTATGTAGTCTAAAAGTCCTGGCGGAATCTCGGGCTCCTTCTAATCCTCTCCCCAAAAGTGTACAATATCCACGGCACTGGCGCAGCGGCGAGTGTCAAGAGTCCCAGCAGGGTATTCCCCCATCCAAGACCCAATTTGTTATACAACTGCAATCCTCCGAGAGGAAGCAGAGCGCCCAGAAGACTCCTCAATACAGCATTTGCAGCAGTGACGGAAGCAGCGTAGAGCGTGAACGCGTCGACCAAGTATGTGTTGATCGTCATGAGAATACCAATCGAGCCGAAACCCATGATACCGGTGCCAATCATTGGCAGGATCCAGTGGAGCTGCTTGTCCGCCGTCCAGCCGTACATCATGAGACCGATAGGAATCGTGAGTGAGGAAGGGACTGTAAGAATGAGGTGGAGGCGCTCCTCGGGCTTGGGCTCCTTGCCTTCAGCTTGGCGTTTCTGAATGATCTTATCCGACAAGGTACCGACGTAGGCAAGACCGAGAATGTTGCCGACACCACCTCCAATGAACGAGAGGCCTGCTCCGACGGAACCGAAGCCATACGTATCGCGGTAAACAAAGGTGAAAGTGGTAAAGAGGATGTAGAGGAAGCCATAAAGCATGGCGACATAAAGACACAGAATCATGACGACTGCGGAGCGGAAGAACATCCGGCCTGGGCGAATGATGGCCGTGAGGAAGATCTGGCGTGGGGTGCCCTTCTTCTTCATTCTTGACTGGTATTTCTCGTTACCAGTCTCTTTGCGCAAGCGGGCGGCTTTCCGTTCCAAGAGTACCGGTGCGTAAGACTCTTTGAGGACAACGAAGGAGACTAAAGTCACTGCGCCGGCCTAGGATAGAAGATTAGTTGGCGCGTTCAGCGGGTTGACTCAGTCGAGAAACACGTACGGTTATTGTGATGATCCAGAAAACCCATCTCCATCCCTTGGCCTCTACGAGGAAACCAGCACAGACAGGTCCTACGACGGGGCCGAGGAGAGGTCCAAGACTCCAAATACTGATATAGAAACCTCTCTTCTCAACGGGCATCATATCTGCAATCGATCCAGCGCCGCAGGTAATGACGGCTACACCAGAGAAACCGGCCAAAAAGCGGAAGGCGATGAGCATATCGATGTTTGTCGCAAGTCCACAGGCAGCGGAGAAAACGACGAAAAGGGCGTTGCAGACGTGATAGATGTAGACGCGGCCGTATAGCTCGCTCAGTGGCGAAATAATTAGAGGGCCCAAAGCAAAGCCGAGCACGAACACGGAGACAACAAATGTTGAGATTGATTCGTCGGTTTCATTGAATTCGGCCATGACTTGTGGGATACCAGGGGCGAACATTGACGACGCCAAGGGCCTAAACTCGTGTCAGTCAGTGTCCAGAGACTATGAATCACATCCTGGGGATCTCTTCGTACGTGAGGAAGGTGATGAAGGAGAGCGTCGCGATAATGCCCAATTTGCGATTCATCGTCCAGTTCATGGGGTTCTCTGGATCCTGGTCGCCGGACCACCATACAGAGAACTCGCTTTCTGGCTCGGCAGCATCATCGACAATTGTGTTGACGCTATTCGCATTTGGCTCGGCGTTTGTGGCCTCTTCATCGTCTCCTCGTAGGTTAGGTGAAGTGGCACTGGAACTTGTTTCGGTAATGGGGAGTTTCTCGGCCTCCGGAGGGGGCGACTCGATGACTGGTGACTTCATGCTGGTGTGTGATCTCTCTTGCACTGGCGTGTTGGAAGACAAGAGAAGGATGGGGGTCGGTGTTGGCAACTAGTCAAAGTCTGAACCTTTCCAGCAGAGTTGAGAAGAGGCGGTTGTGTAGTTGTATATAAACACTATTGAGCCCAGTAGCTCACTAACAGAAAAGGTGGAATACGTCGGGTTCGGGTTGGTAGATCCATCCGCTGTCTCGTTAGGCGTTTCCGAGATTCATGAAAGCGAGGAAAACGAATCGCATATGCCCCGTCAGCTTTCGTAGGCTCTATTTTGACAAGTGAGGACGTGGAAAAGGAAAAAGTAGGCTGCAGGCCATTATCAGAGACGGACTGGAGGTCGCACAAGTTGGAATGATCTTCTTGGTGGGCCAGGCAGTGCAGGTGGCCAGTGATCCTTGAAAGCGAAACCGAAGGTCGGGGGGTGACAGGCCCACAAGCTACCAGAGGCCTCGTTTCGAGGAACGACTTGCATCTAGGCTCTAGCTTGGTGTCCAATGACGGCTCTGCTGATCAACGGGTAAGCTAAAAACGTGCGAAAATTCCTGGAAAAGGTCTTTCGCATGTGTGTGCTCGTGGCACTCAAGGGCGATGACTATGGAGACGGGGTTCAACAAGAGCAGAGTTATGACATCGAAGGTAAAGGTTGCGCTTCGCATCATCAACGACGTTGAATATTCGCAAAATGGCACTCATAGAGGAATCCACGAGTTGAAACTCAACGCAGAAAAAATTTCCAGCAGCGTGGATGAGTAAGAGCCAAGTTCATCTCAAAGAAGCCCTGTCAATCGGCCATCAGTTCTTCTCTCTGACCTCTGCCATCCCTACGAAGTTACGATGGCAAAGGAGGGGACGAAAGAGAGCATAGTCCTTTTCGGCAACTTGAGACCGATGATTGGGGGAAATCCTTGGAGCTGCTGTATCTCTGTGCTCGGTTTCGGTAACGGGCATGGAGGGGGGAAATGTGAAAAGAAAAGCGTGAAATGTGATAGGGGCTAGCCGGGCTGTGCACCCACACCAATTCTCCGAGGATGCCTAGCTGGACCACACTTCGTTGTTCGAGCATAGAAAAAGCTTAAAAGTCCCCTAGAACCCCATACCGAGCGGTACGGAAGGTCCTTGAAATTGCCGTATTTTCCGCATTCTCCTTTATCGTATTTCGGACGTAGTAAACATGATTCCGTACTAGGAGTTGATGTTGCACCACATATCAAAGAAGCTGTCCATTGCCGAGTGATTACGAATGGGGGACAGAGAGAAAGCGAGCTAAATCGTTTGGCTAATTTCTAATCTCTGAGTATTTCGCACGCGCTTTTGAAAGCTCGCTCACTGACTTCAACTCTTCGAAGTCTTCACATTGAACCAGCATACTTGTAGTGTGTTGTCAAGTCAATTCCTCACGCCAATCTTGCCGATAGAAAGAACTTTCACTCATAATTTCTACTGATCTTCTAACACAGCTTACGGCTTCAATGGGGACCTTTGGTTTTTGTCTAGGTACTTGTTATATGTTGTGATTTGAAAGGCGATAAATCTGGCAAGTAATGAGATGGCAACTCTTGAGGGAAACATTTGAGACAGGATCCACCAACTCTCGATCAAGGCCATTGTATAAACCAGCTCCTAGAAGAGAACCGTTCTTTCATACCCTTCTGAGTTTCGTTGTCAGTTCCACCATTGAAGCCTTCTATCTGTATCAGCCTCGGGTATATTCAACCGCTAAACTTATGTTCCCATTCAACAGCAAGACTGCACTAACACAGCCGGCTTTAAGCTTGGAAAACCAGTCCGAATCCCCGAGACTAGGAATGTCTAGTAGATTGTCAAACACAAAGATGCGAAGGCGAGACTTCTCATATCCCCACCTGACGTCGGAGTGTCAATCGAGACGGCAGGAACGCAGAGGCTGAGGCTCTCATGCTATGACGCAGAATAATTAGCAGGAGAAGTGCTGCAGTGTGCTTCCGAGTATTCGGAAAACGTTGCAAGGCCATGTCCTTCTTGCTCCATGTGGCGAACCTTTCGTTGTTCCAGTGGATAATGCAGCTTGGCTGTTCGAGAGTGAAACAGGTGCCTTACTCGGATGACCCTAGATTGTTAATCAGGACGCAAGAAACTATTCGGAGTGCTTTGGTGACTAAGAACAGCAATCTTGTGCGCACTTTTATTACTCAAAACTTGGCGCTCGCCTTGTCTGAATTTCGTCTGGACGATCTACATAAGGTAAGCAATCTAATATGCATCGTCTACCCTTGTTCCCGCCCGCTTCTCACGGATACTTCCATCGCGCGAACTCAAGAACTGAAGAACTGAGATAAAAAATAGAGGACCTTCCTAGGCGTCGATACAACAGCTGCTAAGTCCATATTACCGTCGAATTCCCATCCGAAATTCCTCGGCATGGCTTGCTCGTCGATATTTCTTTGTCCTCATCCTTCGCAAAGGCTTCAACTTTGGGCCGGCTCGAGCCACGTTTCGATGCAGATACTGATCTTTTGGCTCTAGATTTGAAAGTATACACAATTCGGAAGGGGTCGTTGTATATGGAGCCCCTTCTACTCGGTGTGATCGTAACAGCGCTCGCAGTTGGCCTTGCCCACATGTAGGCATGGACTCACAATTGGGGCCACGTGCCACCAAGTAGTTAGATTATGGATTTATAACCCCAAGGTTATTGTCCTACCGTGTTAGTTGGCCACAGGAGTCAAGGCTTTCGGCCATTCGATAATAATGAGGTGGGCCACGTTTCCGAGTGCACGTGACACTGCTCGTACGCGTAGCTGTTGGTCCCTTGAGCCCTCGAGCAGCCTACTCCTCGATATTTCTGTACATGTCGTCATACATATTGTATTCTATTGAAGCCTCAAGGTTATTTCAAGAGAAAACACAGGAATTTATCCCACCAGCCGCGTGTCTTAACCGCTAACAAATGCCGACCAGGTGGTTATCGGAGAATCTCCGTCCGTCAGGGCAACATCTCGGACCCCGCACTTCCCCGTCGACCATTTTCAGCAAGCCTTCTCCGCGTATCCACCACATCATCTTCTACGGAGGACTATCCATACCATGAATGGGTTTCTTCTGGTTGCCCTTGCCCTACTCTGTGAATCGGAATGTAGCATATCTATCAAATATGACTTCCCCGCTTGAACAACCCGGGAAAGTAGTCCCTAAGGGCAACACGATTGTCTTTCAAGTTGTTGCTATTGGATTTCATCATGAGAAAGCGGAGTAATCCACCTCCAGTAAAACCACTGCGTAAGTGAGGGTACGGAGTAGTCCATTAGTCAAGCCTTTGTTGTGTAAGAGTTCGACCGATACTATCAAAGACGCGGAGTAGTCCGGTGTCGGAACTTATCCGGCTTCTCTAGTTGAGGGCATTAGAAGTTCTTTGCAGTTGGCGAGAAGGAAGGGTCTAAGTTATAAAGCTTCAGCAATGACTGCCCCGAAACCTTATTCCGAAGGGCCAAGGAAGCCAAGAGTTGCAATGATGAAATCTTCGGTCGCATGGAGTCTGGTAGTCTTGCCACTCGCCATTGTCGCATACTTTACTGATCTCCCTGCGGCTTTTAACGATGCACCCGCAATATGGGCCTACGTATCATATGGAGACCCTTCTGTGGCTGTTCTTCCAGGATCATTTAACCGCTCCGCCATTGATGCTCTTTACAAAGGAGATGCCACCGATCCGGAGCTAGACAAGAGGTATGTGACATGTCTTTGATTATCACCTTGACGGGGCTCAACTAAACAACCAGGAATGCCTTCCTCAATACCACGAACTTCATAGCCTATGATGAAAGATTCATGGAAATCCTTGGACCTAAGGCTGCAATCAAGCAGGTCCAAAAGCTTGCATCTCAGAGTCATGAAGCACCATGTTTCAATAAGGAAACCAACGAGCTCTTCTTCGTCGAGTGGGGACCCCCAGGAGGCGATAACGGTAGCCACAATTGGCAATATTTGCTGGATACCAAGAGCAATACCCTCAGAAGGGTCACAACAAACCCGCCCACTATCAATGCCCATGGATGTGTTTACTACAAGGGAGCTTATCACATCGTAACGGACGGTAACAACAATCACACCGGTGCTCTCGTTCGCATTGAACCTGCAACACTAAAGAAGACTGTGTTATTGAACAACTACTACGAGCAACCCTTTGGAGGTCTTAATGATCTCGAGATTGACGCTTATGGAAACTTCTGGTTCACAGACTCAAAGTCTGGCTGGGTAGGTCGTCATCATTCGTAGAGTAAATGCACTGCAAGACTCAATCCCACGTGTGTGGCTAACATTGGCAACTATAGGGCCGGAACCTGACGGAGTACACTCCCCCAACGAACCCAACTGTGTACATGGTAAACGACACAAGCATGCGACCGAGAGTGGTGCATATTACAACGGGAAATGCTAACGGGGTTGCTGTCTCGCCACTCCAAGATGGCCGCCATGTGTTGTATCTTCCTGACACCGGTGTTTCCGAAGCCAAGCCCGTGGATAGGAAGAATCCGTACGGCAACCGCGCCCTCTTTGCGTACGATGTTGTAGCCGGAGGCGTTCTCACCAATGCTCGCTTCTTGAATAACCCCATCTCGTACTTCTACGATGGCATTCGGGTTTCTAGAAACGGTTGGATCTTTGTCGGAGCTGGTGACGGGGTGGATGTCATTGACCCCGTCTCTGGACTAGCTCTTGGCACTATACGCGTGGGTGGAGGAAGCAATCTGGCTGTGAACATGGCATTTGGCGAGAATGAGCTGTGGATCGTGGGTAGAGGGGGAGTTTGGCATGTTACCGATGTTGCAGAGAGATTAGATCGAGACTGGTAATTATACGTCGAGGGTTCGGATCTCCGGGTTTATGAATTATATCAAACTTCGAGGATCGTAACTCGAAAAACTCAAAGGTGGAGATATAGTCCTTAGGACGCAAGAAATTGTCAAATGTTAAGTACGAGGTATCTTGAAACGCTCAAAGCACTATCGCTACAATTTCTCGTCTTAGTAGACGTACACAAACTCATCATTCTGGCGGTCAGTCAAGTCCAAGAATGCATTGTCTCCCAACTGAGCACCGGTCTCATCATTCTGTGCGCTGACGTAGTGGTGCTCCATACTGAGATCCTTGATCTTTCTCGGCTTGCCATTGGCCACTCTCTTGCGCTCTTGCATCTTGTTGGAGATGAAGAGATTGATGACTTGCAGGCCAATAACGGCGAGCAAGGCGCAGGTGATGCCCATGACCTTGGTGAGGCCAGGCTTGTACTCGGGCGCGTCCTTGGAGTTGAAGAGCAGGGGGCCGATGATGTTACCGGCGGAGGACCCGGCATTGTACAGAGACATGATAACAGACTTCTTGGTGGTACCCGCAATGTTGGAAATCATCCAAGAAACGATAAGGGGGTTGCCTCCAAAGAGGAAGGCGAGCATGTAGTATGCGGCTAAGAGAGGGGGAATGCTGCTTCTAGGAAGAACATAGAGCATAATCGCGCCAGTGAGAACAGGGGCGAGAATCGCAGCGAGGAAGGCCGACTTGATGCGAAATCGGTGGGCGAGGTAGGAAGCCGGGAAGATAACAATGAGCTGAACAAAGCCAAAGGGGATGTTGAGCAGGGAGCTCTTCATGCTGTCGAAGCCGAAACCAGAAATAACAATGGGGCCGAACGTATTCGTCACAGCGGCGGTGACATTGAGACATACGGCCATACCAACGAACAACCAACTCTTGGGCTCATAAAGAGCTTCCCACACTTGGCTCCACTTGAACTCGTTTCCTCCCGTACCGGTTTGGTTGGCACGAAGGCGTTCAATAGCCTGCAACTTCTCGTGCTCGGTGAGGAATCGGGCCGATGGGATATCGCTGTCGAGGAAGTACCATACGACGGGGGCAGTGAGGACGGTAATCAGACCGACAAAAATGAAGAGAATCTGCCACGAGTGGATGGACCCGTTGATCTGACCCAAGCCATACGAGACAGAGGCGGCGAACATGGTCGCCAGGCCGTTGGTGCCGTACCAGCATGCCACGCGCATGGGCTGCTCAGCGCGACGGTACCACTGCGACGTGATGACGGAGAAAAGAGGAAGGCAGCCAGCCTCAAACAAGCCCAGCAGGAAGCGAGTCGCCAAGAGGCCTGCGTAGTTGTGGCATGCAGCCATGCACACCTGCGCGATACCCCAACCCAAGACCAAGACGGGCATCAGGATGCGGTGAGGCACCTTGACGATGAGCCACGAAGAAAACGGCTGCCATGCGAGCTGGGCGATGGCAGCGATGGAGCTAACCATGGAGTATTCATTTCCGGTCAAGTTGCAGTCTGTTCTGAGGCCATGGATGGCGCCGTATCCGAGGACGGACTTATCGAGGATCTGGAGGAAATAGACCCAGACGAGGATCGAGAGGATTCGCTTATCGGTCTTTCGGCGGATGCGTTTGTTCTAACGGTGATTGGGTTAGCTACGCTGTAATTTGACAGAAACTTCAGAGTCAGGTCGGCTTACATCTTCCTCTGTGACCTCGATTTGCTGATCACCGATAAGGTTCGCCGCGCGGTCGGCACCTTTGGCGATGTTCTGGCCCTGGTGCTTAAGCTGCTCGACATCTTCGGTGTTGCGATGTTCAAGCTGAGACACACCGTCTCCAGTCTTTGATGCGGTGTCCATGATGTTCGCTGGCAACAAGCTCTTTTCTCGATGGATGGCTGACGAATAAGAACAAAGACAGGATTTCAAGAAGAGAGAACCGGCTTCTCCCTTGATGGTCCAAACATCCAGGTAGCCAAGATGGGCGGCGATCTCCAACCATCTTATACCTAGACCCTGTTTATCGTCGTATCGCCGGCCGCGTCGTAGGCCGCTCAGATGTTCGGCGAAAAGCTCGAGCCAAGTTCGTCATGAGCAACCTTTGACCGTACGAGGTGCATCTAACCCATACCATCTCATCCAATAATTGCTTCAGATAGGCGGGTGTGAGAGGATCCCCATGGGGTCCTACCCGTTCCCCTCAGTCCAGCAGCGCGCGCTAAGCAAGTTTGTAGGTTGACATGGCACGCATGGCTGGCAACGCGTGGAGAGACCAGACGAAAATGGCACTAATTCCCCTCACGAACCACACGTTGCCCACCTTCGGGAGGTGGGGACGGGATATTGGGGATGGAAAGAAGTCCGCGTGCGGTGAACGGCCGGGCTACCTGACTAGCCGTGCATAAAACCGTACATAAATGCACCATGATGACCTAGTGCGGCCTTGTCTGGACAGACCTCGGCGGTGTCTTGCAAGTTGAAGGTGTGAGAGAGGACCGATAGCTCGATGCCCCCACGCAGAGGCTGAGGATTAACTTTGGCACCAAATAAGGATGACATGGTGTCAACTGACCCGGGACTGTGGACGTGTTCAGCTTTGCTATGCTCTTTTCAGATGGGAAAACTATCTAGTGCCCGGACTCCCTGAGGAGACGAAGGTTTGTGCCCGTCAAAATCACATAGATGGTGTCCAGCGTTGGGGTAGCTATCCCTAGTTCCTTACCCTTTCGGTAGGGGTAACCGAGGATAATGTCCACTTCCATCGGCCGGCCAGCTTTGAAGTCATTTTGCATGCTGCTACCGATGGGGTGCATGGCCAGGATCTTGTTGATCAGCTTGTCGACCAGGTCGTAATCGATGGGCACCTCACAGGCCTTAGCGACATCGATGACTTCCCTCATTAATCGCTGGGTCATTGGGGTAGCATCTGGTGAGGAGCTAAGCCACGAGTGCGTGTCGAGCAGCGTCAAAGTTGTGAGCGAGTTCCAAGCGGCATTCCAAACAACTTTTTCCCAGCGCTGTACTTGAATGTTGGGCACCACTTGGAAGACGGTCTTGCCCCCCGTCAATAGAGACGCAAATTCGTCCAGCCGCTTCTTCTCCACTGCCTGATCGGCATCATTCGGATACAATCCTATTTGCATGTCCTCGGACTTTGTGTGTTTGATTTGCCCTGGCTGCGGCTGAGCGGCTCCGGTCCAGGTCTGTCTTATTAGCACGAGCTTATCCCCGGTTCCTGGAGACTTGCCCCCGCGACTTACCACGCATGAAATGATTGTTGTGTGGGGGAACGCATTACGGAACGGCACTTCGTTACCGACACCATTCTGAATAATGACGATCGTGGATTTCTCCGCATCTACTGCCGGGGCAATTTCCGCGGGCACTGCATCCTGCGTGATGGCTTTGTGGGCGCAAACAATGTAGTCGAATTTCGCTTCTGCCTCTGCGGCATTCCTTACAACTTGGATACGTTAGCTATGGACGCTTGGAGTGACAGGGATAAGGTCACGGTGTTGCTGCCCAGCGGCTCCCCCGGATTTCATGTGCATACCTTTGTAAGGGCGTACGTTGTGCTCTCCATGGTTTTCGCTTGCAATGGCGATTCCATTCTCCTTCACTGCATTGTAATTTGACCTCGCAACAACCGTTAATCTGACACGCGGTACTCTGCTGAGAATAAAGGCGTAGAATGACCCGATGCTGGACAGATCATGTCAGTTTCTCGTACGGCCAGGTCTTCAGGGTGAGTGACCCACGCCCCTAGTCCGTAGAGGAGGACCTCGATCTGCTGGCCGTCTGAAGTCATTGTCGTAATCACGGCGTCGGTTGGATCTTTTTCCAGCGAGTGCTCAATGGTGGCGCAAGGGCTTCAATTGGCGTTGAGGTGTACTGTGTAGTATTCAATTCTGGCATGACCCCCTCACTCGGCCTAGTATTTGTACACTAATCCGTCAGATTCCTGTTGCGAGTACCGGCCGGCAACTGACTTCAGCCCCGATGCTCGGTGCGGAGGCGGAGAGGCCACCAGGGTAACCTACCCCAGACATTGATCATTCGCGGCTTCTGTGACACTCTAGTCAGCAAACTTTGTGTCGTGTACATGTATCGTGGGGGAACGAGAGAGCGAGGCTTCTTGGGGGTTTGATGGGGGTCGCCGGGCGTTGCATCCGGTGCTTATGACCAGGGGTTCGGAGAGGTGTCCGACGTGGCCCCATCACCCCATCTTTCCCCCTCATTTCTCGGCCATCTTCCTGATCCGACGCGGGGAAGCCGGTACTGAACCTTCTTTTCGTGATTGGAGGCCTCAGTGTGCTGAATCTCGGTCGACCTTCGTCTCGGGTCCGTGGGGTGTTCAGGGGGGCTCAGCCATTTTGTTTGTTCTTTGGAGGATGATATCATCGGTGCAACTGACGGGTCCAACGCGTGTTGCATCGTCTCTACGAATACTCTGTGAAGATGCCCATTATGCAAGAAGAAAAAACGGGCCAAGTTGAAGCAAGTAGAGGAAATTTTCACTATGCATGACTTTGAATCATGTTAAATTTGACCGTGTTCCTAGCAAGCCTTGAGACGTCGCTTTTAATTACCTAGGCGGATTGTGATTTTGTAGTTGCGTCCTGTTTAACCGCAACTCCCTCTCACCTCCGTAGTTGTGATGAAGACCTCTTTCTCTCCAACTTTTCGCCCCAAACCCTTGCGCAGTTCGCAATCTGTAACGCCGTCTCCCGAATTCTCGTTGCCTGCCTCACGAGTCTGCTTCTTTCCGAGGGCGTTTTGGGTATCTTCCCCGGATCTGATTCTTCTTCCTTAATCGTATGGCCCCATTCATCTGCCGACCTAGCCACTAATCGAGCAGCATCTTCAATTTTCTTCCCCGGTGGTTCTGACCCGTCTTCCGTGAAGCATTCTTGGGGTTGTGTTGCAATCACACCCGCAATGAGGTTCCACACAGCAATCAGATCCTCCTTTGGTATGGAAGGTGATATTGTCGCGGAAATGGACCGTCGCTCGGCAGAATAGCTCCGTATCGGCCTCCCCGAGGCTCCTGGCCGGTTCGATGTCCGTGCTAGTAGGCAGTTGCTGCACGCGCCGTTGTAGATGCCCGGCATTTTGACGCACTCTGGTGAGATCCCATCCCCCTTTCGGCATTTGGAACATTGCTCTTCAGAATTTTGCAAGTCGCCTCGCTCATGAAGCATGACTGCTTCTAATACAGGCGCCTGTGAGATGTCTGGTGATGCCCGGCCTGGTCTTGCCCTCCACGCCCTCCGCACTGGAAGAGGACCGAGAAATCTCATGGTCTCTGTGGTAGGCGTGATTTGTGGTGGTAGCCCTTGATCTCCAGCATGTTGGGCCAGTCCTGGAGTTGCGTCTTTGGCGGTTTTGTGTCGTCCTCTTTGCTCGTATGATCCCTGGCGATGCGCTACCCCGCCATCCGCTGCTGTGGTCTTCGAGCTGACCTGACCCGCGCTTGCTACTGCTCCCGTTCGGACTCTCGATGCCAGTGTTGTAGAAGGCATCGTGCTCTGTTCTTTTTGCTTGATTTCTCCTACTTTGGCCAACAGTTGAAGGGTGATGTCTGCGATTTCCCTTTCATCGCCCATCACGCTCAGGCAAACGAGGGCATAATATCAAGCGGAGTGATGTTGTCTAACCGACCAAGCGAAGCGCCGATGATAAAAAGGAAAAGATGAACAACCCACCGGAGAAAAAAGGATTCAAGCTCGTGATGCGGCCCAGGTGGTCCACATACTCCAACGTACGAAAATGACACTTATAAGTTCTGGTGAAGAAGTCCGAAGTCTTGCCTCTAGTTACGTAATTTTATTGGTCATTTGTTCTACGGCGGGCGAGCTCGGAGGTGGTGGGTGATTGGCCGCCAGGAATTGCCGTGACTGTCAGATTCTCGAGACGTTCTGGACTCTTGGAGATCTGCTGTCCCGGGGGGAGTCAGGCACTTTTGGTTCTGGGTCTGGCTCCAAGCGAACCCTTCGTCCACGCCTTGTGTTCGGAGTCCCCATAGGGGCATGTGTGGGATACGGAAGTGCAGCATGGCTTCCAAATGAGTCAAGAAGAGAACCTAAGGGTGTTCATCCAATTCAGCAGGCATGCCGCTAATAATCATGACCTATTCCCCGATTGGACTGAGTGGCAATACCGGGCTCGTTTTTCCGTTACCAGTGTGGGAGGCTCGCCCGAGAAGTCGGGAATGACAACCCATCCCCGCGGAAAGATGCCTTGAGTGTCTCATCTGATCGCGCATGCAAGCTGAGAGAGAGAGCGGCCTTGCCCCCCCTGGAGGTTAGTCGGGAGCACAAGCGGTCACAGAAAAAGGTTGAGAGAACCAACGTGGGTTGGGTTACCGAATATAGCCGGTCCAGCGTCGATCCATTTTCTGAGAGTGAGATGAAATCTGACCGGACATACGCCAGTCCGGGTAAGGGTTAGCGAAAGCGCAAAAAAGTGAGATGGGTTTGTTCTTCTTTTGGCCTCGTACCTCGCATGGTCGCGTGCAAAACGAGAATCAACAACCCCCACGGGGAAGAGGAAAGTCTCTGGCATCTGTTGGTTTTGTTTTTTTTCCTGCGTCACACAAACAATAGTCTCCAACCAGCGATAAATTCAGCGAGTCGCGTGCGTAAGGAACGAAAAACCACGCCGGTTTCCACCGCGGATGTCACCATCTCGACTGATCAACACGCTGATTCCGGCCCGGAGGTTGGAGCAGTCCAGATACATGATCTGCTTGGGCAAACCACTGTGGAGAAGATACAGTGGAGTTTGATGGGGTTGGTGGGTGGGAAACCCGTGATTGTTTGGTACCAGAAATACCCCCCGCGGGTTTAGTCTCCGACTCTTTCGTTTCCTCCGTTCTGTGGGGGGTAGGGAGGCTTTTCGATGGCCTCGGACCACGAAATAGTCTACTCTTAGACTCGTCTTGGACGAGGTGCCGGCGTGGGGGTTTGGACTACGTGGTTACATGGGTCGTTCCTACGGCTTATGTTACCTATTTCCGTGCTTGACTTACACCGACACAAGGGAAGGGGGCGAAAGTTGATCCCATGATCATCCATGTTGCGCTGGTCTGCCTGACTCCCTTGCATTCTGAGTTCGGATTGATTCTTTGTTACAAAAGCTTTGTTCGCGGTTGACCTGATCTACCAAAACTCTCCTCACAACCCACCGCCGCTGCTAGATCTGCTCCCGCAAACCCCTCTCTCGTGCCACAAACCCGCAGAATCAGTCCACAATGTCTCCCTCAGCAAACGGCGGATCCGCCAGTCACAACGGCAACGGCACACAGCACGGAGCAAGGCCGGCTTTGACGCCCGGACTCTACGTCCCGACAGTCGCATTCTTCCGTTCCGACGACTCAGTAGACGTTGAGACTACACATTCCCACGCCGTCCGTCTCGCCAACGCCGGCGTTGCCGGCCTCGTCACTCACGGCTCCAACGGCGAAGCAGTGCACCTCGACCACGACGAGAGACAACTCATCAACCGCACCACACGAGCCGCGCTTGACTCGGCAGGAAAGACCGAACTCCCTTTGATTGTCGGCTGCGGCGCACAGTCAACAAGAGAAACCATTCAACTCTGCAAGGAGGCCGGCGCATCAGGGGGCGACTATGCACTCGTCCTCCCGCCCGCTTACTACGGTGGCCTTCTGACCACCGACCTCATCCTACAACACTTTCGCGAGGTCGCAGACGCAAGTCCAGTCCCTCTTCTCATCTACAACTACCCTGGTGCCTGCAGTGGCCTCGACCTCAACTCAGATACCATCATCAACCTCTCGAGTCACCCCAACATTGTCGGCGTGAAGCTGACCTGCGGTAACACTGGCAAGCTGGCCCGCGTAGCCGCTGCTACGGTTCCCAAGAAGGGCGACGGCAGCACAACCCCGTTCCGGACATTCGGCGGCAGCGTCGACTTCACCCTGCAGACGCTCGTTGTCGGCGGCCACGGCATCATTGGTGGAACCGGAAACGTTGCGCCTCTTGCTTGCGTGAAGCTGATGAAGCTTTGGGATGAAGGCAAGTTGGTAGAAGCGAGAGAATTGCAAGCAGTTGTGGCCCGTGGTGACTGGACTGCTATCCAAGGAGGATTTGTCTCGGTCAAGGCGGCATTGCAGGAGTACTACAACTATGGAGGCCTTCCAAGAAAGCCTTGCACATTGCTCGAGGGAGAGAGCTTAACAAAACAGATCGACGGATTTTCAGAGTTGATTGAGGCTGAGAAGGCGTTGCAAAAGTAGACACGTGTGACATTGTGGGTTTTGGGACAGGTTTCAACTTCCAAGGGCATCATGGCGTATTGTTCAATCAAAGACCATTTACCTGAATACATTGCCTAGACCAGCAACGAACCTGACGCTTCTCGCGTCCGGGTTCCAACGCCAAGATTTTAGGCCATGCACCGATGTCTAGAGGATTGGCTAGTCAATAGCAAATGCACTCAATATTTCAACCCCTGTCCTAGAAATTATCTAGGGACGGGACCTTCGCTTTCAAATGTTCATCAGCAATGACCAAACGATCTGTTAAAGATCCAACACATCGCTCACTGTTCATGGTCTTGTCTTAGGATCATGAGAGCCCTGTAAACATGCCCATTTCCACCATATTTAGAATCATCTTGAAGAAAGTCCTTCTCGATACTGAAGCCGAGGCGCTTGTAGAGGTCCACTCCGGCTTCCATAGCATGGATGAAAATGTCAAGGCCTAATACTTTTGCCTGGTGTATGCCGCTTTTCACCAAGGCGGTGCCTATGCCCGCACCTTGGTTATCCGGATGAATCGCCAGGTAATCCAGCCCTAGGTGACTAAGATGAGAACTCAAGAGACTGTAGCTGAAGAGGGATTGACAACACACTCATGTAATCCTTCTTGGTGAGAATTTCATTCTCCGCCTCACGGATAGGAATAAGCAGCTCATTCGACTCCTGATTTGGATCCCAGTGAACCGTCGCGGCAACACGCCGGATCTCCGCTTCTTTCTCTTCACTGACAGACGGAACCACGGCATCGGGCCAAGCCGGCGCCCCGCCGATGATCTTGGCGTGGGAGGCGGGCAGGATCCACCGGGCATATCCCACTATTCGCCCGGTAACAGGATCCACGGCCTTTTGATGTCGCTTCGTGTCTCGGTCGCTTATGAGATTCCGTGGCGTGCGCTTTGCTACCTCGGTGATGTGGTAATCGAGGGTTCGATGGCGCCAGGCGAGATGCCAGTGCGGATCTGCCCAGAAGGCGGGGATGTTGTTTCTGGTCAGCTCATCGCTGTCGGCCACGGTGCAGCCTGTAATGACGAATTTGGGTGCAGTCTCCATCGCTGGCTGTGAAGACGAGGCCTCAACGTGCTATGCTTTTTGCTTGAAGCTTTGCAGCTCATGATACCTCTGGACAACGTGTCCAGAAGTTCACCTGGTGGATCTCTGGTGTCGCCCGGCTATCGGCACTTTTGAGCTGCACAAATCACCATCCCTGTATTGTTGGCCTGCTATGACCTTCAACCTCTTGAATTGGTCAACCTCTTGAATTGGTCAACATCGAAATTTATCAAAGGCTTTGAACTACAACAAAGTTCTGTTGAAAACCATAGAGCAGAACTAAACAGAGGTACTTTAACTTCACCGAGATAGAAGCTAGCACTTTCTGTTGGTTTGTGACGGGCCTTCCTGCCTCCCGCGGGTTGACAGCTGAACAAGGTCGTTCAAGCTGTCTATCCCCGCGTTTCCCCAGGCTCCTAGAAGAGTCGCATGACCGCCATAGCCACTTCAACTCACGATGATTCACCTCGCCAAAGTCTTTACACTCTATTGACGTGTCGTCAATAGATCACCATAGCAAGCTGTGTCATCCATCATCCAATGAATATCGCCTCTTCAAACCCCGCATCAAACCCCGTGCTACGTGCCCCGAGCTAAACCCGTCTAAACTCTGACTACGTGCCAACAAGACCAGACTATCCCCGGAAGAGGAAACGAGCTGACCCCCACGACAGGAACCTATTTACTCTGGCGTGTCTGGTCGGGGTCTAGCCCGACGTCCGAGCGGCTCTGCGCGTCCAGCTCTGCGGGGCTGACCCCCATCCATCCCGTATATCATGCGGGGAGCGGGTCGGACGCGAGACCACGAATTCACGAAGAGTTGGTGCGCTTGATCGGAAATGGTCTAATGCGTTTTGATGGTTGCTCCCCTCACTTCCCTCAAGTCTCGACTAATCAAGTCAACTTTACCCGCAGGTACCTACGATTGAGCCCCATCATACGAGACGGGACGCGAATCACCTGAGTTTGGCTCCATGCAGAAACCCGTTTCGAGCCGACAATCGGATCTAGCTGGCGGGGAATAATGCGGGTAAAGCTGGGCTCCGACGTGGGGGTCTACTTGCCAACACCATGTCGTAAGTAGATGGGGGAGGTTGGAGATCACCATGAAGTCCATCACGGCGGTGACTTGAATAAGGATATGAAGGATTAGCAGGAGATTGCAAGCTTTTCGGCGAAATCAATCTGTCAAGACAATCACTATCATGCCTACTATCCTGGAAAAGCTCTTCTCTTTGGAAGGCCGCACGGCTGTAGTGACGGGAGGTACAAGGGGCATTGGTCAGGCCATGGCAGTATCTCTTGCGGAGGCGGGTTCAGATATCGTCCTCATCCAAGTAAGAAAACGTTGCCACTTCCAATCGTACCTAGCTTGATATTGACATAAGGGAAGAGAGACGAAAGCAACACTGAAACGAAAACACAAGTAGAGGCCCTGGGCAGGAAAGCCACCATCTACACAGCAGACCTCTCAAATCAAGAGGAAGTAGAGAGCTTGTCTAAACGCATCTTAGACGACGGATACGACGTCAGCATTCTAGTCACCTGTGCCGGCATCCAACGCAGGCATCCCGCCCACAAGTTCCCCATGGGCGATTGGGACGAGGTCCTTCAAGTCAACCTCAAGACAGTCTGGACTCTCTGCCGAGACTTTGGTGCTTATATGCTCACACGCAACCCGAACGCGGTAAACGGCCACCGCGGTAGCATTGTCAACGTAGCGTCGCTCGTCAGTTTCCAAGGTGGCATCACGGTGCCCGCGTATGCAGCGGCTAAGGGCGGCATAGCACAGCTGACCAAGGCGCTGAGCAACGAGTGGGCAAGTCAGGGTGTCAATGTCAACGCCATTGCGCCTGGATATGTTGCAACGGACATGAATGAGGCACTGATCAACAACCCGGAAAGGGCGAAAAGTATTCTGGCCAGGATCCCCGCGGGGAGATGGGGCACCCCGGAAGACTTCAAGGGTGCCACGGTGTTTCTTGCGGGGGCGGGGAGTTTGTACGTTTCGGGAGAGCTGCTTACCGTAGATGGGGGCTGGATGGGCCGATGATACTGCGTGTATGTACTTGGTCAACTAGAGATGTGAGAATTCCTTACCTAAGACTATCTGACCCAGAATGGGATCGATGTGATCTGCAGACTAAAGAACTGCCCATGGGATAATCCCAAGTAAGCTGAAGAGTGAACCCCACGGCCTGGTGTGTTGTGCAATTAACGGCACTTGCTTTCCCCGCTTAGCCACGAGCCCAACTACTGTTCCGATCTCAGATCAGCGTTGAGGGACGGATACAAAGACCTTGTCTGAGTAAATATGGCGTGATGTGGCGTGGGGGTAGCGGGTGTTGTTCAATGCTCTGTTGATAGAAACAGTGATGTGGTCGTAAGCCAACCTGGAGAGAAGACCATTTCCTTTGGAGTCTAAACACATTGGCTCGGGGCAACTGTTACAAACTGATTAGAATCGTGTCAGAAAGGCATTTTGGCATAAATTGAGCCACATTGTGATCTTGTACGTGCTTTCAAGGAAGTTTTACATGGAACTTGCGCTTGTGTGTTACTGAATCGAGTGGTGCGGTAGGCAACTTGCAATTAAGGTAATAAAGAATCCATACTGCTACACTTTTATCATAATATGACTCGACAAGCCGTATCCTCACCATTCCCGAATGCTGCCGTCGGGACCATGGAATACCTTGCACTGCCACGGCTCTGTCTCTTTCGAAATCTTGATGACCATCTCCTCATCAATATCAATACCCAAGCCATAGCCAGTCGGTGCCTTGACATAACCACCCTCAATGTCGAAGACGGTGGGGTTTTTTAGATAGGTCAAGAGATCAATATCTCCTGCTTCAGTGTTGTAGTGCATTCCCAGACTCATCTCGAGAATGGAGAAGTTCGGTGCTGATAATGCGACCTGCACACTCGCCGCAAATGCGACAGGGCCAAGGGGGCAGTGCGGGGCGATTGCTACATCGTAGGCTTCTGCCATACTAGCGATGCGCTTCGTCTCGGATATACCTCCAGCATGAGCAATGTCTGGTTGAAGGATGTCGACGCTGGCATCCTCGAGGAAGCGTTTGATGTCCCATCTGGTGTAAAGACGTTCACCAAAGGCGATGGGAATCGTTGTTTGATTTGAGAGCTGCCTGATGGCTTCTGGGTGCTCGCAAAGCAGGGGTTCCTCGATGAATAGGGGCTCATATGGCTCCAGAGCTCTGGCCAGCTGCTTTGCCATGGCTTTGTGCAGGCGGCCGTGGAAATCGAGACCAGCGTCGAGACCAAGAGCCTTGACCTGTTTCAGACGCTCTACTGTGTCTTTCAGGACTCTGGGAGAGTCAACCCAGTTCATGTCCTCTGTTGCGTTCATCTTCACACATGTCAGACCTTGGGCAATGCGCTTCTTCCTGTAGTCAAAATCAGTATCATTACGTCCCGGTTCATGCCTGAATGCATGCTTACGCTGCTGCCTCAACGTCTGATGGTCTGTCGCCACCGATCCAGCAGTACACTTGCACCTTGTTGCGGACCTGGCCGCCCAGCAGCTCATAAATTGGTACTTTCAGATTGCGGCCTGTTACCATGACCCGTCAGTCGTTTTCTCGGCCATGTTAGATTTCCATCTGAGATATTGCACCGACCTTTCAGATCCCACAACGCAATGTCAATACCTGACATTGCTGACATGAAGACGGGGCCCCCGCGGTAGAAGCCGTGTCGCCAAAACAGCTGCCAAATATGCTCAATGTTGCTGCTTGAGAATTAGACAGATTCCCAAAAGTATGAATGGAGGACATTACCCTGCTTCTAGACCTACTATCCTAGGAATCATCTCCTCAAGACATCCCTCGACAGCCAGGTCGTGGCCCTCGAGCGTTGCCTCGCCCCAACCATACTCGCCATTTTCGTCGGTAATTTTCACCATCAACCAACGAGGCTTTACGCGGTAATACCGCACGGACGCAATCTTGGCCATAATGTATGAGAGAATGGGAATAGTTCAATGGCGTTTCAAAGATAGTTCTGAGTGAACTAGAAGCTGGTCGCGATAGAACCTAATACAAACCGAACAGAGGTGATTCACATGAGATCATTCATCCCATTCTTAACAATACTCCCCGCTTCGTGAATCTCCGCCATGAAGTGGCATATGTGTAACAACACGATCCACCTCCAGGTTTGGGGTCACCGGGTACGCACTCCACGCCTGGCGTTGGTGGTTCGTCCCCCACTCTACCAGCACCCCCACGGAAGCTTGCACAAAAGGCCGATACGTGGAGGAATCGTGGAGAATGCATGGGGAAATCCACGATCTCCACCCATAATACGGGCCGTGGCACAGCGCGGTCTTGTTACCGCTCTTTGTCAGACACGAGTTGTCTTGCTCGGAAATTCCAGCCACGCAATTCCTGTTCTCGTACCTCGTGCTCGCTTCTTATCCACACCTGAAATCATGTGTCCTGGCTTGCGCCAAGTATGGTAGTTTCTTTTACGAACCGAAATCGTGATGTGGGTTTACCATGACTCGAAAGGATCTAGCTGGCGCGGCGGGTTCCCGCTGAGGCCCTGGATCCAGCGGAATAGTCGAGACGTTCATGGAGATGTCTCTAGAGGATGCCCAAGTTACGTCACTGTACCATGATATTATTAGGTGCTTTTGGATTGCAAAGGGACTCGGATAGACGTGGATATCCGTAGCAGCTCAATTCCAGCAGGTTACATACTAGACATAACCACCCTCTCTCAGCAAACATCTGCTGCAAGGTCATTTCATGCCAAGATATCCAGGACCTTTTGCGAAGAGCCACGTCGGTGTTCATGCCGAGGCCGTGTGTGTCGCGGTGCATCCGGGTGGAGACTGGTTTATTGCCGGTCAAGCAGTTCTCCTTCCGCTTCCCGCCCGGCCTGACCGGGCTTGATGTTCCGCCGAAGCAGGACCCATGCGTGTCATGTATACATATGTCATGACCTCGATATGTGTACATGTGAAGTTATGTGGTGACTAATACTTCGAGAAGCAGAGCATCGGCGCTGTTTTGAAGTCGAAGACCTAGTAGTACCTCAAAAGGATCAGCTTCTCCACAACCACCTTGTATCACTCAAAGGCGTCCAATCAGTGGAAAGTTTTGATATCCGACGAATATTTCGATATGCACCACCGATCCTCCGTCTATTAAGTACTAGTCTATCATTTTCACATTAGTCATGATCTATAAGTCTACATCTCATCTCAACATCATATTTCGCCCCCAAATCTTGCAGTCTCACTTTCTTCCAACTTGTCCTTGCAGTGCACTAGTGCCATCCGCTAGCACTTGTCCATCACTGTCGTGGTTGCCATCATGTGAGTTCTTCTCACTCGAGTGTCCCATTTCTTCATCCCGACTCTCGCTGGATGTATCAGCTGGGTTCGGCTCATCAATCGGATGTAGGCCTCTGTCTTTAATTAGCAGACAGCCCACCAAGCAGAGTCCGATCAAGGGTATTTGAAGGACAAAGACGGCCCGACTCGCCGCCATGTATGCGTCTAGTACTGCAGACATATCTTGCTCGTTCAGTTGCGGTATTGAATAAGTACTGCTGGCAAGGCCCTTAAAACCCGCAGGCAAGTTTACTCGCAGTGTTGCCTGAAGAACTGCCGCGGAAACTGCTAGTCCACAGGCACCGCCAGCACATCGGAAGAAGTTGCGATTCGAAGTGATGACTGCCCGACGAGATTTTATGGAATGCGCCTGGAGGGCGACCAGAGTCGGCTGGAAAATGAAGCCGACACCAATGCCAATGATTAGGAGAGGAATGACGATGATTCCAGGCTTGGTGTTCCGGTCAAAAATAAGAGTAAGACCTGCTCCTCTGTGTCGTCTGTTAGACGGTTGCAATTGTAGTAGTTGAGATTAGGAATGTCGTCGACTCACAGTGTCCAGAGGCCAAAGCCTGCCCAGATAACTTCTCCATAGCGCTTGGTTCGAGATATGTACTGTCCCGAGATGATCGAAAACACGGACTGACAAACGACGAGGGAGACATAGATCCCCGCCGAGTGAATGACAGAGAACTGATGTGCGTTCTGTAAATACAGAGGGATGTAGTAAAGATATCCCTGGTACGCTGCCCCAAACAGAAACGATTGTGCCAGGAGGACCACAACTACTTTGTTCTTGAAAATAGGGACTGTGTTTATTAGCCAGTGCTCCAGAATATTTCTCATTGACAGAAGTTACCTGGCATCATCGGAAGCTTGGCAAATTTCCATTCCACAATGACAAAAGACACAAGAGCAAGTGCCCCAATTGTCAGCATGCTGATCACCATCGCTGAATTCCATGGGAAATATGCGCCACCTAGTGAGAGCAAGTAAGTAATTGATCGATCAACGGACAAAACCAAGTTCACGAATAACTGACCTCCAGAAATGGGGATAAGCAATAAGATGACGCCCGCCGAGGAGGTGAATGAGCCTGCGTAGTCGATCTTCTTGACACTCTTCATGAAGTCTTCATCTGGTGGCTTAGATGGTAGGAAGAAGTATGAGATAACTCCAACAATAACACCGAGGGGTGAGAGCATCCAGAAGAACGCTCTCCACGTTGCCCTCTCGACAAAGGCGGCAGCGAGGAAAGGCCCCAGAACATTTCCTAGCCCAACCATTGAGCCCAGAATTCCTTGGTATTTTCCTCGTTGTTCAAGAGTAACAACATCAGAGACAATGATCATGGCTAGATTCGTGATACCGCCTCCGCCGATGCCCGCAATACCACGGAAGATGTAAAACATTGTCGCATTTTGAGAAAGCCCACAGAGCAAGTCTGCGATGGACAGAAGGCCAATGGCACTTAAAAAGACAGCTTTTCGGCCGAAAATATCCGAGAAGCGCCCGTAGAGCATCTGAAATGTCGTGTTGGCGATGAGCGATGACGTACCCGCCCATGATATTGTATCCTCGGCGTTGAGGTCCGCAGCAATCGTCGGCAAGGTGATACTGATGCCATTTTGGTCGATGAATGAGACTAATAAGGTGACTGCAAGAGTTGCAAAGACGACTAGGAGTTTCCTCAGAGGTAAAATGTTCGTCTGGTCGTGAAGAGCCTTTTCGGCCTTGGTTGTTTCCTGGTCGCCCCTCATGCTGCAACCCTGACCAGTCGATCACTTTGAAAAAAGTGAATGAGATTCGACAGAAATGATATCAAAAGAGGTTATGGCCTAATGACTTGAAAAGTTGAAAATGACTTGAGGCTGAAACCATGAGTAAATGAACCAGCGCATGAAAACTTTTCGGTGAGACAATCCGACGTTGAGAGCGGATACCAGCGTCCGGAGGAGCCAAGACTCGGATCACCGCCGTCAAAGATTGGTCAATCGGCCTCATCTCGGCTCCGGGTTCGGCAGCGAAAAACTTGGGTTGAAAAGTTCAAGGGGGGCGAATTCAACAGTGACTGTTGAAAAAATGGGTGCGTCATGGCTGGGCCAACAAGGAATTTCGGCAAGTTTTGAAGCGATGGACTCCACAAAAGTCTTTGCTAGTCGGAGGATCCGATGCCGTCGGCTGCGTGCCACTGTCCCTCGCTTATCATTCTCGGCGGATGTCCGACACTATTTATCCCGCATAATTCGCTTACTTGGAGGCCATGTTATCAAAGAGTAGTCGCTCGTCTGGCTAGTAATAGGCACCAACTTGATAGCTAAGCTGGTTCTTATCGAAGAGGTTCAGGTAGAGATGGGATAGCGTCACAAGCAAACAAGCTCATTGATGATAAGGCAATACGACTTCAACTTGATAAATACCCATGGCAAAACAATTGCGAATGTCGCGATGCATGTTATTTGAGCGATTTGAGTATCAAAAGAAGCAAACTTTAAATCGTTTCGCTGTCTTGCATTTTCATTTTATTTCAAAATGACCTTCATGACGAGGCTCAAACGAGCCTGCTCGTCCCGCCAAGAGCTCAAACACTTCATTCAAACCAAAGATCATCCCGAAGAGGGAACTGCTTACTTTAACGAAGACTTACTGCCCACTCCTCTAGGTGAGTCACGATTCGTAACGCTTTGTGACATAGTGAACAATCAACTGACTTGGCTCTGAAGAGCACCGAAGCTGGACAGCTTTACACTTCTTCACGTATTACTTGACGCAGACATTTTCTCCCGGCTCTTACAATCTCGGAGCTACCCTCATCTCAATAGGGCTGGTACATTGGCTTTCATTCCCGTTAAGAGTAAACAACCGATGGTCTCTGACAACAAAACGCGCAGCAATGGTGGCATGGCATGATTGCAGCCATAATCGGCTCCGCGATTCTCAGCGTCGTGGTTATTCTCAACTCCCGCGGTGCAACTCGCTATCACATCGGATTCTCAGTGTATGTTCGAGCTGCTGCTGGTGTGAGTGGTGCGAAACTGTTCATCGTCGTCCGCGCCTCGGTTGCCGTCATCTACTTCGCAACCCAGTCATTCTACGGAGGCATGCTCACCTCAGTGGCCCTCAGAGCAATATTCGGCTCCGGATGGAACGACATTCCCAACCGCCTACCGGTGAGCGCGGGGATCACGTCCAAGAACCTGTTAGCGTTCTTCATCTTCTGGATCATCCAATTCCCGGTGATGTTCATCCATCCAACTATCCTTCGACACTTGTTTGTGGTGAAGTCAGTAGCTACAACTGCGGGACTGGTCGGCGTCCTAGGGTGGGCAGTTCATGCAAATGGAGGGAGTTTGGGTAGTTTCAACTTCGGTGCAAAGTCTCTTACTGGAGCAGCGCTCGTGTGGCCAATGATCCAAGCTATCAACAGCGTCATGGCGGCGCTCTGCCCGATCCTTGTTAACCAGCCTGATGTTGCTCGTTATGCTACGCGTCCAGCACAGGCAACCTGGTCACAAGCCATCGGTATTCTAGTCAGTAAGGTGCTCGTCATGTTCCTGAGCTGTGCTACAACCAGCGCGGCTGCTGGTGTTCTTGGCAAGAGCTATTGGAACGTGTGGGACCTCTACAACGCTATTTTGACCGAGTACTGGGGTCCTGTAGCGCGTGCTGGGATGTTCTTCGCCTCTGCGGTAAGTTCAATGTGGCTCAGAGTGCTCTCCGTATCACTGAACGTTCTACTAGGGCATGATTCTCGCCATTATCGCGACCAATGCTGGCTCAAACTCCCTGCCTGTCGGTGCTGACACCAGCGGGCTTTGGCCAAGATATATTAACATCGTTAGGGGTCAGGTGATATGCGCCTTGCTTGCACCACTGTGCGTGCCGTGGAAGATCATCGCCAGCGCGAGTTCTTTCCTCACTTTCCTGGGGTCATACACTGTGTTCCTGATGCCAACCTGTGGTGTAAGCACACGTCACCTTGGTCTCTCCGAAAAGTGCTTGCCATACTAACGAATTCACAGATCATGATTGTAGACTACTGGATTATCCATCGAGGCAATCTCCATGTTCCAAGTCTATACACGAAAGCAGAAGGCGCTCCATACACATACTACAAAGGGTGGAATCTACGCGCGGTTGCCGCATGGGTTGCCGGGGTGGCGTTCACTGTACACGGCATTGCTGGGAATCTCGACCCCAATTCCGTCAATCAGGCGAGCAAGAATATGTACAAACTTGGATTTCTACTTTCTCTCGCTATGGGCTCGTTCGTTTACTACGTGGCCTGTCTTATCTGGCCCATTCCGGTCTACCCATGGGAGCTGGAGCCACAGGCAAGCACAAACTTCGAGAGCATGGCGCCATCAGAAGGGTTCTTCCCAGGGGAGAGTGTCGATACTATTCGTGGAGTTCTTTACTCTATTGAAGGGACTGCAGTAAGGCAAAGCATTGGGAAGAGCGCTGGTGCCGAGTTTGTCAGCGAGAAGTATGCGTTTTGAACTAGCGTGTCGCGAAGTCACCATGTGTTTTCAGTTTATGTCGTATTTATTCCATTTTTTCAAACGAAATAAAAGTGATGCTTCCTTCATTGAAACCCGTGTCGAAATGTGTCATTAACTAAACCATGTGAGTTAAGTAGACTACTCGTTCCAAGTGCCTGAAAGACTCTGTAACAACTCAAAATTCGGCATCCAAACGGGACTTCCACCTTCCGTGTCCTGGTCGATCCAATTAGCAAGCTCTGCTACCATCGGCCAGGCGCCCTCGAACTCTTCAACCGCTATCCCACCATCCTCAGACATCAAAAACTGGTCAGAGGTACTGTCGGCCGGTTGTGTTCCGGTCTCATTCCCCCTGACATCATGATTCTGTCCTTCAAGACTCTCTGCAGAACACGTTGCCTTTCCAGCTCTCATTTGCGCCGAGGCCATTTCAGCGAGACCAGCCTCATTGTCTTGGAGCTTCTCCATTGCTGCATTGACAAGCACCTCAAATGCGTCTCGGTACTTGCGGACCCAGGGGGCCCTCTCACCCATGACGAAGAGCACCAGGGAGCAAGCTCTAATGTCGTTCGAAAGAGCCACTGACCAAAGTGCATTGCCCTGTGTCCAAAGTCCATACAAGAGAGTGACTCCCGCAACGAACACTGTCTGGACTGCGATGAAGCTGTGGCCGTAGTCCAGAGTTTGATGTAATCTTTTGTGTGCTTGGCATATATCACCTGCGGCTCGCATGCACAGACCGTAGAACGGGTCCGCTGCCGGTAAGATAGGCAGGAATGGCTGAATCAAAAGACGAAGCGCACGGTTGTAGAGCAGCAGTGCATAATTCAAATCTGGGTGACCTGCCAGAATCCAATCCGTCAAAGAGTCCCGCCAGAATTTGAGTCGCTGATGCAGCCGGTCTAGTTTTGGCCGGAGTGCGTCCAAGGTCTTGTCCGTACGATATACCGAGTGATGAATTTTAGACTCGATCCTGCGAAGCTTGAAGAGAACAAGTGCTAGTTTTATGTCGTTACCCAGGATGATTGAAGCAGAGGAATTTCCGTTGATTATGGTATTCGGGAGTTCAACGTCTATCTGGTTATCCGCAATGCTCAGAGGCCGACCGAGAGACACTGCTATGGTTCTCTCGAGAGAGTACACAGACCAGAAGAGCCTGCGTCTCCTTTGCACAATAGGACCAGTAAGATTTTGTTCGTGTGCCGCGCGATGTAAGCCCAGATCGATTGATGTTCTCATTGCTAAACCAATCATATACCATAGGCCATGGCTAGATGTTGACCGAAGGTGGAACATGACTAGCAGCGTCATTGCCTCAATGTTTTGTACTGTCCTTGACTCCCTGGCCGCTGAGATATGTTGCAGAGCGGTGATATAGAGAGCCTTGGTGAGTGCTGTCAATGATATTGATCATACTTGAAAATGGGGTCATCATCATACCTCTGGAGATAACACCGGTCCCCTTTGAGTCAGTTGCACTAAAGTTGCCCCCATTGCGTATACAAGATACAGCTTGAAGATACCAAAGCGTTCAACCATAGTAAGAGTTTTTGTTGGTTTAGCAGCCAGGACAAGTCTCTCGCTATGTAACTTCCACAATTCTTCAGGCTCAAGAAAGGGGTACTTAGAGTGCAGTTGAGAAGTGTACGCCTTAAGCATCTGAGACCCTTGCTCATCACTCGGAGGCTCCTTGACACTATGAGCCAAGAGATCTTCCACTGTGATGCATCTCGGACTGGGATTGATACAATTAGCTTGATTGCCTGTGGCGCCATCCTGGATGTCTGGCAGCATCTTATTCCAGACAGTTGCCTGAACCATCTCGCCAAGGTTTAAAGCCAGAGAGAGCCCAGATGATGGTCCAACGTAGGCCGGCGCCTCAAAGTTGCCCAGTGAGACGTGTGCAACTACGTCACTGAGGGCATTTTTGTCTCGACCCGACGGAACCGAGTAGTTGCTTGCAGTTTCCCTCGGAGTTGCAGTTGCTTCTGGGGTAGGGATTTGAGCTAGCTTGCTCTCCAAATAAGCCACTCGCTCTTCTAGAGCCCGTGTGTACCTGTATCAGCTTTCAGTCCACACGGATCGAACTGGAATTGGCGAATTTGATTGACTTTGAACGATCGACTACTTACGCAATTGACGGAGCTTCATCCGCGACATCTGCCTTATCACACTGTGCTCCTGATTTACGGCAATTGGAGCAAATGGGCAATTGGTCGTCACACTTTAGCTGAGGTCAGAGGAGAGCACTCGAATACGCAACATTGAATGACTCAAGGTACCTTTTGCTTACGACTTTTGCATCGCGTACACGCGGTTCTGCCCCTCTTCCGGGGATTCACAGGCACGGCCCCGGCCGTAACCAGGGGCGATGATGATACCGAGTGTTGAGTTTCGGACATCATGCCCGCCGTCTGACTCCAAGGTTTGCTGTGCTGGAGACTCCGAAAACGTCGCTCGGATGATAGGGACGGAGATCCGATTTACATAGTTGTCGGTCCCTCCTCAGATTTGCCGTTGTCGCCTGGATGATGTTGGCTTGTCGGGACTAATCCGAGCAGGGCTAGGGCCTGTTCGGACAACCTCCGACTCTTTAACCAGTAACCTCCGATCGGAGGCTCCGACCATACTGGGATCAACTGGCCGTTTTCGGCATTCGGGCGTCTCGGCCGGGAGCTCACTGTCTGATTGACGTGCGTCTTGGGATCTCAACAATGATCGCTGCTGAGTCGACGATTGATCACGCAATGATTGTTCACTTCTCGCCGTTCTGACCGGCTTTGTCTTCGACTTCAACATAAGCTCATAATTGCCAGCTTGTTATGTTTATTTCCTCTCTCGGTACATAACTTCAAGAAAGAAGGACTAGTTCGGGTTATAGACCAAAAGCTGAGTGTACATCATGAGACCGCGTGGCAACTTTGCATTTCCTCTCTTGTTTTGATCGATGATACACAATCGGGGAAACGCTGAACGCTTGCGTCCAAGAAACTTTACATTAACTCAATGCATGGAGTACGCATTAAGCACCCTTCGTCCACTCCCTATTCGGCTTGTATGGAAACTTGGCTCTCATATGTTTGGCAATATCCCGTCTCGTGGTAACCCAGACTCCTTCCTTTTCCGCAATGTACTTCATGAACTTCCTCAAAGCCTCTGATCTACCAGGTTTGCCGATGATGCGTGTGTGCAAGGGAATATTCATGAGTTTTCCGCCTTCCCTATACAAGCAATCAAATGTGTTCTTCAGATACTGCTCATACGTTTCCGCAACAGAGCTGCCAAAGCCAGGCGACATGTGAAATTTTCCATCGTTGCAATCGTAGTTGTACGGGATGAGGAGCATGCCTTCTCGCTTTTCCTCAGGTAGCTCCTTTTCCCATGGCAAGTCGAGCCAGTAAGGAACGTCATCGTTGTAGCATTCTGAAGACCAGAGAAACTCTCCCCCGAGACTCTTCCATACCTCTGGGAACAAGGAGGGCGTATTGGGTGTGCCGCGACCAAAGTAAGCGCCAACGGGCATCTCACCCGAAACTTCCTTCAGCATTAGAATGTTCTGCTTGATGTACTCCTTATCCTCTTCAAGTGAGTAGTTCCAGATGTCCAGCCATCTGAGCCCGTGACAAGCGATTTCGTGCCCGTCTCGAATAAGCGCTTTTGCAAAGGTGGGGTTCCGCTTGAGAGCATACGCTACAGCATAAGTAGTGAAGCTCCAACCAAACTCTTTGAAGAGACGAACAAGTCGCCAAGAGGCCGAACGACTACCATACTCAAAATCTTGCTCAGCATTCAGGTACCTGGCGCCTTCTTTGTAGCCACCAGATGCGCCTTTCTCCCACAAGTACGGTTCTGAGAAAGGGTCTCCGTCTAAGGTGCTTCTCTCTCCACCTTCCCTAGACTCAGCGTCAGTGATAGAAGCACAATATTGGCGTATTAGAAAGAGTGAAAGACTTACTCATAGTTGAGAACGAAGGAAACCGCGATACGAGCCCCATTTGGCCATTTTGGATCGAAACCTTCTTCGCCGAAACCTAAGAGGCCGTCTTAGTGAATGTTACTTTGTTAGTAAGAACAAAGGACTTGCCCTCAAAGTCTCGGGGTATCTGCAAGGCTTCTTCGACATGAACCATTCTGAGAAGAGTGGATCGAAGTTGGGGCGTTATTGATGGATTCGTTTCGGGGGCCAAAGAAGTATTATTACAGCAACCGTGTTTACTATGCACGCTGTTACAAGAGATATCGATGAAGAAATTATCTTTATGGGCACCTTCGTGATTTACATTCGGCCCAAAATTATGCCTTCCGACTGAAGCTGAGTTGACCGAGGCCAATCAGGCGTTATCGCGATACATTAGAAACCAAGCGGGGTATTGTGATGGTGGGGAGATCCTTCACGAGATAAGGTGATGGCGGGATTGACCAAGTTGCATTTTACTGCCGGTTTGTTCCCTCCGATCGCTTGATTCTATGTCATATTGGTTTCGGATGCCCGAAGGCGCTAAGATAAGTCTGCAAGATGCAGCCTGATAGAGATAGGCAGTTTAGTCAATGATCCCGCGTGGGCTTGCCTATCTTTAATTGTACGGTCTTCGGTTTAAACGACGAAGATCAGCCACATTCGATGCGCTGTTAGATGTCCACTAAGCGGCGAACGGCAACTCATATCCGGAATTCGTTTCCCAGCTAAACTTCAATCCTTACGCACCATTCTCAGTCACTTCTTCCGGTTTATCGTCTTCACATAATGTCTGTCTTCTCACTCGAAGTAGAGAAAGCAAACCCAGTAACCGCGGAAGTTCTCGACGATAGCTTGCGGGCACTGGGTGTTACGATCAAACCGGAGGAGAAAGATGAGTACCAGAGGCTTCTAGCCGTGTTCCACGAATCCGTCGTGGGTCTTATGTCACTCCCTGGTAGGTTCCGCGTTGAAACCTCAACTCTGATAAAGAATGGCCAGAAGTAATCTCTTTCGCAGACTATGTACCTCCAATAGATGAGGAAAGATTCCCAAGAGAGGAAATCCGATTCCCGGATGCTTCGGAGAACCCTTTGGGTGCCTGGGCTTGGAGATGCCGGGTAGAGGACAAGATGAAAAGTGGAGGAATCCTAGCCGGCAAAACGGTAGCCATAAAAGACAACATCGCAGTCAAGGGCGTTCCGATGCTTATAGGAACTGACTTTGTCAAAGATTACGTTCCAGTACGTGGAACCGAGATGACTCAATAACCTTCCAAACTACATGCTAACCTTACTAGAACACAGACGCAACATGTGTTACAAGACTGCTAGAGTCCGGTGCAATCATATCTGGAAAGTCCGTGTGTGAGAACATGTGTCATTCCGCTACAAGTAGCTCTTCTTCAACTGGGCACGTACATAATCCCTATGCCAAGGGCTACAGCAGCGGCGGCAGCTCGAGTGGCTCAGGGGCACTTGTCGCCAATGGTGACGTGGACATGGCTCTTGGCGCCGACCAAGGTGGTTCGATTCGTGTTCCTGCCGGATGGTGTGGGCTGTACGGTCTGAAGCCGACATTTGGACTCGTACCCTACACTGGTTGTGGCTCAAATGAGCCTACCAACGACCATGTCGGGCCTATGACACGAACACTTCTCGACAACGCGCTAATGCTTCAGGCTATTGCAGGCAACGATAACATCGATGACAGATCGTTCGCAGCACCGAGCCCAGACAACGTGCCCAGGTACTATGACAACTTGACTAAGCTCGCGAACCCGAAAGATCTGTCAGGCGTGAAAATCGGCATTCTAGTAGAAGGTATGAACCAACCATCCGTGGAACCTCGCGTCAAGGCCTGCGTCGAGGCGGCGATTGAGGATTTCAGGAATCTTGGGGCGACCGTGGAAGAAGTTTCGATTCCCTTCCACTCCAAAGGAGCAGCTGTATGGACTGCCGTCAGCAAAAGCGGAGGGTACTTGGCGAAACGAAACCTCGCATTCGGAAGAAGAGGCCACATCATGACCGACTTGACGGAGAAGTTCCAAAATCTCACGCAGGAACAGTGGGACAACGCATATGTTTCGTCAAAGAACATCTACCTTAACGGCATCTACGCTCAGGCAGCGTTTCCAGGGTTGCTCGGCAAAGCAACGAATCTTAGCAGAAAGTTGCGAGACGACTATGACAATGCTCTGCGAGAATTTGATGTTTTGGTGACGCCGAACTTACCCTACGTTGCCAATTCCCATACTCCGTATGACGCATCTCCGCTCGAGAAGATTGGAAAGCAGGTCGGATTGACTGCTAATACTGCCCCATTCAATCAATCGGGCCATCCAGTTCTGGCTATGCCGATTGGCATGCTTCCGATTGAGGAGGGTCCTCTGCAAGGCTCAGGAACAAAACTGCCGGTGAGCATGCAGGTTATTGGCAAATGGTGGCACGAAGAGGATGTGTATCGAGTTGCATATGCCTGGAGCTTAGAGTACGATTGGAAGACCACTTGATGGCACGCAAGGAAACGACACAATTGATATGTGGCATCGTGGACTCTAGGCGAGGGCTTGTGCTAGTGGGAATTAGCAGAGAGAATTGGAGCATCGAGAGGCTTGATGGTTAATTGCAGTTTAAGCAATGTTAAACAGTTGTCTACACATTTGCAAGAATAAGGCGACCAGAAACGAAAAGTACTTTCACTTGAATAATACCTTTTCAAGGATCGGGGACTGGGAAAAAAAGCCAGACAAATCAGATGCTTGACTCAGACTTCAATTATTAGTTCGGGTCTCATTGCTCCGAAAGTCGGAGCTACTGTCATATTACCTAAGGTAAGGTACACATCTAGCGGGCACAAACACGATGTAGCGGTAATACGATGAAAACCCTTACAGCAAATCATTCAGCTGGCTGCCATTCATTCCATGGACTTGCGGTGTGCAACGATCCTGCGCCATTACGCTGTGCGACACAATCCGGCTGTAGACGGACCCGAGTCCGGCCCTTGAACGGCTCGCGGAGGCCTCGGTACCGGCCGACCTCGGGGCCTGCGACTTCGGCCTTCTTACCGTGCGCCGGCTCAGCGGCGCCGACAGGAGAGGAGCCAGAAACACCTGGTGAACCCCCACGCCCCGGCCCCGGCTCATTTCCGTATTTTCCAAGGTGGCCCAGACTTTTCCAACCCGGAGAATGATGTTAGATAAGACACTTGCAGTCTCGGTGGAGCTCCTAGTTGTCGCCCTTGTCCAATATCAAAGCCTGATTCCAACCCGAAGTGGAGGTGACAGACGCAAAAGGTTGCAGATATTCCCCGCTGCGGAGACGCTCCGCTAGCACACAGCTTCAAAGACCGGGGGCCAATGAAACATTTTTGCTGGTTTTGGGGGCTTTTCTCACAAAGACCATGGATGATGTCTTTGAAGACGTTTCGGAGGTGATAGTCCCAGTGCCCGACTTCGGAATCATGAGCCCGAGGTGGGTAAGTATGCAGCCAAGAATTTTCTGACACTTTCCTGATGCGCTCTTGATGCTTTATATACAGCGCTTTGCCCCCCTCAGAGAACGGAACAATTTAGGACTGGTTATTCTTGTTTTTGGTGGACACATTTCCTTGGCAATCCCTGTCACTTTCTCCTGTCAACCACTTGCTCTCATCAACTGCCTAGTTGAAGTTCAAGTTGTCAATACATTGATCTCATGACGATTGTTACTTCTATTTCATGTTCGAGTCATCACCGTCATCATGTCCATCATATCTGAACACACATTGTCAGAGGTTCCTACGAGGAAGGACGAGTTGCCTCCCGATCTGCTGGCGTTGAGAACATCCAACGCCGAGAAGGGTGTAAACATCATTGCTCAGACACCCAGCCGACCATACTCGTACCGTGAAGATGAGACAGTCTACGACCGCTTTACACCCGGTCGCAAGCGGCTCATCACCGCCATCGTATCCTTCGGTGGCCTTGGCATCAACCTTGCATCATTGCTTGTGCTGTCAGCGCTGCCGGAGGTGGCAGCGGCTTTCAACACGTCCGGAACCGTCATCAATTTCACCAATGCTCTTTTTCTGTTAATGATGGGCATTGGCGTTCTCTTTTGGGGCCCGTTAAGTCAAGTCTACGGTAGAAAATGGGTAAGCAAAACCACCTTTGTACATCCTACCATCATGTATTATAGTCACAATCAGCTTTTAATCGGCCAATTTGGCTCGCCTCTCGCCCTACACTTGAACTAAATGTCCTAGATCTTTGTCATATCGACAGTGTTGTTTTGCGCATTTTCGCTGGCCACAGCGGTATCCCCCAATCTGCCAGCTTTCTTTATCTTCCGGTCAATCACTGCATTTGCGGGAACATCATTCCTCATTGTTGGATCTGCCTGTCTCAGTGATATTTATCGCCCGACTGAACGTGGTACGGCATTGGGTTGGTTTCTTGGCGGCACCCTGTGAGTCCCAGCGCACCAGTTGGAAGTCCTGTCTTTCGGTCTAGCAAACATCCACAGCTAATACCCTTCATAAGTATTGGACCTGCTCTTGGTCCCTTCATCGGAGGTGTCATTGTCACCTACTCAACCTGGAAATCTCTTTTCTGGTTCCAAGGCGCTCTCGGTGGCGCTGCTATGGTCCTCGCGGTCGGCTTCCTTCCAGAAACGAGTCACGGAAGGTGGTCCGAGGAGTTGGAGGGAATGACGACGAAAGAGAAATTTGGCCAGATTTGGGAATGGGCCAACCCGTTCCGGGTCATCAGTTTGTTTCGATATCCCAAAATCCTCATTGTGGTGAGTCTTCCTCGCCATTTCGTCATGAGCGAGCCTTTGAGGTGTTTGCCAGACCGATTGCGGTAAACCAATGGTAGTCCGAGTGGACGTGTAGCTACGGCGGTAAGGCCCTTGGCGGTTGTGTAATGTCAGCTGACGATATACTCAGGGTGTTGCTGCATCGTCAGTGCTGTGGAATATGCAGGTTCTTCTGACGCCAGTTCGTTACGTTATCAACCCGAGATTCCACCTCACCACTCCTCTACAGTCGGGATTCTTCTTCTTGGCGCCCGGAGCAGGATATCTTGTCGGTACTTTCTTTGGCGGCCGATATGCCGACTACACCGTGAAGAAGTGGATTGCGAAGAGAGGGAGGCGTATTCCGGAAGATCGTCTACGAAGTGCTTTCATCGCTTTGGGCGTTGTCATCCCAGCTACCACCATCATCTATGGATGGGCAATCGACAAGGCTAAGGGCGGAATTCCTCTCCCTGTGATTTGCATGTTTCTGCAAGGTGTTGCGCAGATGGTCTGCTTCCCTTGTCTTAATAGTTACTGTTTAGATGTCTTCAGAGAGAGGGCAGCTGAAGTCATGGGTAAGCATGCTGGACTTTCTCTTAACATCCAAATGTTGACACAATTTAGCTGGCAACTACTTCATCAGGTATACCTTTGCTGCCATCGGCACGGCGGTGGTACTTCCTGGCATTCAGGGCATTGGTGTGGGTTGGTTCTCCACAGTGAGTGCTCTCTTCGTTGCGATTTCAAGTGCTGCTGTGTATGGTGTTGTCATCATTGGTACGAGACAGAAGAAAACGGAGGAAAAGTCGGAGCGCGCCTGAACACATGGAATTGTTGGAGTTTCGAAGGGTACCTTACATCAATCAAGCTAAGTCTTCAGTTTCTGTTTTTTTGTTCACCTAGCAAACCTTTCCGTAGTTTCTACTACAGACTTCAATAATTATATTGATGTTTCTACGTACCCCAGCTTTTGAAATTGAACCACTGAGTCATCACGGAGTTCGGTCGATCAACGCGCGAGAGCGGATCTAGTGCTTGAAAGTTCCGCACGGCGACATGAACTATGACATTGATTCCCAAGTAGTGCAATCTCAATTCGCCATTGTCAAGAAATTGCCTGGACATTGCGTTCTCTCGATCTAATCGAGGTAATTTGAGTGCAGAGTTCGGTCATGGCTGGTGTCGTGCTAAGGGCGCAGGCAAAATGGAGACACTTCAAGAATTGTGACCAATGAGCTTGTTCCTCAACCTGTTGCTTTGACAATAAGGCGCTCTAACCAGGGCGAAACTTTCCTTTAATAGCCGCTCAGGGACAAAAGCCGCCGCGGCTCAACGCGCCCTGTTGGTGGGAATTTAGCGTTTTAGCGACGTGTCTTCCAGAAACATCGATTTTGGGAGAGACATTTGGCAAGGGTGAAGTGAAGATGACGGCAGGCCTGCGACATCTGAGAACCGTACAAAAGGGCATCGAAACCAGATCTCTGGGTTGCATCAGAGTTAGCCCGGAGCATCCGATCAGATCTGTCGCCGTAGGCTGTCAGTTGCACCATAGCCGCACGCCTTTCCAAGCCACGCGAATCCCACATCACTACCATTTATTCTCAACATCGACCATGACAAAGCCCTCAGATGTCCAAGAAAGCCGGCGCATGGCAGCCACTCTCAGATCAGCGTCTCTTAATGACGCCACAGCGGTATCTAAACTTGCCGCCCATGTCTTCACAGTTACATTCGGCCATTCCGTCGAGCCACATGAGCTCGAAGCATTCCTCCATGAGGCTTACAGCTTAGAAGCCATTTCAAAAGACCTCAACGACCCAAATAAAGACACCATACTTGCAGTCGATCCAGCCGGGGACATTCTTGGCTTCGCAATGCTCACCCGGGGCTCATCGGACCCATGCATCGCAAGTCTCCACAGTACTGTTGAGCTGCAGAGGATCTATATGTATCCCAAGGCACAAGGCACAGGCGCTGCAAGACTCTTGGCAGACAGATTGGAAAATATGGCTAGAGAACAAGGGTTCAAGCACATTTGGTTGGGTGTCTGGGAAGAGAACCTCCGGGCGCAGAAGGCGTACGAAAAATGGGGGTATCAAGAATGTGGTACCCATGACTTTGCCATTGGCTCGATTGTTCAGACTGATAACATCATGGTGAAGAAGCTTTGACTAGACCGCGCGAAAGACTTGATAAGTTGATAGGGAATGGGAGTCTCAAGGTAGAGGAAGAAATCAGAGAGCTACAATACCGGGTTAGATGCTTTGCCCCTAGGCATATTGATAGAATGGTCGTATTAAACAGGATAGATTATTGGACTGAACTCTCATGCTCCTAGGTGAGTTCCGTATCAATCTCATCATACACCTCTCGAGGACTAAAGTAAATACTACCAAGGTGCAAGCCCGCGTTCCTTAATTTCAGGGTTTAATGAGGCCCACTCAACCAGTGTCTACACCCTTAGGTGCGGCAAAGTTATGATCGTTGCTCTCTAAGTCGTGAACCTTTCCGAGAACGACTTTAGGTTCTGCTCTGATAATTACTAATACGCAGTTGGTTGTCCACTTCCCTTTTATCGAGACCCAAAGTGCAAGACCGCGCCAACACAAGGCAGATTCACCACATCAAATGCAGCCAACCACTCGCCGCAGCAGGCCAACTAATATGCGGCCAGCCCCGAAAACTGGAAATGCGGCGGTTCTGTTGGAGGTGGCCTGGCGTCAAACCATGTGCCACAGTATCGGCCTCTCTCATTCGCCGGTGGCAATGCAGTGCAACCAACCCGTACGCCTCGGGGCCCCCAAGGCTGCGTGACTTGACCGCGTGGGCAGCTATACTTAAGTCGAAGGATTTACCGCTCTCCGAATTATGATCAAAATTGTACTTTGCGCACTCGTCGTCTTCCGATTGAGTCACACTGAATCCACTGGGTATCCGACATGTCCACCGCGACGAGCATACGGACGTTGTCGCTGGAGGAGAGATGGCAAGTGTGCAAAAGCCAGGATGACCGCAAGGCTTCACTCATCGAGGTATTTTCGGATATTCTATTCGGGCCTTGTACAAATCGGCAGGCACTTACCTGACGGGTTCATCTAGGACTTATTTTCCCACATTGCAGAACTTACCGGCAAGCTTTCTGAGGTTGAGAGGGACCTTGAGGAGAGGAAGATGCTTGTCAAATCTCTATGGGCCACCAATGATCAGAACAAAAAGTTAACCGAAAAGCTGCGAAATGACAAGGTGCATTCGCACACTTCACCTCACTAGCCAGAAGGGCGCTGACCTAGCTAGGAGAAACATTGTGTCGCAATGGTCCTTATTGACGGCGATTGTATGCCGGTAGGATAGAACTGCTCCATACCTTTCTTGTCCTAATCAATGCTGGTTTTCTGACGACTCACAAACAGTTTTTGGATGACCTTGTTGAGCAAGGACTTGATGGAGGCAAGAAGGCTGCAAGTCTTTTGCGCCTGGCAACTTTTGACGAGCTGAAAGCAGTTGATCCTTGCCTCCCGCACCATTTGCAAGTTTCCGTCCGTGTTTACGCCAACATGAAGGGTCTGGCCAAGACCTACATCGAAGCGGGTATCATTTCACACCCAGGCGTTTTGGATGAGTTCATCCGAGGCTTCAACATGAAGAATCCCATGTGCGACTTCGTTGATGCAGGTAATGGCAAGGAATGTGCGGATGAAAAGCTAAAGGGTGGGTTGATTCACAAACGACCTCGAGGTATGACTGCTAAAGGCTTCTAGCGAATTTTGAGTTCGGTGTGTCGGATGTTCACTGCCGGCATGTCTTGTTCGGTGCTTCGGCAGACAGCGGTTACGCTCGCTTGTTGGGATCGCATCTCGACGATGAGGTGATTCGCAAGAAAGTTATACTCCTCGAAGGTCCTCCATTCGCGCAGGAGTTGGCGGAGATGAAAGACCAGTTCCGAGTCGCTTCTTTCAACAGGGTCTTCAGGCGACACAAGCTGCTCAACAACATCAAGCGCAAGGTATCATACAGCATTACACCCCCATCGACACCTTCAACCAACTATGCTTCAGCCGCTGCAAAAACTCCATCGAGTTTATTTGGAGACCAACCGGTCCGTCAGCAAGCCACAGTTGACTCCACGATACCTTTGCCCACCTTGGGACAGGTGCTTCGAAATACTGCCGGGCAACGAGTTGATTCACCGCTCGCTTCTGTTACTCACCAAGAGTTCATCTTGATGAAAAGCCGGAAGTTGTGCAACAGTTTCCATCTTTTGGGCAGATGTCCCTATCGAGACTTGTATGGGAAGTGCTCACACGAGCATAGAGGCAAGCTGAGCCCGAGAGAGTTGCAAGTTCTTTGGGCCGTCGCTCGTCAATCTCATTGCCACGCGGGTCTGAGTTGCACCGAACCGACTTGCGTATTTGGCCATCAGTGCCCTCGTGAGAGTTGTAATGGGGCGAGCTGTCGCCTGAAATTTCCTCTCGAGTTGCATAACATTGACAAAAGACCTACCCGATGAGACTGAGCGGCTGAGTGAGAATATACTACTAGCAAACCTCCGATATAACGGTATCATCATCTAAAAAGTGTCCGTTTACGGGTCAGCAAAGCATTGTTTCAGTCAGGACGGAATGGAGTATGTTGTATTTTGTTCTGTGTCTATGGGGTTCCAAAGAGGGGGGATGGGGTTTGAGCTTCCTTTATTCCCAAGATTCCAACTAGAACAAGCAAAGGACATTAAAAGAAGCATCGAAATCAAGAGAAAGAGTAGATAATGATTTGAAATGACCACGCTGTTCTCTAAGCCTACCGTACTATCATATTTGTTGGACTCCAACCCCAGCAACTCTCCTATGCTTGAATGTGATGCTGACCCTAGTTTGATGCAACGACAAAACCGCCAACCAGCTATGTTCCCTAGAGACTGACACAAGGTATCTAGCAATATCTCAGACGTAAAAACTAGCCGTAATCACTTTTCGCCCCCAAACCTTCATAAATTCAATAAAACAATAAAGAAATTAGGACTGAACAGCCTGAGGCGTTCTGCTAAAGCTAAAAGAACGCCACGAGGACCGCTGAGCTGGCTTGTTATGATTCGCCAAACTAGCTAAGAACGCCGGTGAAATCTCAGAGGAAGTAACGGGAATCTCTGAGCTCTTCTTCTTCTTGTCTTGTTTCTTCGGTTTTGCCTGCTTGTCGAGCTTCGATATTTCTGTCGGCCTGTGGCCACTCAAGCACGCGTCAACCACGGACCTCTCGGGAAGGACTTCGGCCCCAGCCATTTCTCGCGTGGGCCAGGGAAACGTCGCCGCCATTTCCTGAATGGTAACGGCATCCATTTTCTCGAGAATCTCCCGTAGTTGTGGTTCGAGGTTGTTGACCTGCTCAAAAGCCCAGTCAGCTCGCCTTTGAATGCGAACGCCATCGCGACGCATCTGGCCGACGAGCCACTCCATCGCCACGTGCTGCGGAATGAGTCTGGCGTTGCGCATCAGCCAGGCCATCATGTCTGGATCACCTGTCTGCTTGACGATGGGCAAGCTGCGACCGCCGTGCTCGCGGTCTTGGAGCTTCTGCAGAAAGTCGTGGTACATCCCCAGCGACGAGGTCTGAAGACCAACGAACTGGCCGTGGAAGAGAGCGCGAGCAACCTCGTCAGCCCAGGCAATTCCGGCCTTCATTCCGGAGTTTGCACCTCTCCCAGGCCAAAAGTGTACCGTCATCGCCGCATCTCCAGCCAAGGCGACAAGACCATGGGGTCGGCGTAGAGCGCCAGAGTCGCACTGCGGGACCTGCTGGACGGCTTTGTTGATCCTGCGTACTACGATGGGGATTCGAACGATGTTCTTCACCTCGAACTGCTTGAAACCATAAAGCTCCAGTCCATCGAGTATGGCCTTCCACAGCGGGCTACCAGGTTGCTGAGATGGGGCAAAGACCTGATTGTCATCGAATCCATCGGGCAGACAATCATCGACCTTCAGGCAACTTGGCCGGCCGAATGTGCACGGATTACCATCAACAGAGACCATTTGATGCCATTCAGTCTCGGTCAACTGCATGTTGAGGTATCCTGTGCCATCGAAGTCGCTGGCATTGAGGAGGTAGCGAGTTTGACCCATAGTGAGGAAGATGTTGATGGGCTGTGAAAACGGAAGCCCACGAGGGCGATCAAACGCGACCCCAAGGGCATAACTCTTTCCAACCTCCTCTTCTTGTCCCGGAAAGTAGGCACTGCGGAGCCATGAGCCGGCACCGTCGGCACCAAGCATCAGGTGGAAGTCACCGTACTCTGAAAGGTTGTCCTGCCTGACCTGTGAGGCATGTAGGAAGATAAGGTCACGGAACTGGCTATCTTGTGCCCGTCGCAAGAGACCGTCTTCGAGCTTGCGTATCTGTAGGTTGCTCGATCCAGGCCAAACACGCTCGGGATTCCCACCAAAGACAGCTTGTCGCGTTCTATCGCTCATGAGATCTGTCACGGTGTCTTGAAGCGTGACGACCTGATCGCGACGACGGGCACCTGGTGGGTAGCTGACGAAAGAGCTACCCGGCTGCTGAATCCATCTGCCTTCGTATAGATGAATCTCTGCTCTGGGCCCAGCCTTCTCGGCGAGAGCGATCGCGGAGGCCAGGCCTGTGGGGCCTCCGCCGATGATCATGACTTTGAGAGGTGCTGCTGGATACTGGTAGGTGACCGGGTCTTGCGGAAGTTGAGGTAGGTTGCGAGCGACTGAAGGATCAAAGAAGAAATCGCGAACTGCATTCGTCTTGATAGAAGTCAGGGCTTGGCTCTTGATGAGTATGAAGCGCATCCACTGCAACAGAGAGTTTGTGTCGAAGGTGGAGTGACGGTTGCCGAAAACAAGTCTTTGGACTGAGCCAGCCAGGGAGGCAACATCTCGGTGCTTGGGGTTTGCTGCGATAGATCGGAGCTCGCTATTAATGAAGGCATCATCCCCGCGGTAGAAGAATAGGAAGACTTGCGCGCGCTCAAAGTTGGTCTGGCCTGCTGCTTTCCATGCCGCTTCCCACGAGCGCGGAAATTGGATGCTGTCAATCTCGGGTCCTTGTACAGAGAAAGAAGGACGGTTGTGGAGCTCAGGGCTGGGCATGGCCGGTGGAGAACCCGAGCGGCTACGAATGGAAGTGAGCATGGGCATTTTGAATGTTAAGTATGAGAAATTGAAGTATTATAACTTATGAGGATATGAGGAGGGGAGGAGGGACTTTAGAATTCGCAAGGAGACAAGGAAGAGGAGAAAGAAAGTAAAACCTAGAGGACAAAAGAAAAGAAACTGTTTGAGATGCGGTGTGTGATTATGAGTATTGGGAACTCATCTTTAATTCTGAGAAAGGGATGACTTTGCTATATACTGATTGAGACTATATCATGATGTTTCGAGAACGGATGAGTAGTTACGCTTTCCAAACAAATCCTGGTTCGCGTCACGCCCGACGTAAAGGCAGTGCCATCTCACTAGCACTGCCCACTAGCCTTGCATCATATCCGTCCCACAGCATCAGCCCTATGAATGAAGCACAAGTTAGGCTTCATCGCGAGGTTCTATTGGAGCGAAGTTGCGTGCAGGTTACAGGTTGTGGCTGGGTCACAGGAGTCTGCGTCTGCATCTGACTGCGTGTGGTCTGGGTGGGGAAACTGGGGAGTGCGAGCACAGCATTCTGGCTGCATCAGAACAAGCTACTTGACAACATAAACATGAAGGATCCAAGGTATCATGGATGGAAGGGCCCCCAGCCTTCCCGCCGCACGTGTGCATCTATCGCACGAGACGTGGCATGCACTCCGAGTGCTTCCGGACACCGCGATCACGGCTTGGAGTGCGGGGACGGCTAGAACAAGCATTTACGGTTGACTCTAGTCGGCTCGGCCCTAAATAGATGGGCAGAGTCATTTTCCTGATTGGGAAGAACTGCTGCAGGTCGAGGTAGTAATATCTTTTGAGAACCATTGATATCTGACCACCCTCAGTTGTATCACCTCGATGTGTACTGTATACCAGCAGAATGCATTCTCGTGCTTACCTCCATTATTGTTCTTCCGCGCCGCAGGATAGAACGCCATCAATTTGGAAGCAGCTACCTCTGAGGGATCTATCGACGGGTAGTATTAGGATTCTTTGCATAGTGTGATCAATCCGATAGGTCAATACGCCTGATAAACACGCCACGTATATTTAGCTTGGCATGGGGTTGCATTGTGGAACTATTGTATAACTTTGTCACTGTGTTCATGCCCTATCCAGGCCCTCTCAGTCCTTCCTCTTTATTCTCGTCGGGCACGAAATATGACGACCGGTGTCTCGGCAACCGAGATATTCATGAGCTCTGTGCCGTACTCAGCCACCACTAAGAACTGCCAGGAACACAGCCTACGCGATCTCGGCAGCATCCAGCCGCTCGCTCCAATGATATTATCCGCGGCTGCTAGCTTGTACGCTTCTCTTACAAGACATCTGACTGGCTTCTTTGGCGCAGCCGCGGGACCACCATCTGCGGTTGAGTGCGCGTCTACATTTATGATGAGCATTCGACTCTGGACGGTTAGACGAGTTCCCAGGCAGCCCTTCCTTTCAGATATGCGGACTTCTGCCCGCCAAGGCCGGCGTGAGAGAGCTGACTTGGCGGCACGTCACGCCGGGGCATCTGACTATGCCTGGAGCGAAGGATTCCGTTCAAGTGTTTGTCTTGCTCATTCATGAATAGACGTTTCTCTTCTGTTCCACGACAATCACTTCGGTGCAAGAGGCCCTTACCAGTACTAATAATATACTGATTCAGCAAGTATGTGTAACATTGATGCTAGGAATAATTCAGTTGGCTTTTCAACAACTGAAAATAGCACTCTCATTCGAGCCGGTTCTCCAGCAACGCTTCCATAGCTTGTGATGGAGCAACTCAGTACCTGATCCTGCTGTAACACATAGCAGAGCACATAGCTACTATTAATCCTAGCTATGCCGGCGACAAGTCGATGGGCTCGAAGCTCAGCTCCTTCCGCTCAACGTTTCCTTGATCGTCGCCTCTCTGATCCAGCGGGCATGGATACACGACCATAGATCTAGTAGCTGCATAGATAGCCACAAGTGCTCCCCTCTCACCCAACTCACAATCAGCAAGCTACAAGAGGCACAGCAGCTCGAACGGGAGCTCGTGAGCTGACATGCATCAACGAGGAGCTCGCTTAGACGCTAGAAGTCTTCGTTGGCTATGTCGCAACGAGATCAACAGGGGTCAGGGCCCTCCCGCGCGCCATATCAGACTCAACGTCCAATCAGCAAGGGGTAGGCTAGTTAGCAAGGGTTAGGCTAGTTAAATTCAGGCATGATGCAGAATGAATCATACCGGACCCAGATCATCACCTGCTCGCCGAACCTCGAACTGGGACCCATGTCATCTCCCGGCTCTAGCGGTTTGTCTGTGCGTGTTGAAGCCTTGAACCTATTAAACACGCAGCATCTTGCTCACAGGCTTGCTAGATTGGAGCTCGCTTCATCAGAGTAAGACAGTTGCATTCTTCGAAGCCTATCATAGCCAGTGCCAACGAAAGACTCCGCGCAATGTCAGCAACCACAAGCCCTGCACATCGTTGCAGCATCGACGCGACCCGGAGAATATTCCCCAACTCACCTTCCACGAGGCCCGTAATTTCCAAGCTCTCAATAATCGATTCGACAGTCGCTCGTTTCACACCCACCGCCGCGATATGGCTTTACGACAAGCCAAAAACATCACGGTTCTCACAGATTGAGCTTTTTGAGACCCTCGGCCACGCGCTGAGTCAAACGCTAGACGATTATCCACACTTTGCAGGTCAACTACAATGGGCCACACCTGAGCAGGTCAAAGACAACGCAGTCCCGCGACACCTTGGCCGACTAGTAGTTACACATGGCTCGACCAAAGACCCTGGGGTTGAGCTATCCATCGCCACCCAGGACTCGAACCTCAGCGATATCGTCCCAAGCCGGGCTGAGAGGGCGACGAACCTGAAAGAGTGGAACGCCTCAAACTTCCAGCAAAGCGACTTCTTGCCAAAAACTAAGATTGCGCTCATGTCTCTGAATGTTATCGACGAGCTGCCCGCCATGGCTGTTCAGTTGACATCGTTCAAGTGCGGGGGCTTCGGGATCAGCGCAATGGTCTCGCACCCGCTCGCAGATGCCGTGTGTTTGATGAATTTCATGTACTCTTGGGCAACACGGTCGAGGATTCTCTTCGGAAATACTTCCGCAACTGGTGATCTAAGACTGTTCAAGCCTGTCTTTGATCCGGCCCAACTTGACCGGGTTGCGGGACTCACATCGGGAGGTCTCCCGGACGCAACACTAGTTGCAGAGGCTCGAGCACTGCCGATGCACCGATTCGACTGGTGGGCAGAAGACGCACCAGGATATCCCCGAGGTGTCAGGCCAGCTTCACTGGCCACCATGCCGCCGGCGGAAGAATTGAGAACGACCGAACTTAGTCCGTCGACACATCCTCCATGGCCAACCTGGAATATGAGCGCACCAGTCGACCACGTTCAGATACGGTTCACGGCGATAGAATTGACGCAGATGAAGAAAGCTGCGCAAGCAAGCTTGCCAGAGCAGATGAAATCACTCCGAGTCTCCAGGCTCGATGCAGTCTTGGCTCATATCTGGACTATGATGAACCGCGCGCGTGGTCATGAAGGGAACTTGGAAAGCGTATATCTGAATATCACCTTGGGCATCCGAAGCCGCATCGATCCACCCCTACCCGAAACCTTCGTTGGGTCTCCTCTCCTTCTAGGATACGTGGAGAAACCTGCCAATGAAGCTAGCTCAACCCGGCTTGGACCCATTGCCGGCGCTATTAGGCAGACGATGTCTCGGTTCACTCCAGATGCGGTGGCAGCTTACATTCACGACGCCGCACACGAGGCCAGTCCTCAGCGGCTATGGCAAGGCTTCTTGGGAACTCATCACACCCTTGTCACATCCTGGGTACGGGCCAAGACCTATGAGCTTGATTTCCTTGGCACCAACGAGTTGGCTCGTTATGTTCAGGGCGTCATGCCAAAGATTGATGGCTTGGTCCAGATCATGGATATTGCCGACACTGGTGACTTTGATGTCAGTGTCTGCATGCAACAAAGCGCCATGGACCGACTGCTGAATGATAGTGCGCTCCGTCAATACGAGTGCGCAACCTAGAATTGGCGTAAAATCTTCAGAGGCGTTGTTGAATACGCACAAGGACTTGGTCGGGACAACGCTTTGGTTATCACCAGCACAGATTAGCCAAAACTGAAAATAGTATACAGACAAAAAAGAAAGAAAGATTTGTGCCAATCGCTGACGGGAATTGAGCCCGACGTGGCTGGGAGATGTTAAACGATGACATCGACACGGTTCTTGGATATCCTAGTAGACTTACGGGTCGAACCCACAACCTTGAGATTAAGAGTCTCACGCTCTACCGATTGAGCTAGCCGGGCAGGCTATTGAAGGTGTGTGATTGTGACAAACACGACTGGGCGTTCAAGACGACGCATCGTGAGTTGTGCGTGAATCGTTGAGGGTCGTTGAGGGCTAAGCCATCCCCAGACTCCACCCGCAATATCACTAGTGGTTTCCACACTCCGGCCCAAGAGTCAAGCTCATATCGTAGAAATTCGACAACATCTCGCTTTATCAAGAGTCAGACCAGAAGCCTTATAGATATAAACTCGAACTAAGAATTGGAGACATCAAGATTGAGAGACAGACGGGTTGAGCTTATTCGATGATTGCAATGCCATCGCCGCCAATCCACCTATTTCGATTTGAATCGATTATAAAATTACATAGAAGAGCCTTGTACGTACAATGGTCCGGGCTGGCGACTCACTGGACCCTATTCATCTACTCTAGCTATTATCGTGGCACTTGCGGCCACTCGCGACCACACACTGTTCAACGCTCAAACGTGAACCGCCTTTTGACTTACGCGTAGACGTAGCAAAGAGGAGATCCGCCGATTGTGTTCAAAACCTCTTCAATAGTGCGGTTCTCAGCATTGATACCAAGATCAAGGATATCAGTCTTCAAAGCATCTCTGCTAGCCGGCCTGTTGTTGATGGTAATCGTGCCAGCAATCGTGAAAGCGTCCCAAAGATGAAGGGCTTGCCACAACCAGTACACGCGATCGACCATGGCATGGTGCAGGAAGAAGCTGGGGTCGACAACGGAGGAGTACAGATCACTGGCTTCGCCGTTTACGGTGAAGTGGCCGGAGGCGTGCATTCCGAGGAAGCCGTCGGAGAAACGGCCCTGAAGCTCGTTCTGGAAGAGCTCGACACTCTTGGAGGCCACGCCGACGGTGATGTTGAGCATGTTCTCATTTGTGAACCAAGTCGATGCGGTGTAGTTGCTCAGATCGCGACTGAGGCAACGGGGGTTGTAGCCAAGCTTGCCGGTTGGGCTGGCCTCGAGGCCATCCATGCCGGGGTTGACCGGACCAAGGTTGACCGTCATACTAGGTCAATGTCAGCAACCGATGAAGCTACCGGTACAGTAATCCACGAGAAAAGCTTACTTCTTGAAAGGACCACTCATGACACAGCCACCACCATCACCTGAAGGCAGAACAATGGCACCCGCACCGCTGACGCTGCCGTTGTGCTTCAGGTAAGCGCCGTCACCGCTCAAGCTGGTATCGCTGCCATCAAAGACAGGGGATTTTCGGAGATCGTCTTGGTTTTTCAACCAGTTCCAGTACTGAAGTGTAACTGTCAGACCCTTTCGAGGATCTCCCGTCGATAGAGATGGAATCCACTTACTGGCTGGGAGCCCCTGTAGCCGCATTCGTTCCGTAGCGCCTCTTCGTACGCCCAGACAAAGTAGCGATGCCATGTCAGGAAGTTACCCTGAGTAATTTCATTAGACCGTAACATGATTGATGGTACATATGAGCATTGCTTACGGTTCCGTGAATTTTTGTGGTCTGGTTGATGTGCACCGCGACGAAGTCATCGTAACGGTTGCGAGCACCGGGTGCGAACTCGGGATCCGACTTGGAAGGTGACGTCAACAGGCACTGCACGGCACTGATGTAGTCTTTCCTCTCCTGGGAAGAAAATGCCTCCCTTTGCGACGAATTAGCTTTTGCCCAAGGGTACGCGCGTATCCGTGATTAGCATTGTCATGGTAGGGGCGTGACGAACCAATCTCGACGGTAACGGGCATTGAAGATATTGCAGCTGCTGCGCTTGTTACCAGCGCCCGATGCAGAGAGAGCACTCATGGCTCGATCTTGGAGCTCGGTGAGAACATCGCGAGGCTCAATGGGCGAGGCAGTGACCGGCGTAACCAGCATACCAACGGCCGCAGCCACAATGGTGATGGGAAGCATTGCTAGAAGCTATTGCTTGTTCAAGACGGAAATAACAGACTGCAGGGTAGCCGCGTGCGCAAGCAAAGAATTGAGTGAGAGATGTGGTCCGAGACACGACAACAGTCAGAGAGAACTGGACAGGATTTCGCCAGCAGCACAGGAGCCAAGGTGCGCAAGGTCAAGTGGGAAGTGGGAGCGGACAGGACGGTCCGGAACAGTCACAAGTGAACAAACCATCAGACAGATCTCGTTAGCTATATAAACAGATGCCTGTCCGACGTTGTGAATAAATTAAAAATCCCGTTGTCTGCACTAGTGCCTCCGGCCATGGTCTGCAGGGCTTCGGATCCGCGGCGCGGAGGTGGTAACCACACTGGGCAGCGAGAACGATCCAACAACGCCGCCGCTGTTGGCGGGAGACAAGGTCTTGAATTGCCGGGGGCAAAAGAATGATTGAAGAGAATTATGAAGAGGGGCTAATCGAACGGTTTTATGCTGTGGATAGAGCAGCCAGGTCCCAGACTCGATAGCCCAGATCCGGGCCCCACGTTCCTGGGATGAAGAATGTAACCATCTTTAGGCCAAGCGCGGAGCCGGCCGGTGGACGGGTGACAGGGGAGATGCGTTGCCGTCGGTCGCCACTACTTGAAGGTGGCGGATATTGCACGTCAAGTGGCATCGGGAAGACGGCAAGTTGAAGATAACATGGCTTAGTACGTGGACTAAGACACTATAATCATCTTGTTCCGTGGGCCAAATCCGTGCGGCATTACACACGCTCCTTGAGCTCCATAAGCTTAAAAGTCAAAAAGGTTCAGACAACAACATGTTTGTCCCAACTGCTCGCATGCAACAGTAAATTGTGACATAGAGTGTCCAGTTGATCGGCCACCGTCCGACTCCACAGAGTTCCGCTTCTCTTCTCGAGACCCGAGGGTGACCAACAGATCCGAATAGATCGTATGGTGATTTGTCGAACATCCCTATGTGGTTTCCACCGTCCCGTTTTAATCTTGGCATGCATGCCATGTCTTCCGACTGGCAGACCACTAGATCCTTTCATGGGTCAGTGACACCCTCCCGCCCGATGCCGCCAACAACAACCTTGTGGTTTATTTCTTTCTTTTTCCTGTGCCGCTGGGTTCTTCAACCGAGGATCATGCACAGATTCCCTCTTTGGATCGATGGCCGACGTCGAAATCCATTCATCTCCCCTCTTTTTCCTCGGCGCGATACAGTTTACAGCGTGGCTTTGGGGACTTACGAATTACTGCTGCCCGATTGGGGTGACAGGATCAATATCGCTCCTTGACGCCACTTCTTGCCAGCAAATAATCCCGGGATGATTGCTGAAGATATGTTTGCTCTCATGCCCGATGTATCAGTCATATTCTATCTAGATAACTAGGAGATGGAGCTGGAACTGACTCTCCTCTGCCTCGCCTCCGGGTGCTCGACGGTACTGCAAGTTTGCCACAAGGTGGCACGTAATGTGGGAGGCATCCATGTGGCCCCCGAGAGATCCTTTACACTCTTTTCATTCTACATCCTGCCCACTACCTGCTTAGCCGATCCTGTGGGTGCAGCACATTGCATCCGTCGATCCACTTCTCTGCAAGGAAAACTCCGGTACAGAGTTCTCGAAGAGACAGTAATTGTGCAGTCCCCTCGCGAACTCGGTGCCAAATTCCAAGCCGCATGTCAGTGGGCTGATAGGGACGGATCAAACTCCCTGCCCTGGAACGCAGTCTAGAAAGGCACAGCGTATCACCTTCCCGAGGCAGACTGGAGTGGCAGCATGAAGAATCAATCCCCTTTTGTACGGAGTCCTATTCTGTCACCCAATGATGCTTCCTCTCACAGTCCCCAAGTCCCCGTTGCGTGATCTCCTTGCATCCCTCCAAAAAACCCCGTCAGTACCGCGTGCGTGGTTACTGCAGTGTGGCCCCCGTGGATCTGGTTTCATCTATTCAGTTCCTGTTTTCTCCTACAGAATTGATTAAGAGCCCCCAATCTGCAGTGCCGAAACGGAACAGCAAGATTGTTAAAAGAAACCGCAGATCCCCTCGCTGCTCAATGTGCCCACTCTCCTGAATCTTTGTGGCTTTCTTCGACTCCCCTCTCACCATCTGTGCGTCTGTTCGACGCCGCGCAGCCGCGCCATCCGCCGTAATGTCTTCGACGTCCAGCACAACGGTCATCGACCCGGGGCGTGCCAAGGAAAGCAACACGGCCATGATCCTGGCCGTGACGGGGACTTTTCACGCTCTCGCTCTCGTCTTTGTCGTCCTCCGAACATATACCCGCGCCGCTATCGTGAAGACGATAGGCATTGACGATTACATGATGATCATGTCTACGGTACGCCATCTCCAGAAGGCCAGGTTACTATGGTACCAGGACGACAAGGGCAGCCATGCTAACTTGAGCAGCTCTGTGCGCTGGGCGGGGGCATGGTGATCTTCATTATTCAGGCTTTCTACGGACTTGGCAGACACAAAGACACCATCAGCAAGCCGGACCAGGTGTTCTTTTCCAAAGTCGGCTTCTTTCAATCGATTATATCCGCCATTGCCGCTCTCGCGTTTCTTAAGATTTCCATTGCCTTATCACTATTACGACTCAGTAAAAACAAGTGGTACTCGAGATCACTATGGGCTTTGATCGGTACAATATCTACCCAGCCCTATACACAGTGGCGACTGAACTTGATCTAACATGTCATTAGCATTCGTGGTGCTTTATACGATCATGGCGTGGCTTAGCTTCTTCTTGTATTGTAGCCCGATGGAGGGGTATTGGGACAAGAGTCTCAAGCCAAAGTGCTACAACATCAAGTTGTTTGTAAACTTTGCGCTAATCAACACTGGTGAGATGAGACTATATTCTTTTCTTCCCACTTTGGAAGCTAATCACAAGCCAGCGTTCAACATCTTCACCGATGTCTGCTTTGCATCACTCCCCATTCCGATCATCTGGGTCTTGCAAATGAAGTTGCGCACGAGGGTGTATCTAATCGTCGTTCTCAGTTTAGGATACTTGTAGGTCTTGCCCCAGTCTACGCATAGGCCAACCACCAGAGCTAATCCATTCCAGGGCTGTTGTCATGGGTATCATCAAAGCCGTTTATCAGATTGCGCAACCAGGCAGCAAAGATGGAACCTTGTAAGTTCTTAAAGTGCTTGCTGAGAACAACGAGTACTGATATGTGTTTCCAGCTACCAAAGTATCCAGTTTTGGGGCTTGTAAGTCGTCGCAATGTCGACCGTCAATAACAAATCAAAGCTAACGTACTTTTCTACAGCCTCCAACTGAACCTCGGCATCATCGCCGCTTGCGCGCCAGCAATAAAACCCCTCGTTGGCCGCGCCCTCAAGATATCTTCAAGCCGTCACTACAACAGCGATAACCTCTACGAAAACCGATATCCCACGGGACGATCCGGCAGAACGGGAAACATCACCACGGGCACCGCTCGGAGGCAGGGCTACAGGGAGCAAGGAAGCCAGGGGGCGCCAGACTACGAACTCGAGGACGGACCGTTTTCACCAAGTCCAGATTTCTACCGTACGACCATAAAAGGTGGAAATAATACTCCAGCGGCAGTTGCTGTGTATCAAAAGAAGAACAGTTTTGGCGACAGGTCGGGAAGTGAAGAGTTGATTCTGGAGGCGGGGCATGGGTTTGGGGAGAATAAAGGTATCATGAGGACGACTGAAGTGCACATCCAACGCTGAGTAGCAGTGGTTGAGGGGGGCTAACATGGCTTGGCTTCCGAAAGATGATGGATTATGAGGATATACGATTGAACACGCTTGAGCCGACAATCATTTGATATGAGCTCGTGATTTGACTCCGACTACATAGAGCTTGGATATGAGGGGTCTCCAGCCATTGGCTGTTGAGAACATGATGACTCAAGTACATGCACCGAGAAATAGACCTTTGAAGAAGATCTACGTCTCCGAGACGTCAGAGACGTTGTAGAGTTTTGATCACGTATGACGCAAGTAGGAGGTGCTAAATCAAGCAAGAATATATGTTGACAAGGGCCAACGTTCCACGACTAATACTATGTGCTACTGCTACCACGAGTACCTCCTTCCTTTCTTCATTGGGCAGACCCTAAGCACACCTAGACAGAAAGACCTTCCGTCCAAAGGCTTGCCAAACATCTGTGTATCCCAAAACTCAGATCCCCTTTTCGTTGGAATTGCCGGAATCAAGTTCGGTAGTAACGTGTCGCCGCCTCAAGTTGCCCGCCTCATCGTGCACATCATCCCACGCAGCAAGCTCAGCCTTGGGAACTCTGACCAAGCGATGCGTATTGGCGCCGTTGGAATCAACCTCGACAATCTCCGTGCGGATCTCGTATCCCAACCAGCGAGGGAGCACGTACATCCAGAAGACGTAGTACAGAACGCAGAGAATGATGCTAACAGAACACAAACCAGGTCAGTGAAATTCTCCCCATTTCGAATCCAAAATCTGTCTCAATAACACCCAGAAAAGAGTTGGACAAGGAAGGGTTTACTCACATGCCGATACCCACGACACAGTACGTGGCATACCAAAAGCTGACACTTCCAGCGTACGGACCACCCTTTGGCGGCCACCATGGCATTGCCAGGACAAAGACCTGGATTGCGAGGAAGAAGATGACGACGAAGTCCCAGGCACGGAACTCTGAGCGACTGATTCCGGAGCGCTGGCGACGGCGTCGGAGGACGAAGACGCCAAAGGTCATGGCGAAGTTGAATATTGCGCTAGGGTAGCTGGCCAGATCGATGACTGAGGTTAGATGTTAGCGGAAGGCTCATAAGGTGACACCCGCATATTCTGATGATGAGATCATACCGAAAGAGAAGGCATCGCCGGCAGGGGGTGCGACGATCATGATGAAGGTCATTGTCCACTTCAACATGTACGGACCCAAGGGTGTTCCAAAGGGCTTGGTTGAGACCCAGAAGTTGGTGAAAGGAAGAACACCTTGTCTACATCCTAAAGTCAGCAACAGTTCAACCCAGAAAGATAGCGTACCTACCGTCCAATCTCACGAATCATACGCGAAGATCCTATCAAGACAGCCAACAAATTCCCAAAAGCACTCAACAACACCAAGAAATTCAACACATTCGCAGCAGCCTTGCTCCCGCCAAACAACTTTGAAAAGAACACCGCCGCCGCAATCTCGCTCGCCTCCTTGAACTCAGCCTTCGGCACAGCAGCAAAGTAGGCAATGTTGCAGAGCATGTAGAGGATCGCCACCGTCATCAGCGAAATGATGCCGTTCTTCTTCAGGGTGGGAATCGGGTTTTTGATCTCGTTGGTCATGTTGAAGGCGTTGTAGTAGCCAGCGTACGAAAAGATGATGCTGACGAGGGCGCTGGAAAGGTCGTTTCCGTTGCTGGTTGTGCCTTCGAAGGCGTTGCGAAAGTTTGCTTTCGGTTCGGGGATGTGTTTGATGTTGCCGCCTAGGACTACGAGGCCTGCTATGGAGATGCTATGAGGGGGTGAGTGTTAGTTGCTGTGGGAAGTTTGGGTTGAGTTTGGGCGATCACTGACAAGACGAGGGTGAGGAGCTTCAAGACGCCGATGAAGTTCACGAGCCAGAGGGAGTATCTGTTATGTGCGAGGACGCAGATGACGGCGAGGGTGTAAGCTGCGATCGCGACGCCTCGCATCTGCCACTCTGAAGGCGTAATATCGGCCATTCTCCACAGGTATCTGGATAGAACTATCAAGCTGTCAGCCTTTCTTTCGCGACTCGACATAGATCCTCTCCACGTCATGTTTACTTGCCGACTGCATTGCTACTGCTGAACGATAGAATCACCGACTGGACCGCAAAAGCGACGGGGAAGAAGTGCTTCGGGCGAGGGTACTGCTGCTCCAAGTAGACAACCTCCGAACCACTGCGGTTGGGGAAGTAACTGGCCAACTCGAGATAGACGCTGAAGCCGGCCGAGGCCATGAGGAATCCAATCACCCAGTACATCAAGGCGAGACCAATTGAGCCCGTCCTGTTGAGAATACTAGCAGCTATACGATGATAAGGTTAGCAGACCATAACTTCCGAGGCATGCTCCGATGGACTTGCCACAGGGGCAATAGGGCCAGTGCCAACTTACGAGTAGAGAATACACCAGTCCCAACCATCATGTTGATATTCAAGAAAATGATAGCCAACCAGTTGACATGGTATCCCAACGGCGACTCCGCTTCGACAGGAGCACCAACAGCCTCCTGATACGATGGCTTGGAGCCATTACCTCCCTTGACTCTAGTATATGCGAGATCACCATCGTGAATAATGGACGGCTCAGAGTCGCTAGCCTCAGGGTCGGCGCGGACAGTCGCGTCGGCGCCGCCCGACTTGTCGCTCGGAAACAGCCTCGAAAATACCATTGTCAAAGTAGTCGCTCCCAAGCTTCTACGAAAGATGATTTGATCGGCTGCCAGTGAAGTACGACGGGGCCACAGGTGGCACGTGAATGAGGACCCGGGTGAGTTCGGAGAGGCCAAAGAGGTGACGGATCTCCAAAGAGAATTCTACGTGAAAGCTATGGTCGCGTGAAAAATATATACAAATGTCTCCCCACGTCGTCCTACAAGTAGTGCCCTCCCCCATCTATCTCCGATTCATGTTCGCAGGCATCATGACGGGGGTACCAAATCACACAATCGATATCTCTTGGCCCAATATTCCTGATCCATGCTTCCAGCTAGCTTGAGTGCTTGACAAGTCGACATTGGTCACCTTGGCGTTGGGGAAAACTCAAGAGGCACAGAAGCACGCAATGAAGAAGGGTCAGGTCCCTTGAACTTTAGGAAGTCCGGCCGGGTAGGCCGACCTGGGCGCGCGGCTGGGCTAGAGCTGAAGCTGGTGCAAAGTGACAGCCGTTGCCACCCCCGTCCTACGCTACATGCCGACATGCGCGATTGTAACGTCCCAACAGCGATGGAGAAACTTGAGGTGGAAAGGCGAACGGACGGGTTTCCCCGACCCAAGGGGACCACCGCGGCTCGCCCCTAGTCTCTTCCCTTCCTTGGAACCGTGAACGTCCGTGGATTCGCTCAAATCGGATGTATTAGGACTTGCATTACCCGCGCCGAATCCACCCCCGCGCGGCGTGTCCACTGGTTTTGTGGATATCTGTTGGTAGGCTGCGATGGAGTAACACCGAGGGTAAATGACGACATCCGATATCTGGTACCAACGCTCTGGTAGTTGAGGATAGCTCCGCGCCTAAAGTGGTATACGAGGCACAGCAAGTCTTCAGCTGGAGCCCGAGAAGCTATTACATACAAAGGAGGAATGGTTATTGGAGGCGGTAGTTGGTCTGCGACTGCATAGTCCGAGGTTCTCGCGATCTTGAAGGGGACATTGGTCCTGCTCGTGCCATCTGGCGAATGCTTCTGACTTTAGCCACGCGCTGCAATGACTCCAATGAGAGAGAAAAGCAATCATATTCTGGTCTAGAGCCGCAAAATTCAACTCATCCGCCTCTTGATTTTCCCTCCGTCGCATCACCATCCCAAGATGGATATGCTAAGAGTCAAACACGAGGAGATCATTGCGTGAGGCAAGACTTGGCCGACCATCCCCTTGATATATCATCTCTCAACAGCTCACCAAGACATCACTTAATTACGGCGTAACCCAACCATGATTCCACCCTGCCAATAACGCGGTAATTTCATCGCGTCAAATGGAAGCTTGGCAAGCGCCTCAGAGCAACGATCTGTAAATCCGTCCCTGTACCCTTGGTGCAACGGAAAAGCCGTTGATATCGACAGAACACCTTAAAACGCCATCAAGCCAAGGTTTTCTTGGGACACCCATTATATGCAACTTACCTTCCACGAGAGGATAAGACGCGTGGATTTTCGGTTCCTTTCAAGCTTGGGGTACATGTCGACATCGGGCCGCTCGATAGCGCCATCGAATAATCCCGGGAAAGAGGCGCCTTGGCCAACGCCCGCCAAGCATTCGATGGAAACTTTGGGGTGGAATCATCTGACCGGCCTAGACCACGCAGAACAGAATCGTTCACACAATTTTGAGGGATATTGTGGTAGCAAGACGAGGGCGTGATAACAATTAGGCGGGTGAATAAAAGTCCGGCCTGCCCGCGTTTCGACGCTTTCACCTCCGTCGAGGCGAATGTCGCAACATTTATCATACTAATCGAGACCGACGGGCTTTGAGGTCTCGAGCAGAGAGACATCAGGAGACCACAAGACGACGCCTAAAGTATTCCATTCATCCATTTCTTAACAAACCTTGGAGAGACTAGGATCCGACGTGTCTATGTCAACCTCATGCTGGGCCTTTCCTCGTAGTCGTCCACGATACCATGTGATCCTCGTCATCACTCAGGCAAAAGTCACCAGAGTCCAGCATCAACTCTTTCAAGGTATCCAGTCTCATTACAATATGCGACAGACGTACAGAAACTCGTACACCCAATCTCATCTTATATCCCAAAGAGTACATCAAGTACTCATCCCAACCAATCAAGGAGCGGTGATACGAACCCATGACCGAATCTCCCACTACCAACGCCAGACTCGAAAGTCCAAACCCAACCCAGCCCAGCCCATGCCCATGTTATACTCATGATACATCCTTTCCCATCATCCATCCATCCAGTACACCAAAAAACACACGCACCCAACAAACCCCCCTAAAAATCAAACGGCGTAAAAATATCCGTAAACCACCGATTATCCATCAAGTCCAACCCAAACTGCCCCAACTCAACCTCCCCAACCCCAGCACCACCACCCATCCCACCCCCAAGCACCCCCGTCCCATCAACCCCCGCCGCCGAAGGCGCATCAACCTTGGCCAACGGCGCCATAGCAGCCTCCCAAGTCCCCTTGAGCCCCTTAATCGTCTTCACAGCTTTCGCAAACGCATTCCCCTCCTCCACATCAACATTCAGCCCAGCCTCGCTGCAAACCCTCGTAAACCGGTCCCCAATCTCGTCGAGCGTCGCAATGAGATCAATTGTTGATCGCACGCTCGCACGGTCCCAGACGGGGTCTTCGAGCACCGAGAGGCGGTAGAGGGCGATGGTGCAGTGGGAGAGCTGGGCGAAGGTGAGGAAGGGGGTGGTGTAGTAGGCCGCGGGCGGGAGGGTGAGGAAGTGGTCGAACCAGGCTTTGACGGCGTGCAGGCAGGCATACAGGATGTCGAGGCGGGCTACGTCGGGGAGGTTGGCTGGTACACAGGTGCCTGTCTTGTTGGAGAGGGCGATTTCTTGGATAGAGAGCTCTGTGCAGTGGAGCTGGGCGATGATTGTGTCTGGTAAGAGGTGTTAGAAAAGGATTGCTGCGAGGAGATGAACCCGAGACCGATACGAAAAGGTGAGAACTGACCTGTGCTTTGAAGCTCTGACGGCAGGCTCTGGATATGTTGCTGGAGCTGCCTCTGGAGAAGCTTGACGTACATGGCAGGCGGCGTCTTGTGCGCATCCACAATGTCGAACGTATTCTCGGGACGCCATGCCGCGGAAAGCTTGCCGGCCTCCTCTTTAAGCAGCTGCATCCTAATCAGTGCGACGAGGGTCTGGTCTGAAGGCGATTCGGGCTGCTCGTCAAGAACCTGCAGACACTCGTCCATGTGCGGTGTCCAGCGCAAGGGATCCATCTTGCCCAAGAAACTCGCGACACTACATGGGGAGTCAGCCTCGCGGTCTCAGCCTGTGCCGATTGTTGTCGACCAGATAAAGGGGGATCGGGGGACGTACGCTGATGAGATGAGATAACACGCAACCACAGCCCTCCGCTGCTCCATCGTCCGCGGCATCTGCGACTTGACATACAAAGTCTGCCCCACGGCCCCAGTCTTCTCCCTATCAGCCCTCTCCTGAGCAGCCTTCCAGCAAAGGAAAGGGTTCAAGTTGTCCAACGGGTCGCGGGACATTCCCAAGTCGAAGATGAGACCAATCGCAATCTGACAGAACAAGCACATAAACGGCTTATTCCCAAGCTGGTGATTCGCCCTAAAAACAGACCTAGAACGTCAGCGACAACCAACCAAATTCGTAGCCATCTCATCAAGAGCAGAGGGAGAGAGAGCAGAAAACACGAACGTGACTTGAACTGACCATCCCAGAATCACCAACAAACCGAGCAAGTAATCAATACTCCTCTCATTCTCAACGAGCAGCTTATGGCTCACAATCTGCCGCACCCGCTGCCCCAGCGCAAGCTGCTGGCTCGACACCCTCGACGCGACAGTCATGATGCAGATCCACAGAAACGGCCTCTCGCCGCGCAGCTCCTCCGCCGTCATCGTGGCCTTGAAGTGGAGAAACGGGAAATACTTTAGGTTTTGACCGCGGAACGCCTCAAACAGCGCCTCCGCCTCGTCTGGGGAGGGCAGCTCGTCGCCGTACCCGGGTTCCTCTGGGCTAGCAGTCTGCGTCGGCGTCGGCAGCGAAGCCCCTCGGTCCCTGCGATCACTCTTGCCAAAATGCTGCGTTGAGTCGAATCCCCCACCACCACCACCACCGCCGCCGGCGCCGTGCATATCTCCCATCTCAGAAGACTGCCTTCTCGCCGCCGCCGCAGCAGCAGCCGTCGAAGACGAGGAGGAAATAGACCCCCCAGAAAGATGAACATCAACCCCCAAATCAGACGACAAGTTCGGCCTACCCGACTGCCTCAGCAGCGTGACAAGCCCATCAAGCTTCTCCTCCAGCTGCGCGGTCCGGCTAGACGGCGGCTTCTTGGAGCGCTTCCGGATGGGGTTACTCGGCTGGCACGACTTGCCGAGCCGGTGACACCGCTCGCAGGCCCCACCGACGGGGCGGAGGATGCATTTGCACTTTGCGCGGGAGCAGTTGGTGCAGGCCCGGCCGTAGGGTGCGGCGATGCCGCCGTTGACCGACTCGGCGGCCGCCGAGTCGCGGGTTTCGATCCCCGTCGGCATCCGGGATTCGATTTTGGGGAGAGGCGAAATGCCCCCTGTACCGTATGCCGGTTAAGAAAGCAATGTAAAAAGAGGATAAGGTACTCCGTAAGGTACTCCGTAAGGTACTCCGTAACTGCAGGGCTTTGCTTTCTTTGGTAAGCGGGCCGAGAATCCGGAAAGCCTTGCCCCGGGGTTGCGGGCGACAAGCGGACTTGGTTGAGGGGCGTATGTGTTGCGTGATGGTCACGGTGGTGCCAGGCCAGGTCCCGGGGTTGGTGGCGGGCAAAAAAAATCGCCCTGCTAAGCTTTCCGGCTGCAGGCGATCAATCTCTCGCTTGTGTGTCTTTCTCTCTGTATCTGTTGTCTCACGATATTCGCAGCCAACGAAACAACACATACACACACACCAAGCGTTGGACGGGCTTCAGATGTCCGTTTGGTATCGCAAATGCCGTTTGCGTTTGGATGGAGTGCAGAAAGTGTGAGACCAACGAGAAGGGAAGTGGGAAGGGGGAACAATGAGCGATGGGTGAACAGGAGAGGATTGGACTTCGAAACCCGCCGGGTTTGGGCCTTGGAAGGTGTGGGCGACGTTCGAGGACCTTGCGGCATTGCAGGTGGGCGAACGGAGTTCAAGGCAAAGACGTTGAAGTCCGGCCGCTTCTGCTGACGACAGCCTCCAATGTTGTCATGCCGGCTGGAGGTGATCCTGAGGCTTGCATGTGGCTTGCGTGTGGCTCTCAGGCGGGGACAGGGATATGAGTTGAGCCGAACGCCGAAGTCCGCTTCCGCTTCCTGCCCCACTCCTGGGCTCATCCACTAACAAACTCAGGCCGCCTGCCAGGAACGCTTTTACCTGTTTGCGTACCTTGGAATAAGGTCCATATGTTAGCTACATCAGCCTTACACGATCTTTAGCACCTCGGGAGACTTGTGAGATTGGGTTTCGATCTCGACTCTATTCGGTATTACGAACGAATCCTGGAGACATGTCGAGTGCCAATACCCCGGTATGAACCTATGAGATTTTGCTCAATGGGGATGAGTGAAAAATACGCGCCCCCTGCTAGTGACGAAACCTTTTTCTCACATCTGAAATAAAGGTCTACAGCGACGGCGATTGCGGCAGCGTAGAACACATGCGGCCAGAGAATTGAGAACGGCACAGGTTCACATGAGATGTAAGACAAGATATAGTGTGCCATGGGTATTCGATTAAAAGTTACCATGCAACTCGGACCTAACGCCATAATGGCTGCTTTTTACTAACGCAGCATAACCTCGAATGAGGCAATCACAAGATCCTCAGATCTTGCTTCATCGCAGGAAAAAACATAAAGATCAACGACTCCGTAGAGCTGGCCGCAGCCTACCGTTGACGAACCACCTCCAACGCCGAAATGAGAACTCATTACTTTCCTTCCCACAGGGCAAGCACATCAACTGCTCCCAATAAAGGGGGCTAATGGAAGTGTTACCCCTGAATACCATAATGCCCCAGACTTGAAGTCCGCATCACGACCACCACACTACCCACCCCGCCTAGGTATCAAAGCACATTCATCCTACTCAGGAACGATTTCGAGAGACTGCCCGGCGCAAGAACAAAAAAGACATCCGCGGGGTATTTATGTCGTACTGTACAATGTGTCGGTCTGAAATTGTGCCGAGGCGTGGTCGTGTTTTGTTAATAGAATCGGAAGTCTCTTCATCAGCGGGTCAAGTTTGATCAAGAGGTGAGTCAAACTCCACCACCCATGAAGGCGGCGAGGTCGTCGAGCTCAAGCAACTGTCGCTCGAATGCGGAGCAAAGTTCGCTAGCCGTCATATCCTGGGGCACAGGAGCAGCAGGCTCGGCCGAAGCCACGCCGTTGCCAATAGGAGGCTGAGAAAGCATCTCGGTGGACTGCTTGATCTCGGCCTGCTGAGGAGGAGGCGGGCTGACAGAAGCCGGCGTACCAACACCGCCGGAACCGCCGTTGATGGTAGTAACACCAGGGCGACGCGGCTGAGGCGCGGGTGGCTCGCTCTCGCGACCGCTCTCACGGCCACTCTCGCTCACAGAGGCAGTGTGGTTGTTGGCCGGAGCCGGAGGAGCGGGGACGCCGGTGCCAGCGTTGGAATTGGAGGTCTGATCGTAGTCCATGGCGTCAGGGTTGGTGTCTGGGTTCGAGGCGGCTTCGTCCTTAACAGACGCCTGGTCGGCAGGGGGGGCGCTGGTCGGAGGAACAGAGGTGCCTGCAACACTGGGGCTGCCAGCGACAGCATCATTGCCCAGCACTCTATGCATGACGGCAAGGTGACGCAGCCACGAGCTGATCAGTGGCCATGTGTCGACTCCATCCTGCATGAAGTGGAGGCCGTCGCGCACAATATGCCCAGCAGTCTCGACCGCATTAGGGGGGGTCAAGCCCTTCAGAGACAGGTAGGCCACAGTGGCACTGGCAGTGAAGGATGAGAAGAGCATGAAGATGGGGAAGCAGATAATGCCCTCCTTATCAAACCCGGTCTCGAGAGCAGTGAGCATAGCGATGGTGCTGTGGCACGAGGTAAAGAGCCTATCAATGATCTCGTGGCACTGGGGGGTGAGGCGCCAGCTCTCCAAGTTGAAGCCAGGCGCAGTAACATACTGCAGCAGGCGACGGCGATTGATGAAGATGGATGCGCAGTGGAGCATGCAGTGCAGCATGGCATATGTGAAGCCAGAGCCCATGGTGATATGAAGGTTGATCTGGCCGGGCTTATCGACATACTGCATCGACAGAGAGGTGCGGAGGCGCTCAATCTCACCCATGAGAGTAGTGCAGACATTGTCATTGAAGGTCTCCGTGGTTGTGGTCATCAACATCTGGACCACGTCGCGCCATATGCGAGTGGCCATGACAATCTGACCAAACTCGCCGACCTCGTCGGTGCGGGAGCCAGAAGGCATCCGAGACGGGTCTGAAAGGTTGATGGTCTGGACATAGACGGCGTTGCCAAAGGCAAAGTTCATGTCGGAGCAGGGCAGAGAGACATCAGCCGTGTCGTTGGCAGACAATGCCGGCTGGCGGCCGGGCGTGCTAGTAAGCAAGCAGTCGAGAATATACAGCAGCCACAGCACACGGCGGAACGACTCGTCCTGAAGGAACCTATCGGCATCACTGACGGCCGCATGGTGGCTGTGCAGAATGCGGTACATCTGGACCATGCGACTAGCCTGGCCCAAGTAGATGTAAGCACGAACAGCATTGCGGGAACCCCACTCGTGAATGATGATCAAGCAGATGGCCTGGATCTCAGCGAGACTTGGAGTGTCGAGGTTCTGGTTGATGATGCCCATGGCCTTGGCTGCGAAGTGCTCAGCAGCACCAGTAGCACCGGACTGCCCGCCATAGCGTCTAATCAAGGTAGGGGAGCTTCTGTAGGAGGGAGAACAAAGTTAGCCGGGGGGGGTGTTCGTCAACCTAGAGTTCGCTATTGTGCGTACAGCCGGCACGACGACTCAGTCGGGGCCAAAGACAATGACCACAATGAAGAAGGTGGTGACACTTTCGGCCCAAGTCCGGACAATTGGAGCTAAGCGAGCCGACACGAGACTTCCGAACGGAAGGCCGCGCCACCCACAAAAAAAAAAAAAGCCGGACATTGCGGGGGGGACGTGGTGAAACACCAAAACAGGGAGGAAATTGGGAAATCGGGGAACGGAAGACCCGAGAGCAGGGGTACGTACCGAGCGGCGCAGGTGAGCAGCGCGTAAATGAGGGCCGGGTCCAGAGAGGCGTTCTTGAGCTGCTGGATGAACGAAGGCTTGTGGAAAGCAACGCAGGCCGGGTACGTCTTGGAAATGACGCGTTCGCATTCTTGGATGAGCTCCGGTGTAAGTCTGGCGGGAATGAAGTCAGCATTCGTGGTTCCTTTCTTTTTGCGCCCGTGTTCGGGGGGCGTGGAACAAGATATTCCGGCGACTGGCCCGGATGAGAAGAAGAGTGGAGTGTCAAAAGTGGCGGAGACGGGGATGTGACTCGGGAAATGAGGATGGGGAGAGGGGAGGATAGTAGTACGGGTACGCGAAAATGGATATTGAAAGCTTGTGGGATTAAGGGAAAGCCCGCCGTCAGAAGGCGGCCCCGAGGCCAAGCTAGCGGCGGTGGGAGATGCCGTCTGTTGGAGACGAAACGCCGTCTTCGGGAAGATCGAAGCAATGGCAGACAAATCTTGGGGGGGGAAAAGAAACAACAAGGGGGAGAACACTTGGGCAGACGGAACAAAAGGGGGGGCAGAGAGAAGAACAAGAGATGACCGCGCATGTGTGATGAGGAAGGAAACGAACAGGCCACCGCGCCCAGGCCGCATGCAGTAGGGGGCCGAGCTCCCTCCCTGGTCGGCGGCGGTGGGCGGCGACACAGCCGAAAGACGAGAATAGCACACCCGGCACACGGCGCGCAAGGCAACTAGGTGCCAAGCGCCAAAAGTGTGCGCCGCACGAGTCTGGGACAAGGCGACGGAGGCAGTAGATGAGAGGACAGGCAGATGATGGAGATGCTGCATATGAAGAACAAGCTGTCAACTTACTTCTCGGGAGTCTGAACGTGACGAGACGAGGTCGAGGCCGGGTTGGCGGCGCGCACATCACCGGCCGGAACCGAGGCAGGCAGGCTCTCACGCGCAGGGCGATGCGCGGCGGTATGACGGGCGGGCGACTGGCCGTGATGATGGGCCATGGACTCGGAGGGCAAATAGCACTCGTGCATACCCTTGGCGCAGTTCTTGCAAGGAGCGCGACCGTTTTCGTAGACACACTTGGTTTTGCCCTTGCGACAGCGCACGCAGGCGCCGCCGGCTCGGAGGGCGGTAGACCGCACAACGCTGGCCGACATGGTGCGGTACTGTGTGAGGTTGAATGTGCTGTACAGTAGTAGAGATGTGAACCGGTGTTGATAGAGTAGCAATGTCGCTTGGTGATGCTAAGATCCGTTGTCTTCTGTCTACACAGGGGCAGAGCAGCGCAGGGAAAGAGAAAGAGAGTGCGCCGACGAGAAGATGAGAGCGGTACGGAGTAGGGTTTGTGTGGTGAAACCCAGATGCGCGTGGTCAACCGGAGGTGGATGAGTAGACGCGACGCGATCACTTCTTGATCCACTCAAGGGTGTGAGAAGAGCTTGCTTGGATTGTGGGATGATGTCGTGGTCCCAGTAAGGTGACGTTCCGCAGAAGTCACGGCGATGGTCGGCGTCAGGAAGCCGGAGGGTTGACAAGGTGAAGTTGAAGAAAGGAGGAAAAGAAGGGAAAGTTCGGAGATGTCAGGGTCGCGGGAGGAGGAGTGTTTTGTTGAGGGGGGCTCCGGAAGAGAAGAGAGTTTTGGGGCCGGGTGACGCAGAGAAAAGACGACCCGTCGCGCCGAGATTATGGAGAAGGGTGGCTCCAGAAGGCGAGACCCCTAGGCAGGAGGTAGCGGGCGAGGGCGGGCGGCGGCGTCAGGCCCAGGAAGGAGGCAGACGCGATGGGGGAAAACGCCCACAGCGGCCGATGCCAACGGGGTAAAAGGGTCGGACTTGAGTGGACTTGGATCCGGAACGACTTCGGGAGATGGTGGTGAAGTTTGTTTTATTGAAAAGATTGACGTTGTGATGTGTTTTGGGTACTGCCAGAATTTTGCTGTGGTGGAAGACGAAGAAAAGAGAATCGGAGGGCACGGGTCGGCCGCGATTTCTCGGTGGTGGGCGAAAAATCCGGGCGGTGGTCCTCAGGTTTCGGTGGTTGGAAGAGGAGGAAGGAAGGAGTGGAGTACGAGGGATGGGGAGGGGTGTGTAAAGAGGAGGTAGGGGGTGTGGTAGGGCAGAGCCTGGACGGGAGAGAGGGCATGCCGCGCGGAGGGCAAGCGGGGGAAATAATGAAGTATCCCGTACCTTATGACGGTAAGGTACAGAGGGAAAGAAGTGGAAAAATCAGACTTGGATAAAGGGAATGTCATGTAAAATGATGTAAATGGTCTTGGTCATCAGACACAGGAGAAGATGATATTATCTAAGGTAGGCGAAAAGAATAAAGAGGTGGACGTCGTAGATGGGGGGAAAATGGAAAGACAGGCGGAGGTGGACGACCTGAGGAAAGAGCAAGAGGGAACCGGCACACGGGTAACGGGACGTGGACACGGGGGAAGGAGGCGCACACGGCGTGAGTTGAGGTGAGGAAGGCGGGCGGGCCTCGGCCTCGCATTCGTTGCAACTGCCCTGCGCGCACTTGAGTCCCTGACTTTCCTCTCCCCCTCTCCCCATTTTCTCTGGTCGTGGCTTCTGATTATTATTTCATCCCGCTGCACCTGGCTACCTACTGCTCCTTCCATGAACCCGAGCGAGAGTGGGGGAGACGGCGACAGAAACTGAAGGAGGAGGTCTTACGCCCCGAATGCGACGGACGGATGTCGCCAGATGGTCGCCTCCACTCAGGGCTGGCCAAGCTCGGTGCGGGTTGGGAAGTTACGGCCTGCGGAAGCGGGAGCAGTCGGCGGACTTTTTGGGAAGGGGAAGGGGCAAGGTGAATGAAGGTGGTGGAAAGTGCAAGACCTGAGTGAAAGAGTGAAAGAGGTGAAGAGTGAAGGGGGGTGGGTGTGGGGGTTAGGGGGAGTGTCTGGAACAGCCCGAGTGGAAATGGAACAGTACGGAGACACAGGTACCTACGGATACCGTACCTAGGTATTTCCATAACCTCGGGGGCAGGCGCGAAAAAAAATGGCATTCGGGAAAGAGAAAGAGGCAGAGGCAGAGGCAGAGGCAGCGGCAGAGACATTGGACAAGTGACCGCAGGAGCTGCCTGCTTGCCCTGGGCCATCTCACCAACTGTCCACAGACGGGCGGGCCTGAGGTTAGGGTCTTTGCTGAAGTTTTACGGGCGGATCGGCTGGTGGTGCCGGAGCTGAATGAGGAGAGACGGAAGGAAACCAGGAGCGAGGGGACCCACTCTGCCCATTCTGCCTTCCGCGTCAATGTCCGTCACAGGGAGGTACATGGCCGGTACTCATAAGCCCGGGCTTTCATTCCCCAACATCAAAGTACCGCCATCTTCCCCCCCCCCCCCTTCCAGGTTCCAGGTTGCCCGTGTCTGCCTTCCCTCCAAGTTCCATCAAATCGGTACCTGCCTCAGCGTCTGCGCGCTTGCGTTGCCTGACACGCCTGCCCTGAGAATCTGGCATGTTCTCCTGCACCCGCGGCAGGCACCTGGTTCAGGTCTCTTCCAAATGCTCCTTCTCTCTTTTTTTTTTAATTTTTTTAAAAAAAAAAAAAAAACTTACATTGAACAGTTGATATTGAAGAGAAAGAGCGATAAAGAACCTGTGAACCTTCCCTTTGGTTGGAGTTTGTCCTCTGCCTCTCGTCCCTCTCCTCTCAAGCTCTCCTCCAAGCTTCACTCGACGCGACCATCATGGCATTTCCAATAGTTCTGCCCAATCCACAAACGCACAAATGAAGTTCCCCCTCCCAGCCCCAGCCCGGCTGTAGCCCGAAAGCCAAAACGATGCGCATACTTCGTACAGTCTCGACACAGTGTCTGCGGCATACGTCCCCGATACATTTCGCGTCTCGCATCCATCCGTCCTCTGCCTCCGCCGTCAACCGGTCGCAATCCCGTTCGTTTGCAAGCCCAGCGAATTCGCCGTCCGTCTTGTGGGCAGACCGTCCCTCCGTCTCACCATGTTCCCTTGCGACCTGCGCCGCCATTCCATACCGTTACAAGAAATGCGCCTCTCTCCCGCCAGGCTAGTCAAACAGCCTCAAAAGACGACTCTCCTCCTGTACTGGTAGCACAACCAACGTGGGAACGAGTCTTGGCTGACACTGCACCTCCTCCGAGCTTGTCATTCGGACCCGACATGTCCCAAGGTACTTCCCACTGCCCTGCGACAATGCCGGGCCCGCCGATTGCTACAGCGCTTTCGCCTCGGCAGCGCAGAGTCACATACCCTGCCAGGCCCGCGGCACACCGGGCATTGGCCCACACCGCAATGAGAAGTGCGGACAGCGTGATCGGGCCATGTCCACTTGGCCTGACTTGCACCGTTCAACGACATTGGACACCCGGCAGAGAGAGAGAGAGAGAGCCACAGGCTACAGGGCAACAGGACCGCGGACGAGAGCGAGGTACAGTGCAATGCCATGGTCCATGGTTCATGGGGGCGTGGACGACAAACGCCGCCGGGCGGGCCTGGAATCGCCGCGCCCCCCCTGGTCCTAAAGTCGGCATTGCACCCTCTTCCAAGTACCTTTCCTCTACCTTGGGGCTTGGCCTCCCCCAAATTCCACGGAGCGCCCAAACCCGACCGGCGGCTACAGGGCCACGCCAGCTTGCCCGTCCCTGATCAAGATCACCGCGCCGCCAACTTCCAGCGGAAGATTGGCCCCCCTCCCGAATTTGTTTCTCGCAGACACGGCGCGACAGGGCGCTTTCGTTGGACGCTTCGCTCGTGCCTTTGAACACTTCTTTGACGGCACGGCCTCTCCCGATCGAGATCAAGAGGGGCCGGAGACGCAGCAGCAAAACTGTTAATTTGCATCCATTCTCGCTCGATGGTGCTTCTGACTTCGCCGGCACTACACGCTCTGCTGCGCGGAGGCGATGCGCTGCTCAAAGACCCAACAAGCTCGTCATGATATGAGTTAGGGCGGCATGTAGGCGTGGCCCCCCTATCATTTCGGGCAGGATGTCGAGTCGACTTTGGCAATCCCCACTGCCAACAGGGCACGTTGCGGTCAAGTCTCTCCTTTCTCCTTTGCAAACGTGCCACAGGCAGTGTCGTCGTCGATGCTCTACCTGTTGGCAAGTTCGAATACTTCAGGACATTCGGTATTGCCACGATGCTGCAAGATGTCTCTGGTATGTGGGATAGCCAGTTGACGGCTCGTCCCGGCCATCGGGCTGGCCTGGAACAAGAGACTGGCACGCTGGCCGAGGGTCGAGGGTCGACGCGGCTGTTGCTTCTGTGTACAAAAGACAAAGGGCAATGCCGGCAAAAGCTGCCGCCTCGTCCGGGCCTGCTAGGCAACCTGTTCCGTCTTCGCTCCGTGGGCATCCACCCATCACGCCCTCGCCCCCAGTTTTCACCATGGAGCTGCAATCCCGACAGTGTCCAGGACTCCAGCGCCATCTCGTTCCGGCGACGCGCCAAATTTCTGTTTAATCAAAATCGACTTGCCCGGGCCTGGACCTAGAGTTTTCCCTCGCTCGCTCCCCGTGCTGAAGCGGACTTGCGCAGGCGACGCCCCCCGCCCCACCCCGGCCGTTTCTTCGTTTCTGTCCGCATCGTCAACATTTTCTGCAGCAAAGGCATGTTGCGGCCTGCTATTATGTCTTACGTCAGGTTCTCACTGCGTCAAAGAATGGATCTCAGACTATGCACGACACGAATCCGACTTTGGTACCATACGTTTGGTAGCCAGGCACAGAGGGTCAGGAAGTTGACAATACCTCTTTCCCGTGACATCAGGGGCAATGCCCTTGTGCACCGTCACTATGCTGAGTACGAGACCAACCCGAATCGAAGGCCCTGCGGTGCCTCTCACGTCTCGACTACCTCTGCTTCGGTGCTGTGATCGGGGGATGCAAGACCTAAACAACACAGTGTGGCATAGCCGGTGGGCGGGCCGCGCAACCTTTCCCAGTGTATGCTCCGGCTCATTGGGGGCTCTCTACAGGGCCGTTCAGGCTCTACGGCACTCTATGGCAGTGAAGAGCCGAATGTCTCTCAAGTCTAGAAAGCTGCATCGGATTTCGCTACGTTCATCTTTTTCGACCGGGGAAGCGCGTCGTGTCACATTTGTTCTGCGGAGCATCTGAACACACTCTCTCTCCCGGTGACCGAAGAAAGCCTAATCCAGATTCCAGACTTCTCGGCAGATATCCAGACGGGGCTGGCGGCTGCCGTCGTTATCCACCCTCTCGCTCGTCCTGTTCCGACATATTCCTCGGTTGAGGAGAATCGCGACATTGGATACCGGGTCTTGACTGCATTCACTGGAGCATCTGTATTCCCCCCGTTCCTTGGCGAGATGCTTCATTCGTGCGACTTCGGACATGGTTCTGTGAGCTCGCGGCCGAACTTCTGGGGGTGATTTTGCTCTCACTCGCCGTAGTGTTGCCGGCAAGCCTGGCCAGTGCGGATGTTTCCCTCTCCCTGCACACCCCCGACCCGGCGCGTGCCAGTTCACTTCAGCCCAGCGTGCCGGTCCGCGGCACAAACAAAACGAATTGTTGAACACTTGCACCATACGGTCTGTTACCGAAGCAGCGTGATCTGAAACCCAACATCCGACACACTGTACGCAATTGTGTGACCTCACAGTCTTTCTCTAGAACCAAACGAACGTCGCTGCAGTGTAGCACTGTCTTGTTCGACGGTCTGCTGATTCAAATCGCGATGGTGCCCGACGGAAGCAATCAGCGGTTTGATGTTGGAACATCCCACCGTCATGCCATGGGGCAGACTCCAGAGTCCAAAGTCCAGCTCCAACGACAGCGCGAGAGCAGCTGTCTGTCAGTGGTCACTGCAGTTGCGCTATTTTCCCCCCAACTGAAGCGCTGCGAGGCGGACGGGTCAAGGGCTTCAACCAAGTTGTAGTGTACAATGTAAGCTGATGTCGCTGACGACGCCAGGCTGTTTTCTCCGTGTATTCCGGAGGTTGCGTCCACTTTTCCTGCCCCTGCTGTCTCCTCCCGGGACCTCTGCTCAGCGCTACCATGCCCGGAGTTGATGTCATTTCCCACCATACCTCCGCCTTGGTGTCGCTCTTCTGCCCCGTATTGTCTTGGGAAGATGCACGTTGGTCCGGCGCTTCTGCCCCCTTGTCTCTTCTGTCTCCCGAGTCTCGCAAACGGCCGTGGGCACATAGGTGTGGTATCCGTACACATACCACGGGATCTGCACGATGGCATCCAGCCTCCTGGAAACGCCGTCATCTTTGTCTTGCGGGCATCAGAATAAAAGGTGGAAAGAATGGATCAACCGGGTCACTTGGTGGAACGGGAGCCGAGGGAAGCGCAAAGACTACGGAAGACAACCGACAGTCCACCGCGGTCAGATCTACTGGGCTGATTACCAAAGCTGGTGAATCAAACCAGCCGAAACAATGGCATTTCTCTTTCTCTCACACGACCGGCGATCAGTGCACCGACCAGGGTGGGTGGCGTTTTGGCCTTGCGGCCTTGCGGCACATTGAAAGAGTGGGGTCTTCTTCCGGAATCACTTCCGCCGGTTTCCGGACCACCGGCGCTGGTGAGATCCACTCGGTGAAGCTTAGACGCCTGAGAAGCCACACCGATCCCCCGCAGCCGAGCAATCAAATTCCCTCGAGTCCGCGGTACATCAGCGCGTGACGGCCGCGAGCGACACTCTGGTTCGACTCGTCTCCCGTTTTTTCTCCGTAAATCTTTCGTGGTGGGTAAGGTAGCTATCAATACCGAATATCAAGGCCACGGAGTGGCATAGCAAGGCCTCACATTACCTCACTCGCGCGCGCCCGCGGGATTGGTTCCACATTGTACGGCCGAAGAAAGTCCCGTCCCCGTGTGTGGCACCATCCGCTGCCGCCCTCCTCCTTGAAAAAAGCAACATCCAACAGCCAACGGCGGCCAAGAGAATCTCGGAGTTTGAACGGCATTCTTGTTTTTCACACCCCTGCCAATCGCACTCTGAAGCGGATGTCGTACTCGGCTGATCTGTGACGTATAGAGTGGCTCTGTCCCCCGCAACTTTGATTACTGGAAACTTACATCGCTGTTGGCTGTTCCGGCTACGACTTTGGCTGTTGGAACAGTATCGCAAATGCTGCGATGAACTGCGAGGCAGCGTGTTGAAGGATGATGTTCACTTGAGGAGCTGCTTGCGAAAGCATCTATTTGCACTGAACCGTCGACCGACCCAAGTAAGAACTGGAAATTTCCTTGCACGTCGGCGATAAACACAAAAGCCGAAAGTGGATCCTGCGGGGCCCTCCAGAGGTTAAGATTTCTCGGCCCCTCCGGCACCCGCCCGGATATGTCAGCGGGATGCTGCTGACATCCGTTCTCCGACAATGCCGGCATTGCCAGCAATCATAACCACAGCCCGCCTCGTTATATGATGGACCGCCTTGAATCCGGCGGCTGATTAAAGACACTACTTTGCACTTTCTCCGCCTTGCACCGTGTCTCGATGGAGAATGTTAGCAATTGTCCCCCGACTCGGTCGAATGAAGGACGTGGATCACATCTTTCGGCCGACAACGGGCTTGCGGTCCTCCAGGTTTAACTGATAGAGCTTCGCATCTTTACATTGAAGATTCCTTACGTCCAATTGGACAGTAATGACTTACTCTTGTTACCTTTCGTAAATCTTGCTAGAGAAGCCAGTCCAGGAACACCTGAATTGACGCAAATAGTTACGGGCCCAGGCCAACTCCGCAATCGCCAGGACACAACGCTGTAAACTTTCCTATTTGGAATATACACTGCCTTCCTACATCGGATGAGGAACAGGCCTTCGGGACATCCGAGTTGAGCCCGGCGACATTATCGCCGACATCCCGTATATGTTCGAGTACAGGAACATCTCTGGGGGTTCTCACTTTCAGTCGGTTCGCCTTGCCGGTACGAAGTGATCTCATCACCTCCTTGATACGAACCCGCTCCACTGGGATCAGAAGCGAACGGACACCCAGGGGCTAAGGATATAGCGCTGCTGATGCCAGTCCAACTATTGCTGTTTAATATGTAATTAGTGTCCACGGCAGGACGGACGCTTATGTCGCTCTTGTCGTGTAGGGCTAGCTCTCCAGATCATGGCCAGCACCCCCGCACTCCCGGAGCCGGGCGGCAATGCCGGTGGGGGCTTGCCGTTCCATCCCAAAAGTCTGGGGTAGGTCAGAGTGGCTAGGACGGTGAACTGTAAACCAGCGACGCCGAGCTGGACGTTCGAATGGCGGGAAATCCGACGGTTTTGTTGGTGGTACATCACGGAGTCTGGGCAATTGTTAGAGGCAGAGAGAGCTCGAAGTAATAAATACAAATTTTGAATGAATCCTTCCCCGTCATTGCTGGTGCCATTGATCTTTCTCGAAACAGACTGAGGAATTGTATTTCGCACCAAACTTCTGGAATGATGGGTTCCTCCACCACTGACGCCATCTCGGCGCTCTCGCCCTCCCATTTTGTGAACGCAGCAACTTTCAACCCGGTGGCCTTTCTGCTCTGTACCATCCTCACGACGGCAGCGGCCTTTCATCTTTACACAAAAACGACGAGACGAACGTACGGTTTACCTTTACCGCCGCAACCGCCATCGAAGCCAATCTTGGGCCATTTAACGGATTTAGTCAGTGAGAATAAGGCACGGCGGTGGCATTTGAAGTTGGAGGGATGGGCGAGGGAGTATGGTGCTATTTTTGGGGTGAGGACGGGGTTTATTGTTGATTATTATGTCAACTCTGATGTTTTGGTCAAGGTGAGCCTGTTACTTTGGTGAGCTAACCATGGATTTGGCAACGCGGACGGTATACTTTGTAACGGTTCGCGCTCGGGGCAGTAATGAGTGGAAAGGGGGTGCAGTGTGCTAATAATCATGAGAGTAGGAGCTTTTTGATAAAAAGTCTGCGGTGACAGCGGATCGACCTGTTTGGATCATGTCGAATGAGATTTTGAATAATGGGTTCAATACCCTGTTCTTGGATGCGAGTGATCCGATTTGGAAGGTATAGTTGTTTTGTATCACCTCAATGGTTGGTCGGTTCAACGAAACTGATTAGATGTTTGATGTGCATAGAATCAGAAGAAGGTGATTCAGCAGCTTCTCGCGAGTCCCCAGCAGGCGGGGAAGATTGTGCCGTACGTTGTTGATTGATTCATGATTTCGCCCTCTTCTTGGAAGTTTGGACAACTGCGAAGAAGCACAGGAATCAGGAGCCTGGTGGAAACCGTTTACTAATGAGGTCACAGGTTCCTAGAGTATGAGACGATGAGATTCCTTCGCGATAACGTCGTCGAGCCGGCAGGTGGGCTTTCGGGGGCTCGGCTTTCGAGAGGCATTGAGCGGTATACGTACAGCGCGTTCGCCATGGTTATTATGGGCATGGATGTGAGATTTTTGCATCCATCGTCTGCTGGAAGGCGGCCTGGTGTTAATTTGAATGTGTTGCAGGTGCCTAATGACGACGACTCGGTCATCGACTTTCTTCAAGGTGTGTGATGATCCCCGATGGGGGTTTTGTTAATTTGATAAGCGACTTACTGACTGTGCCACCTACAGAGGTGGAGTTTCAAATCATAAGTACGACCCATCACCTCCAAGCCTTGTCGCGAAAGCCGTCTTTTCGGAAAGTCTCATAATTAGCTGTAGATACCTTCCCCGGCGCCAATATCATCGATCTCGTCCCTTCTCTGGGGAAGTTACCGCTCTTTCTCAAGCCCTGGGAGAAAAGTGGGCGCGCGAGGTATAGACGGGACCTCGCGTGGGGGATGAAGCGAGTCAAGGTGAACTCGATCTGCTCACGCATGCTTTAAGACCCGACTGGCTAATATCTTGGGTGCCAGACGGTCGAAGACGCGATGGCAAGAGGAGACTCCTCGTTCGAAGAGACTTTCTTGGGGTCAGCGCTAGCAGATGAGAAGCTCAAGGGGATGACGTGCAAGGAGGAGCTTGCGATTTTGAGCTTTGCTTTGATTGTTGCTTCTGCGGATACTGTGAGTCGTCTTGCCCACCATCATGTCTTCTCTCTCGACTTGGTTGGAGAACTGTATTCTAGCAGCTGACGCAAAACTTAGAGCCGGATGACGACGTGGTCCTTCGTTGAGGCCATGATGCAGTTCCCCGAAGCTCAGGCTCGCGCACAGGAGCAAATCGGTTCGTTGGACACAATGATACCGACGGTGCTGTCGGTGATCCCCTCCAGGAAATCACGCATGCTGACAAACTATGTGTTTCAGACAAGGTCGTTGGCGATAGACCGCCGGTATACGAGGACTACGCGTGCATTCCTTACATCCGCATGCTCCTCAAGGAGGTATGGCGATGGAGGCCGCCGGTGGCGCTGGGACATCCTCATATTACCTCACGGGAGGTGGAGGTTGGGGGCTACAGGCTTCCCAAGGGGGCGCGAATTCATCTTAATGCATAGTATGGCTGATATTTCTTGTCTGGAGATTGAAATATTGTCGTTGACTCTTGGGTTTAGTGCTATTAGTCGGGATCCCGCGAGACATGAGGATCCTGATCGGTTTTGGCCGGAGAGATTTGAGCATGATGAGACTTCTGTGAGTGGAGGGAACCTCCTTGCTGAAGTCTGTTGAGGTGAGACTGACATGCGATAGACGATGGAAAGCATCAACGCGCAGGATCCGACGAAGAGGGATCACTTCGCCTTTGGAGCCGGTCGTCGCGTTTGTACGTCCGACTACCTTACTTCCCTTACCTCATATCTTACTGCTAACAATGCATGTGAACAGGTCCCGGATACACCGTCGCAGAACGCTCTGCCGCCGTGACGATGATGCGCATCCTTTGGGCGTTTAAGATCCTGCCGGCCGAAGGGGCGGAGACGCCGTTGGAGTTTGCTGATTATGCTGATTCGTTGCCAGGGAACCCGGGGAAGAATATGCCTGTGAGGTTCCTGTGTAGGAGTGAGAAGAGGAAGAGGGTGATCCTGAAGGCGTTTGAGGAGATGGAAGGTGGACGGGAGAAAAAGGTGAGTTTCCTAGATGCTTGCTATGGTGTCTCTTGGTGGGTGGGCGCTGGCTGACTTGATTGTATCTAGGTGGCGCTGAACTTGGGCGATACGTCGGTTCCTGATGTTTCGGCCTTTCTTTGATGTCTAGGGAAAGGAAAGAAAACTCCAAAGGATGAGGAGTGGAGAGAAGTGGACTGGGAGGGGCGTAAAGAGTTCGTATACATGCACGAGACTTCTTTGACTAGGAAGGAGCCGCCGTAACTACGCAAGAATCACTTCATTTCGGTTCTCCGTCATGCATTTGTAGGTCATGGCAAAGCATGACATATCATGATATGGCAAGGTGATGTAGCCGCTGAAGCATGGAGGTGTTGCTCGCCTATAACGATGCTGGATCGCTTTGAAAGACCTCATATTCTTTCCAGGCATGCCAGGATCGGATCCTCTCTGTCCCTCCGGACCCCGCCCCAGATCCTTCCCGAAACGGGGAGAGCCTCCGGTCGGGATCACCCCGATTTCGCCAGGGAGTCGTCTCCCGCTTTGAGTATGCTTGAATGGGTGCTACAGGTGCTATTCTCCGTTGAGCGAGGAAGTCTTTTCCAGTTCTTCTATTTGGAAGTCGGGTGGTTGTGTCGCTCCGATCCGGGGTAGCTGGGCTGAGTGTTGCAGGATAGACGTGTCCCATTTTGGGGGGCAATGCACATATGCCCTCTCCTGTCAAAGTTGACTCATACATACTCAAGACGTTCAGAAATGGATTGACCCTCTGATCTTACCACGTTGATAACGTCCCTGGTTACAAAGTAAAGATACCGAGTCGACGCGATATAGCGTCAAACTGATGTGACAAAGTCCTTGCCCTCAACGGTACTGCGCGCCTCAAATCGCGGTTGATGGCTATTGTTTTCTGGTGAAAGATTGTCATGAGCAGAAGAACCAATGACAACATCAGGCGTCATCTAAGCGCCATGACACTCGATAGATGACATGATAAACGAAGACCACTGCTATAGGCGTTGCACAGAAAGTTCAATTGTTTGCCGCTTTCTGATTCCCCCCATTGTCGTGGTAAAACATTCCAGATTCGGAGTCATAATCCGCCTTCGAGGGAGGTGTCAATTAGATGGCGGATCTACGGCGGCTCATCCAATGCGCTGTCAGGCTCCCTGCAAGGACCAGGCCACCTCGCTTAACCGCGTCAAGGAACCTGGCTGGAGAAGCACTAGCTTTATGATTACACACGAGAAACAAGGACCACGTTCCTCGAGGAAGGCCGAAATAGGCAACTTGCTAAGCTTGGAAAAGAAACAATGAGGGAACAAGTTGATTGAGCGCGCGGTTGCTGAAAACAGAAGCCCCCTTCTGGGATCTGGTGTTCATCCGATCAGGAACCTATGGCGTAGATGTTTGAGTGACAACTAACAACAGCTCCTTTCCATATAAGAGCGATGACATTCCCAGACTGTTCACCTAAGGTAACTCCAATCAGCACTTACTGTCTCCTCTTGATCAACCGTCTCAACCAAAACCACTCATCCAACAGAACCATATCCCCCTCAACACCAGCCGAGATGAAGTACTCCATTGCAGCCCTCTTTCTCACCCTCATCGCCAGCGTCACTGCCACCCCCGCGCCTGACGTCGCTCACCTCATCGAGCGCCAGATATACCCCGCCTGCGCGCCGTACAACAATGGACGAGAGTCCCCCTTCCCCACGGACTCTAACTGGGGTGGTTACGCTCTTTGCTGCAACTACTTTGGACCTAACCCTCCTGTAAGTTGACTCTTCTCCAATGTTGAGACTTGATAAGACGCACGACTGACTTTGTGAAAGGAATACACTGGCTGCTGCGATAGGAATGGCGTGAACACTGGTAGCGGGTTCCCTGCATGCGTGATTATCAACTAGATAGTCTAGGTCATCACGGACTCATTTGGCGAGGATCATAGGGGCTTGACGGTGACTAGGTGGGGGTAGTACCTTGATAGCTATGCGTGAGCACTTTTCATGGCTTGTGGAAACCTTAGGTTGGGTCAAAGTAGATCCTATGTCAACGAGGAAAGATTGATAGGAAATTTTGCTTTTGTCGTAGCGTACATGTGGCGTATCTTTCCAACATCCATCGGAGATACTGGTCAAGTCTTCCCCAAAGGAGGGCCGGAGGCTGCCACCACCAGTCGTGCAACGTCTTATTCTTTCCCCAACACTCACCAATAATCAGATCATTCTACTACACCAATTAATTTGAAACTCAACGATCTCAATCGACTCTGTTAAACCTATATAGACGTTGTGGCATCTGGATTGGAGCACAAGCGCCCCCTCGCACTCGACCCAATGGACATTCCCGAAGGTCACAACACTTTCAACGAAAGGGTCATCACATTCCAGAGTCAAGAGACTATCGCCAATTCTGTCTCGCCGGGCTTTTACACCGGCTATCATGACCGCCCGGGCCGGGAAATGAGACAACGACGAAACGAGAGGCACTGTCGTTTGTACAAGGTCCCTCGAGAAATTTTGTTCGAGATTGTACACCAGCTTGAACCCACGGAAGTCTTTCAATTACGCCATGTATCGCAGCTGTTCTTACGACTGACGTCGGTCAAAGATTTCAAAAATCTTTTCCAAATCACAAGCCTACAAAAGCTTGAACAACTGATGCAAGGCGTCTTAGGTGACCCGAACATCCCCCCTCGCTTCTCGTCACCATTCCTCTTCTGGGTGGCCTTCGATGAACGAGCCAAGATCAGAGAGTGGCGTCGAAGGGAACTCTTGTGCCAGACGTGAAGCGAAAACTACGGACGACCAGTTGTTGGAGGTGCCGTTCATGAGTACAGACAACATCCCCATAAACTATTAGGTCAGGCCAGAAGGGACTTCAACAACCCATCGTACTCGATCGAAGAACGGGGTAATGCGTTAGGGCGAGTATACCAGACGGCATCGCAAACGCTACTACTACGGCCCCATTGCGATGGTTGCGGGAGGTGTCACGACGTGGCCTATTTTTCCTGTGATCAACTACGCCCCAATCTCGATAGCCGCATCTGCATCGGCCACGAAGGGAAATTGAGACTGTGTTCGCATGTTCAAATGTCTTGGGCGGAACTCTGGGCAAATATAGCGACCTACGACTCAAGGGACCCGGGATGGGAAACTCTCAAGGCAGTGTTCCAGCGAAACCCATTCACACACTGTTCGGCCTGTGAAGAAAGAGTTGGGGAGCATGGGAGCCCCCCGCGATAATCTACACGCCAACAAAGCGCCCCCATCGCCGAAATGTCCTCGGGGACGCCTTCTTAAATTTTACGCTGGGCTGGAAGCTCGTAGTGTGGAATTTGAGAGCAGGAGAAGTCGTGACGAAGGAACTTCTTCGTCATGCTCTGAGTCAATTGCAAGAAAGCTTTAGCGACTTCTGCTGCCCTCATATGATGTTTACAGACACAGCATTCACGGCGCCGTTTAGCTGGCACCGGTGCGTGTGCTTCAGGGAAACAGGTGTGTATACTACCCAACGACAGTGTCACGAGCACCGCACCGCGAGGGCTGGCACGGAATGTTGCGCATGCTATGCGACGACTCATCCCCATCTTACGGGGAAGTTGATGTCACATGGTATACATCCCGACCTACCCCGAGGTTCCACGCATGTAGTCAACTGTCAAAAATGTCACTTTGAATACATTTGGAGGTTGGAAGAGTCTCGAGTCACTCTAGAAGGACGGAAAACGATCAAAGTTCAGGATTCCAACGACTGGGAGACGGTGTATGATTGGGAAGAAAGCATAGATCCCACGACATATCGTAGAGATGAAGCAACCAGACACATTGACTGGTGCGAAGACGTAACGTGCTCCAACTCGAAGGGCCCACGTAGACGAATTACATTCTTCTAGAAGATGAGGAAGAACAGGAACAAGAAGAAAATAGTTGAAATCATCCAATTTACAAGTCACGCGTTTTGTGGGATTCTCAGGGTAAGCGAGGAAGCAACAAGCTTTTATGCCCTTCTGGCAGCTTTCTTGCAAGGCATCTAGGGACCTTGATAGAAGGTTGAGAACACCTCCCAGGAGTCATCACTGTAGATTTCTTCGCTGGGTTGCCTGCGCGGCTCTTTCAGGCGCCGAGGCGTCCTGATTATGATCTTCGCCATGTTGGACAAGTCACACCTTCAGTGACTTGGCTCGTGGTCGAGGCTGATACAGACCAGTCAAATTAAATAGAAGCCTAGCTCTATAGAATTAGGTCTTTTCTGTGGCGGGTGATCCGGCTGCACCTGAAAGTCAGCAATGCGCCTGTGTGATAATTAACATGTTTGTTGGTCTCTTAATAAAAATAGGTGCGGTGTTTGGGTTCAAAGAGACAATCCAACTTGCGAATGAGAAGTGAGAGTTGAGCCACAGGCCTTTGCCCTTATGTCTGTTTGATCGTCGGACCAATTCAGACTCCACTATCCAGTAAAGTCTCCGATTTCTGGCTTCCTGCGCCGGCCAAGCCCGGATCCGGACTGTTTGCTGTGGAACACCAACTGCGGAGGGGCTCGGGTTATCGCTGCAGCGGCCGTAAATCGAAGCGGGATGGTTGACCGGACGGATTTCAGGATCCTCGTGGCACTAAATCCCGGCTGGGGGTTTTGACTCGTAATCAATCTCACCATGCAGCTAGTCCAATCCTCCCGAATTCAAGACCAACAAACGGTCAACAAAACAGCCAGCACACTGAGAATAGTAAGCCGGATGACCAAATACGTTAGCATAGAACGCCGCAAGTGTTGCCCGAGCCGTATGTTCCACTCTGTTGGGACCAATCGTCGGCGCGTGAACGGAAATTTGATGTGGTGTAAAGGGTAAGGTGTTACCAAAGTCTCCTCGGGGTTAGTATGAACCCCGGATGTAAAGCGATTGCGCTATTGTCAGCCTTACCCCGTCCCACGGGTTAAGCGAATCTGGACACCCTCGAGCGGGTTAGTACCTGAAAATGCCGGGCGTTGTTTGCTTGTTGACTCGACGGGGTTAAGGCTGGATGTAGGGAGTTACGAGACGGAGTTCAGACACAGGCCATGGGTTTTTTAAATGCACGCGCATCAGCCCGTCTTGATGTTTTTGATGCTTATTATAAGATCTCCCACAGATGGGTAGTTTGCCAAGGTTCATCCATAAAACTTCTTTAATGCCCAGAGATTTCCCTAGATCCTGTCCAGATCTTGAACATGGACCAGCCTACTTCACAAAGCTCCAGAGAGCTCACCGAAACCCGCTTCACATCACCGGCATCGGCCATGACGCAACCATCAGCTACTCCTATCATCCTCAACATATCGGAAAAGCCACTGCCACCATCAAACGATTCGGACATTGAACAGACCGATAAGAAGGAAGCCGGCACTGAAGATGAGGGAAGTACGGCGGCGGACCAAGAGGAAGCCGAGGAGGAGTACATCGAGGGCGTCAGGCTCATCCTCGTCTTGGCGGCATTAACACTCACTGTGTTTCTCATGATGCTGGACATGTCTATCATCACTACGGTACGGTTTTCAAGATGTGGCGAGGTGCTCGTACAAATCTGATACTGGATCTAGGCCGTACCGGAGATTACAACAGCGTTCAACTCCCTCTCTGACGTGGGATGGTATGGCGCAGCGTACAGTCTCTGCGGGTATGTCAACCATATGCGCAGCCTTTTTCAAGGGAAACACTTCGAGTCATGTGCTCTTCGAATCAACCGAGCTGATATGTATCTCAAACTAGTGCCGCTTTGCAGCCCTTGGCTGGCAAGCTTTACACGCACCGCCACTCGAAAGAAATCTTCCTTGCCTTCCTCTTCGTGTTCGAGGCCGGATCACTCATCTGCGCCCTGTCTAATTCATCAACACTGTTCATCATCGGACGGGCTGTCTCCGGCATGGGGTCCGGTGGACTTTTCAACGGCTCGCTGACGATTATTGGCGCAACGGTTCCGTTGGAAAGGAGACCATTGATCATCGGGATCATGATTGGTATTTCGAACATTGGAATTGTCGCTGGACCTCTAGTGGGAGGAGCCCTGACGCAGTATACGACTTGGCGTTGGTGTAAGTTTCCTTTCCCCGCTTGATTACTCGCTTGATTTCATAGATGGGCCTTGAATCGAGAATGGGACACTAATTCGGGACACAGGTTTCTACATCAACCTTCCCATTGGTGCTGTTACTGCAGCTATGCTCTTCCTGATCCACATCCCATCAAAGATCACCAAGCCCGTCACCCTTCTCCAAATCCCCCGACACCTCGACCTTCCCGGGTTCACGCTCTTCGCTCCCGCGGCCATCATGTTCCTTCTCGCTCTACAATTCGGCGGCAATGACTATAGCTGGGACTCATCGGTAGTCATCGGCTTATTCGTTGGCGCCGCTGCGACCGCTGGACTCTTCGTCTATTGGGAGTACAGGGAGGGCGACGACAAAGCCATGATCCCGTTGGGATTGTTCAAGAACAGAATTGTCTTGACGAGCAGTCTCGTGGGGGCCTTGAACATGAGCATTACGCAGGTCTCAAGCTACTACATCCCAATGTACTTCCAGAGCGTCAAGGGTGAGACGCCGTTCAAGGGTGGTGTTCACTTCTTGCCGACCATCATTGCCCAGCTGGTCTTTGCTGTGGCGTCTGGGGCTTTGGGTAAGATGATGACTGTCGCGTACTTTACGCTCTCCTATGAATGTCAATTTGGAAATGCTGACCCTCTATAGTTGGAAGATTGGGATACTACCTCCCCTGGGCCGTTTTTGGATCCGTTCTATCGGCGATTGGCAACGGTCTCATGTCTACTTGGGACCCGTCTACGGATTCTGCAAAGTGGATCGGGTATCAAGTTCTCCTCGGTGCGGGTCGCGGTGCCTGTATGCAAATGGTGAGATATACCACCAAGTGACCAAAAAGACTAAGCTAATACTCGTGGTTCTTAGCACATCATCGCCGTCCAAGCCAACATCCCACCTGCAACCCTATCCGTATCGATGGCCATGCTCGTCTTCATGCAGACCTTTGGCGGTGCCATTTTCTTGACAGCAGGCGAAGTCATCTTTAGCGAAGGCTTGGGCAAAAACTTGGCAAAGTACGCCCCAGCCGTAGACGCAAAGACGATTTTGGCTGCGGGCGGCACGGGGTTCAGGAAGGTTGTACCGGAGAGAGATTTGCCTGGGGTGTTGGTGGCGTATTCGAAGAGTATCGGCGAGGTATTTTACCTCATGGTCGGAATTGGCGGTCTCGCGTTTGTGCTCTCGTGGGGTATGGGCTGGGTTGATATCCGCAAGAAGAAGGGAGAGAAGAAAGGGGACGTGTGAATGGCCCTAGCAATGGAAACGAGACTAAGCGCTGGAAGGAATGACGACATGTAGAGATTGTTATGATATACCCAACTCATATCTAATAAGCAGTGTTACATAGATAATCAGATGATTATTGGAATCCCACGGTTCAAAAAGCTGTCGTGCATCCCTTCTGTGTCATGTTTCACTCGGTGGAACACCCCGGTGTCGAACTTTCGGGCGCCGGCAGACTCGGACTCCAGGAGTGGATCCCGGATCGGCCTTTTGCACTTGGCGGTTCCGGAGAATAACACTAAAGTCCTCCTCTCTATTCTCTCGGTCGTGGTTTTGTCAGACAGAAATGCTTGAACCCGAATACGACACGGGTGCAATCTCGCTTGGTTGCTTATGTCGGGCTTGTGGCCAATAGAATGTCGGATTGCTTAACACTTGGCAAATGTCTCTGTGCAAACAAGAGCTAAGAATCGCACGACGCGGATGACATCTCTCCCGGCCAAGGCAGAGTGGAGCCAAAGCGTGGGGAATGGATCCTTCGCGTTGACGTCCATAAAACTCACGAACTTCCCTTCAGTGTAAGTGACCTTATCCAAAAACAGAACTGAGGCTCTAGTCAACAAAAGAAACCGAAAGTTACCGCAATGGCCGCAGAAATCGTCATGAACGCTACTATCCCAGTCCACCCGTATTTCCCTGCGGAGGCTGTGCTCCCCGGCTACGTTGCCAATACGTTTGGCGCGCATGCTCTTCGTGGGATATTTGCCGCAGGGGCAACCGCCATCCTTGCGCCGACGTATCGCATCATCAAGAGGACGAGCCCAAATCTCCCCAACGGTGAAGTTGCCACGGCATTATGGTTCACTCTCAGCGCATTCATCCATCTCTTCTTCGAAGGCTAGTGGTCCCCGGACGTCAGAGTCGAACAGGTCAACTAACACCCGAGCAGGCTACTTCTCATACAACCAATCCCACATGCCAGCATCCCTCCACATCTTCGGCCAGCTCTGGAAGGAATATTCACTCTCCGACTCTCGCTACCTCACCCAAGACTCCTTTATTGTTTGCATGGAGACCATCACCGCCTTCTGCTGGGGTCCGCTGTCCTTTGCGTGCGCATACTTCATTGTCACCAGCCACCCTCTCCGCCACCCGCTGCAGATCATCATCAGTCTCGGTCAGCTCTACGGCGACGTTCTGTACTTTGCGACATGCTCATTTGACAAGCTTGTTGCCAAGATGATCTACTGCCGGCCTGAAGACTTTTACTTTTGGTGTTACTACGTTTTCTTCAACGCCTTTTGGATCATCATCCCCTTTTATCTTATTGTTAAAAGCTGCGCGGAGACGAAGCGGGTCTTTGCAAAGGTTGCCGAGTTGGAGAGGAGCTCTTCGAAAAAGGATCTATGATCCTTGTTCGAAGAGGAGATGGCTTAATATCGGTGCTCGAAGAAAGCATGTACGGGTTTCTTTTTAGACTGTGATTGATGATGATCGGGTACTTCGTCACTTCAATTGAGTTCTTTCAAGGCCCCTGGAAAATACACGTAGCGAAGACAAGTAAGGTTGTTGGCATCGCAAAGTCGCCAGGCGCTACGGAAAGACTTCAGAGGGAGAGACATCACAGGATTTGGTTAATCGCGAAGATAAAAATTACTATTTCTCTATTATTATATCTATGTACTCATAATCTCATAATTCAATGTCATTATGGTCCAACCCACTCAAGGGGCGAACATGAACAGCGTCTCAAGCTGCTCAGAACTGTAGCCAGAGTAAAGCGCAAGCTGCAACAGAATGCGCGACTTTTGGGGGTTCAGGTTCCAGCCACCGTACGTGTTAAGCGCATCGTCATCCTCGACAAATCCACTCATGGTTCTGCTGGAGACAACAATCTGCGTGCCGTTCTCCTGCGCCAGAGTCTTGAGCGCGTTGCGGCCAGGGGTGGTCCATCCACCGGCGCCCATACCCGCAAGGACGAGACCCTTGGCACCGCTGGCAACGGCGGCGGTGGCGAGGGCAGGGTTCAGAGCTTGGTGGCCGAAGAGGATGTCAACTTCGGGCAGCTCAGAGGCCTCGGTGACGTTGAAGTAGGCGCGGCCGAGGGGCAGGACGGGAGGGTAGTAAAAGACGGGCTTGATGTCGAGGAAGAAGCCGAGGTAGCCCTGCTCGACGGCCTTGAAGGTGTCAAGGGAGTTGGAGTGGGTCTTGGTGGTGTAGTAGGCGCTGCCGATGCGGTCGTTGAGGACGATCATGGTGCCGCGGCCCGCAGCGGCGGGGCTGCCGGCGAGGGTGACGGCCTCAAGGAGGTTGATGGGGCCGTCGGCGCTGATGGCGGTGGCGGGTCTCATTGCGCCCACGACGACGACGGGCTTCTCGCTCTTGATGGTGGCGTCAAGGAAGAAGGCAGACTCCTCCATGGTGTCGGTACCATGGGTGATGACGGCGCCCTGGCAGTAGGGGTCATCGAGAGCCTCTTGCACGAGGCGGGTGAGGTTGAGGAGGATACCAGGGGTGATGCTGCCCGAGTCCACGTTGGCGACCTGCACGCCCTTGACGTTGGAGACATTCCACAGCTCTGGGACAGCGGCGATGAGGATATCGACGCCGAGAGCACCGGCTTGGTAGCCTGTTGTCTGTGCATTGGAGGAGGCTGAGCCGGCGATGGTACCGCCCGTAGCGAAAATTGTGATGTTGGGCAGGCTGGCGTTGTAGTGCGTCTCACGAGTGGAGAGCAGGTTGTATACCGGGAGCGGGGCCGGGGCCGCAAGGCCGAGAGCCAACTGGGAGGCAGCGAGGAGGAGGTTGCGAGTTTGCATCTTGACTGATTGCCTTGCGGAGAGAAAGTCACCGAGGATGCTGGTGGTTTTCTTGGGGACAATGGTGGCTATGAGGAGAGAAAGATTATTCGAACTGCTCTGCTGGCTGGTAAATCATCAGAACTTGGCGGCATGTTTACTTTGTCTTATATAGCGATTCTTGAATACGATGTATCTCCGAAATACGTGACTGTAGCCAAGGCGATAAGAACATTTAGCAACTCCCATTGATTCCGGTGTCAATATCCGGCTTGTGGGAAAATAACTCGCCCGACCCTTCCATTCCCACGCTAGAAACCATGGAAGATGCTCTAATTGACCAATACTCTGCCTCAGAAATCATCATCGACCTTATCTCGATGGCTTGGGTCCTATCACACGTGGGTTTGGGCTCCGAGTGCGCTCGAGACTAAGGCAGGCGAACGCTGGTTCCGTGCTCTCGGGTTTTCTCTTATCAGCTCGGCAAAAAAGTGACCAGTGCCGTCGTCGGCAGAGCCATACCGACCTAGTGGTCAAGTCCCGGGATGGTCTCCGTCTTGGGCCGCTTCGGTGAGTGGGCTCTCGAGTCTCCCCGTATTCAATGTTTGTCCTCCTCTGCGGGGATGTGAATGGACGGAGAGATGTCTTATCTGATACTTATCTTGATAGCTGGAGGAGATCAACTGGTCTGGGCAGAATAAGATTACGGCATAGCAACAGACCCCAACCCGGGGAATTGGCTAGTTCATGCTTATTGCTGCGGTTTATTGCAGCATCGCATGGCGGCCCCGGATCATTCTATGGGGCTGACATGTTCCTGCGGGGCCCGACGGGGCCCAAAGGCGTGGAAATGACTCGTTGGCTGGCGGGGGTTTCCTCGGACTCGTTTGTTGATAACGGACGGGAAAGATTCCCAGCCCCCTGGTCCAAGGTTCCGGTTCCGGCGATCCGCCCCGTCAACAATGATATCGGACCAATTTACTCAGAAGCTTGACATGCACAGCAGACGCATGTTGGCAATCCTGCAGCGGGAATAGGAGCTAAGGTATGATTCCATGGGAGCTAAGGTGTGATTCTTACGGGTAGGTAGCCGATTTCTTTGGGGTGCGGGTGCTTTATTTGGGATATCCCGATCTGGAATGATTGAGTAATACTCTGAGTTCCAATGACAGCTATCATTTGTGTCTAATGTGCCCCAGCCTTTATGTGGCTGTGTCCATTGAATGGAAGGTTCAAGAAGCCGGCGGCAGCTAGACGCGCAGTACGTCTTAGTCCCATTTACATGAAAGGCCGAAAGTTTCTGCGATGCCATTCTCACTCGTTTGTCATATTCATGACTATGGTTTGTCGGATAAGTGTCTTCGAGGACTGTTTCGAACGCTGAGGATCGCTGATGCACGTGGGGAAGAGAAGTGGACCACCGTGAGCATATGTAGACTGCCTTCGGTCTCTAGATCATTTAGCCTGACACGGGTTTAGCAAACACTTGCGATCACGTTTGTCTCGACCATGTGTTATAATCCACGAAGTAGTTTGGTCATTAATTGTAGCACAGACAACGAGGACAGTTCCATCGTACCTACTTACTTTTTCTAACATGATTGTTGACGAAGGCTTTGATGGATGATCCTACAGTCGTTCAAAATCCATCTTCTCTCCCTTCCCCATGCCTTCATATTTCTACTTTCACTTGAAAATTGCTCGCAGCATCATGAACGCTGAGTACCTTAGAGTTGCAGTATTCAAGGCGTATTCGCCAGCAAGAGCCTCGCGGAGTAAACTTGGAAATACAAGATTCTTAGACCGTGAAATTTGATGGTAACGGAATGGAAAAGCACTTAGTGGTAAGAGCAAGCGTAAAGTAATACCGGAGCGACCCAGGGATGCCATTCATGCATACTATCAATGGGGGCACGTGAGCTGCTGCTTTACCAGTATAGCACTGCACGGCTCGTAATCTGCGAATATGTGGGTATTTATACGGCACTTGCTACTGTATACCTGCCTTTGCACATTTGGGGAGAGTCGAGTTGCTACGTTGTATCAACAAATGGGAGAAGACTAAGATAAAGCTTTACTATCAGTTGATTAGAGGTTCTATGAGGAGTATGTCTGTTTGGACATGTTGAAGCTTTGGATCCTGTCAACTCTAGGTAATCAATTGGATCCCGGCCTTACACCGGGCACTCATCATTTTTTCAATAAACTCAGACACAACAGACCAAACAAAACATTGCAGGAACAATATCACCTCGCATACTGAGAACCGCAGTCCATAAGTTTGTCAATGTCAGAGGTGTTTGCCACTTCCCCTTGCATGAATGATACCTTAGGTTGTACGACCAAACCTGTTCAAAGAAAGACGTTAGAAGTAAGGTGGTTATTCTCAAAGCTCCTTGCACTGCATCTCTTTGGTAGCAAAGGAGTCGCCCATTCAAACGCATCTGCAATCAGAGCTGTAAGATAGGTAGTTGATCAAGAGGGACCCGGGCTGGTGTTGCCATTCCATTTTTTCATGTCTGCAAGAGACCTTGACTGCTCAAATGTTTCCGCACTCCTGACTATGATATGCAAACATACCTTACTCTCATAATTTCGCCCAAGCCATCCCTCTGTGTCTGACTTCAATGTCGATAGATTGCCCGTATCAGCCATCTCGAGGCTCGGTGTCTTCAAGTGTATCAAAACCCCAAAGTGAACAATTCTCGGCAGTCAAGTGCTCGTATTCTAGTTTCCCATCGCGTATGCCGCAAATTACGAGTGAAGTGATCAACGGGAGACCGAGGTGTAAATCGTACCCCGTGATCCCACCGCTCTATACCTTGCTTCACCTCCAGCTTCACCTCATTTGGCTACCTAGGCGTGACCCAGGAGGAAGACACGGCACACCTCCCTGCGGGGTGAGCTCCTTCCTCGCTCTATCCACGCGTGTATTCATCTGAAAATTCTCGCGGCCTCCACGCTCTCACCGCTTCAATTACCCAAAGAGGAACTAGAAGCAAGCAAGTCCCGTGATCTCCCTCTTCGCCGCCTGGCCAGGCGAGTAGCATTTCGTACCCTCCCACCACCCAGCCCTGACTGTTGTTTCCCCTCCCACAAACCAGAACAAAGACGCACTTCACCGTCAGTGCCTCCTTGGACGAAGATTCCTAATTCCATTTCTCAGTCTTCCTCCCTCATTGACGCCTTGTCTGGCTCTCTCTCTCTCCTCGAATCCCAGTCGAGTATCCCTTCTTCGCTTTACTTTACTCACAGTTTCTTGCGCAAGGCAAAATACTCCCTCAACAGCAGAGATACGGTCTCATATCCCCAGTCTCACGATGCGAATAATTCTCGCGCCCGTTCTTGCCTTTGCGGCGATTGCCCTCGCGCGCGCCGTCCCCGAGCACATTGCCTCCGACCACATCGTACTCGAGCAGACCCTCGCTGAGGTTCCTGCCACCATCGCGGAGTATAGCACCATTGCTTTCAAGGCTGCCAACGGTTCTGATGTTGTGATTCACGTTGCTCCTGGCGTGTTCATGACTGATGATGTCTCCAAGCTCCCCAACGACATCGGCAAGCAGTTCAAGATCAAGAAGGTGCCTAAGCTGATGGAACTTTGCACCGTCCGTGCCAGCCAAAAGGACAATGGCGACAAGGGCACTCCTCGTCGCGATGACTGCCAGGCCCTCTACGATTATTGCCACAGCCACCCTGTCTACTTCTACTTCGACAATAAGATCGACCTCAACCGCTGGGCCGAGGTCGCCTTTGTTGGTTCCTGCGCCTACCGCACTCGCACCGTCCACCACAATGTCGTCTTCTCAACCGGCGATATGGCCAACTTCCTCGACAGATCTCTGAGCCGTAAGGCTTGGACCGACAAGGACCGCATGTCTGCTTCCGGCGAGGCCGATTGCACTGTCTATGAGGGCGGTTCGGGCTTTGCTCCTGTCTTCTGGAGACTCCAACAGCGCGGCCCTCTTGATGAACCCGCCTTCAATTTGGGCAACAACACCTTCATCCCGAACAATACCACCGCCCTTGAGACTCGAGGCAGAAAGCGCGAGGCGCCGCTCATTGTCCAATCCCTAGACGAACTCCCCAGACATACCTCTGCCTTCATTTCCAACGGGAATGCCCACGCCATCAACACCACCAACATTGGTCTCTCTTCCGACATCCCGACCAAGGACAAGCGATTCGACCTGACACTCGATGGTCCCGCTGAAGGACCATACTGCGATGCCAAGTGGCTTTCCGCGAATTGGAGAGAGCCTAACCGCCCTCTCCGCAAGGACTGTCAGAACCTCTTTGACTTCCTCAAGACCAACACAGCCAAGGTCGTAGTTTTCGACCGCGAAGCCAATAGAATGGTCAAGTTCACCGCCCATGAGACTTGTGCCGTCGGCTTCACTTCCCTCTCCAACACCAACATCACGTTCACCAACCTTGACACGGCTAACTTCGTCGAGCGCATGCTTTTTTGGGACGGAGCTCAATTTGAATCCGACTATACAATCGGTAAGATGGGCGGGATGTGCGGCTCCGAGAAAGAAACTCACGTGAAGTACGAGAGCGAGTTTGCACTGGTCTACAGAGATCCTGAACTTGCCGGCGAAGGCCACGTCGACCCTCCTGAGGACAGCAAGCGAGACATCATCTCTACCATTCCAGCTCCAGAGATCATGGAGAAAGGTGCGATGATGGTCAAGTCTGGCTCCCCAGAGGACTTGGCTGCTACGGCAGAAATGGCCAACATCCCCAGCGACACGAACCCCTCGCTGGACTGGGTCGATTACACCGTCACCGACGGCAACGGCAATAACGTCACGGCCCAGCTCAACGCGAATCTCCTACATATCCCCCTCGCCAACAGCAAGGCACTTGGCACCAGACTGGAGAGGGTCGATACGCCCCTCGGCCCTTCCAAGCGATGCACGGGCAAGGTCCAGTTCTGGGGTGGCGCCAAGCCCAACTCGCCTCTCATCGCCGACTGCGAGAAGCTTCGCAACTTCATGTCTGTCCGCCGCTTCCGCTTCCGATTCAACCAGGACGAGATCAATAGCGGTAACGCCACCCCTCTTGCCAAGGTTGGCTCCTGTCGCATCGCCTGGTTGCCCTGGGGCTCGGATATCACCGTCGGCAATATGGACCTCGACATTCTTCTCACTAAGGCCCTCAAGCTGTACGACCCCAGCCAGACCCGGATGCGTCTTTGGGGTTGGGAGTACTGCGATAATGACGGGCAGTTTGGTGTGAAGAATCGCATCAAGTTCTACATCTTTTAGAGCTGTAGATGGACGGTAATGGATGGGAATTGCATACGAGTGAGAACTGGATTGGCTCTGTTTGCTATTGTTTGGCCATACTATTGGCCAAGCAACTGCGTAAGATGATCAAATGGATTGATGAATCAGAAAATGCGGTTCTATGCCACAATACATGGAGGTGCCATAGATGAGATACGAGACAGACAGCCCTAATAATCCATTGACTTCTTGCGAGTACATTCGTTTGTCTTTCATGCTGACGTGCTTGGGATCTTGTAGCTGTGGATCCCTTGGAAGCTGAACGCCAACGGGCCACTCGATCAAGTCGTCGTGACTCGACGGCCCACGTGTCGCGATGCCTCAACCCTACAGGCTCACTCGACTGTGATAGAGAACAGCCAGCCGACGGCATTTCAGATGGGTGTTGACTTCACCGTTTTCGCGTCGCGTCCGACTTCCAGGGAGAGAGATTGGTGTTGCTCATTCACTTCGTAATAATTCTCTAGTCGCCGACATTACGCCTTGACGACCCCGGAGTCACTAGGCTCACTATGGCTCCTAATATCTTGCCTAACTCTGGCAGAGTGTAAGTAATATTCACTGAAAAGTGTTCGCATACGCGGACTCTGCTCTCAATTTGAGACCCCTAGGGCCTCCTTCGTCCTCTTCTTCGAAGGCCCACAGACGATGACGAGGACGAGCCACTGCAACGCAAGAGGATATACCACACATAATTGACAAGGAAGGGCAACTTTCTTCATAGCCATCTACTAACTACAGTCATTAGACTCCTGGGAATTTTAAGCTTCACGTCATTTACACCACAATACCACCGACTGCGCGAACAAGGCCACTGCAACGGACTTTCACCTTACTACGTCCTCTTCGACCTCCTCTGCGCCACAGAGCAACTTACCATAGGCCTCTTTCTCAACGTCAACAATGCTGGAGTTCTGCGGCCCGACGCCTTTGTCAATACTCCAGTTACGGCTGGCGACTGGCTCAACCTCGGCCAGCTAGTCGTTGTTTGGCTTTGTACTTTCTATTTGTGAGGATCCTGGACATGAAAAAGCAAAGCTATTTGTCAATAAAGTAAGCTTGTGCTTACCCTTGCTTTTGCAGGTTCATTCTATCCATCCGATATTCTTCTGGAACCCACGATACACGAATCCACAAACAAGCCATCAGCACAATTTTTGCTATCTTCCTTTTCTTCAGCATCGTCCCCGTTCTCACAGACGCTAGCCTCCCAGCCTCCCGATCCGAATCCCGACGATGGGCACAAGATATCTTCGTTCTGGTCCACTACAATCTCCTTGTACCTTTATCCACAGCATTCAACATCCTCTCCGTGATCACCCAATCATGAGAGATACGCTCCAGAGGTGGCAACGCAGGCGCCCTCAGCCTCCCGGGTCTTGCTATCCAATGCGTCACCTTTGCTCTTGTTGCGATATCATGGGTCTTCCGCGTCAAATACCCGCCATATTCGCCTTCCTGGGTTGAGTGGTATCGCTTGATTGGGTGGCCAGTTGTCAATGGTGGCCTTGCTTCGTTGGTACGGGGGGCGTTGCTAGTCTTTGCCCTGCGCGAAGGCATGGACGAGGGGTGGGAGGGTCTCGAGAGACAACCTCTGCTGAACTTCTGGTGAAAGAACCGATATTTGCGTCTGCAATGCACCAGCATACTTGAGATGCAAATCCGCTACGTAACGTGAGACTCCATCACTGTCTTCTCAACTCCCGCCTAAATCAGAACTCCAGAAGTCAACACCCACAGGTCAAATGATCCCCATCCCGTGGATCGCGCACGGAACTTTCGTTTCCCATGTTATCCTACGCGACGCTTGGCATGCCGGGATCTTTGCTCCTGCAAGTCAGAGAAAAATCTGCTGTTTTGTTTCCAACCCCTCAGTCGCAAGTCCCCGCGCAACGTCTTGGCTTAACGTCACCTTCCGAATAGAGATACTCTTGGCGCATCATCAACTCGGCGCATGGGAGATGGCAATCAAATAATGTTTCTCAATCTTCTGAGAAATATCCTTCTGTCGGGAGTCTCGGGATCAGACCAGCTAGGGCTAACCAGGAAACAACGCAATGAGCCTTGGCTGCATTAGCCGTGACAGTGATGATGGGGAAACCGTTACAACCAGACATCATCTTGGGAGTTCGGACGAGATAGCAACTGAGTGAACATGACCCTCGCCTTGTCAGCACAGACGTTGGTCTTGGACAGAATCCCCCGAAACAATTGGTCAATGGCTTTGCAAGAAACCCGGGTCCTGCAGATCTATCATCATGTGTGGTCCTGGGAACTTTTTAAGCCCAACATCACCAAGTCAAAAGTTCGCAAAGTTAGTTTACCTTTAGACGGGAGCTCAACTCACCGCCAACGTGCGGGCTAAGCTTTCCAAAGTTCCCAGCTTCCCGTTCTAGTTCTCGGCATACATGAGATAAAGTTGCGCCGCTCTTGGGACCATTGCCCCAGTTTGCGCTTGAGGTACGATTACCCCTCAACTGGACTTATTTCTCTGCCGAACTTGGAGCTTCTTAAACGTCAGCGATCGTGATATCCCTGCAACATGCCACTAGGTGAGGGGGTTAGCTCTAGCGAAGTATTCGGCCACCGACCGTGTCGGGGGATGGGACGAGTATATAATGGACCAGATGACCTAGGACGAATCTTCATCGAATGAACCCAAGCGGACCTCGGTCAATTGTTCATCTTTACTGACTCTAGTGGATCGCTGTCACCATGCGCTTCACGCCTCTCCTCGCGGCCCTAGCGGCCTCCTCGGTCGCTGGCTCGTTTGTCGAACCCCGTGACCCAAACAAGTTGTTCACCCTGGAGATTGCTCCAGGCGAGACTGTGACCGTCACGGAGGAAGAGAAATGGGAGATGATGGATGTACGTGACCTTGAAGTTGTTGATCCTCATTCTCGCGACCGAAGCTCACGTACCTAGAAACGCGTCCACTTCTTCGACATCACAGAATGGTCCGACGTCCCAGCCGTCGCCCCCTCCGCAGACTTCAAGCTCCTCGCTGCCCTTCCCTTCCCTACGGAAATGAATCAGACGTGCCACGTCAATGCCCTAATTCCGAAGCTGAACAAAGACAACATGCAAGCGCATCTTGAGCGCTTTTCGTCCTTTCACAATCGGTACTACCTCTCGAAGACGGGCGTTGAGTCAGCAGAGTGGCTGTATGGCCAGATCAACGCCGTTCTGAATGTAGCAGGACATCCCACCGCCAATATCCGATATGTGCGTCATACTGCGTGGTCGCAGCCTAGCATTATTGTCACAATTCCGGGGCGCAATCAGCGGACCGTTGTCTTGGGTGGGCATCTTGACTCGGTTATTTCTGGAGATCGTGGCGCTGGCCGTGCGCCTGGTGCTGGTAAGTGCCTCACGCCTGTTCACTTCAAATGAGGGTTGGAGGAACAAGGCTAATGATATCACTGTACTAGATGACAACGGCTCCGGCTCGGTCATGATTCTTGAGGTCCTCCGTGTCCTCCTCTCTGACCCCAAGATCGCCTCTGGCGATATCCTGAACACCCTGGAGTTCCACTGGTACGGCGCCGAAGAGGCCGGTCTGCTTGGAAGCCAGGACATTTTTACTCAATACCGTTCCTCGAGCCGCCAAGTCGTGTCAATGTTGCAGCAAGATATGGTTGGCTACATCGGCCGCGACGGCGTTGAGAGGTTTGGCGTCGTTACTGACTGGGTGGACTTGGACCAGGTTGCATTCATGAAGCGCGTCATTGATACTGTAAGTTGCTTATGACATGATTGCAGGCTTCCGTCCTGGGATTTAGATCCTATGATATGAAATTGCTAATACACGACTGTCTCACTAGTACACCGATATCCCTTACGAGGAGACTGTCTGCGGATATGCCTGCTCCGACCACGCTTCTGCCAACCGCAATGGCTATCCTTCATCCTTCATCTTTGAGACGCCTTTCGGCAATCATAACCCTTATATCCACAGTCCAAATGACACGATGGAGTACGTCTCATTCGATCACGTTTTGCAGCACGCAAAGATGGCGACCGGATACGTGTACGAATTGGCATATTGGCCTTTCGCCTAAGATAGTCGTTGAAGTGGAAAAGCATCGATGAAATGCCTCGGAGACATGGAGATCTTGGTAGGATATTGATGCGAGATAGAGAGTCTGCCCAGTTAGCATGATGGAGAAATTAATAATAATTAGTGCATTCCAACGACAGACTCCAATAATACAGAGGAACAATATTCCGCATGTTGGTGGTATGGCTCCAAATGAACGATGTTGACCATCGCAGGTTCTGTTACAGTCGATCTAGGAAGAACGAAAAGCAAAAAATGAGCTGTCTGTGACTCTATGTAGGACCACCAAATCCAAACTCGCAACCTTTTTAGGACCCAATTACGCGTTAGTACTTCCACCACTAAGTCATATACACTCCAGACGCTGCTCATATCTTCCTACGACAGTTCTTGCCTTATGGGGTCTACCGGGCATCTGGGTGGGTTGCGTTGGATATACATGCGTATTCCGTGAATCTGCTGGTTCCTCAGGCACCCTCTACGACCTGGCTTCCTGACTTCCATTCATGCACGGCACGGTCTGCTTCTCTTGACGTTTGATATCCAGTGCCTGCCATAATGTCCTTCATCTTGAGTTATGATATGTCTCTGTACCTTGCCCAGGCTATGGGCTCCCCTTCGTCATTCTTTAGTCATTCCAGAACTTCTAATACGCTGCTCTTCGCCCATGACTTCTGAAGATGGCAGAGAAAGCTCGAAGAAATTGTCTAAAAAGCAAAAAGGCATCACAGTCATAGTTTGGAGGTCTCGTAAAAGCCAAATTGTCCCATTCAATGATCTATCTAGAGGTAAAGAAAGCATGCTGGCGACCTCAAACTCTAATGCCCTTACTTGGGGCAACCAATGCCCCAGCCAGTGGTAGTGGAGCAGCAATCAGCGTCCTGAATTATTAAATGTGAGTACATATGAACATGGTAGAAGAAAGTGCAAAAGGAGAAAAGCTTACACAAGTCTTGGTAATCGGGTTGCCTCCAAGCATGACGTTCTCGCAGAAGCTGGCGCTCTGCTCAGCGCAGTACTGGGCGCTGGTGCCACGAGCAGTGCCACCCTTGTTCTGGTTGGTGCAAGCCTTCTGGCCTTTGCCCCAGCAGCAGTTGTCGAGAACGGCTTCGCCGTTCAACCAGCTGTAGATGCGACACTGTTTAGGAGGTTAGCAGATGAAATGAGACCTACTGAAGTGGGAGACTCACAGAAGCGGCGAGAGTGCCAATGGTGTAGGCAAGGCCGATAAGAGTGATCTTGGAGAACTGCATTGTGAAAGAGTTGAAGGATTGAAAGTTGTATAGTTGGAAACGAAGTGAGTGCGACGGTTGAGAGAGTGTTGGTGTTTGGTGCGCGTCCAACTCTGCCAGCTTCTGCTACAATGTCAAGGGACAGGGTACCCAGGTTCTCGTTTCGGACACTTGTGTAAGTTTATCTCATAGCAGTCAGGTTGAATGATTTACTGAACACTGAATAGATGCCGATTGCTGTGACACCGTCACCGGCTGGGGTTTTGGATGCCCTAAGTAAGCTATCACTCCGGGATTCAAATAGATGGGAGGGCATGATACTTCTCTTTTTGGAATGCATACTTGGATAGGTTGTTAGATACTTCACTTCAATGATTTTCGTCTGGATCTGAAAGCAGAATTTGATACGCTGAACTATGTGAAACATGAACAGCGACGTCTGCCAACATCACTCTGCCTCGACTTGAATTAATCAATTAGCCCCTCGCGATCATGGTGCTTCTGCAAGGAATTCAGGTGTAAGCAGGATGCATCTTTTCACTTCTGATACAATTGACTTGAGTTACACAAATTACAGCCTAAATACTTCCGGCAGCTATCAACCCAGGTGGGTGGACTTACAATTGAGTGCTGAAATTCCGAGTGTCAGCCAAGAGTCTTTCAACCTGTTTTATTAAATATGCATCCTTGGTCAATACGATTTCCATTGAGAAAAGTGCAACATCGGTTGCAACTTCAGCATCTCATTGGCCAGCATAGGGTGCCAAGCTTCAACGTGTTCATCTGGAGCTGATCGCCAATTATCTGTTGCGACATCTACTGTCATCTCAACCTTTATCCTTCTTAACTCCGCCGTCTCGGTCAGCCATCGCCGTGGGGGTTGTAGTCGGGGACTTTCCTCCGAATTCTAATTGTCTGTGTGCAACACTGATCGCTTGCAGAGTATGCTTCGCGTCTTCCGCGGATACCGCACTGAAGTTACCCCGCATCGCCATTTCGAGATGGATGGTATTAATATGTATGGTTGGTTGCCACGTCGCCTAGTGTCAGATCCTAGCCAGGGGTCTTCTTGCGGATACTCCCGGATGGTGGCGGCCTCTCAGAGGAACCCTTAATGTTCTTCGATTGTTTTTCAAGAAGACAATGCTATTGTCTAGTCAAAGTCTCAAGTTGCTACCACGCGGATGACACGTTGTCGACGACTTAGCTATCAGGCTAGCTGCAGGATTTCAGCACAGATAAGTGAGACCGGAGAGACGCTGGTGAGCTGTGATGAGTCTCTTCTGTCCGACATCAGCCAATGAATAAGCAATTACATTGCAATATGGGCCATCTGCCGGGCTTGGCGGTGGTAGTGTCGGGTAAAAGGCCGAGAGAACGCAATTCGGAAGAAAGTTATGCGCCCCCAAATCTGTAAGGAAATCTACCGAGAGCGGGGTGTTTATTGTTTCTATGGTGTTGCCTAGGCCAACAGCTCGCGTCCACGTACCTACAAAACGCATCTGGCTAAACTTGGAGATTGAACAGAGGCGCTCTCGTTCTCGGCTGGACTCAATGGTTTCTTCTTCCAGAAATGATAAGATGGCCAAGAAATGGTGCAATCCCTACGCCCTGCATGAGACGGACCGTATCCGATTGAGTAGTGTGAGACAGCGGGGTCCTCCTACTAGAGTACCGCCATCGCGAACCAGAGCAAGCAGCGCTAGAGCGCGATGTCCACTTTTGATACGAAAGAGGCATCAAGCTCCTCGAGCTGTCAGTGATAGTCTCGTTGGCGCAGGACGCATGTGATATGTAGAAATGTGCCGATTGGCCCGAGACCCCGCACCATTGCATGAAACTTTAGGTCTCATTCAATGGGACATTGTTAATCACAGCGATCTGGAAGGAGGATAAGAAATGATGAGGTGTGTGGATCTCGTCGCCTTGCGGACAATGAGGGGCAAAGAGTCTTGTTGGTGCGCCTACGCAGATCAGACTCGGAGCTTCAGGTGTAGCTCAGGCAGAGCTGTCCAGGTCGTCAAGGTTCTAGGCCTGGGCGGTCTTGAATTGTATAAGTAGGAGAGCTCGCCGGCGGGATTGGACCAAGGTAGAAAATTTTGGCTTTGCGAAATCAAGTCTTTGCCTGCACACTTTGTACTCGATCTCTCAATACCGTCTTCACTACTCATACTCCTAGCTCTCTCATACCTACACACAGCTTCATAATGGGTGTCTCCACTGAAGTCCCGCAGACCGTCGAGTGGTCCGGGAAGAGGGTCCCCATCTACCCCATGGAGACTGTAGACTTTGGACGCGTCCTGTCCCAGGAGCCAGCTGAACTCGAGAACATGCTCCGCATCTGCCAGCAGCAGGGCTTCTTCTACCTGGACCTAAACGGCCTTGACGGCAGCAGATTCCTCGACGACCAGCAAAGAACCCTGGAGCTCATGCACCGCTACTTTGAGGCCCCTATCGAGGACAAGAACGAGTTTGGCCTCATCACCGCACATCTCGGGTAAGCATTCACCTCATTCAAGAGATCAAACCGTCTAGATAATGCTTACGGATCAATTCTTAGATACGAGCCCGTCGGCTCCCGAACCGGTGGCCTCCCCAATACCAGAGACGGATATGAAATGTTCAAGGTGAGCTCATATCCTACGTAACACACGAGTGCTGTCAATGAGCTCTCGCTGACCTACTTCGAATCAGGTTTCCCGTGATGAGATCCAAAGATCCGACCCCAAGTTCCCCAAGATCTTGCAGAACGACAAGGAGAAGGCAATCCTGAAGAACGCCATCTCTGGCTCCAACCTCGTTACCAAGACCGTCTTGTCCGGTCTCTCCTCCGCCATGGGCCTTGTTGGCGCTGCCCGGTACGAGAATGCCCACCGCAACGACCGCCCATCCACCTCCACATTGGCAATGATGCATTACGTCCCCGCCGACCCCATTAAGGATAATCAGATCGGCCACCAGAAGCACACCGATATCAGCTCCCTTACGCTCCTCTTCGCCGAGGAGTGGGGTCTCCAGATCCGTCCTCCCGGATCCAAGGAGTTCGGCTTCGTCGCCCCCAAGAAGGGCTGCGCCATCATCAACGTTGGCGACTCTCTCCGCTTCGCCAGTGGGCACACCATGATGTCGTGCATCCACCGCGTGGTCCCCTACAACCCCGAGCAGCACCGCTACTCCATTGCCTACTTCCTCCGTGCCGAGAACGACACCATGTTCAAGGACAGCGAGGGCAGATATGTCACTGCCGGCCAGTGGCACGATGAGAAGTTTTACCTGTTCAAGGCCACTCCCGATATCCAGGCTCTCGCTCCTCCTTCAATGCTTTACGGTGGCATGACTGCCGATGAGGAGTGGACCCCGTACGCGCAGCCGACTGCCAAGGCGCACGCGCCTGAGGTGTCTGAGGAGCTTAAGCAAGCTCCGGCTGTGAAGGAGACTTTGGTTGAGGCCCATTGAATGGTAGCCTTAGTGTAAATAAATGAGACCAAATAAGTGTATCTACCTTACGTTAACTTGGCATATCAAGGAGTGGGAGCCCCCCTTTTACAACCACCAATTGAACACGGCAACATGAATCTATGTGATGAGAATATGACTGATACTCAATCATTCGTCGTACTGTGATGGTGGTGCCTTGACGGTATTCCCTAGAGTCTGTGTCTGAACTTCTTTCATCTACGACGAAATGTCGGCATCCTTTTCCGAATTGGTTTGGCAAATGCTCTCGTATTCATCATGCGGTATTTCTTTTTCCTCTAATTTACCATCCGGGGGCACGGTGATCAGGGCGGGGTCTAAATCTAGATGGCGTCAGTGGCCAGAGTCAATCCAGCCAGCCCGCCGGACAAGTACCTTATGACTGACTGACGAAAACGGGCTAGGCACCAAGCATCGGTCAATTTTGATGATCGGAACATCATCTTCCAGAGACTGACCTCTATGGTTACGCTACGAATCCCGCTGGACCCCGTAGGCACCACGACATAATCAGCCGAGGATGCAGAGCTTCGGGAGGAAGTTTAGTTTTAGTTTGGGCTGCTCGGAACTAATTTAGGCGAGTTAAGCCCTGTCCGAATCCTTGTTGCGATCATCAAAGCTCCTCAGAAGCTGGGGACAGGGGCACCCTCACCCGAACGGCCTAGGAGTCCTTGTTGTTGTCCCTTGTTGCCAGTTGATTCTCTGTTGACAGACTTCAAACTCACCACGTGGCTCTGTTGCACTCCTCAGCCACTGACACTGACGATCGAAACAATGGCACCGTTCACGGCCGCGGAGAAGAAAGATGAGTTGCCGCCTTACAGTCCTCCGGCAGCGACAGCGGCTGAACGTCGCCGTGTCCCTCCCTCGTCAGTGCGGCGGCGGCATCATCCGGCTCTCCAACTTCTACCCCGCAGGTCGCGAACATTGCGCGTTCTTGGTTTAGCATGCCTCGTGTTCATCGTCTACGCGCAATGGAAACAGATTTACCCCGTGGGCGGCGTCTCCGGTCCGGACTTTACGATTCATGGGCTCTCAACTCGCCACTTGCGAGAGGACCTGAAGACTTGCGAAAAATTGCACAGTCGGCCGATTGATCCACCAGGCTTAGGTAGGACACGGAACGCTCGCTACGTGGATGGCAAGAACCCTACAATCATTAGGAACGCAACGATCTGGGTCGGCGAGCCAACTACAGAGTCTGCTGGCTACTCTTGGATTTCGGCCGATGTTTTCATCCAATATGGTCTCATCAAACAGGTCGCCAAGGATATTGCGATAGCCTCGCTGCCCGAGGATGTTCTCGTCTACGATGCGGGAGGGCGGCCGCTCACCAGCGGCATCATCGATATGCACAGCCATGCTGCAGTACACTCACTACCAACACTACACGGAAATGAGGACGTCAGCGAACTGTCGAAGGACATCACTCCATATGTCCGATCCATTGATGGCATTCAGCCGACGGATTACCAACTACAGGTGATCAAGTCCGGCGGAGTCACAACCTCGTTGATCCTGCCCGGGTCCAGCAACAACATTGGCGGCGAAGCCTTTGTGATGAAGCACGCCGTCGGTACTGCTAACGGACGGAATGAAACAAGCGTGATTGATATGTTGGCTGATCCGGATCGTACCTGGCGGCATATGAAGATGGCTTGCGGCGAGAATTCCAAGCAGGTTCATGGGAAAGCGGGCGAACGTGGTCCATACAGCCGCCTCGGTGAAAGTTGGGAATTTCGTCAGGCTTTTGAGCATGCTACCAAGTTGATTCGCGAGCAAGACGACTGGTGCAATACCGCGGCTCGAGGCTTCGACCATGTCCAAACTTATCTTCAGAACAACCTGGAATGGGAAGCATTGATTGCTGTGCTCAGGGGCCAAGTCCATGTTCATGCTCATTGCTATACCATCAACGACCTCGAAGCGTTTGTGGACCACACGAATGAGTTCAAGTTTCCCATTCGTGCATTTCATCATGCTCATCAGACGCATCTCGTGCCTGAGGTGAGTAGATCGCAAAGCCCACTGTGGCTTCTCTCAATACTGCGTCTGTTGCTCACTCGTCACTTCCCAGATCCTCAAACGGGCATGGGGAAACAACCCACCAGCATCCGCTCTCTTCGCGGATAACATGTGGTACAAAGCCGAAGCTGCTCTAGGCTCAGAATACGCGGGGAAACATCTCTACGACGCTGGACTCACCCCCATCTATGTTAGCGACAACCCGGTGCTCAATGCACAGCACGTTGTGTTTGAAGCTGCAAAAGCGTACAAGTATGGTCTGCCTTACCACGTGGCGCTCGCATCCGTCACTACTGCTCCGGCTGAGAGGCTGGGATTAGAGCATCGCCTTGGCAAAATCAAGGCCGGCTTCGATGCCGATATTGTTGTCTGGGATAGTGACCCGTTAAGCGTTGGAGCCACACCGATTCAGGTCTGGATTGACGGCACTGCTCAGTATGACGAGCCCGTCAGGCTTAACAAGACATATGAGGGACTTATGGTCCCCGATGAGAGTCTCGGTGAAGTCATTGAAAAGCCTGAGATCATGCGAGGAGACATTGTGTTCACAGGAATCTCCAAAGTATTGCACTCCATGACAGTGGAAAGCTTGGCTGCCGATGGAAAGACGTATAACGTAGCCATCTCAGACGGCAAGATTACCTGCGTTGGAAGCTGCGAAGCCGAACTCCAAGCAGCGTCTGGACCAGAGGGTTTTCTAATTCATCTCAAGAATGGGTACCTTACTCCAGCATTCACCGCTTTTGGCTCGACAATTGGTCTCAACGCCGTCGATTCGGAGCGGAACACTGACAATGGTGCGGATGGAGGAAAGTTCAGCCGCGGTGTCGACGGGCTCGCACTCGATACCGAGAAGCTGCAGGTTGCCCACCGCTATGGTGTCACCCGAGCCATCTCGGCCCCTAAATTCACCGCTCTCGGCACGCATCATGGCACAAGCACTGGATTTGTGACTGGGGCTGGGACTATCCTTGACCGTGGTGCCGTATTTTCTCGAGATGCTGCTGTACACTACACTCTCGATCTCTCCGCGAAGAGCGGTGCCGATGGAATCTTGTCCATGTCGGCAGCTGTCGGTGAGCTGCGACGGAAGCTTCTGAGGGCAGTCTCTTCTTTCGTTGCGAATGACAAAGTCCCCGTGGAAGAGCGATATTCGGAGTCTGCGTTTCTTCGTCAAGTTGTTAAAGGCCAGATGGCACTCGTTGTGACTGTGCATAGCGCAGACACCATTGCTGCCTTGTTGGATGTCAAAAGCACCGTGGAAGATGCCGTTTCAGAGCTCATCGAGAGCTCAAAGAAGCTTCATCTGGTCGTATACGGCGGCGCCGAAGCACATCTAGTTGCTAGCGCGTTGTCTGCTGCCAGGGTGGGAGTCGTCTTGGCTCCAATTCAATCCTTTGCCATCTCATGGGATCAGCGACGAGCGCTTACTGGCGCGCCTTTGACAAATGGCACAAGTATTGATGTCCTGCTTCAGGCCGGAGTTGATGTGGCTATCGGCCTGGAAGAGGACTGGATTGTGCGAGACCTTGGCTTGCTTGCGGGCGTTGCGTACAGAAACGGCGAAGGGCGACTGAACGAGAAGACTGCGTTGGATTTGGTAGGGCGCAATGTGTACAAGGTCCTTGGACTGGAAGACGGACTTCAGCATGAACACTTTGTGATACATGACGGTAGCCCCCTAGAGATTGGATCGAGGATAAGGTCGGTAAGTGATGGGAGATCTGGACTGTTAGTCTTCCGATAGGAAACTTCAAAATGATAGAGGATTAGGCATAGGAGACGGAATCGGCCGAGAACGCACGTGTTGGACCGCTCAGACGATGTCACTCGTCTCCCAGCGCGTCCCAAATTGACAGCCTCATGTCCCACAGGCCACAATCAGAATCTGCACGGTTAAGGCACATGAGTTTGAACATTAGTAACAGATGTCTTGTCAACAGATGCATGGTCTTTCTACGTCGCAAACTTGGCAGTACCTTCCAACACGACGCTCTGTAAACCAGGACCTTTTACATCCTCCAAGGGCGCAACAAAGGCCATTTGGCTCCAGCTGAAGATTGTATTACGACCCCCGTACACAAAAACCTCGAAGCGCCCTGCGAACTCCCCATTGATCCAAGCCATGCTCCCGTGAAGTACGTCTGTGGCGATGGTGATGTTTGCAGGTAGCTGCGATACCGTCGCTGCTTCGTGTGTCGAAGTAGACACGTTCGACCAAATTCGACCTGGGTGCCCAGGGTCGAGTTGCAGAGCATCTTGTTCGCCCACGGAACGAAGAGGATAAAGCCATCCGTCCGCAGAAAAAACGAGGCTGCCACTTGCATCTAACGAGAGAGCGGTGTCCGGACTGGAGAGGGTGAAAGGTCCAGTGACAGCCAGAGTAAGTGTATAGTTCATCCCCTTGCTTCCGTGGCCGAGGTGCACTGCCTCGGAGTCGTTGGAAGAGCGAGACCAAGAGACTAAGGGGCCTTTACATGTAGATTTGGACTTCTTCACTACGCGCTCAAGATTCTGACCCGGTGCGAGAGGCGTGAAGAAATCGATGCTGGGCGCAACTCCTTCCCCCACGAGCTCTGCGCCACGGCTGCCACTCCACGCGCGGGCTCCGACTAGCGCTATGCCTCGGCGCATGGCATAGTATGCCTCCAGCTGGGTCGAGGCATCCGGACCATTGTCGTTCCATGCTGCAAGAATGGCACCTTTGTTTGACGGCGAACTATCTGGCAGCTGCATGGTCTTGTTGAAAGGGTTAAAATCCGCCGGGGTCCACTGCCACTCTGGTTCGTTGGCAAAGGTGAGGACTCGAGTCTCGTTGAAGAACTGAGGATAGCGAGCAGGCAGGATGGGCATATGGTCGTTCTTGAGAGACATGTATGCCCACCAGTCCTCGGAGTTGATCACGTCGTAGTCGTTGTCTGCCAGTAAAACCGGGTCCGATTCGCCGTACTGCCAGTGTTGAATGACTACGTCTTTGGAGATGGTTCTGTTTTCGGATGGCTCATTCGTTCCCCAGATTCGAATTCGCTTGCCGGTAGTGGAATTGATGAAGGAAGACATCTCATTCACGAACCCAATGTAGTCGTCGGCCAGCGTCGCATCATACTCGTCTGCGCCAACGTGAACTTCCTTTGTCTCAAACCAGGGCAGGAACTCTGACCAAATACGCTTAACGGTCGGAATAGTGTCCGGATGAGATAAATTGAGCAAATCGCGCTTCGGCAATGAGAGCTCGGGCTTCCACTTCGTGAGGTAGAGGCAATGGCCGGGGGCTTCAATCTCAGGGATAACAGTGACACCTCTCGCCGCACAATGGCTCTGAAGATCGGCAAAGTCCTCTCGGGATAACGTCTCATTTTCCCGACCGTGAAGGATCGGTAGCAGACTCTGCTCTTCCGGCCTTAGCGAAAAGTGCGAGTAGACGTCCTGCCACGACGCGTTTTGCCCGCGGTTGAGCGGGTAGTTGTCACTGAGGTGATAGTGGAACTCGCTCATCTTGAAGAACGAAGCGAAGCTACAAAGCTCCTTTAGGAAGGCGGGTGCATACCATTTGCGTCCGGCGTCGAGCATGAAGCCTCGCGTGGCATATGCCGGCGCGTCCACCGATTGCCCCGCGGGCACAGTCCCGTTCCCTGCGAGCAGGAGCTGAAGCAGCGTCCTGGTCCCCCACCACATTCCGCGCGCGCCTGTGCCGCCGATAAAGGCGCCATTCGGAGAGACGACGAGCTCATAGCCCTCCGACGTAGGGTTGCCATTCTCGTAGGTGACCGACGAGGTGTTGCCGGTGAAAAGGCCGAGAAGGATGCCGCTGGCGTTGACGGGGTTGGGGAGATGATCGACGCGCTGTAATGTCCAGTTGACGCCGGTAAGCTCGCTAATGTCGTGTTGGAAGAGTTTCGCAAAATCCTGGCCGCTTGGTGGAATGAGAGTTAAGCCATCTGTATCGGCTTTGGAGGCTAGACTGCTCTCGATGTAGATGGTCTTTGGGCTTTTGTTCGCTTGCCATACAGCGCCTTGGGAGGGTTCCGAAGTTCGGAGTGTGGGTGGGAGAAGTTGGAGACCCCCTGCCAACACCGGAGTGCAGAGGCATGCTGTGATGAGTTGTAAGAGAGCCATAACTTGAGCTTGTTTCGCCTAAGCTTGGTATGGCCTATCTCCTAACCTGGTGGCTTCGAACACTGCTCGATTACATTGCCTTCAGAATGGCTGCCCATTTATGCAGAAAGACTACATGCCACTGTCCATATCTCGGCTTCCGTGTTATCACCCCTCACTTCATCTAACTTTCAAAGATAGATCAGCAGCGCTGCCCCGCAAATTGAAGGTCTGATGTAACAACGCCTGCTGTGCTTTGGTAACGTAACCATGATCTCAACCGGGGGTTGGTTGTTGTCCGTCCCTTGCTTCGCTCCCGCATCGAGCAACAAGCCGCGGATTACCTCTTGGTCTCTGAGCTCTGCCAAGTCGACAGCAGACTGTTCGCTCAGTGTCAATGCATCCATGTCGATTCCTCTGGCAACAAGGACAAGGACACGGACCACTTCAATACGCCCCTTCTGGGCAGCACTGTGAAGGAGCGTCATCCCCTCCGAAATCGTTGTGGTTCTGATCCGCGCCAGCATCGAGTAGTTGCCAAACAGTCTGCAGCTTCCCTCCCTCAACGGCTGAGAGTAAGGTACTGTAGCCGGCGACGGTCGTGGCCTTAATATCGCACTCTTTCTTGATTAGATACTCAACAATTTCCGCATGGCCTTCCTCAGCTGCACTGTTCAGGAGCCTAGTTTCTTTTCTAGTGCTAGTCGCGAGGTCAACACCCCGATCAGCTAGTAAATGGACCAGTCTTAGCCAGCCTCAAAAGATTAGTATGTACAGTGTTGTCGATCCGTTCTCTATCCTACAGTCAATGTTCAAGCCCTGATCCAGGAGCAGCTAACCGACCAACCCGTTGCCCTCTTCAACCGTAAATACTATGTCAGATTAGAAACTCGACCGTAAGGGCAGATTCAATCACGGCATAACTATCCTCAACATGGGGTTGAAAATTGACAGAAACAGTCTCAGGTGAATACGATTTCGGGATGAAGAAAAGGAGCAGTAGAGATAACATTGTAGAATTTGGCTATCCCATTGACTGCTGGATAGCGTCACTACACCCGTCGCTAGTTCCGTCACTACTTCCATCAGTATATTCGGTACCATATCCGTCTCCAGTCTTTCTCTACTCTTGCTCTATTTCGAGATTTTTTGTAGGCAAATATAAGGTAAATAAGATCGGATTACTTCAAGTATGTAGCCTGTACTGACGCCATCTCGCAGTTGATGGGATAGTTGTGCAGTACTGGAAACTAAAGGTTGTCTTGGTGGCCTGAAAGTTTAATATCTTGACAGCCGCGTTAGCAACCGAGAATTTGGGCCAAAGGCAGCTGAGTGTAACTTACGAAAAGTTTTCCTTGTAGAACCAGACCTCGCTAGCACCACTTCTACCTTGCAGAATGCGTTTCTGGCCCTCAGCCGCAATTTCACCCAAGTCCAAGACTAATGATGCTGGGCCACAGGTCACCAAGCCAACGCTTCCCGGCTGGTCAACAGCTCGCCTAGAAATCGCGGATATATCTGGCCGTCCAGTGTATGTCTGTAGATTGACAAAACCCGAATGGGACTGCCATCCAGTCTCAGCAGACTTCCCGGACCTTTCCATCACCTCCTTGTCTCTGCCATATGCCGGAGACTCTGGGTTGGATGAAGTCGAGCTGGTCTTTACCGAGCTTCCAGTTTCATGGAATGAGATGGAAATGCCCGGGGCCTTTGTGTCCTCGGTATGGGCATGTCGAGCCATGATATCGTCCAAAGCTCTGCAGTACCATTCCCGGAACTCGAGATCGCGGGTTGCAATGATAACTTCCATCTCTGGGTTCGTGATTCCTTGGTGTTGGCGTTGCAGGAAGTGTTCGATCATTGGTAAAGAGAATCCTGCTCCAGCACCCCCAGCAACAACGAGCGTCCGATTGAAGCCAGTAAACCATCGATCCGTAACGCCGCCGTATGGTCCGTCCAGCAGAACCTGAACAGATGCCTCAGGAGATTTCTGAGCAATCGCAGCAAGCCTAGCCGTAACTCCCCCTCTGGGCTGGATGTAGAAGACCATTTCGTTTCGCTGGCCATGTCGCGGGATTGAACAGATTGTAAACGGATGAGCTGTCAGTGCGTGCATGCCACCGGTTAAGAATCTCAGATAGACGTGCTGGCCCGGTTTCCATCGCGTGTTGGTCTCTATAACTACCTTGAGACAATGAGGTGTGACTACTGATATTCTGGCGTGGTTGAAACCGTGTTCCATAAAGGTTTTGAACTGCGAGTAGAAGAAGCAAAGGGCGTACAGTACAGCTGTGTTGATGAAGTAGTCCCATGAGGTGAGACGAAAATCGCAGTGGATGAAGAAGAAAATGAAGAATACAGCGGCGGCAAAGAGGTGGGTCGCTTTAAATAGCTCGTAATATCGGTCTCTGTCGGAGCAAGTTGATTGTCAGTATAGTTTCCGTATCTCGATCCAAAGGCCTATAAGCCAATACTAAACATCAACATACCGGATCCAGCGGATAGACATGAAGGTTAACCATGCTTGAGCTAGGATTGCAATAACACCTGTAACCCACATGCCTCCGTCGTTCCACTGCTTGACTATGTCCCCTTTCCAGATGCGGAATACGATGAAGGGAAATGTATGGACAAGTGCTAGTACAAACATAGCCCACGCTACCCAGTTATGCCAGATATTGAGTTTCTCGTGAGATATACCGGTCAGGGCAGAAATCGGATTTGCTTTTGCACCTAAAATGCTGCACTTATGGTTAGACAAAGTCGAGTGAGATGTTGAGGGGCCTTGCAGTTGCTCACAAGAGAAATGGCATACAGGCCAAAGCCATGTAACCAGCACGGGTGGCAATAGGAGGCGAGTTTCCAAAGCTGAGCTCTTTCGTGTTAGGCCAGTAATAAGGCTGGGGGCCAAGCGTCATTGCTAAGAGATGATGTCAGTCGTCAATACAGGTATCATGAACCTCGGAGGAGACAATAGGAATACCCAAGAAAAACACAGCACCTACGGCGCCAAGTAGGTATGTGCCTAATGACTGCGTATTCCAGAAACCAAGCCTCCAGCTCTTGTAGGACAGGAAGCGCCCTGAAGATAGGATCCGTAGCCATAAAGTGTTTCTCCTCCACGATGTCGGGGCGTATGTTGAGGCAAAGCTGACGATGGCTGAAAGCAGGATTGCCGTTACAAAGAAAGCAACTGTCGGTAGGCCGTATCGGTGATCAGCTTCGTACCAAAATACCCAGTAGCTAGTCTTGAAAGCGCATTGCTCTGGTGTCATTGAGCAAGTTCCGGCATCGCGGCTTGAATGCAGCATGACCGGCTGGCTAAGCCATGGTAAGGACATAATGACGCCAAGCTTCGATTAATCAACTAGAATTCCGGGGATGAACTTCTGTCCAAAAATGATGGGGATTACAGTAGATATGTCATGAACATCGTGCTTGGCGACACGCTGATAATCGCCTTGTCAGCGGATAAAACAACACTGAAGTAGACTTTGCGGTTTTGGCAAACACGCCAATAGAATATTATTCATTGCTCATCGCGGAAACTGCTGCCGTAATATTGAGAACTATGGAACTATCAGGGTATAAAACCGGTTGCCACGTACAATTGAGCGCGTTATTTCGATTCGTGAAGTCGGGAATCCTGCGCTGCGACTGCCAGGGTTTTGAGCACATTTGAGCTCGTTAACTCTCCCCATCCGGCACATAAGCACCACCCATGCCTCGGTGCGCTTCCAGCGTCACACTAGACAACCAACAGATACGACGGCAACTCGAGCTAGCGTTTGCAATTGGCCAAGCTTTGTGTTTTGGCAGACTCCCACGTGGAGAATGGAGTCAACTTGCGCGTTTCGGGACCCTCTTTTCCCACATTGTTTCTGACGACACGGACGTCAGATGCCGTGACACCCGGGACGGAGGGAGAAACTTGCTCATAGTAATGCTCGTGCCGATTTTCCACTTGACGGTATCATACAACTTGTGGAGGTGAGAGGAACTGTTTTCTCTGATAAATCATATTATGCCGCCATCAATGTGAGCCGCAAGATATTGTAAATTTGTCTACCAAGATTAAGCATTGTAAGGCAGAAGCAACAAATAAGTCGACTGCGCCTACTTATATCGACACAATCCGAATTTCAAAGCTGTCCTCTATCAAAGGACATAGACTCTCTCCGAATCACTCGACAGCATCTATTGATCATCGCTTTAAACCCGACCAGGATGGATATGAACATGGCAACCAGCACAGCCATGGCGATGGCCACATCGACTAGTGCTGCCTCCGGCGACATGTCGAGCATGTCAATGTCAATGTCTGAAATGGCCATGACATTTTTCGAAGCCTTCCAAACACCTCTATACTCAGACGCATGGACACCGACAAGTCCTGGTCAATACGCCGGCACCTGCATCTTCCTCATCGTGTTAGGCTCCATTTTGCGCCTGCTACTCGCTCTGAAGCCAGTGCTCGAAGACCGCTTCTGGAGAAATTACCCCGCATACGAACCAGACAAGCAGGCCTTGACAAGTCACCATGCGGAGAGTGTTGAGCCAGGTCAGGCTGGCTCGGTGGTCCGCAAAGATATTGTTGGACGATGGAAAGGGTGGCGGGCTGGTGCCGCCGCGGCGAGGGCAACATATGAAGTCATTGTGGGAGGCATTGGATATCTCTTGTAAGCCACTCCCTATATCTTAACTACCGAAAACCTTACTGACGGGCTTTGTAGGATGCTTGCAGTTATGACGATGAATGTTGGCTACTTCCTCTCCGTGCTTAGTGGTGTTTGGCTGGGCACATTTCTGCTTGGCGGCTTAGCAGGTGGCAGCCCAACTATTCACTGCTAGAACAGGGATATGATATCAATGACAGCGATGAAATTCTGCTATATCGAAGTCTTGTCTTTCGCAAATAACTTCTTTGATTAATCATGGTGAACTTGAGTCAGAGTTCCAATACCTCTTCTTCCCGTCTGGATAGTCACACCCATCACCCTTCTTCGTGAATTGTTATCTGCCTTGAACCCGTATCATCATCCGGACTAGTCGTACCTTCATCACGATGAACGCAAGCTTCCTGTTCCCGATTCCTTCCGCCATCATGTGGTGGAAGCCAATTTGCTCCAGTATACACAGTGTCTTCCACACTCTCTGCCGACTCGACGCCCACACGCCTCCCATGTGTCCCGGTCAGATCGCCGTAAAAGTACCTCCGTCCCAGTTCCCCAACTTTCCTGTTTCTGTCAAACGATGAAAGTTGAGAAAGACCTTCAAAGTCATCTAGCATACGGCTTTCGTTGACGTAATACATCGCTCCGGCAATGCTCCGCGGGTCGACTGGCATTCCAGGCCACTTGATGAATAAACTTGCCCCCACAGCCACTATCATCAGCACTAAGATTGTGATACTGATGATAGAGCAGGCGTTGTGCGAGCTAAGTGTTTGAGTCAGGTTGTATGGCACATTAGCCAACAGCATCGGGAGGAACTCGGCCATTATGGACATGAAAGCTGCCAGCATTAGCACGATATCGCCGTCAAGGATCGCGGCGTAAACGCCGTAGAATCCGTTTGTGGGGCGTGTTATAAGGATAGATGATTCTGGTCGTTGAGAATGTCGGCCCATGTGATAATATGGACTGACAATGGCGATACCTAGGATTCGAGTTAGCATCGGTCCCCGTTCACGCTGGTAGCGAAATCGGGGCTGCTTACTGATGAAAATCGACTCCCAGCAGAAGATGATGATAACACCCAACGCAGCAAGGAAGAAACGGAGTCCAAATGTCTGACTGTCCATGAAGTCTTTGAAAGAAGTACGGAAACCCAGCGTAATGTGGTAGTGAAGTATGATGATGAACAAGGCAAGAAGGAAAGACATGAACAAAATACGCCACCAGTACGTAAGCGCGATGAAGGGGTTTGTTTTCTGAGGATTGGTCACAGTGTTGTACGGACTTTTGATCATGTCCACCTCGTCATCAGTCGATAGTGCTCCTGACCCTGCCGATTGTAGGTTGTCGGCTGATTCGTCATAGTAGATGAAGCCGTACTCGTCTTGATCGTGCCTATTTCGAAAGAACCCCAGCATGTAATTCTTGTCTGCCATGGCCCCTTCGGTGGTTTTGAAGTTGAGGTGATGTGGCCGAATTTCTGCGTTCAGAGAGAGGGACGAAATTCCCCCGATGCTCCAAGGATTCGCGTGGAGTCCGGTCTTCCAGCTTCGGAGGAGATAAAGCAGAAGCAGCAGAAGAGCGACGATGAAAATGAGCAACGCGATCAATATGTAGGCTGATTTTGGTGAGACACCTAGTTGAATACCGCAGCCGTCGATGGCGTTGATTTTGCATTTCCCGTGCAACTTCATTCCGATTGCCTCAGTTGCCAAGGGCGCCAGGAGGGACGATGACCATACCATCAGTGTCGTGATGAAAGGGACCGGGTGGCCTTGCTTGAGGACTTTGAATGGGGCCAAGAACCCATTCCAGCCTTCGAATTGGATCGTCATGCTATTCCTACCGAGTGCGCCTCCTTCTTGGGATAATGCATGGAAGGGTTGGTACAGCTTCGCGTTGAGATCGATGATTCGTAGAGGAATTGCAACCATGACGGCCAAAATCACAGGAAGAAACTTGCCGAGGAAGTAATCACCATCGGTGAAGGCAAACTTTTCTATTTCGGTTATGACGGTGTCAGGTTTGCTCGTCGACGATGGCTGCGAAACAGAGGTGAATAAAGCCGTGGATGGACCAATCGTGGAAACCCGTGTGCTAGGCTTTGGAGTAGATGTGATCGTACTGAGCTTGCCCGATATCGAAGTGACGAATGTGGTAGGGCCTGGGGTTGATATGATTGTGCTCAGGGAGCCTCCAATGGTTGTGATGACTGTGAACAACAGAGGCCTGCTTCCAGTCGGCGTTGTGACCAACTCCACTGTGGTTGGCGTTCCTCCATTTACCGAGGAAAACTCTCGAGGCTCCGGCGTTCTAATTATGGTAGTCTCTTTACCGTCAACAGTGGTCCTGATCGTCTCTGGAGCGTCGGTGGTCGTGAAAACGCCAGTACTGCCGCTGACCCGGGAGACAAGTGTCAAGGACACTGGCTTGAAACCTGCGGCGCTTGCTTGAACCAGTATCACCGTCGGCTTCCCAGCAATAGTAGTCTGGACAGCAACCAGGTTGACGTCTAGGGATGGAGTAACTGTGACTACCATCTGGGTCTCTTCGCCCCCTATTCTCGTCACGATCGTCTCTGCAGGTGGCGTATAGATGACAGTGGAAAGGCCCCCGACATTGGTCACGAAAATCTGAGGTTTCCTTGTTTCCACAACAGTCACCACCTTCCCGTCGAACACACTGGTGATGATTTGTGTAACTGGGGAAGGCTGTTCACTCTGCTGACCTCTAGAACCTCCGGGGATGGTAATGACTCTGGTGATCTCGGTTGTCCCTACGGATACGTACACCACCCCCGCAGCAGTCGAGGTAGCGACACTCGCAATAGTCGTCGGTACGGCGGAAACAATGATAGAGGTATAGGTGCTGACCGTTGCTGGCAATATAAACTGGCCTGTTGAAGTTATGGTGGCCTCACCAACCTCATTGGTGATTTCGACGACAGTTGAGGCGGGTGTAGCCGAGGTTGAAGTCGTCACGCGGCCAACGGTCTTAGTGGTCGTCTGGTAATAGGTTGTTTCTTCATCGCTGATAACATCTGTTTGGGTGGTTTGCTCGGGTATCGTCGCGGTGACAACAACGTTGCTACTCGCCACGGTCCTCGTCACTGTTCTTTGTGTTCCAGTCGTAATCACTCGTGTATACGTGGTATCGCTAGTACTTCCGGGAATGGTTGTCTCAAAAACTGTTGAAAAGGTCGAAAAGGCACTGGTCATGATAAATGTCGTGTAATGGAATGTGGACCCAGGTCTCGTGAATGTGGAAGTGAACTCAGACTTGATGATAGAGAGAACCTTGTCACTAGCAATCGGCTCAGGCGATGATGAAGTGGAAAATGATGTGAGACTGGTGTTAGGGCCTTTGCGCTGGTTGGAGATATTGGAAGAGGAGACAGGACTGGCTTCCTTGCGGCTAGCTGTTGACTCCAAAGTTTCTTTTGTTTTGCCTGAACTTTCCAGTCTCATGTTTGTTGACGGCTTAGAGTGAGAAGAGTCGGGTCCTTTGCTCTGAACGCCACTGGATCCAGTTCCCGATAAAGACGTCGATGGTGTAGCCACTGAAATCGCGTGGTCTATAGCAGTAGTAGTAGGAAGACCTTCAGACAGCACCGATGGAGATGGTCTTAACACCGATTGACTCTGGGTCTCACTTGCTGATGCCGAAGGGTTGGTTGTGACTTGTGCCTTCTCTTCTTGGACATCAGAAGATTGTTTCCGCTCCGTTGATGCTCCGGAAATTGTGCCGGGAGCCGCACCTGATGATGGTATAGTAACAGGAGCCGTCGAAATCAACTCCGAAGCATGAGTCCGTTGAGGTTCAGAAGTCACCGGGAGATCGGCACCGCCATCAGGTGACGGAGCAGAACCTGAAGATGACAGATCCCGCGTTGGACTACTTGTAGCAGAGGTGCTCCCAATGATAGAGGGATCCTGTCGTGAACCCAAGTAATTGCGAGGCTCTATTACTGCTGTGCTGTCTGAATTCGGCATCGTGTTGCGCGCATAGATCACCAATCCCACAAGGATGGAGAGAATGAGAATCATGCATACGATGAATGGCCATTGCAATGGTTTGGGTCGATAATCTGGTCGCGTCGGTATTGGAGGTGGATGTTTCTCTTTGTCCAGCTCATTGTGGTCCTCGTCTACGTCCTCGGTAGGCTGCAGGTTATACTGCGCTTGGGACTTAAAGATCGACTGTCTCGCTGGTGTGGGCTGATGCATCTTTGCTGCTAGCCGATATCACGGCATATTTGATCGGTGAACGCCGCGGATTCAATGGTTCATGTTATGTCGTTTCGAGCGGATTTAATATTTAGAGCGAAAGCAAACGTCAAGTATTTTCCTCATGCAACTTTCAAATAATTCGGAGGGGGGCCTGAGGAGGGAGGCACATTTAGCCCAGCCACGAATTCGCCCTTGGGCTACCTGAAGAAAGTCCTTGGTGCCTGGGTCGCACACGCCAAAGACAAGCCACTATTTTGCTGTGGTGGCTTTGAGACACTGGAAACCGAAGTTTCTCAGCTCAGCGAGTGGTTCGTTGTCTTTTCTTTGCACTACTGCACCAGCCTCATCAAGAGCCAGGGAGGCCGCTTGACCGCTTGCAGTCTGCATCAACCGCATTTCATGGCTTGAGTCTCGGACCAATGACCATGTGTGCTTCTTCAAGAAGGCGCCGGCTTCTCTGAGCTGAAGTCTGGTGCTAGTCGAATTGCGGACTGGTAAGTAGGTAGATGTGGGCTGGTCTACGGCATTCTTGGTTGAGAAGGCTGATTAGTTCTAAAGTCAGGGAGCACTAGGAACCTAAAACATGCCTTTTACTTGGCTACGATGTCTTTCTGTTATCTCTGAATGCTGAGAATGCCTTGGAGTTGATTGTGGCAACATTCGGTATAGCACTTGACGAGTCAAGCAGTCATCGAGTAACGACCGTCATCTTACTACCAGAGCCGGCAGCCGTTGGAAGCAATCTATCGACAGATGAGTTCAGACCACGTTTGGCGCGGCATTGACTCGGGGTCCGGCAGTGAAGGCACCTCAGACACGCCAAAGCAGAGAGGGTGGCTGGAGACGCTAGGCTGTGTTGCGCCGGCTGCAGGCAGGTACGGCTGAATGCCACTGAAGTCGGGGTATTCCTGAAATGAGTTAGAAGTCCTGGCCTAGCTTACATGTAGCCTTGCTGGTATTCAAGAAGGTGATTTTGGTGGTCCAGCGAAATACTTCCATTGCATGACTGGTAGCAGGTATTAAACGAAGCATGGTCATACGTGTATCCAAACCAGAAGCTCTGCCGGACGGACGATTTACCATGGGCAAGATTATAGCTCAGTGCGCAGTTGGTTGCGACGGGGAAACTATCAGGTCTCGAGACCCTCATGTCTCAGGATGCATATAGAAAATAGGAGAACAGCCTAAACCTTGAAGAGGCATATGTCGTGTGAAAGACTAAAGCACATGTATTCCAAGTATCCTACGGTAGCTATTGTGGTTCAAACTACCTGAAGAACGGCGACTATATTGGCCTGATTTATATCCCATAGCTTACAACTCCTCACCAAGCCAGTTCGCATCGTTCTCCTTCTCGTCGACGTACTCGGAAAGTCTCTCCTTCAAATCCTCGACCTCAATCTCCCCATCGACGTAGTCGACCTTGTGCTTGTGGGGAGGGATCGGGACGCGACCAGGGACGTGAATGACACCATTCTTGGCGATTCCATCAGCGACAACAATGGGGATGTAGCCGTTGAGCTTGACCTTGGTCCAGCCACCCCAGGTAGCAACATCGACGGCGATGTTCTTGCCCAACAAGGTAGGAAGATCAACGTGGTAGTGCTCCATGGTGCTGGCATCCTTCTTCTCATCAGGGCGGTACAACGCATCGCTGTACAGGGTCGCGTTTCCAACGATCTGGTACTTGAGCAGGGCTCTGAGGTACTTGAGTCCGAGATCAGTGTTGAACAGGAAAGCATTGGCCCTGGGTCCGAGGCGAGCGAAGGCATTGTTGGAGGGGGCGAAGACGGTAGTTCCAGTGGACTTGACCCCGTGAATGTACTTGACGAAGTCGGTCTTCTCGTATGCGAGCAAGAGCGTGGAGAACTGGCTGGGGAGAAGAGTAAGTTCGCGGCCGACCATGGGTGGCGGGATGATCAGGCTGTTGACGGCATGAATGATTCCATTCTTGGCACGCTGTGATGATGCGTCAGTTTTGCAGAGCCGATGGAGCAGACCGACCGCTTTTGCTTACAATGTTGACGGCAACAACCTTGGCGTAAAAGTTGATGCGCACGCCCCCGAGACCGACACTGGTGCGAAGACGCTGGGGCTTGTCGCCGAGGAACTTCTCATTGAGCAATGTGGGGAGAGTGTGCGTGCGGAGGACCCTCTTCGCATCGTAATCGCCAATACCCACATGGTACTTGAGAATGGCCTCAATGACCTCCTTGCTCGGCTTCTTGTGCTTGGGCAGGTGCTCAAAGGCGCGGTTTGTTGGCACGAAAAGCGTGTGGTTCGCCTCGGTGCTCTTCAAGACGTTGACAATATCCTCGTATTCGTTGACGAGCTTAGCAAACTCTGTGGTGTGCTCGCTCTTTGAAATGAGCTCGTAGATGGTCTTATCGGAAACCTTGGGCTCATTGAAAATCTCCTCCTCGAAGAGGTGATCGAATTTGTTCTCGACAGTCTCCTCGAAGGAGTGCAATGCACCCTCAATGTGTGCGGACAAGGAATCAATGCCATCCTCGACAGTGTTCACGATAGAATCCTTGGAAGGCACACGGTCCCACCAGGAACCTCGGTTGGCGTGGTCATCGTTCTTAGTGGCCGCTTGCTCGAAAATCTTGGGGTCGGGAAGGATAAATGCGTTGGCAACAGCCACGCATGACAAGGCTGCAACAGCTTTCATTTTGAATTGATTTTCCAGATAAGAATGCTACCTTGGTTCTGGAAAAAGGTTGATAAGGGAAAAGGGAATATCGAGAATCGAGTCAATTTGGGGAAATGCAGATAAGGACCTTTTTGTTCGACAATTCGGCACCTGGAGGCAAACACCACGCACTCCGCATACGCGGAATGGCTGTAGGCAGAGACACTAGGGACGACGCCAACAGCTAGAGGTCCAATGGTAAGCTGACGTCAACGGGATCGGACAGCAGCAGCGAAGTGAAACTCTCCCCCGCCCATCCCACCCAATGGAACTCGAATCCCCGGGCGAGCCGGAAGAACGAACAGACGATGGGCGAGGGCGAGGTGGGAACCCGTTCCATGCGAGAACAAATGGCACCTCAAGCTCTTGCTGCGGTCTCGAGCAGTGTCGGTTCTCTTCGAGAACTTCACCTCATCATCGACTTGTTGCATGATGAATGAGGTGATTTGGATGTGGGAGCTCGCAAGCTATGCAGAGTTATGCAAAGCTAGATCGAGCTAAGCTGTGTGTGTGCGAGCTTGAGCTATGGACAAAGCTGCCAGAAAGCCACACAAACACAGCCCTCAGCTACTTCCAATGCGTCATTCATCCCACGTATGAAACTGCTTTCGTCCACACGGCCATCGGGCTCTCGGGGTTTACGGGTCTCCTTCCATCGGCCTGATTTCTCTCCGCCTCCGATCATGCACGGCCCCACTCCGCTGCTCCGCTATCTCCAGGCCAATGCTTCCCGGATCACTTCCGGCGGGGGATCTAGGCAAGTCTTCCTGCCGGCTCGTGCTGGATTCCGATGGGATTCTAACTGACCTGGTACTGCTATGCCAATTTTCCCAGCTTCTGTTGCCTTAAGTTAACCCACAATTTGGGTGCCGACACGCAGGTGTCAAGGAATGCCCGCACCGTTGACTTCTTGGCTGCATTTCCCCACAAACAAGAAACGGCAGTCCATGTTTGATAATACGACGAGAGCTGAGAAGCTCTGGTGCCAGGGTCATACCAAAAAGGAAAAAACGTAACGCTCATTCTCACATGGAACGTTCGTCGGGACTACAGACGAGCAAACGGCTGTGTGGGATGACCAAGCTTATCTGATGTTTGTTTGACTTTCGCAATCTGCTGCAGGCCGAATATGACTTGCTCCGGCAGCTAAAAGGCTTATTACTCGCTTCTTCAATTCCGGTTCCGATAATCTGCCACGTGGTTCGTAAGTCCGAGGAGCCTTAGATTGACAGGTGATAGTCGATTAGTCGCGAATCTAGGACTTCGCGGTCGACCTTCTCTTGACGTAGAAGCAACGGAGATAATCACGAAAACTGGAAGCGGGGTTGCTTTCGTGGTGCACAAAGGATGGTGGTGTTGCTGTAGTATTATTTATTGGTAACTAAGTACTTAGGTAAGGTACATATGGTTATTCGGTTTGACAAAGAAGAATTTTCCAGATTTGGGAGCCAATTTTCAACACACTTGGCAAACTTGCGGGCGCCTTTAACAAGTAAAACCCCGAGTGCGCCTCTCAATACCAGCTTGATGGCCGCGAAGAATAACAATCGGTCATCACTTCTTCAAACCAAGCAGGTTTCCCGAGGTATACTTTTCAAGTCGTGAATACTTCTCGTTCATGACGTTTTGGATGTGCTGCTCAACACGGGGGAAAATGTCCTTGTGGGCGGTCGGGCTCATCCACGCGTCCAAGTGGCCACGGTGCTGGAACACCTGTCTCTCGTAACAGACGCCACCGTTGGCCTCGGTGAGAGTGGTGAAGGACGTGTCGGTGTTCTCGGGCGCGTAGACCTCGTTCTCGGATCCAGAGAAGAAGAAGATGGGCAGGCCCTTGAGGCGGGCAATATTCTGCGGTGTGACGAGGTTCTCATTCTGCGAGTCGGTCGCGAAACCGTGAGTGCCTTGGTACATCAGGTGGTTCAAGTTCGCCATTGAGGCTCCACCGATGAAGTTCTCTAATTGAGAGTGAGTGGCCTCGTTGAGTCCCTTGTGAGACCAGAGCCTAGAAATTATTAGTCACAGAGGAGTGAGGAGTGGTGGTGGGTACTGACCGGCCAAAAGCAAGGGAGCTGCGATGGCAGACGACGGAATTGCAAATCTCATTGCGATGACCAACGGGATAGAAGCGAAGCAACTGGTTGATACCTTGCTGGATGTATCCATCACGAGGTGTGCTGGTGCAGTCAAACCACTTGCCCTGAATGAGGTTGTAGATGTTGGCCATGGAGATGGGGAGGCTAGCCTTGACATGATTGACCTTGGAGAACTTGGGGTTCATGAAGACCTGAGAAGCGGTAACACCACTAAGCCATTGCCGCGGAATGCTTCCGTCAAGCAGACCTGACGCAAGGGCAAGAGATCCAGCACAGTGTGCTACGACGTATGTCGTCGTCGATGGGCCGCTACCATCCAGCCTGTCAACGATGGCGTGCTTCTTGCGAATCTTCTTGAGAGCCGCCTGGATATCACGGCGGGCGTCATATGTGGTCCAGTTCTGTTGAGCAACAATGGTTTTGCCGACACGGTGGACCATGGAGTACACGCGGTATCCCTTGGCTCGGAAGTAGTTGACCGCGTTCTTCTCAATGGTAGGCAAAGCAAAGATCTGCTGGTCGAGGGCGGCGCCGGGAATGAACAACAAAATCGGGGCATTGCTAGCATCGCCGCCAATAGTCTGCGGCTCCCACATGTAAAGCTTGGTTTTGACGCGATCGTTGGCCTCGACTGTGATCTCTTCAGACCAGGGTGTGGGATTTTGATAGCTGTTGAAGGGAAGACTGGGCCAGATCTGAGGAATAAAAGGCGTGAGGAAGGCACCAGCCGCTTTGGCGGTGAAGTACCCGAGGAAGTTGGCGGTGGAAGAGACCTTGGCGTAGAGGCTGGATCCAGTTGCCTCCATGGTGGTGCACTCTTGGAGGAAGGCAGTCGGGCGTATGTGGATGACACCCTTACCGCGAACCTTGTTATGGACGGGTTGCTCATCCTCGTCAACCTCAGTAATGGTGCAGTAAAGAGTGGTCGTGGCCTTCCAGAGGTTGAGAGGGTTGAAAACGACGTCTGAGTTGACAACCTTGTAGCCGTTGAAGTGCAATTTTTTACCATCCTTTTGTGAGATGAGGAAGTTGTAAGTCAGGTTGGTGGTATCAGGCGATCTGGGGTCGTCGTTGAACAAGTTGAACTTGCCGCCCTGGACCATGGAAGTACCACCCAAAGCTGGGCAGGTGAAGGTACCGGTAAGGTTGGCCTCGTGTTCCTTGTCATGGACAACTACAAGGCATGTCAGCAAAGGGCAGTCGTCGGGGTAGGTTAATCAACACTCACGGTTGTGAGTGTTCCATGACCTGGCGCTGAGGAAGAAACGAGCATATTCGCCGCGGCTCTTGGCAGTCAAGGTAGCCCTTTGGAAGTCCAATGTCTCGGAATCTTCTCCAAAGTGGATCCATCCGTCCATAGTCTCGGTGAAGGCGATGCCAGGAGTCATATCATCTCTAGCAGTCTTAATGATCTCCTGAACTCTAGCCACAGGCGGGTGCTCGCCCTTGAAGGGGTCGTGTGCAGGCTGACCAAACAAGTTCAGAGAGCCTATATTCAATTAGTCCAAGCTTGAAAGCCCCTCGTACTAAAGGGTACTTACCGTTCTTGGTCTTGAGATCGACATCGATATGGAAGTCCTTGGCGATGTGCTCAACAGATCTCTCCGCAAGGGCCGTGATTGTCGCGAACGGGTTGACACCGAGAGCCGCAGGAACAATAGTACCATCGCAAACAATCAAGCCCTCGTGCACATCGCCTTCGACACCCTTGAACAATTGACCCTTGTGGTTCACGCCACCGTTGGCGCCAGTTCCGTCGTTGCTGATACGAGCTCCACCACTATTCAAATATTAGCAGGCGAATCAACTTCACATGAGACAGGGCTATCTCACATGGCATGGACGGTGATCTCCTTCTCGCCAAATGCGGCATAGAACGGGCTGTCGACGTAGATTCCGCCGATTAGGTTGGTCAGCTTGGCCAAGTAGCCCGCCAGCTTCTTGGCTCTGTGCGACTTTCCGACGCCCGAGAAGTTGATGAGAGGTCTGTCCTTGTCAAGCTGCATGGTAGCTTGACTGCCTAGAACGACCTAGTTAGAACGGCCACTACCAAGCGCAATTCATAAGACTTACTGTCGTGTGACATGATGAGGTAGCACTGCGTCTTCTCAGTGCTGCCATCGGGGAAGTAGGGTCCGAAGAAGCGGCTTCCAACAGCAGCGGTTACATGACCGACAGCGCCCTTGATGGAAATGTTCTCTGGAAAAACTCTGCCGGGCAAATAAGTGAGCATTGCCTGGTAGAAGGGCGCGAGAGCGGCGGGAATAGCACCCTCCTCGACGACAAAGCCATCCAGAGGGTTCTCCACACCTGTCCGGCAGTCGATGATACCCGTAATGCAGGGCCCAACAGGACGGTTTGGTGGGGGGTCTTCACGTCCCATGCCGTTGACATACTCGCTAGTGTTGTAACTTGACGTTGAAGTCAGCAGACCGCATGCTTGATGAAGACAACTCTGGCTTACCCGAAGGCGAGAATGTCACCGTTGCCACTCATTCCGTGTCCCACGTCGGGGCTCATGTCCAAGCCGAACTGCTTGCTGCGGAGCAAGATCTCTGTAGTTCCGATGCTGCCAGCGCCGAAGAAAACCAGCTCCTTGGCGTGAACCCACATTAGATCCTCGTAAAAGAGGTCCTTGAAGTTGGCGCGCTTTCCACCGTGCCACGCAAAGTGCACGATATAGCCCTCGCGATCCTGAGCTTTGGTGACGTACCGAACCTCGCACTGGCAGAACATCTCGGTACCCCAGTTCCAGGCGTCACTGAGATAGTTCACTAGTTGTGGACTTGCTGCCATCGTTGAGGCCGGTAGTGTCTTGACCACTAAGCGTAGAGGCTCGCATGTAGACACCAGTGCTGTTCTCGCCATCCTCGAAGCGGGTAGTCTGGGGTACGCGGTCGAACTTCTCGCTCCAGCCCATGAGCTTGGCCTGCTTCTCGAGCGTCTCTAGCTTGTGCAGCTTGGGGAAGTCCTTTGGATACTTCTTAGGCTCCAGGACCTCGGCGGCGCGCTTGTAATCTGAATTGCAAACGTCAGGGTCTTTTTGAAGATAATTTGTGATAGAGTGACTAAAACTCACATGGCTTCAGTACCCCTGGGCGTAGCTCCTCGGGCCAGATGGGCAGGTTCAGAACCCCTTCATCTGCTTCGAGGAAGACATTGGCGTTAAGTAAACTCGTTCCGCCCAAGCCATTGCCAACAAAGGCATTTTGGCCATCGCCGACGATGAGATGGTAAAGCCCAGTCGGATCACCACCGGTGCCCAACTTTCCAATACCACCAAGAAGACCGTCCGTGGCTGCGTTGGTAGTATGAAGTTCCTTCACGGCCGGGATGATCTCAGAGGGGAACTCGCCGGGCCACTTCTCCTTGCCACGCTCAAGCAAGCAAACCTTCTTGTTTCCACGTGCCATGCGGCTGGCGGCGACCGCGCCACCATATCCGGAGCCGATGACAACAACGTCATAGGACGGGCGGATCAGCTCAACGGGACGGGAGATGCGGGGGTAAGCGCCAGTGACAGGGTCAAATGTGTCGTTGACCTGACGATATCCCTCACGGGGTTCCGTGACTTGATAGGGGTTGTCGAAAGACTTTGTGTAGTCAGGCTCGGTGCGACCGTTGGACTCGCCGTTGTGACCGTTGGTCTGTTGGTGGTCGTAACCGTTGGGCTCCGCAGTGCCCTCCATCGCGATTGTCTTCGTGACAGCAGCTTCTCGTCGTGAAGAGCGCTAAGAATTCCCAATTGCCGCTCTTCTAAATGAGAGAAGGAAGAGTCGGATAACCTGCACTTAATCTCACTAACTACCTGGTGGATGATGGCTTCTTCTTATATGGACAAGCGCCGGCAGGTAGCTTCGGGCCGCAGCGGCTTCCCCAGACCGGCAAGGACAGTCAACACATTCTCATCGACGAAAGTCTGTGTGCAGTCCCTCTTCTCAACGGTGAACAGGGTCTTCGCAAGTTTTCACATGCTTTCCTAACAGTCAAAACGTTGAATGCCTCTATCTTCTCATGATATGACCGGATGCGGATGGTCTCACTCGGCTTCGACGGGAGAATGTTCGCAATTATCCGAGAGACACTTCGTGCTGGTCGTTGATGGGGAAACTGGCCTTATGTCCGTAAGTGGTTGGAGTGAGAGTCGTCGTCAAGGATGCAAACAATTACATGAAGACTTTCGATGTGGCTTACTTGAATATGTTCTTTCAAGACACTCATCAGAGTTGGTATGTGCGTCGTAAATGGCAAGTCAGCCAAATAACAACGTTTATTAGACATGTAAAGTACTTGTAATACTATAGCTGAGAAACTTGACAGCCATTCGAAACCTCAAAGTTGGAGTACGACAGCCGAGTATGACATGGCGGAGGGAGGAAGTTTCATGTTCACTGAAGCTAGGTAGTAGACGACATTGAATTCGACTTTTGTGATAACGATTTCCCCGCTGACGTCCTGAGTGAGCTTCTGTCGGTTTACAATTCCCAATGGGTGCGGGGACTATTCATGCGCTAGTTAAGTACCACCGTATGCAGGGCAATCTCCACCGGGAGGGCGCAACCGCGATAGGGAATGCCGGAGAAGATTGAATTTCAACGAGGACTCTGCATCTCGGTTCATCCTAATTCCGAGTATGATGCGACTTTGGCCCAGCAGGTCTGATCATTGGCGGGTTTCCCGCCGAGAGTCTCACTAGATGTCGAGGTGGTTCAACGGGCAACTTAGACGGCACGCTTACTTCTCTAATTGTCTGAGTAGAAAGAAGGATACGATGAACCTGCAAAACATTGGATGCTCTTGAGTTCGCTCGGAGAATCACACTTGTGGGTAGACCCGATTGGCCGTCGGATGCTTATCATCTAGACAGTCCAGGGCTTGAGAACGCATGCAGGCACACGGGAAGTCTAGCGGCCCGCAACCGGGTCGCCATTCTTCATAAAGCGTAAGTAACGCGTGCGTAAATGGGAGGGGCAGCATGCAGGTGGAGATAGCTCCGAGCTTCACAGCTCCAAAGTATGTCTCAGACAGGGCATTTGGGATCGTCTGCTAGCTTTCAGCTCGTTGGTACTAGCTTTGCAATTGTCTCGAGGGGTCAATCCAAGGGATGTTCAACATACCAGCTCTCAGCCTTGGGGCGCTCAAGTTTGCAGCAAATTCAGGGTCAGAAAGCCATTTTGTGCCATCTTCGGTCGAATACTGCCCCAGTTGTTGGGAATCATCGCTGGCAGAAATGTGGTGGAAACTCTCTCCCAGTCCTGCCCTCATGTAAGCACGACTCTCCCTCCTTTTCAGCCTCAATCATTCGATGAATATCAGAGGCATCAAGGTTACGGATTTGACACGTGAAAGCACTTGGTATGGCTAGCATGTGATGGTAAGACATCAAGGTCTGTCTGAGATTTCTCCCCGGTGGCTATCACGTCTGGCATTTCAGGGCACCAAAAAGGGCTCAACGATCGCAAAGGTGAAGCTTCGTCAGGGGTTTCATCATCTTCTGCGAGAGTTAAAACCTGTATTCCATCCAGCTACCTGGGAGTATCCCAATTACCTGGTATTCTAACTACCGGCCACTTATTTACCTCAGGCTTTTTGCTGCCTGTACCTCCAAAGATGGCACCAGTTGAAGTAACTTACTCCCTTCCGAAGGATGTCAACGAGAAGAAGCTCGAAGTCCGGACCGGCTCGGATATCCGTCTCCGAAAAGAGAGCCGCGGAGCAGACGTAACATGGAACGGCACCGACCCCTTCCTCAAGCAGCCGTACTACTACACCGGCGCGCCATGGACACTCCTTGCAAGCGACTTGCTCTTGTTCCTCAAGAACATCGCTTTCCTACCCTGCATTGTCTTGCCGCTCTGGTCGCAGCCCCCGGCTCGCTCTTTCAACCTCGGAGTCGACAACCGTTTCAAAGAGCAGCCTCGATTTCTCGTGAGCCAACTCCATCGTCGATTCGAAGCATGGGCTCAGCGCTACTTCCACTCCGGTCCCATGGATGAGCTCTACCCTTCATGGAACAACATTCGTGACATTACTTTCCACTCCATCCTGATCGTCACTCAATCCGCATTTTTGATCTCTCTTCCTTTCCTTTCTTTCTTCTCTTTCAATATTTTCGTTGTCTACATTGGTCTTTTCGTTGGCATCAATTATTTAGCATGCATCGGGCTCAATGGGTGGATGCCTGAAGGGTTCATTTGGTCAGCTGATACTCCCTTAGCGAGGGAATGGGAACGGAACCACCCTGAGGAAGAATGGATTTTTCTCAACGGTGTGGCTGTCGGGTAAGAAATCACCACAACACACTCGTCGCAGGTATTAAACAAAAGTCTATAGCAAGAACTGGCTTCAGAGTAATATTGACCGGATTTCCGTCACCTTCCATCGAAGAGTCAAAGGTGTTCACAACAAGACGTGAGTAAGCATTTCCTCAGCATCGGAGATCACACTAATCTCCCTTCGCAGTGCCGGAATCATCTTTGATGTGATACAGTGCCTTCTTGAGCGATGCCTCTACTTCGGTACCACCGACACCAGAGTCTGCTTCTCGCACATCTCTACTGCTCTGCTCAACCAAGACAAGAAAAAAGTCATCCTTATTCTCCACTCACAAGGCGGACTCGAGGGAAGCATCATCCTCGACTGGCTCATCAACCAGCACCCCCGCGAAGTCCTCCAAAAGCTCGAAATCTACACCTTTGGCAACGCCGCAAACCACTTCAACAACCCCCGCACCAAGAGGGAGCACGGTATTCCCAGGCCCAAGGGCCGTGCCATCCGCCACATTGAGCACTACGCCAACTCGAAAGACTTTGTTTCTCGATGGGGTGTCCTTCACTTCAAGAAGCAGACTGCCAAGAGAGATGGACGCTTTCTTGGTCTCGGTGAAATTGCGGGCCTCATTTCCGTCAACAAGAAGACGGAAGTCATCAAGGCCGTGGGCAAGACGGAGCCGAAACAGGCTAACCATCTCAGCTCAGATTGGAATGAGTTTGAGGGAGCACTCATTGAGCGCACCGGCTCAGGTCATCAATTCAACCAGCACTATCTTGATAACATTTTCCCTCTCGACAACAGTCTCAGCAAGGTCCAGACGAATGGGGATGGCTCTCCTCTCCCGGGCACCTTCATGGCGTCCCGCACGAACGTTCGCAATGATCCCTGGAAGATTGATGAGCAGCGCAACCTCACGAATGGTGTTGACGGTACCGCCCACCACCAGCTCAATGGTGTTAGTGAAGGGCCCAAGGTGTACGAGGTCAGCCGGCTTTGGAAGTTTGTCAATGGGCGACGACCGGACGACTACTCTTGAGAGGGCCTATGGGCTCTGTCCTCAAAGGAAAACAACCTGGTGGATACATGTTGTTTGGCTTCGAGTTACCGGGTCTCGGATACCTATGATAACTTGAATTACTCGGAACGGCTCTACATCACCCTCCAGACATACAAAATTTCACAGCGAGAGAGTGCATGGATCACTACCGGTCACCAAGGAGCCGACTATACTCAGGTGACTTCTGATATGGACTATTGAAGCTTTTCGCTTGCTATCTGATATATGAAGTCTTGTTGAATTTACTTCCAGTCTTCCAAATTGCCTGCCATGAGATCGTACGCTCAATCATGCCATTTGATCACTGTGACGCAGCTCTCAGCCGTTTATGGTCATCTGAATCATCGACGTCGGACCCAGGTGCTCGCTTCGTGTTACTCCCTGGGCCACCCGCCTGTTCACCGTCGGACTCGGGCCCGGATCCCTTGCTCCTCTCTTCATTGCTATAAGACTCGTAATCCTCGGAGTCAGAGGTCACCGAAACTTCTTCAGACTTCGGGCCTTGTTGAGGCTCTTGGCTCTGCTGCTGTTGCTGGTGCTGTTGCTGTTGCTGTTGCTGTTGCTGTTGCTGTTGCTGTTGCTGCTCCTGCCTGAGTAATAGTTCATTAACCATTCCGATGGCTGCCATTTCGCCCTCGGATCCACTGCCTTCCTCTATGGCCTGAGCAGAAACGTTCTTCCTGAGTTCCGCCTGCATTGCACTCTCCTCGGTCTGTGGGACAGTCAGTCGCCATCATTTAAATCAACAAATGTCAAAAGCTCGGACAAACAGCGTATAGATAAGGTGATGATCATCCTAAATGTTGATAATTTGAGACATTGTAGGTGTTGAGGCGATGGAGTAAATTCGAGAATAACCCACAGTTCTTCTAAACTCTGCTCTCAAGCGATCGGACTCTCCCTGAGACTGACGTCGCTGCTTTCGCGATAATGGAGGAGGCTTAGAGTACAGCGGATCAGAACCCGAGTAGGGGTCGGAATTTCCATCGCGTTCCGAATCACCGCGACCATCTGCCATGTTTCCAGTCAACCTGCTGCTTCGTAACTGATATAGTAAGGCTTTGACTGATTGTATGACAGAGTTTTTCTAGAAAACGGTTTGATCCGAGATTGTTGCAGTGATGCTGTATTTACCCTGCATGTAGCCATTGCTTGCAGTGAGTTCTTATACATCTCTTGAAGCAATAAGTATACCGCTTGAGGCTACCAAACCTATCGCCATGCTCGATTGAGGGCACTCAGTCATGTACGAACAGTCTTCTTTCAGTTCATTCACGATCTTTCCGCCCAGCCAAGCGCAGGACATGCCAGAGACAGAGCATGGGAGCAATTCACCCATCAGCCTTTTTCCCGCACCACCTAATGTTTATTCATGCTTCCCGTCCCTTTGGCTAAAGAGCCAGCAGCCTTGGTGTGGTGGGCGGTGAAGAAATTCAAGGCTGAATGAGCAAACACAGTGCCCCAACAAACAAGAACTCCCCGATAATAGCTTGGAATTACCATCAGGCTTCCCGCGATCGAGGGAGATGCATGTCACGTTTCTTCTTCTAACAAAGACCGAGTGTCCAACCATCAGGTCCCTGGACCTTGTTTGAAATGGTTGTATGGCGGTAGGTTTATCTCGACTGGACAGCTAGCCGCAAAGAAGCGAGGGTTGTACACCTTAATCGCTTATTGCGACACCGCCAAGATATACTCTGTTGCACAACTCGGCAACAGAACTAAGGGCTGTTTTTGAATGGCGATTAGACATTGATATCATTTGATATTCTCTGACAATTAGATAGGATTTTGAATAATTTGGTATCGATGGGCTGTAAAAAGATCAACTGATTTAATTATTTTCGTGTGTCGATACTTTTACTTGCATCGCCGCCCTCATTCTTCCGACGGTGTGGTGTCGTGGTGTCCTAGCCGGCAATAACACGGCACATACATCCGCGCCTCAATTGCCGGCTCGTCTGCGCCGCCGACCTCGCTCCGATGAACAACCCTCCATTCACGAGTATAAAATCGTGAAAACATCAAGCGTCAACCAGAGCACATCGAGCCGGAAGACAACATACTCCCGCGCCGAATGACGTCATCATGGCCACCCTCAGCACCGCAACGTGGATAGCCTCACTCACATATGACGACCTCCCCCAAGGCGTAGTAGAAGCAGCCGTACGCTCTTTCTACAACTGGGTCGGCTGCGCCATCGGCGGAAGCTCGCATCCGACGACACTAACCGCATACAAAGCCCTATCGCCCTTTTTCGGGAAAGAAACTTACTCGCTGCTAGGATTCGATCGTCGGATAGATGCGCAGCACGCTGCTCTCATCAACGGCATTGCGTCGCATGTTCATGATTATGATGATACCCATCTCGAGACCATTGTCCACCCGACTGGGTGCGTTGCATCAGCGCTGCTGAGCTTCGCGGAGACGCTGCAGCGCCCAATCACGGGGAAAGAATTCATCACCGCGTTGGTCGCCGGCATCGAGGTCGAGTGCAAAGTCGCCTTGGCTGTGTACCCAGAGCACTATGATATCGGATGGTACTCTCCCACCACACTTTCTACGCAGACATCACTACGGTGACTAATACCTCTTTTGAAGGCACATCACAAGCACAACAGGCTCCATCGGCGCCGCCGCGGCCATCGCAAAACTCCTCACCCTCCCAACGGACAAAACAGCCCACGCCATCGGCATCGCCGCAACGCAAGTCACAGGCCTCCGCGAGATGTTTGGCTCAGACACGAAATCCTTCCACGTCGGGCGCGCCGCTCAAAATGGGCTGCTTGCTGCGGTCCTAGCTGCTGAAGGGTTCACGAGTTCGCCCAAGGCGCTGGAAGCTGGTCGGGGGTGGGCCAAGGTCGTTAGTACAAAGGAAACATTGAATGAGCTTATTCATAGCCTTGGGCAAGAAGAACAAAAGTGGGAGATTGAGAAGAATTCGTTCAAGCCTTATCCGTGCGGGATCGTTGTTCATCCGGTCATCACGGGCGCGGTATGGCTGCATCAAGAATTGAAGAGACGAGGGATATCCGTGGAGGAGGTTACGAGTGTCGACGTCGCTGTTCATCCTCTCGTACTTGAGCTCACGGGTAAGAAAACACCAAAGGACGGGCTAGAGGCCAAGTTCAGCGTTTATCATGGCGGCGCGGTCGGGCTGCTATTCGGGAGGGCGACTGTGGTGGAATATGAGGACGCGCTTGTCACCAGCGCTCCCGTTGTCAGCTTGAGGGACCGGTTTCTCGCCACTGTTGATGAGTCTATGAGGGCCGATGCGTGCCATTTGGTGGTCAGATTGCGCGGTAGGGAAGAACCAATCGAGAAGCACGTCGATCATGCCCTCGGGAGCGTGGAGGTGCCCATGTCTGATGACCAGCTGACGGAGAAGTTCATCACACAAGCGGCGCTACAGGTCGGTTCTGAAAAGGCGAACAAGGCGAGCGAGTGGTGTTGGGTTGTGGTTGAGTCAGAGGATATGAAAGAGCTTGGAGGTATTGTTTAGGGTAGATCCAGCTGACTCCCTGCCATCCATGTTTCAACGCTTTCTCAGTGATGATGCACCGCAAGTGCCATCCCACTCTCCTAATCTTACTGGCAAAGGTACCTTTACTCCTATGTTCGATTGACGAGGACTACGATGCCTAAGGTAAAGCAACTCATTCTGTGGGAGATACAAGGTTTCCACCGTCCCATCAGGGACTCAATGAATACAACGCGGCCGTTGTCCACAGTCCCATTGCCAATGACGCTTTCACAAGTGCTCTGAACATCTCTGACTGGGCAGGTAAATGTGCGTCCTACCACAGTGGTCGAAAGCTATAGTATCAAATTGCCCAATTCCAGAGGCCTATCACTTGTGAACCCTTGTCTTCCAATTCCCAGGTGAAACCACCATGCTGAAGCCTGTATTGAATGAATAAATCTGGTCACAATGACTCGGGCAGGGCTTATAAATGGTGGTAAGAGGTCCCAACTAGTTGGAGCGAAAGCCGTGTGATATATCGGCATAATTAGACCAGACTCGGTCGTCCTTCACAAGATACCCAGAGAAACGAGATTCTTCTTGAATGGTCGGCAGGGGCTCGAGGAAAGGGTCCCAATCCATGATTGAGTCAAGGGTCTGTCGAGATGGAGCCTGGTGATTGAGATCCGTCTCTGCCAGGCGGCAGCGGTCACAAGTCATGCGCTGAGGCCTTTTGGTCTGACGGTAGCTGTGTGCTGTGATGTGCTTGATTTCGCTTTCGTCATCTGCGTCGTAAGCGGCTTCGTCGGTAATGCTTAGTAGATCCTCATTGTCGGGCTTCAATGACACCAGCTTGGGGAGCTTCAGCTGGTCCTAGTAAGTTTTCTGCCAGTCAGCTTAAGTCCAGTCATGTTCGCAGTTCTTGCGGCAGTTTGCAATATTAATGAGAAACAAGAATGGGAAATCATCATACTCGGTCCTCTCTGGGCTTGGAGCCGTCTCTCTTGTGGCCCTGCTTGGACCCCTTCGTCTGACGGTGCAGAGTGCGCTCATCGGCGTTGGCCAGGGACTTATTCTCATTGGAACTGTGAGGATCACACTGCCAGGTGTTATCGGGGCTGTGTAATCGGGCCTTCTTCTTGCACGGCTGAGGGCCGAGGTCATCGTGGATGCCAGAGGCGGTTCTGTTCTTGGATCCCATTTGGCACGGCAGTCCTTGCGAGGCGCATGCGTTGCTGGTTCGATTCAATCTGCAGTGATTGACGATGAAAGTAGGATGAAAATGATATATTCTGGTGTGTACTGGTGGGAAGTGTGCAAATATAAAGCAGTCTGAGCTGAGTGCAATAAGAAGACTTGGATGAGGTGAAGAATGTGGTCAATTCTCACCCTACCAAGGTGATGTGGGGCATCACACTGCCGTCTCACCAAGTAACGTCGGGTGCCTACCTATGTCGGACCGCTGCACGTGACGAAGGAGTTGAACGGCAAGGTAGGAGCTACAGGAAAGTAAAGAGACTTGAGGAAGGAGCAGAAAACTATGGCCTGAGGCGCCTTGGGTACGATTCGACCCTTCTTCTTCATGAATCCCCACGATTCTTAGAAGCATGCCACGTACAACACGTGTTGAACATATCTTCAGCTCATCAAAAACACTTCAGGTTAGAAACTCACAGCGCAATATCTTTTTAAAAGAAACAAGCATCAGAAGAAAGACCTGAATGGCAAAAGAGTTCACTCCCCCGGTACTGAACTGGGGGGCTACATCTCTGGTGCTCAAGCTGGGATTCGAACTAGGTGACTCTCGAATGCGCTAAGCCTGTCGTCGAGTAGGCTGGTTGGCGAATTGATTGTTGACCATTAACCATTCCACCATCACGCCACAGTTTGACCTGAACCCCGGCCTAGGAGTCGCCTGCTGTGCTGGCGACAGAAACGGAGCTGAGGGGGTATATGAGCCCTTCTCTCCACCGGATGAGATATTGGTACGTGTACCGTAGACCCTGACGTGCGATGGGGAAGGCGCTGACACAGTAGCCGTTGAGGTGCCTCCTTCCCACAAAATGATTGCTCGATGGGACCCACCTTACCTTCACAGTCAGCCCGCGCACCCCATATAGCCCAATGCACCGTGGGAGACGGATACTCAAGCATCTCCTCCTAGGAGTGGACACTACACTGTTTTATTCAAACTGTAATCTCGTATTTGTGACACACATTAAATATTTTCTTCGATAAAAAGGTACTTGGATAGCCCATTTAATTTGGTCATCGTGACAAAAAGGTAACAAAGCTTCTTTAACAGGTGTTCGTTACTCTAAAAGATCTAGGGGCTCCAAGACCTCTTCGCTTCCATACCTGACTACCCCGTCCAGGGGTAGACTTCACCATCATAGGAGAATCCGGTCACCTCTACGAGATGAAAGACTTCATGTTCTTCTGGACTATATCTCATGAGCTTTCTTCGTCCGCCTGGAACCTCCTTGCTCACTTACTTCCGTCAACTAACACCCCCTATTTTCTTCGACCACGTCTCTCACTAGCTACCATGTGGGTTTGCCCTGCGGTACTCAACAAGAACGACGATAGGATTGGAGTGTTTGATAGGAAACACCAATGCCATCATGCCGTGGGTTCCCAACAGGCGAAGGAGTGGTTCGTCCAAGTGCATTTTAATGTTTACAAGACGTTGAATTGGATGTCACTTGTGGATTCCCGTTGGCCAGAGACGCGTGGGGGTGGGGCTGATGCACGTGCGGATCAGAGGGTCCCACATTCCCGTCTGCACTCCCGCCAGATCCTTTCTCAGGTACCTTACCTCATCTCTGGTCGCCCTCATGATGAAGACTTGGAACAACTTAGTCTAGTCCAGGAAACTTTTCTAAGATTCAGTTGAGCTTGCAGACCCCTTTTTTTCAGGACGTGTTCAATTGTTATGGTCATCTTTTGGTATGTGGAAGTTTGACCCTGAAGGTAAGTTGCGGTATCTGGACAGGTCTTCCTCGGGGCATTGGGGTGTACCTAAGATGAGGTAGGCCGGCGAGATACTACAACTCATTCCTCAAACCCATATTCTCCACGATTTAGGGAATACATGCAAGGTCACTTCGCGCTACTCAGGCTGATTGCCTTACTTTGTATGTTGACTTGGGTTCGGGCTGGCAGAGTCTGGTAATCTGACCTTGGCAGTGGTTGGCACAGCTGACAGCTGGCGAGTATTATGGGACCAAGGCAAGTACCCTTGTTCGCACTGGTGGTCGAGAAGGATGGAAGGAAGCGCTCTAGAGAATCCGGGCATTGCTGCTCCAAACCCAAACGATATCTTTCTTACGGTCAATCAATCATTCTGCTAAACCTCCACTTATTGCTTTGAGAAGAGCAGCTTGCGAATTACGGTGCGGCGAATGGTACCAAACACCCCGGGCCCTGTCCCCTGTCATTGCAAAGGCCGGCGCCAAGTCGGGGTAAAGCCGGCCGAAGAGTGAGGGGCACTTTCCACCGCGCCGAGGACAATGGGTGACAACACACCACCAACTATTATTTGATTTACATCAATCTCCTTACTACGCCTGCCAGAAGAAGCTCCAACTAGGCTACGACCTAGACCCAGCTCACGCCCCTTATCCTTTTTCTCAACAGGCACCCCGGCCCCCTACTTTGAGATTCCTTGCATCCGACATGTCGACCATACCGTGAGTATCCGTACATGTGCTTTGGGATCCCGCCAAGAGTATGGAGTGCCGAAACTCACCGCATCGCAGAGGCCATGTCTTAGTTACCGGCGCTACAGGGTTCATCGGGGCGCACGTCGTAGATGTTCTCCTGTCCCGGGGGCTCAGGGTCCGCGGCGCTACCCGATCTCTCGCGAAAGGGGATGCCATGATAAAGGCTCGGCCCGAGTACGCCGGCAGGCTTGACTTCATCCAAATCGATGACTTTGAAAATCTTGGTGTCTTCTCCAAGGCTATCAAAGATGTCGACGCCGTGGTCCACGTTGCTAGTGTTAGGATTCTCCGTAATCGACCGAGACCGCCATCGCAGAGTTCTTGCTAATCGTTCTCTGCAATGTAGCCATTCACCTACGACACCGAGAATAACGAGAGAGAATTAATCATACCAGCCATCAACGGCGTGCGGTCTATCTTGGAAGCAGCTGCCACCAACCCCAAAATCACTCGAGTGGTCATCACTTCCTCCTTCGCATCCGTCCTCGACGTTAAACGCAAGTCGCCACCATATTTCACATACACGGGTGAAGATTGGAACCCCCTGACCTACGAAGAGGCCGCATCTCCGGAGACAAGCGCCGTAGTTGCCTACCGAGGCTCCAAGAAATTCGCAGAAAAGGCGGCATGGGATTTCGTCCAGGAGCACAGCCCTCGCTTCGACATTGTAACATTGTGTCCGCCAATGACCTTTGGACCAGTGGTTCACCCCGTAAGCAGCGTCGATAAGTTAAACGAGTCAAACGCAATGCTTTGGAAGGTCGCATGTGGACAGAAGCCCCTGCCTGTTGCTCGCGTGCCATTCTGGATCGATGTCAGAGACCTTGCTGTGGCGCACGTGGAAGCGCTGTTCAGACCAGAGGTGGGCAAAAGGAGGTTCATCCCGACAGCCAAAGATCGATTCTCTTATGATCTTGCTGCCAAGATAATCGAGGAGAAGTTCGGTTGGGCCAGGGGCAAGGTTGCGCGAGAAGAGCAAGTGATCGACACTTCGCATGGGCTGGATGGGGAAACGGCGGCGAGAGAGCTTGGCTTCGAGTACCGAACTTTTGATCAAACGGTCGTCGACCTCATTGACCAGGTAACGAAAATAGAAGGTGGGGCAATATGATTTCGAAGCGAGCAGCGCCGCTATCACGAAAACACCAGGTGTTGGAAATAGGCAGTAGCACAACTAGTTCCTTGAACAATCTGCCTTGAGTTTGTGGTGAGGGGCCAGAAGGATGTTAGGTATCTGGATGCATAGGCAAATCCTTTCATCGACCGTACCTGGTATTCCGAAGACTACATATCCTTTTATTTCCCTTCGATTCATTGGTTTCTAGACTGTTCCGTAGCTGATACGAATTCTGCCTAAATTGACGTTACTGTTGAACGGAACCTGTCCTCCGCTGAGACCAGTAAGCGAGCAACACAGAGTATGATCATCACTCGGTCTGGAATCCACACAATACGGCCGGTAAATTAATGACAAAGTAGCACGAGGACCTTTTGACTTCTCCTTCGAGTTTGACTTACCGTGCTGACGACACCGGGCCGGGTCGCCTTCTTGGCTTCCGACGTGTTACCGCAGCATGTTCTGAAGCCCCAATGTCTGGAGAGTGTTGCGTACAAGAACAAGCAGTATTGTCATGAGTTTCGTAATGTAATACTTGTGGGATGTTTTCGTTCGGCCACCGTAGCTACTCTTCATTGTTCGAAGCTCCTGCAAATCGCCTTTGATCTCCTCAATCTTTCGTACATAGACTGTTGCCATGAAGGTCTCAGCTCTCTTAGTAGCGGCCTGCGCTGCTCTTGCTCATGGACATTGTATCTTTCAGGCAAGTCCCCCAAGTCAACCTTCGTCAAATCCCGGGACTGACCTTCGCCTAACACACAGAAAATGTCTGTGAACGGCAAAGAGTACGGCTCCCTAGCAGGTCTCAGAGCACCGAACCAAAATAACCCAACCGAAGACGTAACCTCCCAAGACATCATCTGCGGGAAAGTCGCAACCTCCTCCCAAGAAGTCATCACCGTCGCGCCCGGAGACAAGATCGGCTCCTGGTGGCAGCACGTCATCGGAGGCGCCCAGTACCCCGGCGACCCAGACAACCCGATCGCAAAGTCCCACAAAGGTCCCATCACCGCCTGGCTCGCCAAAGTCCCCAGTGCGTCCAGTACCGGGATAGCGGGGCTTCAATGGTTCAAGGTCGCCGAAGATAACCTCGAAACTAGCTCTGGGTTATGGGGCGTCGATAAGATGATCAACAATGGGGGCTGGAGCTACTTCAACTTGCCGCAGTGCATTGCGCCTGGGGAGTATTTGTTGCGTGTTGAGTTGTTGGCTCTTCATTCCGCTCATCAGGTGAAGGGTGCGCAGTTCTATATTTCATGTGCGAATATCAAGGTCACAGGCGCTGGGAGCTTTTCGCCTGGCTCGACTGTGAGCTTCCCGGGCGTGTATCAGCAAAGTGATCCTTCGATCCTTATCAACATCTATGGCACTGGTGGTCTCCCGAACAATGGCGGCAAGGCGTACTCCGCCCCTGGACCGAGACCAATTACTTGCTAGAGGCTGGAGAGAAAGATTGGATGTGAATTGGAAATCAGATTGGGTACGAGTGTGGAGCTGTTATTCTTGAATTCGACATCATATGGAACATTGAGCTATTCTTGGCCTCCTATCTGTTGTGAAGTTTGTGATTTGAATGGCATTCTTTCGTTCGAGAAATGGTGCCCTTCGAAGAGCTCATAGTTGACAGCGTTACACAACTCCAACGCTGACCCGACCATCTTCAACCATGACACGTAAATTGATGTTGATGCTCATCTCTGTCGCGTTCCCTGTGGAGTTCCTGGCGCCTTTCCCGGAGCCTATGCCGATGTCAGAGAGGTTGCCAGATCCCACATTGATGTTTGTTACTTCTGTAATGCGGTCGCCGATTTCGATCGTGTTTCCATCGCCGATCGTGTTGTTACCGTCTCCGATATCGAAATCGTCGCCTGTCGAGACAGAAAATGTCAGCAAAAGTCTTCCCGACGGGAAACGATTGTCAGAAAGGTCTTTACCTGTGTCTATGTCATTTCCGGTTCCGGCGAAACCAACACCGTTTCCATCGCCGATTCCTCCAGAGCTGATCGACCCAGAGTTACCGGTCTGGTTACCATTGACACCGTTGCCAACTTGGCGTGGCGATATAGTCGGTAGGTGTTTTGTGATTGGGGCAAGACTGAATTGGAAGGGTAGCGAGTTCGCAGTGGTGACGCACAAGGCAAGAAACGCCGACAAGCAGAATCGTAGGCTGATGAGCATGATTACTGCTCGTGTTAGAGCGTTGCACTGGGCTGCAGTATGTGAAGTGAGTTGATACGCTTGTCATAGAGAATTGAAGGTTTGCGTAGGGTTGGTTCGTGATTTTAAGCTTATCCAACTTGTACAACGTCATCAGAGATGCAACTCTTTGGCTGCCCTCATCACCGGATTGATGCCACCAATTCCTTCTTGAAACGCCCAACAAGCTGAAATTGGTGTTATTGTTCGTCATGCTTCCCTTGCCAAGCCCTATATATTGCGCTTCTCAAGCATCACAGCCCCCTTCGGATGAGGAAGCTGCATCGGTGCTCAAATGCAACTACAGATACAACAACAAATATCAAGTAGAAAAACAATTACAATCAATTCCATCGGCACCTATTCTTAGAAAGTGTTCTGGAGGCGAGGTCTTGAAGTTGATTCGCTGCTCTCATAGCTGCCGCCCGCGAAGCTGGATGGCCACTATTATTTCTTACTGATCCTTGGCATGCTGAAACCATGTAAATATCCGGCAGATAAGGTATCCGGGCATACCGACGGCAATTAGTCTTAGTAGAGGCGATGCGATTGAATGCTACGTCGTCACGGGTGGCATTCATGAAGGCCTCCAACATCGCGTTTCACATGCATCCCTTTCATGATACGTCACTTCAAACTCCCGGGTAGCTTGTCCTGCAGCTTTGCGATCACGTCAATAAGACGTTGCTCATAAATCAAGCATTTAATTTGGCATTGTCGAATGGATCGGAGGTCTCCCATTAAATTCGCCAGAATTTCGCGATGCAGTCTGTTGATGTAGCTTAACTTAAGCTACTATAATCAACCCAATATGTAGCGGATCGGGCCAAACACGTGCTAAAGTACAAAGTATGTCAAAGTCGGCCGAAACCATTGAAAAATCTTTTCTGTTCTGTTCTGTAGTGTCTATCGTGTTTTTATGCAGCCGATTCCAGTCAAGACAAGCGCCAAACATTCCATATGTCACTCGATCCATTTCAGCGAGCCCAGACACTTCAAGGCATGTGTAAAGTTCTGTGCCTCTTTCATGTCATCTTACAAGTAGAATGATTAGAGTCGCTTATGTAAAAGCTCTCGAATAGTTTCTACCAGCTATTGTAAAAGCAGCGGCTCTCGACGGCAGTAAGCCTGGGCGTCAATCTTTGTGGGCCTTCGCTTCCACCCCTTCTTTCTACGCAGTAACTCCAGTAAAGAATGCTGACGATTGAATCGATTACTACTGCTTCCCGAACACTTCTCAAACAACACATGGACTAGAGCGAATAGGCCGATAAAATTTAAAGTCTTCGAGGATCTCGTGACGTGTCCTACTGCCGTTGACGGGTTAGCCCAAATCTCCAGGAGCATTTCTCAGGAGACAAACTCCACGACTCTCATCTACTACGTGCTGTATCAAAATTCTTTAGTTTGTACTTATTTGGACCCGACATGAAGTCTGCCTTGTCACCAAGTTTCGTAGAGTTCGTCTTTCTGTTATCGTCATTGCCTATATAAATTGGCCTATTAGAATGTTTGAATGCTGATGCAACTTAGAGTATTGACCTATTGACAAAAGCAGTACGCTTGAACCCCGAAAAGGGTATAGTCAAGGTCAAATCCCACTACAGAGTCTATCTCCTGATGTTGAAGATTGAGAAGTACTCGTCATTGATAACAATGTTTTGGGTGCGTTCTCGAAAATCTACGCGTCGAGGTGTCGGTTTCGTCGATCATATCTTCAGTATTGCGTATTCTAATTTAATGCGAATCGTTGGTAAGCCAGCTGTTTCGATCCCAATTTTGACCCTTCAGGTGCCCGTCACATACTGTTCCACGAAGCCATGTAGATTCTCAGGGCAAATTGGGGTTGGAAGACATATACATGTTGGTCACACACAAAACAACACTTGAACCCAGCTTCGATTCCCGAGTTGAATTAATGGGAGCATGGATAGTGAGAGATCCTGAAAATTAGTGTTCGTTGCGATACCGTCTAGGAGCAGTGCGTTGTGTGCTACATCTATATAACGCGACAGCATACGATGATAGTATCACGTCAACTAGGAATGACACCAGTACACCTGTCTATAGTTTTCTTCGAGTTCTCTTTTGATTCAACGTTTTCATGGGGAAGCATAGAGGGATGAGGGTTGGGTTGAGATATAACTTGTTACTGCCCCTAATCGAAGCATATGGATGTGTATTGGCTCCATCTAGTACTTGATGGTACGAATCAGGGGAAGAAACCTCTACATTACTTTCTGGTATGTATGGCATTGAGTCAACAGGGCTTCCTCATGTCTTCTAAGGCCAGTCCTCTTGAGTTACTAAGGTATGTGTAGAGATGCCGCGAATTGGGTTGGTACACTGCCCGAGCGTGCACTTAGCAGAACAGAGTAAACTAACAACTTACCCTGCAGACATCATATAATAATGATGAGTTCATCGTCCCGATCGAATAGACGACGTGCAAAATTCGAAGACACCAACGATCTTCAACATTCATCACTTATCAAACCAACAATAGTACCAGAGAGCATATGTTGCTAATGTGTTGCTAATACGATGTATTTGCAAGGGGTTCTGTTGTCCAGGACTCCAGCTTAATGCGGATTCGGATTCGGAATCCTTGTCATCTTTTGTGAAGCGGGGCGTCAAGATGTCAAGATAACGCGTTAAGCGCCCAGTTGCTTAGCCGAAGGAAGGATTTGGAATTTCAACTAAGATACGGAGCACGCTTCTCTTGTTGGATAGGCTATCTCCGCAAAACCGCCTCCTCGCACTTTGTAGGGTTGACAAGATGACAGGCTTGTCGGAGACTGAATGATTTAGCGGGTTCTGTTTCCTGGTCAAGTGAGGCTGTTTTGATGAAATGTCGTAACTTGACAGAAAACGTTGCAGGGAAATCCCCTTTAGGAAGTGGGATCCGAGCGTCGCCTAATATAACCTTGCCCTGGGGTTAAGTGTTCGGCAACTATTCGTAGGACTCTCGATGATGGGAATTCTTTGAGATGGAGTACGATGCAGAACTCGGGGCACCCCAGCTGTCCAAGTCTAGCTGAGCCCCGCACCTCCGCTTCTCATTTTGAAGATGTTGCACCGCTGTTGATCGGCGGTGAAGATGTTCCAGGACCTTGGCTAGCTCTTTCGTCTCCCCTCCTTCGGCCCTTGCTATTGGCCTTCGCTCTCCGCCCACACTGCGACCCTGCATATGTCAAGTTGTTACCCCCATCTTGATCCATCTCGGGCCATGGCCATGCATTGGGGTTGCGCGTATTGGGAATGAGAAGGGGGGTGTTCGACGCATGGATGGCTGGACCTGCTTAGAGCTGCTGGAGGTAGAAGCTGCCCAGAGAGAACATCTGCATTACGAATTGTCCTTCATGTGGTGGGGGAGAGTATGATTGCTATGCTACGCTATAAAGGCTCGAGGGTCCTTCATTCGGCTTCATTGCCGCCTCATTTTCTCCCCAGTCACCAGCATATCGTTCTTGTGCAGATTTTCAAAATGCTTCGATCTCGTTTCCCTTCAGCCCATCACTTCACTGTGTCAATCTTCGGATGCCAGTATCACGCCGACTCACCTTCACCAGAGAAGCTGGCTCTCATCAACAAGTTTGATGCACTCATCAAGGCGGCCGCGATTCATGTCGAAGAGCTCGAGCAAAATGACCTCCCCTCCAAGGTCTGGATGAGCTACTGGAAGTCTCCCCAGATTTTCAAGGCATGGTGGGAAAGCCCGGAAACTTCCGCCTTCTGGGCCGCTCTCCCGGAGAACGCTGGTTTCTGGAGAGAGACTGTGAGCTTGCCCGCCACCAGATCAATGTACGAATCCAACAAGGAGAAGCCTTCTGGTTTCGGCCACTGCGGAGAGCTGATCCCCCTCACTTCGAAAACGGGATACTGGGGCGCCTACCGCTCGCGTATGACCCCTGAGGGGCCGGAAGACAAGTTCGAGTCTCCTCTGCCTGCAGTACCCGAGGCTCGTCCCTTGACGGACAAGATCCGCCCCGGAAGAGTCAGAGTGTCCAAGTTCCCTGACAACATCTCCTTCGTTGTTGAGGGCCAAGACTACAGTGCCATGAATGAAAACGAGCACGAACACTGGAACGAGAACTTCGACGGTCTGACCAAGCAATGGGTCACCAATGTCATGAACGCTGGTCCCGCCGGTGGGATGGTTTCTTCAAGGGCCTGCCACGCCTTCGCGGGAGATAAGCAACCCGGTGCCACGAAAAGCGCTGTCAACGGCGCCTCTACCAACGGCACGAATGGTACGAATGGCACCAACGGAACTTTGACAAATGGCCACGGCAACGGAATCTTCCCCGGCTTGGACTACATTCGTCAAGCTCAGATTCTCTTTTGGCTTGACCTTTCCAAGATGGAACACATCGGCAGAACGGATAAGGTTCACGTCAAGCTCAGACGCGACTTTTTCGGTGCATATGGGCCTGGTGGAGTTATGGAGGGTGGTGATTTGCTGCTTTGGGTTGATGTGGCAGTGTTGAAGGGTGAAGAGATGGACGCGGAGTACGTTGGATGCTATGATGGAACTGGATTCCTTGCATACGACGCCCACCCCGCGTTCACAAGCGAGAGGGTGGAAATCGCCAAGCTGCCAGCGTTTTTCGACGCACCGATCAAGTCCCAGCCCATTGAGTGGTAAACCGTGATAGTAATAATATGTCATCTCATGTTTGTGTTAAAACCGTTCACGTAACCCTCCCTTGTGGGTGACTTTTCACGATAAACGGACGACGAGCCTGCTCTACCAGCAGGTGGGCACAGACGGTAGAGGAGCATTCCGTCTTGCGTGCTCATTGCTCCGTGCTCATTGCTCCGTGCTCCACGTTCATCCGGTGTATTACGAGGAGGCCAAAATTTCGCTCAATCAGGAACTGCACATTCGCAATCAGCAAGCGTTTCCGAGTGGGGGCCAGCCGGGATTGAGTCAGTCGTTGAGAATAGAGTTCACAGGGGCCCCTGTTCCAAGCCGGCCC